GAGACGCGCACGCGGCGTTGTGGCAGATGCGGCGAGCCTGGCCATAATGCACGCACCTGTCAAGGAGTTGCACAAGTGCCCGAGGAAGACCATTCCGAGTAATTTCAATCATTTTTGTCAGTGTTGGTTGAATCATGTTGAAATTTGTTGTGCAGATGTGTTTTTGTGGGACGTTCGCTTGTCTGGGACGTTCGCTTATCATGTACGTTAATATAAGACAAACTCTATTATATTATTACTACTTTAGTAGCATGATTGTAAAGAGAGATTCTATCTGTGAGAGACAAGTGGCATCAAGGCGAGGCACTGGGCACTGCAAATGCCGACTCAATTCTGCTGTTCGAAAGCTAAGGAAAGGAACAGGGAGGGTATACAGGATGTGCGTCTGCGACGCGAAAGATAAGTGGGTGCACAGGCCACCCACCAATGACCCACCGAAGAGGGCATGAGTCCAGGGTGCGCTTTCCGTCACATTATCTTTTTAATCTGAAGTGCTAAGTTGCAACGCAGCAAGAAAGGGTAAAGTCCAGGGCTTATTGGATATAAGTGTCACATCACTCCCTATGTAGCTAGGTCCTCCCCAGTACTGTAACGGCCGGTCCAAACTGACTCAGACTCAGAAGGTAGCCTCAATTGATAACTCTACAGTGTACTCTGTAGCCGATGAGTGGGCAAACGCACAGACCTCTCCGTGGCCGCCACTCGGAATATTTATGGACGGCAGGCCAATCAGCGCCCGGTCTCTTGCATCAACACGTAGCTCCGACTTCCACAACGCTCAGAAGCGCGACCTGAGCTCCAGCGCCAGCACACTGCAGACCTCAACTGCCATCTTCGTTCTCAGGGTGGCTGGGCCACCATGTGTGTCGGATAACAAGTATTTCTGAATCATCCATTGACAATGACACTTTGATAACCGTACGCCCCAAGCATCGGTTGGTATACATGTGCGTGCCTCTTCGGGCCCAACGCCGCGATTTCCAGGGCCACTTCCGAGGTTCACCTGCGAAATGGATAACCACGAAGAAAGTGCCCAGCCCGCTTCCCGCCCGTCTACGGCACGTAAAGTCGACCCAGACAACGATGCGGCATCGCCCCCACCTCCGAATATTGATGAGAAGCGCCCAACCCCCGATGTCAACTCCCTGAAGCCCGAAAACATCCCACCCCTTCGCCCGCCTGCCCCCGCCGCACCCGACAGCAGCTACCTAGAGAGCCCTAGTTTGAACTTGCGACACTCCGACTCTCAAGCCGAGATTATTGTTCGCCAACACTTGCAGGACATCGAGTCGAGCTTCAGTGCCACACTGTCGCCCGCCCTGCCCACATCCAACAATGGACTGGACGATACCTTTCTGCTCGACTCCCCCTCCAAGAAGCCTGCACCACAACGCCCTGCTCCGGATGCAGACGAGTTTGCCGACCAGTCACAGGTGCTTCCAACACTAAGCCGCCCCGCCTCCAGCACGCCGCGAGACGTCGACGAGTCGGATATGCAAACACCAGTTCAGGATGAGTCCACAGAAGCCGCGGGGAATGCGACGGCCTCGCTGGAGGCGTTTTCGTCATCACCAACAGCCGCAGGAGCGGCAAGATCCGTCTCTCGAGCCGTCTCACATGCAGCATCGGTCCGGACTGAAGGCAACGACGGGCATAACGAGTCTACTACAGAGCAACATGTCAGAGATCAGTTGGCCGACGACTCCCTTCTCCAACCGAGCTCTGAGGCCTCTTCCTCTCAGATCAGCCGGGATCACAGCCAAGAAAGAGTCTCTGCCGACGCCGGCCACACCCCCGGCCAAGCCCTCAAGTCCTCCAAGCGCCCAAGATACCTGCGGAGCCGCATAGGCAGCCAGCGGTCGTCCGTGTCGTCACTCCTTACCGACCCTGAGAGCGACGTGACGGTGGGTACGGGTGCTGACTATGCACTCCAGTCAGGCGGCGCTTTGCCGTCACTAGGATTGCCGCGGAGCCTCAACAATCCCCTGTCCAGGTCCGTCAGTATGGGAAGCATGGCCAGTGGGATTGAAGATCTCCATGACTCATCGGGGCCTACATTCGGCCAGCTTGAGACGCTGGACGAGGTTGAAGGCAGCATGTCTCCCCAGACCGATGCACGCCGCGAGCCGGACCGAGACCCGCTTCACACTCCGAAACCGACCAAGACAGCTCTTGCCGCGCCAACAGATACGGTTATTGCCCGTCATGTCAGGGATGTGCAAGTCCCCGAGTCGTTGGCCAAGGAGTACAAGAACCGAGGAGGCTTGCTGACCCCAGCACGGCCGGGCACATCCGATACAGCCGGCTTCGGAACCTCAACCGCGAGCCGGCACGGGAGGAGCCTGACGCTGAAAGAGCAGAGCAGCACCATTGAGCGCCTAAGCAAGGAGAACTTCGACCTCAAGCTCAAAGTCATGTTTTTGAGCGATCGGCTGGACAAGCTCTCTGAAGAAGGTATTAAGGAGATGATCTCGGAGAACGTCGAGCTCAAGACAGGCCTGGCCGTCCTGCAACGCGACAACAAAGTCCTGCGCCGGCGAGTCAAGGAGCTCGAAAAGCAGCTCAAGGACGAGGAGGAACGTCCGGGTACGGCCAGGAGCGCTCATTCCGACGACGAGCAGAGCGCGGCGTACGACCAGGAGGCGCAGGAAAGAGAGGAGGAGATTACCTACTTGCGGGAGCAGCTGGAAGAATACGTCACTGAGATTGAGCGGCTCAGGAAGGAGAACCTGAACAAAGAGGCTGAGAAGCGACGGATGGCCGAGGTGGTGCGGACGCTTGGGGAGAAGACGGGCGAGCGACTAGGCGAAACTCTTGAGCGCCAGGAAGAAGCCGACGTCTGGAAGGACTTGCTAGAGCAGGAGACAGCCAGGAGAGAGCAGAGCGATGAGGACAATCGTCGTCTGCGCGACGAGATATTCCGGTTGAAGCAGGAGCTTGCAGCGCAGTCGACTGTCGGCCCAATGCATCATACAACAAACATCTACAACATAACGAAGAAATCTCCGGGGCGGCCTCTATCCCCGACTAGGTCAGGGACATCCTTTTCGGGAGATCCGGATGTCAACGGGACAATGAGCGCTACCAGCACACTGGTTGAGGAACTCAGGCGGGAGAGCGAGCAGCTGCGCCATGAAAATGCCGAGCTCCGTCGCGAAGTGGGCGCCCAGACTTCGATGCTGACGTCAAGAAATCGCGAGAAGGAACGGCTGTACCAGGAGATTGAGGATCTCAAGATGGCCCAGCGTCGCGGTGCGCCTGCTCCGTCCACGATTGACAGCCTCCTGGAACGGTCGGCGTCTCGCGCCGGGGTCCACGAGCGGTCACAGTCTAGGGCCAGCGGCGTCACTCGGGTGACAGGGACGGCGGTCGACGAGGCGGACCTCGAAGAACTCGAGAATAAGATGGCAGAGCTACGGGACAAGAACAACGATCTCAAACTGCAGAACCATGACCTGCAGCGGGAACTAAACGCCTGCATGGAAGACTTTGAAGCGGCCGTCGAGGCTAAGAAGCAGGCTGAGGAACTGGTTGCTGCCCTGCAGGAAGACCTCGAGACGGCTATGAACGATCTGATGGCGCTGCAGGCCGAGCGGGACGAGGCGCTGCAGGAACATGCCAATCTTGAGACCGAATTCGAGGCTCTAAGGAAGGAAGCTCAGGAGGAGATTGACGCGTTGGAGGGCGAAGCAGACCAGCGGACGTCCGAGATTGAACGGTTGCAGCTCGACCTAAACGACCGTACTGAAAGCTTTGACGCACTGCAGGCCGAGATGCGCAAGATGAGCGAGGCCTTGGTGAGGCTGGAGGACGAGCAGGCGGCCAAGTTGCGCAGGATACAAGAACTGGAGCAGGAACTTGGCGACGCGAACAAGGAGCTTGAGGATCTTGAGACGAAGCTCCTCGAGGCCAACGACAAGGCCAACCGCCTCTCGGTGCAGCAAGAGTCCAGCCAGGGCGAGATCGCGTTCTTGCGTGACGAACAGGAGACGGACAAGATTCGGATTGGCGATCTGGAGGCTGCGCTCGCTAATGCCGAGCAGACACTGCGGGAGGAAAAGGAGCGAGCGAGGGAGCTGGAGCAGAGGCTAGCCAATGAGCGGCGGCAGCGCGAGATTGTGGCGAACCGCGAGAAGGAAGAGGTGCAGCAGTTTGTTAACGAGCTGAATCGGGAGGCATCGGCGGCTAAGGATGAGGCGAGGAAGTTAAGGAAGAGCCTGACGAGCCGGGAAGTGGAGGCGACCGAGTGGAAGGAGAGGTTGATTGAGCTGGAGAACAACCTTCGCGAGGCGTTGGGCGACTTGAATGGAACCAGGTCGAGTCTACTTAAGGTACGATTCTTTGATTCGGGAAGGGTGGCAGACGCTAATTGTCCAGTCCATCGCCAAACTCCAGCGCGACCTCGAAAACACAGTCCGCGACCTCGACTCCACCAAGTCGTCGCTCGCCGAGAAAGACCGCATCATCAAGCAGCGAGAGGCCCTGCTCGAGTCGCACGCCCTTGAGTTGCGCAAGCTTGGAGAGATGCTGGATAAGGAACGGCAGGCCCATCGCAACGTCAAGCACCAGTTCGAGACTTTCCAGAAGACGCATCAGCACGTCACCCGCACGGTCAATTCCCAGGACCAGCGTATCATAGAGCTCGAACAGTCCAAGGCGCAGGACAAGAAGCGCCTCTCGCAGCTCGAGAACTCCTTCAAGGAGCAGCTCACGGAACGAAACAACTTGCTACTCCAACTCTGGACCCGTCTATCCGCGCTGTGCGGCACCGATTGGGCGCACGACAACAGCCTCATCAACGGACGGGCGCTGCCCAGCCTCGAGGCCGTGGCGACTATGCTACCGGGTTTCAGCAAGAACCTCCTTGCGGCCGTCAAGACAATTGAGACGATGGTTGGTAGCTTCCAGAGCAAGGTCAAATCTGTCGAGAAGGATCTATGGCGGGAGTACCAGACCCTCGAGAACCACCTCGAGCAGCGCACCAAGAAACTCGATCGTCTGGAGGCCATCGTTAGAAATGGCATCGCCACGGGACAGCTCAACCCGCATTCCCACACTCTCGCCGAGGCGCAAGCCCGGTTCGCAAGGCTCGAAGATGCCTACCGCCAGCTTAAAGTGGAGAACCACACCCTCCGCGCCGCCGCCGAGGCTCGACGAGCAGCGTACTCAACTTCGGTAGAGCGCAATGGCGTGGTGTCGCCAGATGGCAGCCCATCCCCATCTGTCCCTATGGGTCCGAAGGCGAAAGACAGGAGTGCCAGCGCCAGCAAGATTCCCAAGTCAGGTAGCAGGAGCGGACTAAGCAAGTCCGTGTCGGCATCCACCCCGTCGCGCAGCTCATCCCAACATTACCACTTCCACAATCACTCCTCCAGATCAACCCTCGCCACCCCGTCGACGGCAGAAGACCTGTCGCGGTCAAGAGGCGGGAGCCCTGCCACCCCCAAGAGGGACACCTCCACTGGCACAGCAACCGAAGACGACGACACCATCACCTTCCCCACACCAACCCAGACAGCACCGCCGCAACAGGGTCAACAAGAGAGGGCTAGCAACAGTAATATTATTAATAACCCTTCCACATCCACCGCTCTAGCCGCCAGAACCAACACCACCACCACCCACCCAACCACGTCCACAACCGTTAATGTTGGAAGTGGAAGCGTTGGCAGCATGGACAATAAATGGATGATGCGCCTGCGGGATCTGGAGGCGAAGCTCAAAGCGGAGCGCGAGGGCCGGATATTGGACCGCGGCGAGGCGCTCAAGCGGATCCATGCTAGCGAGAGCGAGAATGCGGCGCTAAGGGGGGATCTGGAAAGGGAGAGGGAGCGGAGGAGGCAGGCGGGAATGGGGAGGTAGGACTCTTTGCTGTCTCTGCGACTGTGGCTTTGGCTGTGGTGGGGTTGGGAGTGGTTGGGTTTGGTGGGAGGTTTGGTGAGGTGGGTTCTGCTGGGCTGGGTTGGGTTGTTGGGATGGGTGGTAAGGGAGTTGAGGTTTGTGTGGTTGGGGGTGAACGGCTTGAGGGATGCTGTGGGAACTGGGAGCGGATTGGTAAGCGGTTGGAAGAGGGTATGACTAGTTTGCTGAAAGGGGTTAGTGGCAAGGGGGAAGGGGGATCCTGAGTGGGTGATCCTGGGCTCTGTATTCATATAGGCATGGATTGAAGGAGCTCCAGTCTGCCTTGTCAGAGGCTGTCACTTCTGGGGGTGGAGTTCTGGGGTTATACGGTTACTATACCATCGGTATGGGGTATGTGACACTCATGGAACGAGGTTTTTAGTTCATTTACCATGGTTGTATAGTCGTCGCCGTGTTTGTCGTTGATCTGGTCTCATGACACCCGGCTTCTCTTCCGTCAGATACCCTTTGTGAGCGGTCACGGCTGCTGCTAATTGTGGAATCATGCCGGCAGGAAGGCCCCTGAAAGCCTCAACCACTAAAAGGTATCAATCAGTACCTGAGGTACAGGAATTAAGAAACAAACTGAGGTACTCGGCGTTGCGGTTTTAGCATCCCAAAGCAGCCCCTGAAGCAATGCTCTACCTGCAGGAACTTCACCGAGAGCAACAACTACGCCGTACGACATTCAACTTACTCCAATGCTCTCGCGACCGACTGGAACTGATGATATATCTGCGCCTCATCTACCACACTTGGTGCCGGCCGGGGGGCTTCATGTTTGCTGTAGTAGGTAGTCGTAACCATGTCTGGACGTAGCCTTACATTCTCGAATCTCGTAACTGGGCTTGTTTTTTCGTTGTACATGGAGGGTTGCCCTAGTTAAGGGTATCGGGAAGGCACTTGGCGACCTATAGGAGCGATTGATAACTTGAGGTGTAGCACCATGTCCGAGTCTTCTTGCACATGCATTCCAACCAATGCGTAGCGCAGCATTTGGCCATTGCAAGTTGCACAGAGCTATGTGTTATTTAAGGTAGTCCGTCTTCCCCTCCGCCAAAGTTGCCCACATTATCCTCACACTCTTTGCCCAATGTCTTCACGTTTTGCAGAGGACAGTCTGGCGGACAAAGGTCAGGCAAAAGCCATCCGCCAACTGCGTCTGCAACACTTTGACACTGAAAGATGGAACGAAGCATTTTGTAACTTGTGCCAGGCCCTTTTTGTCACCAGGCCTCGGCAAGAGATCAACGGAAACCACAGGTCTGATGAAGCTGGCTGGGAGTCGTGGCGGCCGAAGCACCACCACGACGACATACAGGCTTTGCGAGACTGCGCACGTACTCGATGCCTTCTGTGCGCGCTGCTCTCGGACAAAATGTTACAACGGGAAGGTTGGAGAGCTTCGAGAAACCCGAACTTGAAACTTAGAAGTCGCCGATCAGGCTTCGAGTCAGAAAGCTTGCCAGTGGTGACGACTTTAAGTTGAGATTGGCCCATAAGTCAAATCTTTCAATATCATTAAGCGGGCGCATCTCGAATTCGATCGTCTAGGTAAGCTTCAGTTGCAATTGGCAACTTGGGTCTTAGTTACGCGAGTTGGACGTCTATCTGACGGACCAGAACATCAACAGAGAGATCAGAGGCCGAGCCTCTTTCTAGCGCTGCCTTGGAGACCACAGGGCGAACGCGTTCAACCTCATCCGAGTTGTCGATGCAGTATTCAAAGGGATGTTGGAGGACTGCGAAGCTCATCACGTCATATGTAGGGCCATGCCCATGACGACGCCAGCCTCCCCGTGGCTGCCAACCAGGCTTATCTGCCTCGGCCAGCCGGGCGATATGCCGCGGATGATCGAAACCTCCAAGATGCTCCTTGAGCCTTGCTCGGCGCCACTCAGGTACACGACTCTCAGTCACCGCTGGCGAGAGGGCCACCCGCTGAGACTGACGACGGAAACCCAGCGGCAGCTCTCGGAAGGGGTTCCGTGGCACGACATACCGAAGACTTTTGCCGACGCCATGCATGTCACGAGGTTTCCCGCGGTGGAGTATATTTGGATCGATTCGCTCTGCATCATCCGGGGCGACACAGGAGATTGGGAACGCGACTGCACCCGAATGGCTGACGTCTACCGACACGGGTATTGCAACATTGAAGCCACCGACAGCTACGGCGGCTGCTTTTCAGTCCCAAGATTCGACAGTGTTCTACCCTGTGGTTATTGAGACCAGGAGTTACAATCGGGGTAATGCTCTCTGGGTGCACCGGCTGCCGCTGGATCAGACAAGGAAGCTGGCTACAGTATAGCGTAGAGAAGTACTTGGGGTGACGAAGGTGATATGGAAACTTGATGAGGTGCCGGTTCAACAATTACTTAGGACACAGCGCTGTCCAGGTACCAACGCCATAGTTCAACTTAAACACGTATTATCATCACTGTTTCTATAAGTTCCTGCTAGCCGTACATCATGCTCCAGGTCTCTTCCCATTGCTATCCAGTCCCCTCATCTGCACCAAGCTAGTCTCGTCATCATCGTACTGCACCGCGTACGTCTGCTGGCGCACGATGCCTGACAGCTTCGCCGGCGGCGGAGCATCAACATCAACGCTGTCGGTGCTGGTCTGCGCGCCGTCGAGCTTGGACCTGCCGGACGAGCTCACAAGGGTGCGGCTCCGGCTACCGCGCACCCGGGCCGAGGGCATCGCCGGGTGGCTGCCCGACTGGTAGTAGCCGTTGCTCGGGCCGTAGCTGCTGCCGCCCAGCACGGGGAACAGGCGGACTAGCAGCAGGCGCAGGGTCGGCATGCAGGTGCAGATGATACCGACGCTAATCTCGACCGTCGACCACAGCGAGACGGGAAAATTGTCCCAGGTAGGGTTGCTCGACTTTCCAAACACGACGAGGGCCCGGAGGCGGACGATGGACACGATGGTTACGCTGGAGACGTCAGCTGCGGAGTCAGAGGGACGGGGAATTACTATATAAAACGGGCGGGGACATACAAAGTGCCGACGCAGAACATGAGGGCCACGCCGATCTTTTTCTTCCAGTGAAGATTCAGCGTCTTGAGCTGGGCCAGGGGGATGGCCAGCATCCAAAAGTCGAGGGCGATGCTGAGGGCGGCGTTGGCCCACGCAATGGCGTTGCTGTCCAGGCATTTCCCCTCGTGTTCGCGGTCCCACTTATCCCAGAAAAAGCTGATGGGCGTGCACTGGAAAATGGCGAGGAAGATGAAGAAGATGCCAAAGGCCACGGAGAAGCCGACGGTGGCCCAAAGCAGGCGGCGAACGGGGCGGGCCGGGAAGATGCGCAAGTAGAAGAGCAGAAGGCAGATCTTGATGAGGGCGACCTGGGTGAAGTAGAGAATGGCCATGATGTAAAAGTAGAAGAGGAAGTTAGTGATTTGCTCGGGCGTCAGGGTCCAGATGTCACGTCCCACTCCGTTGGGCACGGTGCCATAGTGTATGATGCCCACGCTCGGGATGCTGACGAAGAGGAGGCCGAAGATGACCCAGTCGTCCGACGACAGGCTGCGCGTGACTAGCAGCTTGAAGCCCAGGCGCAGGGCCACGATGGCCGACGAGACGACAATCAGGACAATCGAGGCCGTGTCGTAATTGGTGCCGCGGTCACGCAGCGGCACACCGCACGAGGTACTCGTCGCATTCTTGGCCACTGTTCAAGGCGGCGGAACGAGTCAGTTACGGTTGTGACATGTCGTCGGGTTGGTGCCATACCAAGTGCCTCCTTCATGGTGCAGTTGGCCGCCACACACAGCGAGACCTGGGCCTGCAGCGGCGCATTGCTACAGACACAGGCCGCCGTCAGGTTCGCCGCACAGGTAGAGTGCGTGATGCCGTCAGTCAGACAAGCAATCTGTTGTATCACATATCCCGCGTTGTCAGCGCTTGTTGTTCTCCTCTATCGTGTCCGACGAAGGCTCGGTCGGGTGTTGACATACCGCGCACTGGGGCATCGCACTTAAGTCCTGGGCCGACACCACCGGCACCACGGCCGTCAGCAAGGCCACAGCGGACCCGAGGATGGCTCTCAACTTCATGTCGGGCAAGCACGTGGAGAGAACGAACGGCACGGAGGAACAACACTCGGAGGAGCGTGGCAGGAAGAGAGGCCGGGCATTGGCTCAGATGGCCGGGGACGGACAGAGAGAGAGTGAACCAGCACCGGGCCTTTGACTGTTTGACAGCGGCGATGGCTCACCCCATAAGATCGCATTGACCGTTTCAACGTTAGGGAATAATCAAGCGAGCGAACTGGTTTCGCTCGTGGCAAACTACCGAGGGTTCTAACCCAGGGTGGTCCCTGTGAGCACAGCTGAGCTCAGTGCAGCACTGTCAGCACACCATCATTACCATCTTGGAACAAGGAATGTCGCTCATCAGTGCCTTCACTGGCCTGTGCTCGGCGGACAGATGGAGATGTTACCCGTAAGGGATTCGTCGGTATGCAGCTAGCAAAAATTATTTGGGTCTGTGCCTGAGACATGCTTCGATGAACGACCCTTTTTGGGCAGCACCGGTTCTTGTGAGTGACAACAAGTGGAGTGCCTCGGCACCCCAAGATCCCTGTTCCGAGGATGCGGGGCTTGGCAGGGCCGATGAAGACTCCATCAGATGGAAGGAGAGATCGATGAGAATTTCCAGGGCCAACATGTTTGTTCAACCGTTGATCACAGATGCAAGGCGAGGCCAACGGACAGTTCACGACGATCCGATCACGCGTCCCGTCGTCGAAGGGAGGTGTCAGCACGCAGGCAACTACCCTGTAACCGACAGAGTACCACCGAGTCAGAGTTCGGCCGTTTCGTTGCCGGATCTGATTCGGCACTTCTTTTGCTCACAGTGGCGAACACTTGTTGACAGAACAATTGCGATTGACGTGGGCCTAGGTAGGAATGCCAAGGGAACAAGACCACCTGGTCGGGTTTGCGCAGGATTCGGCAGTCGACGGGAGATGGGTTGCGTTACGGTTCCACGTCGCCAATCTCGTCGATCTGCTCGCCATGCGAACAGGGGAATATGGAGATCAGTACGGATACGGAGGTATGATTATGCGTGCCACAAAGTCGGATCGAGTGTGTATCCCTAATTCTCAAGATGTGTATAGCATGCTTGCCGCCTCATCTGCACTGGGCACAGATTGAGGTTTCCCTTCAAAACAGCATTCGACGACAGCTCGAGTCTTGTCGTCGACTGCCTACAAGCGGTTGTTCAATAGCGACGGTCCGGGCCAAGGCCTTGCCGAGCCGGGCCTTGACACCTTGTTCGGAACTGCGAGATCCACCACGATCATCGGGCACGGTCAGGCCGTGCACAACGGACTTGTCGCCGACTTGGGCCTCATCTCCGGCTACCGTACCAACTTGTCGTCAACGGCCGACTTCACGAATCCCAGTACGCAGGGTAGCCTGGACACCCAAAGTCAATAGTAGATGAAGTATATCCACCACCTCAACCCTACATGTGTAAGAGGAGCCGAGGTTCAATGGAAGACTCGGGTTAATGAAGGCCAAGCGAGGACAAGACCGATAGTTCTTGATGGTATAAGAGGACCGGTAGACCTTGGATCTTGGCGGCTGTAGACTCCTTATTCCCGCCGTTGCGCCCTTTACTCCCCTTTCCACTCTCTCCGCCCCTGAGCCGCCGATCCTTGTCCCGATGAAGACCGCTCTTAGCGCCGCCGTTGTGCTCGGTGGGCTTGCCGCGCGGGCAACGGCCCAATGCCGCCTCCTGCCGGGGGATGCCGGCTGGCCTGATGCTGCCGCTTGGGCGGCCCTGAACGAGACGGTCAACGGCCGGCTGGTCGCCTCCGTGCCCATCGGCCATGTCTGCCACGACCCGACCTACGACGCCGATGCGTGTGCTGCCCTGCAGAAGGGATGGACCCGCCCCATGACACAGTCGGTCGTTCCCGTCCCGCGGGTCGGAATGTCTGATGAACGTGGTGCTGACGTGCTCCTAGCCTGGGCTCCTCGTCCTCCGTCATGCAGCCCTTCTTCGCCAACCAGAGCTGTGACCCCTTCACGGAACAGTCAAAACCGTGCCAGCTCGGCAACTATGTCAGCTACGCCGTCAACGTCTCCTCCGCTGGCGACATCCAGGCCGCAGTCCGGTTTGCTACCAAGAATAACATCCGTCTTGTCGTGCGCAACACGGGCCATGAGTACGCGCCATCTCCCCCTACCGGTTTCCCTTCTTGCTGCTGACGGATTGTCCCAGTTACTTCGGGCGGTCGACCGGCGCCGGTGCGCTGGCCATCTGGACGCACTATCTCGACAGCATCGACTTCTTCCCCTTTTCCGACGCCTCCTACAACGGCACCGCCATGAAGATTGGCGCTGGCGTGATGGGCTACCAGGCCGTCCAGGCCGCCGACGCCGCCGGTTTGGTGGCCGTAACCGGCGAATGTCCGACCGTCGGACTGGCCGGCTTCACCATGGGCGCTGGACACTCGGCCCTGAGCACGAGCTTCGGCCTGGGTGCCGACCAGGTGCTGGCCTACGAGGTGGTAACCGCTGACGGACAGCTCGTGACAGCGTCCCCGACCCACAACAGCGACCTGTACTGGGCGCTGTCGGGCGGCGGTCCGGGTACCTACGGCGTGGTCGCCAGCATGACGGTGCGTACCTACCCGGCGGCCATGATCGGCGGCGCCAGCATCGCGCTCTCGGCCGCGTACACCACCCCGGAAAAGTTCCAGCAGGCCCTCGCCGCGCTGCACGCGCTCCTCCCAAACATGACCGACCTCGGTGCCGACATCATCTACACGGCGACCAACAGCGTCCTCCAAATCAGCCCCGTGACCGTCTTCAACAGCACGGGCGAGTACGTCAACACGACGGTGCTCGCGCCCTTTACCGCCAGACTCGCCGCCCTCGGCATCCCTTTCCGCGCGCAGTACACAACCCTGTCCTACCTCGACCACTACGCCACCTATCTGGGCCCGCTGCCCAACGGCAACCTGGCCGTCTCGTCGTACCAGTTTGGCTCGCGGCTGATCCCCCGCTCCGTTCTGCTCTACAACAACACGGCCCTGCAGTCGGTCCTCCAAAACCTCACCAGCCACGGCGTCATCCTCGCCGGCAGCGCGGCAGACTACCGCTCCAAGACGATGACGACGACGACGACCACCACCACCACCACCACCACGACGGCTACCCTTCTCAAGAAGAACGACAGCGCCAACGCCGTCCTGCCCCAGTGGCGCGACACGACGGTGCAACTGCAGCTCATCACGCGGTGGAACAACACGCCCTCGGCCTGGGACGCCATGCTCGCGGAACAGCGGCGCATGACGGAGGAATACGTGCCCCAGTTGGAGAGCGTCACGCCCGGCGGCGGAGCGTACGTGAACGAGGCCGATTTTCGGCTGCAAGAGTGGAAGCGGGATTTCTTTGGCGTCAATTATGGCCGGCTCATGAGTATTAAGGCCAAGTGGGATCCTGAGGGTGTGTTCTGGGTGCTGAAAGGAGTCGGGAGCGATAGGTGGGCTGTGGATGGGGAGGGGAGGTTGTGTAGGACCGACCAAGACTAAGATAAGAATGAGAAGGGACCCGTGGTGCGGTTGATGTTGGGAATACCTCATAGCAATAAGAACGTATAATGTTTTTCACACACGGTGCATAGCTATCTTACAACCAGTGCTCAAAGAATCGACTCGCTTGGTAGCAGCCCCGTCCGCCACTTCATGGCCGAATGGTCGTTGGCCCAGCGCAGCAGCGCCTCATAATCGACACACTCGTGCTCGGAGCCCTCCCCCGGCCCGGCCTCAGTCTTGCCCTCGAGCGTCGTGTCGGCCGAGCACATGATGCCTTGCCGCAAATAGTTGAAGCAGTGCGACGAGTGGTGCGCGACCTCGTCCGTCAGCTCGTGTCTCCCGTACCCCCGCTGGAAATGCTCGGCCAGGTATGACAGGCAGTGCAGCTGGTGGAACACCGTCATCATGTACCCCTCACCGTCGTGGTGCCGGTCGATGGGGACTTCGTAAGGCTCCGGCAGGTCGTAGCGGCTGCGGTCGGGGACGACGACGTAGCCTCTGCTGTCTAGTTTCGAGGATGGATGGTTAGTGATCGATGGTCTGCTTCCTCCGGATGGAGTAGGTTAGGTCCGCTGCGTACCCGAGCTCAACTCGATCCAGTTGTGGAGAGTACGAAGGGTGAGCGACTCGTTGAACCACATGTCCTCGCGGAGATATTTGGGGTTGTCACGGAATGTGTATATCTTGTGTGGAACTTGAGAAGAGTATCAGCAGTCATGTCAGCGGGAAACCTGGGAACAACAAGACAGCGTACATCGAGGCACCGGTGTCCTCCGCAGCGTCTCCCGTGCCACGAAGAAGGGCTTGAAGACAACTAGACTGATGATAATGACGGCCATGGCGATCTCCAAGAGCAGCCTCAGATAGCCCATCGCCTGTCTCCTCCGGGACTTGCTGCTGTCGCCCCTTTGGCTGTTTGGTGATCCGGCGGCGCCATCCTCGCTAGGCTGGCGTAGGAACGCCTGCTCTTCCTCGTCGGCCTCGTGCTTCATCGGGTCCATGGTGGTTTTGCAAGACTGCAAAACCTCTGAATTGGGCGGTGTTGATGCTTGTCATGGATATCTGGCGCGGAAGACCGAGGAGCGAGCTCAACCTTTGTCCCAGTCCCATACCCATGAACAAGCATCGTTTAGCCGGCGGATAAAACGTTCTAATGCGGCATGTATATGGGGTAAGTTACATTGCGTCGGCATTGAACGCCGCAGCCACAATTACCGGTTGGTTGGCATGTTTAAGAGAGATCGCTCGAAACCTGCAGGACGGCACACTGCCAGAGACACGAATTAGGTCCAAGGTTGAGTCGTGCGCTTCGACATATCTCCTACTCGATCTGGATAGAGCCGGTGAGGTCACCGCTGATGGCTTCCGGGCCGGTCTCTGGAGTCGGCCAAGCCGGCGAGTGGACCCGGCTTCGCACTGGCCGACCTGCCTCCAATCCCCGCATGTTCTTCTCAATGCTGGTGAAACGTACACGTGGCAATGGATGGATGATACAGAAACAGTGGGTTCAGCTTCTCCGTCCGTGTGGCTCATTGGATGCTGCAATTGTCTTTGGAATGTCGACGCGACCCGCTACGCTGGTCCACCGGTACCGTCAGCCTGTCTCACTTATTAGGTGAAATCGGGACCCAAAAAAAAATTCGAGGGACAGGAGTCTATGGGAGACATCCATTGGGGTTACTCCTATCTCCCCGACAGTCGTGTTGCAATCGGCGCCGGGCACATGTTATTGACCATTGAGCGCCTGGCGGGCATGTGCCATGAGTCCGCTGAGATCCCTATCTATCCTCCGTGTGGTACGGTATGCGGATTGTACGGATCCGTACAAACCTTACCTTACTATGGCCTGTGGTATTATCCCTGCCTGCTACGCGCCGAGCTTGGCAAGGGTGGGAAGGCTCTGGACACGTGAGAGCACGCGACGGATTAGAATAACAAGAAAGCACATCGACAAGTGCGATGCTTGTGTTGCTGCTTTGTGATCGAATCCGTAAGGTACGGATAGCCGGAAGCTCAGTTGCAATGCCACGTGATACGCTGGAGGCCTTTCGATGAAATCAGCCCACTGGTTCGTTTGTGCCTCCATTGATGGCTCGATGCAGCGAAGAGAGAAGCAGGGCCTCCAGAACAGACCCTCTTTTCGATCTAATGCTGCCCCGGATTCGCCAGCCAGGGTGCATTAGTCCTTTCCCACCTGGCTGCAGGGGAAAGGGGCAGGTTGGCTTTGCGCTCTCATGAACACTGCAGACCATACTGGCGGACTTCAACGGTTGTTGCTGGCGATGCAACCCTGGGTTGAAAGCTGCTTACAAGCGAAGGTCAATGGAGAAATCAATAGATTCATCCGATTTCAACTTTTGATATTGTTTCTCGCGGAAAACTTGGGACCAGACAAAGTTGGCTGCTCCACTGAGCATCAGTGGGGGTCTTAGCTGGACGATCTCGCTAAACTATCCTTGCAGCCAGTCCCCGACTTCCCAGGGGCAGGCGGCACGGCTCCCCCAAGCCGAACACAGACGCACACTCTCTACACGTTACGCGCTGCAGAGGCAGGGCAGCACGGCCTTGTCGCTCCAATTGGCTTTGGCATTGGCAATTTGCTGCTGTGAATGGATGGCGCCGAGGAAGGCTGCTTGTGCTACCCGCCTGTTCCATTGCCTTCTCGCCAGTGCCGAACCGCTAAATTAACGTGAGCCGATCATGCCCGTCCCCGACACGACGGCTGGCTCTGCTGCTCGCCGCAACGGGAGACGCAAGCCCGACCTGAACATCGACACGTCGCCGCTGCGGGCCAGAGATCGGGACTGGGACCGGCGCCGACACAGAGACAGAGACGAGAACAGAGACCGACACGCCGTCCCGCACACGCCCACCAGCGACTCTCCCAGGGCCGGCCTAGCCCTGAGGCTACCCGAGGGCCAGGGACGGGATCGCATTGAGACATTCCTCGAGGGCCTCACCCCCGTCGACGTCCCGATCGACATGTCCAACAAAGAAAACGAACGCCCCGAGCCACACCGCCCCAATCCGCGAGATTCGCACGACCTGTCGCTGCCGCCCCGTCAAGTCACAAGAGACTCGCTCGTCGCCAACATGCTCCTGTCGCTCGACCAGCTCTCTATGGGTCAAATTGGCACATCTTTTGGAGCCTCGGGCTCGCCCTTCGACGAACCCGGCATCTACCCCACCTTCAACGACGACTCGCGAGCAATGACCTTCACCACCTCGAGAACGGCCCGCGGGAATGGACACGGATACTCGTACAGCTCCGACTTTGAAGGCGCCGACGACGCCAGCAAGATATCCTCGAGAGGCCGCCGCAGCAACAGCAGCTCGGGCTACCAGCCGGGTCTCGGGAGGATCAACAGCATGCGCGAGACGTCGCAGCGCAGTCCGCTCCACTCAAGGGGCGGCAAGGGGAGCAAGAGCAGCAGCACAGCGAGCGTCGACGCAGGATTTGTCCAGGTCTTGGGCAGCCAGCGCTGGGCGAGGGGCTTCGGTGGGAGGTCGTCCAGCTTTGACGGGGAGCCGCGCCCGTCGCCCGCCCCGTGGCAGGTCGAATTCACCAGCTCCTTCTTCAACGACAGTTACGACGCCGCACCTACGCCGAGTGTCCCAGCGGGGCCCCGGAAGCTCACCACGGCACCGTCCATGCCCGTCATGCCGCCGCCGCCGGAACCCAGGACGGAGACGAAGCCGCCGGCAAAAGGGGCTGCTGCTCCTGAGCGTCGGCGGAGCACGAGATCTTCAAGAAGCGCGACGGTCGGGCGCAAGCCAGACCCCAGGCTCACCCAAGCCCCGCCTCTCCCGGTGTTTGATCTCGATTCCGCTCCCGCTCCACATGTTGGCTATGAAAAGACAAAGGATGTGGTTCTGGCTCCGCCGGCGAACGTGGCGGTCCAACCAAAGGAGAAGCAAGGTTTCTTCAGGAGAATGTTTGGCTCGTCCAAGACGGCTGTTCCAAGCTCCTCTTCGACGCCTCAAGTGTCCACCCTGCCGTTGCAGCAAAAGTCTTCCACTCCGCCATCCCGCGATTCGCACCAGTCGGCCACTCATACGTTACAGAAGAAGACGTCGTCCTTCTTCCGAAGGCGGAAGCACTCAATCACCGAGTCGGAGCCTCCTCCGGTGCCAGTTCTGCCGACAGTCAAGCTTCCTTTGGAGAGGGTTGAGGCACTGTCCGGAAAGGCGAACCCTAGCCCCATCACCAGCTTGCGGCGGGCTATGGACCCGTTTTTGCAGGGAAGCCCGTCCTCCTCGGCCGCCCAGCCGCCTGCTGCTGATATCCCGTTGCCCTCGGTTGAAAGCCCTCATGACGCTCGAAATGAACCCACGCGAGCTACTGCCGAAGAAGACGACGGCCGCGCGCCCAGAGGCTTCTCGCCTGACTACGAGCCAAGCCCGAAAGCCGTCATCCGCAAGGTCGAATCTGAGCACGGGGCCCTCGCCACGCCAAGCCGGCAACCTACAGATTTCCCGGTTGGGTCACCGCCCAAGTCCTTTCTCCGTGACAACAGCGACAGCGAGGACAGCCCGGTGCGTCATCGGAAGACGCCGCGTTCGGAACCGCGCGACAAGAAGCTTCAGCCGGGTCCGCTGCCAGATGAGCGGAGAAGATCGGCTTCGCCGGTCGTGTCCAAGTCGAAGAGCGTTCCCAACCTCAACAGGGAGGCGCGTTTGTCGGCGCGGCTGGACGCGAGGCCCCCGCCGCCCATCCGCGGCCATTCTGACCGTAGGGATTCCGACACGCTTGGTCTACCGAACGAGTCAGCAAGTGAGACCATGTATAAGCACAGCGTGCCCAGCCTTAGGATTGACAGCGCGGAGCCCAGTCCCAGGGGCATGGACACGGGTGAATCCGTCAACCAGTCGGCTAAGTCCATTGACGAGCCCGAGGTCGTGGTGGGTGACCCGACTGAGGACGACCGGCAGAAGGCGCAGAAGATTTTTGAAGGAAACGAGGACTTCATACAGAAGGACCGGGCGGCAGCTTGGATGGGCGAAGAGGGCATTGTGCGCCAGCGGACTCTGCGGGCCTACATGGAGCTGTACGACTTTGAAAACCAGAGCATCGTGGCCAGTCTGCGCCAGGTGTGCCAGCGTCTGCTTCTCAGGGCCGAGACGCAGCAGGTCGATCGCATTTTGGTGGCCTTCTCCAAGAGGTGGTGCGATTGCAACCCCAGCCACGGCTTCAAATCAACTGGTAGGTACCTTGATGCTGCTAAGTTGAGTTTGACGAATGCTAACCGGTCAGATGTCATTCACACCATATGCTATTCCATCATTCTGCTCAACACCGATCTCCACATGGCCGACATCGACCACAAAATGACCAGGAGCCAGTTCATCAAGAACACCATGACCACCATCAGGCAGGCCCTCCAGGAGTCGGCCCCTGAAGCTTTTGACCGACCCAGCATCCTCCCCGGCAAAGGGAACCTGGAGAGCGAAGGCCGCGCGTCTGACGAGTTCAAACACAACAGCTTCCGCGCCTCGTTCAAGCCGCCCCCGCGGCCCAGCTCGGCTCTCGGGGCCTTTTCTGATCAATCGCCGGGTGAGAGCTGTGGCCCGCTTGTCAAGGCGCCATTTGACGGACCGCTGCGTGCCTGGGAGAATCAGGTCGAGATCGTGTTAAAGGATATCTACGCTTCAATCCGTGATGACCGCCTGCCGCTGTTTGGCGCTGATGCCGCCACTCCGCAGACACCCAGTGGGCTCTCGGTCATGGGAATGCTGAAGCGGACGCCCAGCGTGCTGAGCAAGGCTCCATCCGAGAGCGTTGCGTCCACCCGCGGCAGAGTGCCTGAACCCAAGCCGAACTCCTCCCGATGGGCCTCCAAGAGCCGCTCACGGCCACGAGGCTTCAATACCGGCTTTTCATCCAGTAGGACTAGCTTTGAGGACGGCAACTCGGTGTGGACCCCGACCGATTCATCGGCTACCTGGAGCAAGCTGTCGCTGGGTAGGACCCATACGACCATGTCGATGGACTCGTTCGGTTCTTCGTACCCCCGCGGCGACTACCATCAGTCGATCGGCTTTGCCAACGCACTGAGTCAGGCCATCATCCGCGAAGACAGCGCCGCCGAGGCGCTCAAGGACGAGATCAAGCCCGAGCAGCTACTCGAGGACGAGTCTCTGGAGCTTGCCGGGCCGCCGTGGGTGAAAGAAGGTCTTGTTACGCACAAGCACCATCTTGACGGCATCGACAAGAGGGCCAGGGACCGCAATTGGGTCGAAGTGTTTGCCGTCATCCAAAAAGGACAGCTGAGCCTCTTCTCCTTCACCCCAAACAAATCACTCCGCCACAAGAACCGCCGCGGGCCGGGCGGGACCCTGCCCAAGGGCGCCGTGGTCGGCGGCGGCAATTGGCAGGACAACGCCATTAGCCAGGGCACCTTTTCGCTCCGGCAGACCCTCGCATCCGTCCTTCCTCCTCCCGGCTATTCGCGCACCCGCCCGCACGTCTGGGCCCTCTCCCTCCCCACCGGCGCCGTGCACCTCTTCCAAGTCGGCACGCCCGAGATCTGCAAAGAATTCGTCTGCACCGCCAATTACTGGAGCGCCCGCCTCAGCACGCACCCGCTCGTCGGCGGCATCTCCAACATCGAATACGGCTGGAGCGACGCCATCATCAACAGCGCCATGACCAATGCCGCCGCCAACAACGACAGCGCCAGCGTCATCGGCCCGCGGCCCGCGAGCAGCACAAAGGGCCACTCCCGCCCGGGTAGCGCCGCCACCGCCGCCGCCGCCGCAGCAGCAGGCATCGCCGCTATCGGCCGCTCTTCAATGCAGTCCGGCCGCTCCATGCGCTCCGCCTCGTTCGACTTTGCCGTCCGCCCCGGCTCGGGCTCCTCGGGCGCCCTCGGCACCAGCCTCTCCCGGCCCCACCACCACCCCAACAAGTCTGACCACGCCAGCAGCAGTCATAAACTCCCCGGCGACCGCATCCACATCACAGACTGGACCCCTCCCCCGCAATCCATGCGTCCGTCCCCGCTAAGCGAAGCCGATCAGCTCGAGTCTTTGCTGACGTATGTCCGCTCAATCGAGGCGGAACTGCAAGCACACAACGCGCTGCGCTCGCCGATGTTGGGCGCTTTTTCGCCGCGGAGTGGGAATGCCGCGAAAGCCATGGCGAATTGGGAGAGGAAAAGTGAGTATTTGCTGAGGGAGATTGTCAAGTTTAGGACCTATGTCGATTCCCTTCTGCAGGCGGAGGCGAGGAAGAGGGAGATTTATCGCGAGAGGGAGACGGCGAGACGGGCGGCGAGAGGGGAGGATTTTGAGGATGAGGATGAGGAGGGTGAGGATGAGGAGGTTGAGATTGGTCGTGATGATGGTGATGGTGATGAGGGGGGTTTGGAGCTGGGGCGTAAGGGGAGGTTGAGGAGTGATGGGGTGGGGAAAGAGGTGGAGGTGGAAGGTGGGTTGGGGGTAAGGGCTTGATGTGAACTGGGTGTTTGATTTGGCTGAGTTGGGTGGTCATGCGCAGGGGTAATTGGGGGGAATTGAGAAGAGGTGGGATGAATGGGGCCGCGCGTTGAGAGCTGAGAGCTGGAGAACAATACAGCAAGCCAAGGGGGGGAGAAGGTTTGGGCTGCATAACGGACTGACTGATAGACCCCTGTTCTTTGATAAGAGGGTATGTGCATGCAGGATGGGCTGTCGAAAGGCTTAACGCCGTCGCTTTTACTTATTTCATAAGTCCATTGTCTTTATGCTTCATGTTGAATTTCTTTCCTTCTCTTTCTTGAGCGAGCTTGGTGGCTTTGGCGGCAGAGCACAACATGTCACAGCACAGCACAGCACAGTGTGTAGTTCCATTTTTGCAGCATAGCGTCTTCTCTTCTGAGGTTGGCTTGGGGATGTTTACAAAACGATGGGTGTACATTCAATCTTGAAGAGGGTTGGGGCTAGCTTGGATAGTACAGTAATACTCAACAATATATGGTTGATGATCAGATGAGCAGGTTTCTTATTGTAAGTGCTCCAAGCACTCATTGCACACAGTTAATTTGTTGCACCACTGATGAATCAGCAAAGCCCTGATGGATGTCCCGCGTAAGGTATGGGACAGAGAAGGAAGGTAACCGTACTTGGGTCGACTCAGTTACCGGGTACCATAAACGTTGGGGGAGGGATAACGAAACTCTTTTTCTTGATCAGAACTCACTCAACAGACTCTGGATTGTCTCATCTTGTACGTATTACAAGCAAGGCAACAGCAGGTTGCGCCCACATTCTTGCCCATATTCATAGCGGTGCAATGACAAGCCCGTTCTCAGGCCCAGTTTACCTCTGCTCCTCCCAATCCCGCTCTCACAGATCTTCCTCCAAGTCAGAACCCCAGAATCCGTAATACCACGCTTCCTCATCCATTTCCCTTTCTGCGGCGCGTGTACCGCAATAGCATGGCTCTGGCATAAGGTTGGCCCTGACCAACGAGGAGCCCAGTCTCTCCTTATCCTACACCATCTGATTGTACTCCTATCCAGTCACCTCACAAGCTTCCCAGATCCGCCTCCTGTTTGCCAGATTCATTATTGGGCCCTTTAGCTCTGCAAGTCGCGTTTGAGCGAATTGGGGGAAGCTGAGATTATAGACAATTTGATAAAAATACATAAAAGCCTTTGCGAGACAGAGAAGAAGTTGTTATGGAGCTTCTCCCTTCAGCATGCGGAACATCTCCCTTCAGCATGCGGAACAACTCCCTTCAGCATGCGGAACAACTCCTTGACATCCAGGCAATTCACCCGGTCCTCTTCGTCCAATAGCGGGCCGATTCTTCCAGCCAAGACATGCTGACTTGCGTGATCCGGTGTCACCAGAATCGATTGTTGGTACGCAAGGTGAGTGGAGTGTTCACGAGGCTGCACACCAGACGGAGAGGCTGCGGTCATCGAGCAGTCCGCTGAACCTGAAAAGCAGCTCGATCGGGAGACGGGAAAATGGGTCCTCTTTGACCCCGGAAGAGAGGTCAGTGGCCATTTGGGGCTGGTAATCTTCAATCAGTGAGAGGAAGGTCCTCAGATATGAAGTGATAGGGCTAGAGCCAGACAACGCGTTGGAATCGGGAAGACCTGGGTGCGCCACGAGGAATTCGTAGCCCGAAAGAGAGTGCCAGCGCAGTGGTTTGTCCTTGCAATGGCAACAAGTCGGAATGACTGGTCCATCCGCTCTATAAATGGTCATTGAAGGAGGAAACTGGCAAGGTACAGTGCGTCCTTATCCAGGCCGAGGTTGTGGAGGCTGAATCCTCTGGCGCTGGTGATGTAGAAGGAGACGAGCTCGAGGCAAGGGAGATGGAGCGGGAAGTGTCGGTCCTCGTCGGTAATATAGTACGGTTGCGTCGGGTGGATTCTGAGCATGTACGGTTTGCCTGGATTGAAATTTTTTGCGGGAAGTTGGAATCGCGGGTTTCTGGAGCCCCGGGAAGAACTTGGATGTAGTTATGGTTGAACCATTGGCCCTGTGCGAGAAAGGATCAGTTGTGATAATTATTTGTCAGTCCTTAATGTCGATAAATGCCAACCGGGAACACATACTTTCCGGTATATGAGTCGGAATCGTTGAAGCCCAGAATATACATGGGCTCGATCCATTGCGTCTCGGGAGGTTCAATGATGCCGGAATCGTACCCAGTTGATAAGTCCGTCTCAAACTCAGGCGCCTAAAGGGTCCGCCGCAGATGGCGCAATACTGGTCGTAGTTGGGATCAATTTCATCCACCATTAGTGGCGAGATAATTAATGTGCACTGGCAGCCGCTGAGGATGGCAATCTGTAAGTCGCTCTGGAGAAAAAGAAATCAGGTTGGATGTGGTTGCAGGAATGGTTGGACGTTTCTTCTTGTTCAGGAGGGCAGCAAGTTCCTGCCAGCCTGTTTGTTTGAAAACGTAGAAGGAAGGAGCGCCCAGGCATGGCGAGTCACAACCCGCAGCCTGACAAACAGCTGTCAGGTGAATGTTCAGATTGGGAAGGAGCCGGGGATGGAACCTGCTGCATTTCACACTTTGGAAACCGGGCTGCCCCGTTGACTTGAGAAGATCATGAAAATGGTTATGATAAACAGCCAAAGCAACGAGCGCCTGAGGTGGTTAGATTACCCTGCAATCTGGGCTGTTCAGATTCTTCGATGAAATTGCCGTGAAGTATGATGATGTCTTTGGTTTGGTCCCTTCCCATGCTCGTTCATCCAGCATGGAATTTGCAGTTGTTGCAGACACACAACGACCCAAGATGTCCTGTTACCTCGCACCTCGCATTTTCAGACCAGCGCACTCTGCCAGCGCACTCTGGGCCCGTCATGATCCAGCAACTATTTCGCGTCAGCGAGGCAGCCAAAGCTCCATCCCTACCTGCTTCCAGACTCCGCGACTCTGCAGATTAATCCCTACGATGCCTACCTCCTATCCCTTCCCTCTACACATCCCATCCACCCCGCCCCTAAGCATTTACTTACCTACACAAGACCCTTACCCCCTACTCTACCTAAGTTCCTTACTACATACTCAACCCCCTCCCCAACCGCCCTGACGCAAACCCATCCGGAAACCAAGCACCCACCATCCTCGTCCACCACCACGCCCGATCGACCACCAGACCCCGCCAGTTAGCCACTCGCGCCTGGCACAAGACCTGCTCATCCAGCTTGTATGCCCCGTGATGGTGCCCCCGATGCGTGTACCCGTCAAAGACGGGATATCGTGCGGTGCCGTCTCCGCGGTGGCGCTCGAGCGGCGGCGGTGGAGGGCATGAGCGCCACTGGTAGCCGTATAGGGCGTACAGGTCCACGTCTTGCTCCTCGAGGAGCCAGGACAGTGATTTGAAGTGATCGCGGCTAGTGTTGGTTGAGGCGGTGCTGCTGTTGGGTTGGGATGGGGGAAGGGTGGAAGTCGGTGATCCTGAGGTTGGTGTGCTTTGTTTTGTGGGACGGGGAGATGGTCGGAGGGAGGCTTGAGCCGCTTGGTCTGTTAGGGAGAGCGTGTCTAGACAGTGTTGGACGAGCGGGTGTGCTGGGTTAGGCCCTGTTTCAGACTCAGGAGGGAGCACTATGTTGGTGCCTTGAGAGATCGGTGACGATGGGGAGCCGGGAGAGGATCGTGATGATTGTTGTGAGGTTGGGCCGGAGTAGGTGGGACTTGCTGAAACATCCTCGTCCTCTTCGTCTCTGTCATCTTCCTCACCATCAAATGCATTCGGTGCGAACTCGGCTGACGTGTCTTGGTCCTGGTGGTTCGATGAAGCGAGCAAAAACAAAGACAGTGGCGCTGGTTGGGTGGAGGAGGGCACCTCCGTTATCTTCTCGAGGCTACTGCCACCATCTCGCGGCTCGGTGCGGCGACTGCGCTGCTCGCGTACCAGGCCTTGCAGTTTAAGTGCTTTCAGCTTCCGCCTTGACTGGGCGATATTGTCACTCTCGGGTCTGCTCCTCCTCACTTTGAGCGGCGGCCGGGCGGCGGTGGTTTCGTCGTCCCCTTGCCACATTTGCTTGGCGGCTTCCCAAGTGCGGCCTTGATCCCTGAATCTCTGCATCATGCTCCTGTTTCGGTTCATATGCGAGGCGCTGAGTGGATTCTACTTGGGATCCATCAACCGCTGTCTCCTTTCCCGGAGGGTAGATGGAGGCAGATACACGCGCGCCTCCATCAAGTGGCGAATAGCAGGGGAACGGCAGCACGCTGATATCGTCTCAGATGGGCGGGTTCGGGTTTGTGCAAGTCATATTGCTCGTGCATTCGCTGCTTCCAGAGGGGTTCGTAGTGCATCTGGCATTTCTGGAAGGATGGGATGTGTGCGATGTGGTCGGTATCCGTACGGGCGATTTGGTCAGGGCAGCCGCAGAGGTAGTATTGATGAGTAATGACAGTCGCACGCGGCGCGCTCCCAGAGAAGTGGATGCCGTTGATGTGGCCGAAGCGCCATGCTCTGCCGTCTCCTTGGAAGTTGTAGTACATAACTAATGGTCGGACATTGGTTCTCTTGTAAGTATCCGTTGTTTGTCTGACTTTGAGAAATCGATAACTGCAGTGCCGTTTCAAATCGGAACCTTGTAGACACGTACACTTATCTTGAGCAGGCTTTTACACCTTTCGGTGCCTCCTTTTTGCATGCTTTCTTCTTCACTGGTGATGGAGGCCGGATGAATTGGGGTCGACGATTAGACGTGGATGCGCAGGTGATGGCACAGGCTGCTCTTTTAAGAAACCCAAATAGACAATGTGCTCGCCAGACAATCAGCTTGTGTCGGGCTCTGTAAGTCCAGACAAAGAGTGAGTTCGATTAGCCATGGGCCCTCTTTTTCCTCTAGTCATCGACAAAGTTGGTACAAAGACGAGTGGCCTGAACAAAGAATTCTTAGGTGATATTGTTCATCTGCATAAGCAATCTGACACTGCTACCGCTGTGCTGTTTTGCACGCAGTCACATAGAATCCGGTCATGAGTATTCGAGATGAAGAATGTATCCATGTCTTGCTTGCTCCCCATGTCGACGCACTCGTCCGGTGGTTTGACGGTCACCTGTTTCCGTGCATCTCCTGGGCTCGGCCACACCCCAAACCACACAAGAATAAGTCCTCCTCCCGCTCCCCGCCTTTCGACAAACAGCGGGAATCCTACCGATCCACTGCTCCTTTCCATCCTCAACAGCATTCACCAACCCCCTCGCAAGCGCCCCTCTTCTCCAAGTCGTCGTCCACCCCTCCCCGCCAATCCATCCCTCATACACCTCCCCATTCTACCTGTCCTCCCTCCTGCTCTTCTCGTCCAAACCCTCCGGTATGCCCGCAATCCGAAACAGCGCCCAGTCAATCCCCTCCTCCTCCTCCTGAAAAAACGCGGCACAGATCCGGTGGACGGTTTGATAACCCCCAGGCACGACAGCCCTCACGAGGCCGACGACCAAGAGCCGCTGGAGCGAGAAGCGGTCCTCGGGCACTTCAAACGAGAGCGTCGCCATGGCAAAGATGCGCCGCACGCCGTGGGCGCGCATTTGCGAAAAGAGAGCCTTGTAAAAGTCGGAGTACATCTCGGGCTGGATGCCGCGGATTTGGTTGGGCCCCAGGAGCGAGACGACAACGCGGGCTTGGGTACGGCCGGGGAGAGGGCTTCGGTGTCGGTTAGTTCGCCCTTCATCACTGGCTCGGGCGGGTTGCTTGTTTAGTTTTACGTCCCGCAATGTTAGACTGCGGCGGACGACCCTACCGTAGCAGCGGGTTGGAAGCAAAGTCGGCGGGGATCTTGGACGGGTTCCGCGCAAAGGCTACCGTCTCGTGGTTGCGGTAGAGACAATCACGGAGCAGGCAGATGCCCGCCGGCCTCGTGGCACCAAAGGCCAAGACTCTGGATCCGACCATGGCCGCCGAGGAAAAAAGAGACTGCAAGCCAAGGATGGGACACCTGGAGGCTCAACAGAACGACGCCGGCTTGCTCGGTGCTAATGAAGAAAAATGTACGTGACACTTGCCGCCGGCGAACATCAAGAGGGAGGTGGGTTGGCCGGTTTGTTCAATGTCGTTATCGGTCATGTTGACACCACGAAATGTCTCCGAGACACCATAAGTGGTCGTGATATCCTTGCCTCCCGGGGCTTCAATTCTCCCGCCCGCTCGTGTGTGGAGCCAACAAAGGGATAAAGTTTCCGTGATTAATGATGGCCTGTGATGACAACAAGGCTCCTCAGACCTGTTCGTCGGGACGCCGGGGCAAGAGTTCAATCCGTTGTCCCCCATCCAAGTTCTTGGCTGAAGTAATTGCACTAGTAAGTCAGCGAGCTGAGAATATCCCACGACTGGCTACCTCTTTAGCACCCGCTGAGCCAGAATCTCATTTATATTCTCGACATCATTATTCTATCTGTAGCCTTTGTGACCGCCGTACCGAACAAAGTATGGATTGATATATGGCCGCTAATCTTCAGGTAGATACCAGGTTGGCATAAAGCAAGACCCAGATATTACAGACCCCGATCCAGAGTCAAATCATCAGCCCACTACTACCTTGGTAGATAATCCAACCCAAACCGATGGCCAAATTCAGCGCACTTCACCGCTGCCATCTCCAAACGGGGCTCAAACCCATCGGCCTTCCACCACATAGGTTCATGCGTTCGCCAGTTCCCCAACTCGTTCGTCCGTCCCAAGCCGTGTTTAAATCGAATCCTCGAAGTAATCACATCACGACCTGCATCATTCACCACATTAGCACACCTTTCCCTCAAGCAAAACCCACGAGCAAGGAAAGAAGTGACTTACGCAATCCCCCTCGCTCTTCCCCTGCGGAATCCCCATCTCCTCAAAGGTAGCCGGCCCCTGCCCCATCGTCTTCCCATCCGGATGTTTCAGGTCACCTGCCGGTCTCCCCCCCGGCGCAGTAGCAGCATGATGAGGAGGAGGACGCTGTTGCCCACCAATAACAGCCGGCCCGAGACTCGACGCCGCGTGCCCGCCCGGACCGGGACCAGGCCTGACGTGCGGGTGTGCGGCTCCGGGCGGCGCGCTAATCCTCCCTCCTGCATGACCAGGACCCGGATGCTCCATCATGTGCGACGACACCGGCCTGCCGACTGGCCCTGGACCAACACCACCGCCACCGACGACTGGAGGACGCAGGTTGGGGGTACTCGCTGCCGGATGCACGGGCACGCGTCCCCCTGCACCTGCGGCGGGCGGAACAGCGCCGTAGCGGTCGTAGCCAGGGCCGCCGCCGGGGCCGCCGCCGGGGCCGCCTGGGCCGTAGCTGTCGCTGACGGGGCGGCTGCTGGGACCCGGACGGGGCGCCCCATAGTCGCGTCCTGGTTGACCGACGCCTGGTGGTGGTGGCCCTTGCTGGGGATAGCCTCCGCCGGCGCCGCCCATCGGGTATTGGGATTGGGGTGGTGCGTTGGGGTTAGGCTTTTGGAGGCGTGCTCGTCCCGGCTCGCCGGCCGGCATCGCCCCCGCGGGGACCGCTCCCGGCCCGACGCTCGCGGCTCCGTAGCGGGGTTCGTGCTGCGGAGGCGGCGGCTGCCACTGGGCAGCTGGGGCTGGGCCGGGGCTCGGTTTCCTGTAGCCGGCGGGCACCTGTGGCTCCCAACCGCCGACTGAGGGTTGGCTCGACACAGGACGGCCGCGGCCAGCGCCAGGCGGCGGTCCGCTGTTGGATGACAATGGACGGATGCCAAACGCACTTCCAGGGCGGTCTGCATGCGGGCCTGGGCCGATAGGGAGACGACCGCCTGGGTTGAGATGGGGACCACGCATATCATGTTCGGGATACGGTGCGGTAGACTTTGGTCGGACGTTGAGTGGCATGGGCTGGTCGTCGTGAGGGTATGGCGCTGCCGACTTGGGCCGCATAGCGAGGCTGCTGTCAATATTCACAGTGAAAGCGGGTGGCCTTGGTGATGGATCGGGGAAGTCAATCCCGCCTGAGATCTTGTCAGCTCCTGTGCTATTCCGGAGAAGTGTGCGAACGTACCGGCAGGTGTAGTCTGATCGCCCTCACTCAGTGTTGGCAAAACATCGTTTGGCCTTGTGAACCTGTCCGGTCTCTTTCCACGCTGTGATCCATGCTGCGACTTGATGCGAGTGAGGGTCGTCGTTTCGTGGTCGGCCTTTGTCAGTGTCCTAGACTGACTGAGCGACTCGAGCCTGTCCTTTGCGTCCTTGTTCCCGTGGTCGGCCGCCAACTCATACCACTTCCGCGCCTCTCGGATGTCCTTCTGGACGTGAATGCCAATCTCGTGATAGTATCCCATGGCGAACTCGCCGGTCGCGAGGCCTGCTTGGGCGGCGTCCATGGCGTACTTGAAGGCCAACTGCTCGTTCTTGGGGAAGAAATCCTCGTAACCAAACAGAAACCACCTACTCACGCCCAACGACGCCTCGGGTTGGCCTTGGCGAGCAGCGAGGCCGTAGTAATGGAGCGAGTATGCTGGGTTAAAGTCGCACCCGAGCTGGCTGAGCTCATAGGCCTGCCCCATCTTCAACTGCGCCTTGGCGAAACTGAGATAGGCGGCCTTCTCGATGTACTGACGAGCAACTGCGAGTTCGCACGGGAGGACGTGCTCGGGAATGGCGATGTCGGGCAGCTCCCGGGCGATGAGCATGCCATAGACGTAGGCTCCTTGAGGAGCGTCCTCGTCCGCCGTGTCGGCCGCGTGCTGGATCATCTCAAGCCCCTGCAGGAAATCCTTTTGGTGGCCGTGCTGGCCCATGAGGTACATCATGCCCAATCGATAGTTGGACGCCGAGTCGCCCAGTTGGACACCCAGCGAGTAGTGCTTGATGGCGTTGGGGATGTCGTTCGAGTTCTCGTACAGCATGCCCATCCTGTACTCGGCCCGTCCATAGCCCATCTCCGCCGCCTTCTTGTACAGCGAATATGCCTCCCGCTTGTTCTCGCGGAACCCAAACTTGCCAAACTCGAGCCATTTCCCTTTCATAAAGGTCGCCTCGGGGTGGTCTTGCTGGGCGAGGTAGTCGAGAATGTTGACGGCGTCGGTGCGCAGCTCGTGCTCGGTCTTTGGGGTCGCCGGCCGCTCCTTGTCCTTGCCCTCCCGCTTAAATTCCCTGGCCCGCGCGTCCAGGGCGATCTCGACCCAGATGAGCGCGTCGCGCGCCCACGTCACCTGCATCGACACATTGTTGGAGTGGAGCACCAGGTTCCGCGCCTGCCAGAGAATCTGCTCCTTCTCTTCGTCGCTGGGCGGTATGTTCTCGCCCTTGACCTTGGGAAACGGGGAGAACAAAGGGACGTCCATGGCTGTGGAGTCAGCTGCGCTGGTCTGGAAGGGTTTGAAGCTGGAGAGAATGCCGCACGTCAGCCAGCCTGATCCACACCGGCACCGGGTCCAATCACGTCGTTGGATTTCCGGTGACTTCCTCTTGGACACAGCACTTACGACTTGGCCTCTTCACTCTGGGCTGTCGCCTTGCTGGATCGGTTGGAGTCAGACTCGCGAGCTTCGAGTTCCATGCGTTGTATATCGTCTTGCATATTCTGGGGCACCTCGGGCATTACCCTTCAACTCGACCCTGCGTCAGCCCACAGCCCGCATCCTTCAGCCTCGCCCTGATCTGGGCCGAGCTTCTTCCAAACGCTCCGTCTTCGGAAGAAGCGCGCTTATGGTTTGGGCAGAGATGTTGAACCCGGAGAGGCGCAGAGACTCGTGTTGGGGGGTGGTCATTGACGTACCTCTGAGGCGACGGGGCGATGACCTCGGGCATGTAGTAGTCATCGTAACCCCCCGGAACGAATGTCGCGCCAAACTGCGGCATGTCGGGAGAATCGTCGCTGAGCACACCCAGGCCTGAGTAGATTAACGAGCGAAAATGTCAGCAAAAAAATTGCCCGATGCGCCCACACCCGGCAAGAACAAGAATATCAATGAATCGTTTTCGCTCTTTCGCATTGACCAGCTACTCCAGTGCTGGGGGTCCAGCGATGGCGGGGTATCAGCCAGGCCAGATGGGGCCGCAGCGCTGCAACAAGGAGGGGCGCGCCAAGGGGGATGATGGTCTGCAGTTGGTCGATCCGCTTCTGACCCCCGGCCGTGGAATTCGCCGTTGGATGTCCGAGAAAAGGGGGAGATCAAGGACGTGATTTCACCGGACGAGCCAGAGCAGTGAGGCGTTAAAATGCGAGCCGCATTCCTTCCTCTGGGGATTGCGATAGAGGATGATGCTGGATGGGATGAAGACCGGGGTGCTGGATTGTGCATACCCCAGAAATAAGCACCGCGCCAGAACGAAGACTTCTCGTCTTCCTCGCGGCCTTCTCGCTTCTCACCGTTTTTTTCGTCTTGCCCAGGATCTTCCTCGCGGTCTCGACAGTCCGTGTTTCTCCTCGTATGTGCGATTCAGGAGTTCTCTTGTGATCGGCTGGCCACGAAATTTGGTGTTTTGCGACTTGCACTGCCTGCTGCTCCTCCTTGGCGCGACCCACCTGCTGGCGTCCCTTGCTGGTCTTGTCCAAAAATAGAAATGTGCCCCACCAACACGACCGAATGCCGAGTTTGGGGTGCATCATCAGGAGTCATTTCCTCACGTACCTGATTGCTCGCTGCTCCCGGACAAGCCGGGAGCAGCAATGGACGGCATGGATTTGGGGACATATGGTTGGATCTGGGCGAGAGCTTGCCTTCGGCATGCGACCTTGTCCCACGAACTTGAAGTCATCGCAACGGTTTTGGTCTTGGCGGGGCCCAGATGCTGTTGCAGCATCGTTGCGGAAGCGACCTTCATAGCGGGTAGCTCATGCTCCAGCCGCAGCTTTCATCTGAGTCGAGATGCCAAACAATGAAATGGTAGTTGATGGTGGTAGCAGTCTGTCTCGTACTGTAGAAAGCAACAGAACAAACATAACCCCAGGGTCAAATCTCGCGAAAGCGTCGCCAGTCTATTAAGATGGGACGGAAAGAAAGAAATGTCGTCACGGCTAGACCCAACAGTCTGGAGAGCACCTGCCGAGATATACCGTATCGTTGAAGCTCTTCCGGCTACGGATACGGATGGTCCCCAAGCAAAGCAAACACATGCTGGTGGTGGCTTGCAATGGTAGCGACATGCGCCACAGCCGTGCCCATGCCGACACTGATGCCCGATCGGGCCTGTCGAGCGAGCCGATTCTCAAAGAACGCCTTGCCTTAAGCTCGAAGCGGAATGGCCACCACCACATCAGGATTTACAAGAACTTGCATCTCGGGGCCACGGAGGGCGCAGCGCGACCACCAAGACCCAAAGGGTTAGTCACATTCGACTGCTGATGGCGCTCGGTCCAGAACAGGCCAGGCTTGCCTTCATATAGGGGATCAGTGCGAAATTGGTAGAGGAGTCTCAATTGGTTTGAGCCAGCTGGGCGGTGGCTGTCAACATTGGCTATTGACACCATGCTGAGTGTGGTAACGCAGATATGAGCAATGCCGTGGTTCTGAGCCAAGAACACCAAGCGGCTGGAGCCAGCGGTCGGGCTGCGCCTGCCGTTGCCAAAATAGAAGCTGTCGCCAGGCATTTTTATGGGTTTGGTAAGAAAGTGTTGGGTATCAGCCGCGAAAGCATAAGGTAGGCCAGTCTGGAAAGTCATCGCAAGACAGGGTTGGACAAACAGTTGGGAGCTTCAAGTCAGAAAGTGACAGTCGTGATGATGAGAATGGAAGTTCAAGCTCTGCGCTGCCAAGTGGCGCCCAACTGGCGGTTCTTGGCATTGTAGCGGCCGCCAAGACAACGTCAGCCTTTCAGCCTGCTGCCAGCTCCAAAGTCCAGCAGCCTTACCTGCGAACCCTCCAACGACGCTTCAAACATCGATCGACCAGCGTAACAATCGGCAATTCAGCACGCGACCAACGCAAGACTCAGCGTCTCGCTTGAACTTCCCGAGATCAATCTTTTACCACGCATCTCTCATCGCACAAAATCATCCGCATCAAAGCTACCACTTCCCTCCCACGACGACCAAACCGCCGTCACAGTCCTCCTCCCACATTCCTAATCCCCGTTCGAAAAGAATAAAAAGATGGCCGAACGTGAATTAACCGACCTCCTCCGCCACCTTAAAAGCAACCCCTCCGCCGACTACGCCTCCACCAGCGCCCTCCTCTCGCGCGCCAAGCTCCTCCTGCTCCAACTCAACGCCCTCACGCCTTCGGCCTCCACCCCGCCGCACCTCCTAGCCCTCGCCCGCGAGACCTACGAGCAAGGCGCGCTGGCCTCGATCCGCGCCAAGAACCCAGACGCCTTCACGCGCTACGTCGCGCAGCTGCGTCCCTTCTACGAGCAGCTGCAGCAAACCTCAAACACAAGCAATGAAGAGGTCGGGGAGCGCAACAAGATCACGGGCCTGTACCTCCTCTTGCTGCTGACGCAGGGCTTGTACGGGGAGTTTCACAGCGAGCTGGAGGCGCTGGCGACTACTGCTGCTGGTACCACGGCCGGTGCTGGTGGTGCTGGTGCTGCGGCGGCGGCGACGCTTGGCGGGAGGAGACCGAGCGTGGATGTCGAGGGGGACCGGTACCTGGGGTATCCGATCCGGCTTGAGCGGTGGCTGATGGAGGGGAGCTATGATCGGGTGTGGAAAGCGATGAAGAAGGGGGAGGTTCCGTGCGAGGAGTTTGGGGTGTTTTCCGAGGTTTGTTCTTGCTCCCTCCCACTAATTACCTAATCATTCATTCCTCTTTCACGCAATATGCAGATGTTAATCGATGGCTCCAGATCCTCACCTCGCAGATTCGCTCCGAAATCGCCTCTTCCAGCGAGCGCGCTTACCCGTCTCTTCCCCTCTCGTCGACCAAGTCGCTGCTCTTCCTCGAGTCGGAGGGCGCCGTCGTCGAGTTTGCACGCAGCCGCGGCTGGACCATCAGAGACGGCCAGATCTACTTCCCTTCCACGCAAGACACGGGCGAGGAGGAGCAGGAGAAAGAATTCAGCCAAATGGTGATTGAGAATACCCTGGGCTACGCCCGGCAGCTCGAGACCATCGTTTAGAGGAGGAACAGGAGGATGTGGGGTATGGATTTTGTATTGATATGCCGAATGGCCGCTCATAGACCGCCATCAGGGCGAGGAAGCCATACCCGATCATAACATGGACGTTGTAGGATCAAGTTCAGATGTTTTGGTCAAGTGCTACTTCTTTGCAATAAAAACACTAAACTCATACTTCACCAAACCAGAGAAAAGGCATGCGCGCCTCGCCATAATCAATTATTTAAACCTCCAGACTTTTCCTCTCCTTGAAGCTCCCGAGGAGGATCGTCGGCCGCGATTCATCAGGCGCCTCTTCGTCATGGCATTACTTTGTCCATCCATTCTCACCTCAAGCAAACAGCTTCAAGCCACTGCCGTGCTTGCCCACCTCGCAAACCTCGCACACGGCGCACACTGTGCCCTTGTACTTGGTGTGATATTTGGATCCATCAAACGCACACTCTTCGAACGCGGTGCCGCTGTAGATGGGCGTGTGGCTGGCCGCGCAGATCTCGAACTCGGCGAACTGGTCAAACTCAATCTCGACCGCGTCATTGGGGTTGCGTTCGCACTGAGCCTTTGTCTTACGGGCCTGTGATTCTGTCAGCGATGCGGGAGGAAAGATGCGAGATGATTGGAGCTAACCTTATCCAAAATGCTGGCAGCGCCTCCGTTCGCCAGTATCCTGTTTGCGAAGCTCAACGCCGTGTTGTAGTTCTTGGCCAGCATAGCCATCCTCATAGCACTGAGCAGCGCCAGCTGGCGGTGAGGCACCTCAATCTTGGGAATGGTGAAGTAGGCCGCCAGCTCTAAACTCCGCTTAAGGAGCTGCGGGTTTTTGCTGACCACATCATCCGTGCCGAGCGATCTCCTGGCCAGCTCTATGGACATGGCAACAGTGTATTCACTAGCTGAGGCGATCAGCTTCCTGGCTTCGGCAACCTCGCTTTCGTTGCCCACGGCGTTGATGAGTACCGCGTGCAAGATTCCCTTGAAGATCTTCACACCGTCCTCCAGCTTGTTTGCTTTCATAGCAGCATAACCGCGCTGCAGGTCGTTGGATGCCAAGTATTCCAGGTCCCTCGGGATGATAGGCAGAACCTTCCTCGGGTCTGACTCCTCAACGGTCCGACGGACGTAGTTGATGAGAGGTGGCAGGTGAGCGGACGCCGGGAGGTACGTCTTGGATGCCTGGTAAACCTCCAGAAACCGGGGCTTTAGAGCCGCAAAGTTGACAGCGCCGACTTGACGGTTGAGCAATTGCATGGCAGTCTCGAACGAGCCGCCGGCAACATGATCGACCGCCAACGGGGAGTTACGGGCCCATAGATCTGCTTCACTGCTGCCGGCACCGCCAGCATCAGCGCTCTCCACGTTGACGAAGCCTTCCTCCACCTCGGCAACAACGTCCTCGCCCATATCCCAGCCAGCGACATCCTCATCCTCCTCGGCCTCACCGAGGGTTTCCCGCTTGGCAGCACCTTCCTCTTCAGCTTCGCCCAACCCGTTGGCCGCAGCGGGCTCTTCCTCTAGTGACAAACCCTCCATCTGGCCCAAGAGCGCCTTCTCGAAGAAGGATTGCGAAGTGGCCTTGGTAGGCCAGTTGGCTTGATAGGTGGGTACAACAGGCTTGGGAGGTGTGAGCGGCTCGCCAAAAGTCGGAAGGTTGAGCTGGTCTTCTGTGAGGCCGGTCGCTTCGAGGATGGACTGGCACTCCTCATCCAGGCCGTGCGCCTTTGCGGTCATGTACGCCAGGGGATCTGAAAAATGTTAGCCATATCTCAGCAAATTCGAACCAAATCACTTACACAAATCAATTTCCTTGAACATTTGGATGCGGTCCTCAACCTCGCCGAGATACAGAGCGTTCTGGAACCTCGAGGTGAAGTCTCCACGGTGCTCGGCGATCTTGGCCATCCGGGCCAGCTTCGTGTTGTCGCCGGTGGTGAGGTACAGGAACGAGAGCTTATCAAAGTGCTTGAGCTTTTGGTAGCACATCTCGACCACGGAATGGTTGCCATGAGCAAGCGCCTCGGTGCTTAACCTCGTCCAGAGCTTGGGGCGATCGAGCTGTTTCGCCACCTCGACTGCGACCTCCAGGTTTCCGCATTCGATGGCAAGCTCAAATCGTGTGGCAGGGTCTTGGACGAATTGGAGCGCGATCTCGGGATAACCCTTCTTTTGCAGGTACGAGATGATCGACTGGCCGACTAAGCTGGAGTTCTGGATGATGTGAAGCATCTCCTCGTAGTTCCTCTTGACGAGGGCGAGCTTGAAGCGGTACTCGGTTGGGTCGATCTGCAAAATCCTAGGCTTCGCGGCGCGGTCAAGGCAATAGACATTGCGACCTTTGACGCGAACGAGGTACACGGTCTGGTCGAGCGTCCGGACAATGCCATTGTCGCCGTTGAGGAGGGTGTACTTGACGTGGTTAAGGGTGGAGTACAGGAGCACACCAGCATCGTCCCAGGTGGCGCTCTTGATCCTAATCGTCTCGTGCAGGGTGCTGACCTGCTCCAAAGTCTTGGTCACAATGGTGACATTGTGCTTGCTAAGCAGGGCAGCGTAGAGTCCATCGTTGGACCACACGACGTACTTGACACCATTGACTGCGAGCTCAGCAGTCGTCTTTTTCTGCTGGATGTCGTAGAGGTGTACGGCCGCTGGAGTGATGATGAGGAGATTGCCTGTTCCACCAAAGTAAATATCGCTCGTTCCAACAGGGGGCTTGAATGATCTCGTCGTATTGTTGGTCAAGTCCTTGATGTCCACAGTCTGCGTGGACGTGTTCAGGACGGCAAAACGGTTGCGGGCCACAAAAATGGCAGAGTGGCCCTGGCCGCGCTTGGATTCGGCTGACTCGATCGCACCGGAGCCATCACGGGGGAGGTTAACCAGCTCATATGTGCCGCCATCCGCCGAGGATGTGACCAAGACGGAGCGCTCGGCGGGATTGTACGACAGGGTACGCGGCGGCACCCAGGGGCTTCCAAGCTTCTTAAGAGACAACAGTGTGGGCGACTCGACATTTTTTTGGAAGTCGTAGGACTTGACACACTTGTCCTTGGTGATGTAAAACAGTGTGTTTTGATGCACTGCCGATGCTGGCCTCTCGCGCTCAAGCTTGAAAACCATCACACCACTATTTCCAAGTCAGCGCCTTCTCAGTGTCGAACTTCCGAATTCACATACTTGTCATGACCAGCCGCAAAAAGGTTGATTTCAGGGTGTGCAGCAATAACCCAAAAACGGTCGTTCTCGCGCTTGAAAGTGTGCACTGCAGTCCGCTTGTTCAAGTCCCAGACCCTGATGGTCTTATCCTCACCGGCAGAGAGGATGAGGTCTTGGTGTGGGTGGAACAGGCAGCCGCTGGCGTTCTGAAAGTGGCCCCTGCAGGTATCGACCTCCCACTGCGTTATGTCAGTCATTTTAGTCTCAGACGCGTAATGTAGAAACCTGGACCAATGGGATCACGTACAGCCTTAGTCTCGCTCATGCGCCACAGCTTGATGAGGCGATCATCGCCCGCCGAGACTATCAGGGACATGGTGGGGTGGAAGGCGACCCAGTTCACGCCCCTATCGTGACCCTCGAGGACAAACTTGACGACGGCATCCGTGTTGCCGAACATGTCGGTCTGATTCGCGTTGGCGCGGGAGACTTGGTCTTCAAAGGACATGGAGGTTGGGGCGGAGTGCTTCTTGCGCAAGCCGGAGACTGCAAGATTTTGTTAGCACACCACATCGGCCAAGAAACAAGGTTGAAGCCATGGCATACTATCCCAGACACGGACAGTCTGATCGAGCGAGGCCGAAACGACGAGATCCTCCTTGGGATGGAATTGGGCGCACATAGCGTAGTGGTTATGACCCGTCATGGTGCAAAGCAGGGAGCGGTTTTGCCAGTTCCATATCCGGATGGTCTGGTCGTCGCTGGCGCTAACGATCCAGGGAAGCTCGTGGTGGAAGAAGACAGTGCGCACATAGTCCAAGTGCCCGTTCAGGGTGAACAAACAACGGCGTGTCTGATATGACCAAACTTTGATCTTGTAATCGTCACCGCCGGAAACAAATAAGGGCTGCCACCAGGTCAGCAAGCCGAGGTCCACCTCCCTGCGCTCCTTTCCCTCACCTGTGTCTTGTGGAAATCGACACCGCGGACCGGGCCATCGTGCTCTTCGAATCGGTCAATCAGGGTGCCCATTCGGTAATCCCAAAGCTGGATGGTGGAAGAGTGGAGGGACACGAGAATCCATGGTCTGGAGTAAGAGCGTCAGTCTCGAGGGTGCAGTTGGCCGGGGGGCCTCGTGTAGCTGCGAACCGTTTGGGATGGAACGCGATGCCCTTGGCGCGCGACGACTTGGACTCGAACTGCAGCAGAGCCGATGTCAGTAACAGTTCGTGCACACAGATTTAGAGATCAGCAACCGCAAGCACAACGAACCTTTGTGAGCATTCCCGAGGAGGCCTGCATCTTGGCTTAAGGGGACCCGAGGCCTAACAGGCTCCCGGCATCAACTGGAGATCGCGCAGAGTTGCTCAAAGAATAGTCGGCAACGACGGGTCTGTATACTCGGATCACGGAAAGTGCTCGTCGAAAGCCGAGCAGCAGCCGGGTGTATGGCTGGGTGGGTGTTGGTTCGAGGAATTGGGCGTCCGGCTGGCTGCTTGTTCGTCGTTGAATCCACCTTCAATCAAATCATAGGGAACCGTGGCATCTCAATCGAGGTGAGGTGGCCTGTGGGCTCACTTGGCAGGCCCACCCGCCGCGCCTCAAGGCGCCAGAGCGCACATTCAATTTTCCGGGCCCACTTCAGCTTGTCCCTCCTTCCGGTCGGGGTTCCAAGAGCGCATCAGCCACACAGTCCCCGACGTTTCGAGCTCTCCTGGACGCTGCCATTGGTCCATGAGCCTTTACCTGCGGTGTGTCCATACTGTCAGGTATCCGACTCCAGGAGCTTGACCGCGAGGAAAGCTCGACTTACTGTGTACACAGACGCCCCGCAAACACTGACATACAGTCCTTACCTTGACAATGGGAAGAAGATAACATTTTGAAACATTGAGGGCATCATTTGCCGGTTTCTTTGACCTTTGGACCTTGCATTCCTGTCGTTTTGGGATAGCGCTGCATCACTGGATGTCTGTCTCGGTACACTGAAAGCCAACGTGGCATGAACTCGCAGCGCATGTGTGGATATTTTTGGAAAACGATCCTCGACGGACACTCGACTCCGACCTGAGGATATTAGATATACACAACATTGTTGATAGCGCCGTGGCAGCGGTGGGTGCGCGCCATGATCCGACTCTCCCAGCTGCCATGGGGCATCACGGCTCTGCTTGCTGCGACATGGTCGCCTTCGACCCAAGTCGCCGCCTCCCCCTCAGTCAATGTTGCCCTGAAGGCAGCGTTTCCGTCTCCTCCATATCTGATTGAGTTGCTGTAGGTAGTACTCTCTCCCCTCGCCGTTGGGATGTCCAACTCACAGATCCCCAGGGAAACAGCAGCCTCGGACAATGCGACAATCTACTTCGCCCTCCTCGACCGGATTGCAAACGGCCACTTTCTCGAAGCGAGGACAGATCAGGCCCTGTATGGGAGGTTCCTCGAGGTGCTGCGGGATGATGGGCACATGGACGGCGAAGCACTGTCGACCTTCAAGCTGGGGCTATCGATGCGCACGGCAGCACCCCGGGTTGAAGCTCACTACCAATACTATTCGACGGCGGTGGAACCATCACTATCTGGAGACCAGGACGGCTGCGGGCATTGGTTTCTTGTGGGGGGAACGCAATACTGCACAGCCACGCTTGATGCTGCGCGTGGAGAAGTGCAAAAGAACTCGCAGGAACGGAATCTGCCATTCGACCGCAAGTTTGGCACCGGCCCTCAGGATGTGATTCTCTATGCTGATATTACGTCGCCGACCTTCGGCACCTACCACAAGACGGCCATGAAAATGGCACGGGATGGAGAGGGCTCATACCGCGTCAGATACAGGAGAAGCCCTGCCCACCCGAATGAAACCCTCTCGGTGAACGGATACGGAGTGGAACTTACACTCAAACGGACCGATTACATCGTCATTGACGACCGGGACATTGGTGCCGCCAAGGGTCCTGGAGGCGATGCCCAAGAGCCCCTCGGATCTTCCGAGACAGTTCTGAATTACGAGGAGGAGATTACCGATATCAAGCCGCTGGAGAAGTCCGAGCTCGCGTCCTTGGGCATGAAGGCCGCGTCGTTCATTATGCAGAGCGTGTCGCCGTTTGACACCTTACTCAAGCTCACCCAGGACTTCCCCAAGTACTCGACCTCTCTTGGAGCGCACAACGTCTCGGCCGACTTTAGGGCCGAGCACGATGGCAACCGCAAGGTGTTGGTCCCCGAGGGCATGAACGTCATGTGGATGAACGGCGTGCAGTTGGTCGATCGCCAGATCCAACCATTCGGACTGGTAGATCTGCTCAAACGCGAGCGCAAGCTCATGAACGGTGTTCTTGACCTTGGCCTCACCGGGCAGCAGGCCATTTCTCTGTTGGGTCATGCAGAAGTGGCCCAGGCGAAATCAGGTGATGACGACGCTCGCCGTTTCGACTGGCGTGACCAAATCGAGGATGGCCGGGTCATCATCTGGCTCAACAACATCGAGAAGGACAAGCGATACAAGGATTTTTCACCGAGCATCTGGGCCTTGATTCAGCACTTTGGGCACGGACTGCCCCAGGTGCGGAAGGACATTTTTAATCTGGTCGTCCCCGTGGACTTCACCAACCCCGAGGACATCAAGTTGATCACCAACCAGCTCCTTGTCTTCATGAAGCGTTTGGTTCCGATCCGGTTTGGTTTGGTCCCGCTTACCCCAACAGGAGAAGCCATCGAGCAGGCCAAGGTCGTCTACTACCTTCTCGAAAACCATGGTCTGACAGCCGCAGCCTCCTATTTCGAGAAACTGCTTGAGTACAAGAAGACTTCTAAGCCGGACGAAGGTATCTTCAACGAAGCTATCAAGGACCGGCCACTACGGCCTGAAGCCACTCCGCTGGCGTTCAAGGACATTTTCAGTTCTGAAAATCACGAGAAGCAGATCCATTTGGCCAAGCATTGGGTGGAGCGCCTGCGGGCAGATGGCGATGTTCCTTCCGTGTTTTTCGACGGCTTTGCAATTCCCCGCGACGAGAAATGGCTTCATGCTATGAACCAAAGGCTCATGGTTGACCTACAGACCATTCAACAAGCGGCCTACTTCGGGCAGGTGAACGAGGACGCTTGGATCCCGGGGTATTTCCTCGAGGGCGCCGTCACAAGGCGCAACACTCTGATCTTTCCCGAGGATCCGAAGGATCTGGCCATACTCAATGTGAACAAGTTGTACACGGAGCATCATGATGTCCTCAACAAGGTGCCCGTTATTGAGGCCATTAAGCAGTCGGCCAAGGATGACTGGGCCGCCATGACGGTCATCGCGGACTTGGATAGTCTTGAAGGTCAGAAACTTCTCTTCTATGCCCTTCAGTTTCGTAAAGAGAATGTTGGCATCCGCATGGACATCGTGCACAACCCCATGGATGCCACTCAGTCTCCCTCGCTGCTCAATCAGCGCCTCAAGGCGCGGGAGGGTGACCTTCTCGAGGCCCGGCAACTCCTTGACTTAGAGACGATTTTGGAAAGCGGCAAGGCGGAAGTGGATTCTACTTACGACGCTGCTTTGGACAACTTTCTCGCCGAAGTAAGCGTCAAGGCGGGAGACAATGCGCTGATACTCAACGGCCGTCGCGTTGGTCCCATCCTCTCCGCCGAGCGGTTCAAGAAGGAGGACTTTGGGGAGTTTCTCAAATCTGAACGTGCCGCTCGGATCCTCCCCGTCTACAAGGCCATCGAGGATCTCGGTTTGGGTGACAAGGTGTCTGGCCCGTTGGATGCCGCAAGGCTGACCGCCGTCACTGCCTTATCTGGCATTTCGGATCTCCCGCAGGGCATCTTTGACTCGGCGCCCTCAGTCAGGACGACGGCCTTCCAAGAATGGAACTCGACGTACACATCATTCCAAGTCGGAGACGCATCAAAGGCAACCATCTCGTTTGTTGCTGTCATTAACCCCGCCAGCGAGGTTGGCCAGAGGTGGGCTGCCGTGCTCAAGGTCCTTTCAGAACTCGAAGGCGTGCATCTCCAGATTTTCCTCAACCCTGCCAATGAGCTCAGCGAACTTCCTGTCAAGAGGTTCTACCGTTATGTCCTCGAGTCTTCACCTAGCTTTGACGAGAACGGAAAGGTCAAGGCTCTCTCAGCCAGCTTTGCGGGCGTGCCGCAGGACACCCTGCTTGTGGCAGGAATGGACGTGCCGCCCGCTTGGCTTGTGACTTCCAAGGTCTCGGTCGACGACCTGGATAACCTGCGGATCAAGGATATCAAAGCCAAGAGAGGCACCGAGCACATCGAGGCTGTCTATGAGCTCGAAAACATCCTGATTGAGGGCCATTCGCGCGAGATGCCCACGGGACAGCCTCCACGGGGCGTGCAGCTCGTTCTTGCAACCGAAAAAGACTCGCACTTTGCCGACACCATCGTCATGGCCAACCTTGGATTCTTCCAATTCAAAGCCAATCCTGGTATCTACAGCATCCGGCTCAAGGAAGGCCGGAGCTCGGATATCTTCACCATGGAGAGCGTCGGCGCCCAGGGATGGTCCCCGGTCCCCGGCGACGAGACCGCCGAGATTGCGCTTATGGACTTCCAGGGAACCACCCTCTACCCCCGCCTACGACGCAAGCCCGGCATGGAAAAGGAAGACGTACTTGAAGAAAGCCAAGTTGACACCAAACCCGGTGGCGGCGCGATGGACTTTATCTCCAAAGGTCTAAAGTTCGCTGAAGGCATCCTCGGGCGCAAACCCCCCACAAAGTCCCTCTCTGACACGGAACACGCCGAAATCAACATCTTCTCTGTCGCCAGCGGCCACCTTTACGAGCGCATGCTCAACATTATGATGGTGTCGGTCATGCGTCACACTAACCACACCGTCAAGTTTTGGTTCATCGAGCAATTCCTCTCCCCATCCTTCAAAGACTTCATCCCGCACCTCGCGGCCGAGTACAACTTCAAGTACGAAATGGTCACCTACAAATGGCCGCACTGGCTGCGCCAGCAGAAAGAAAAACAGCGCGAGATCTGGGGCTACAAGATCCTCTTTCTCGACGTGCTCTTCCCCTTGTCCCTCGACAAAGTTATCTTCGTCGACGCCGACCAGATCGTGCGCACCGACCTGCACGATCTCGTGACCCTCGACCTGCAGGGCGCCCCCTACGGCTTCGCGCCCATGTGCGATTCGCGCACCGAGATGGAAGGGTTCCGCTTCTGGAAGACGGGCTACTGGGCCAACTACCTCCGGGGCAAGCCATACCACATCAGCGCGCTGTACGTGGTTGACCTGCGGCGCTTCCGCGAGCTGGCCGCGGGCGACCGGCTCCGGCAGCAGTACCACACGCTCTCGGCCGACCCCAACTCGCTCGCCAACCTCGACCAGGACCTGCCCAACCACATGCAGTTCCAGATCCCCATCCACAGCCTGCCGCAGGAGTGGCTGTGGTGCGAGACGTGGTGCAGCGATGAGACCCTCAAGGAGGCCCGGACGATTGACCTGTGCAATAACCCCCAGACCAAGGAGCCCAAGTTGGACCGGGCCCGGCGGCAAGTCCCCGAGTGGACTGAGTATGACGAGGAGATCGCCGCGTTGGCGAGGAGGGTTAGGCAGGAGCAGGCTGAGAGGAAGGTGGAGGAGACGAATTCGAAGAGTACAAGGTTGGATGAGGAGGTGGCTGCTGAAACCGCGAGGGTGAGGGATGAGCTGTAGACGTTACTGACCTTGTAAGAAGGCTTTTTTCTCGTGTTAATGCTAGAGCTGGAGAGAGAGATGTGCAACATATCATTTCCTCTTTGCAAATAGTTTCCCAAAGTCAATGCGATGTATCACTCCATTCTTGCATCTATCACTCAGGAGCAACTCCGACCGCCCTCACCAGGCTTCAAAGCAAACAAAAAAGCAAAGCATTCCCCAACGCCCGGCCAAGAGCAAACCACGCAAGCAACACCACTCCCAAAACAGCAAAACGCCTTAATGAGAGATGTACTGAAACACGGCGCTAACCTCCTTCTCCCCGCACTCCTGCCTAAGCAAATGATCCTGGATCGCCTTCAGCCCTTCATTGACAAAGTGATTCCACGTGCTGGTATCGCCATAGAGCATGGCCTGCGCCTTAATGTGCTGCCTGCCATCAGGCCGACAGCGCTTACACTTGAACGTGTCGTGGGTATCGCTCCTGGTATCGGGCCTGTACTGGAACAATTCGCGGAGCGAGTCCAGGCTGAAATGCCTCTCGACGTCCTCGGCCGAGTCCACCACGCAGGAACTGAGGCTCTGCTTGTGGCTCTGCCGCTGGAAGATCTTCTCCTCGATGGTGCCCGTCGCGATGAAGCGGTAGACGAAGCAGTCCTTCTTTTGGCCGTCGCGCCACACGCGCGCGAGCGCCTGCTGGTCGGCGGCGGGGTTCCAGTCCGGGTCAAACAGCACAAGGCGGTTGGCGCCGATCAGGTTGAGGCCGCATCCGCCGGCTTTGGAGGAGAGCAGAAAGACAAACTCGTCGCCGTCGGGATCGTTGAACTTGTCGACGAGCTTCTGGCGCTTGTTGACGTTCATTGTGCCGTCGAGGCGGAGACAGCCGTAGTTGCGGGAGCGGCAGAGGCGCTCAAACAGGTCGAGCGTCTGGGTGTAGTTGCTGATGAGCACGATCTTGTCGTTGGTGTCGGCGCGGATGCGGGCGAGCATGCGGTCGAGGACCTGCATTTTTCCCGAGTACCAGGGCTTGACGTCGCGGTCGCGGCCGCGGGCTTCTTTGGGCACGTAGTCCTCGGGCCAGTACTGCTCGCAACCCGGGAGATCGGTTACGAGATCCAGGAGGTCGGGGTGATTGCAGAGCTTCTTGAGAATCCCAATGGCCTTGAGCGGCTGGGAGGCTTTGCCTCTGAGCAGCGCCTGGATGTTGGGCGAGGTGATGAAGTAGTTGTATAAAGCAAGCTGGAATGGAGCCAGGTTGCAGAAAACAACATGCTCGTACTTGACAGGGAGGTACTCGGACAAAATGTCGTTTGTGCGACGGATGATGAATTTATTGACGATGCCCAGCAGCTCAGCAAGGCACTCGTCGCCGCGTTTCCGCTCGGCCTCGGAGGCATCAGCGTCGCGACCGCGGAGGATGGGCAGCTCAAAGCGCTTGCGAAATTCCAGCCGGCTTCCGAGGAGATCGGGGTTCGCGAAACTGATGAGGGAGAAGTACTCAGATAGGTCGTTTTGAATCGGTGTGCCCGAAAGGATAACGCGTCGAGAAACGTTCAGGTTGTTCAAGGCGTTAAAAGTCTGGCTGTCTCCATTCTTCAGGCGGTGTCCCTCGTCACAGAGCATCAAGCCGATAGGTGTGTTCTTGAGCTCCTCGATGTTGAGACGGAGGGTCTCATACGAGACGATGATGACTGGTCGGGTGACGGAACGGCCTGTGGCAATCGCCCACTGACGAAGCTGGCGGGTCAGTTCCTCTTTTGACGCCTTGCCGTCAATAGCGAAAGGCGTAATTGCGTCGGCCCCAAGCCACTTCGTCAGCTCGTTTGCCCAGTTTCGGACCAAACTCGAGGGGCAAGCCACGATCGCCTTCTGGATCGTGGTCTTGCCGGCCTCGGGAGACTGCTTGAGAAGTGTCCAAAGCAGGGTGATGCACTGCAGGGTCTTTCCGAGACCCATTTCATCCGCCATGATGCACCCATTCGCCTTTTCGTCAATCATTCCCGTGACACACCGGTACATGAACTTGACACCCTCGACCTGATGGGGCCGAAGCACCTTGGCCAGCCTTGGGTCAATGACAACCGGCACACGCGGGTGTTCACCCACGACTTGTTTCTTGATACCGAGAATCTCCGCGAGGCTCTTGTGCATTAGCGGCGCGTCCAGTTTCGACGCCGGTTCAGCTCCCTTTTCCTTCTCCTCCGGTTTCGGTGTCTCCTTTGGCTTGTCGTCGATAGTCGGGTCGTAGAGCACAATAGCGAATTCGTCGCAGGGATCATGCAGTGGCTTTGCGATGAACACGGCTCCCCGCCTCAGGCCCAGCGTCGGAGGGGGCCGGTTCGGGTTGTACGCGGCATTGTTCTTGTCGGCAAACGGAACGGAGAAGGCCTTGCGTATTACCGTGTCCTTGTCCTTGACCTGAAAGACGGGGAACTTGTTGACATCTCGATTCGCCAGGGCGAGTCGGTCTGCGTTTGTGTAGGGCTTGTCAGAGTCCGCTTCCCCATCGGCACCGCCGTAGTCAACTCTCCTCCGCTTCCTGGCGGGGCGGTCGGTTGCGACAGTACGAATGGCAAAGCCTGGGCATTTGAACGGTTTGTGTAGGCGATCAAGGGACTGTGGCGTAGGAAATCGGCTGCGGGGACCGAGATTTTCCTTGTTCGCGGCTGTAGAGGCTGGCGTTGAGACGGTCCTATCTTTAGGTCAGTCACCCTTGGACAGGCTGTGAATGGGGTAATTCAACAATCATACATGGTGATGGGCGGATCTCGAACCGCAGCCCGACTTCGCATCTGAGTTTGACGGTCAAAGAAGTCAAGAGGCCAATACTGATTGCGGCGGCCAATGGACTAAACAGTTCCGCTCAGAGAAAACGAAAGTTCTGCAATTCGAAGTCAAGTGGCCAACTCGATTGTTGATGGCGCGAGACGCGTCCGGCTCTAGGCAGCACACGCGGCCTGCCCCACGTTGTCAGATGACCACCGCCAAGACTCGGATCACAGACCCACTTTCACACACCAAAACTGCAAGTCAAGCCTCATTAACCAACTAACGTTACCCATTTCGGATGCAGACAACATCACGTCCCCTTGATCTTGAGCAATTTTTGGGTGCAAGTGAGTGTTTAGTTAACTTTCTATAGTTCTGACTGCAGTGTTTTCGGCGTCTCAGTTCACAACATTACCTATAGCCCTTGACGCCTAGATCAAATAGCTGATACCTAATCATCTGCTTCCAAGGTGCTGGTTTGGCACTTGCCCTCTCCGTAATAACTACCTCCACTGGCCTAGGTTGCGTATTCGGCCTCTAGTCTGGCTCCATGGGAACAAAACCGCAACCTGGAAGGCTAAACCATTTTCTCAAGCTAAAATTCATTTAGAGGCCTGAAGAGGAACCATTTTTCGGGCAAGCCCAACTCGGTGCTTCTCGAAATAACTATACTACCTGTAGTTTCACCCGAAACCAACAAAAATGTACAGCATTAGTACCAGTAACTCTCTTGTTGAAGCCTACCCTACGCTACATTGTCTGTCGGATCAAAGTGCTTTCAGTCTGGCTTGCTCGTGTAAGAATGTAAGTGTCTAAGTGTCTTCGCTCTAATAATGATCCATTGTCGTGTTTGAGTCCCGAATTCTATAGCCTCGGCTTGCTAGCATTGTTCTCACCATTTCCAAGTCTTCTTGGATGATCCGTAAAGAAGTCATATCAAAATGGACAGTCGTGCAAACCTTCCATTGATTCACCATTTTCACCTGCTTTCACAGGGCTGCAACTCTCATTTTTTCCTTTCATCCCAACGATGCTTCCGTGAAAAACGGATCATATAGCAAGCAAAGAAAGATCGACAGACGAGACAGAGCACAATCAAGCACGCATAAATTTATCCCATCATGTGGTCGGAATTTTTCATTGATTTGAATTTCGTACAATAGCACAGTCAGCCGGCCCCGCGAAGTTGTTCTGCTGCCTATAAATACTTCACTCCTCCTCCCTCCACTTCCGCTTTCTCTCTTCTTTCCCAACAACCCGACCCGACGACAACTCGACGACAACCCTTACGAAAACCCGACCGAACCGACGACACCCACAGACCGAGATTTGGAAGGGCCCCGTTCAGCCGTACCTCACACTTAGCAGAGTGCTACACACACGTGGTCATTGCCTGCTGTTCTGCTCCCTGCAACGTTGTCAAACCAGTTAATATGGTTGCGGTACCCTGGACGTCTCAGCAGTTTGTCGCAGACCCCTGCGGTTGGGCTTGCTTCTTTCGGGAAACTTCCCATCGCGCACCGCACGCGCTCAAGCTGCACACAGAGAAAGGCTTAAGCTCGCTAAAAAAGAAGGCAGCCACCGGACTGATTGGTCCCATGAGATGGTCACATCCCAAAAACCCAATTCTTCCCTCTCGGGCAAGGCCAAACCCAGTGGAATGGGGTAGGCAATTTTGCATCCCACTGCTCCTGCATTGCACATTTCACTAACATCTCTCCAAGGTTCGATGGTCTTTGGAGGGGTGCAGGCTCGCAAGGCAGGCAGGCCGTCCGTCTAATCTATGCAGCGGTACCGGTAATCGGGGATTTGGATAGCCGGTGAAACCATCTTCGAGTGTGTGCCGGCTGCCCACGTGTGGTTTCTTCCGAATCTTCGGCTTTTGCTCACTTTTCCTGGTATGTCGATTAGTCCTGTCCGATTTGTTGGGCTGAAGGCTTAGGTCACATTTGATCACATCATCAGAGCACTCTTTATTTTCATTGCATGCTTGGGTTTTGCTCGGGCGGCGAGGAAGAACTCGCTGCGTTTCTGTGTTGTGGTTTTAGTCCAGATCACGGCAGTTGACATCAGAATCCGGATGCGGCTCCTCCTGTCGCCGAGGTCTTGGCGAGGGGGCACCCGACGCTGGAGTCCCGACTTCCGACCCCGCCAACCCCACCACTGCATGCCTCAAACGCCGAGAGAACGTGCAGCGGTTCCTTCCACTGGCCATGGCTTGATCGAGGGTGATAGTAGGCGACACACATATTCGCCAACCCCGAAAACAGACCAACCCGAGAACCTGGGCACCCCTTTGCCGACCCTCGATGGTTTCACCTCTGGGTTCTCACCAACCCACTCTCCCTCTCAGCCCATTGGAGGGCTACCTGGACCTAGAAACCAGAAACCGCAATGTCGGCCGACTTTTGGGCAGGCTACATCTCGGGCGCAGCTGGCATCATCCTCGGCAACCCTCTCGACGTGCTCAAAGTCCGCCTACAAGCCGGCAGCCCTCCCTCTCCATCACAGCCGCCTCCTCCATCCACTTCCCTCCTTGGTCCCTCTACCGCCGCCACCCGATCAACACACTCCTCTTCCTACCTCCGCCCCTTCCTACTTGGGACAGCAGTCCCCGTGCTAGGCTACGGTGCGCTGAACGCGCTGCTCTTCGTGTCATACAACCGCACCGAGTCCTTCCTCAACAGGCTTTCCGCACCAGGAGCCGGTGGTGATGCCGCCGGTGGCCAGGGAAGGGGTACGGACCTGCTGACGACCTGGCTAGCCGGCGCCGTGGGCGGGCTCGCGACGTGGGTCGTCTCGACGCCGACCGAGCTGGTCAAGTGCCGTGCCCAGCTGCAGGTCCCTTCCTCGTCGTCCGCCCTCAGCTGCGGACCTGGCTTACAGAGCCAGCCTCCTCCACACGGGACGAGTTCCCCGTCGCCCACCTCCTCCTGGCACATAACTACCCACCTTCTCCGCACAACAGGCCTCAGGGGTCTCTACGTCGGCGGCACGGTGACCGCCCTGCGCGACAGCATCGGCTACGGCTTCTACTTTTGGGGCTACGAGCTCTGCTCGCGGTGGTGGGATGATGCCCTTTTCCTCCTCCCCTCTTCGTCATCCACCACAACAACCACCACGACCTCCTCCTCCTCCCATGAGGACAGTAGTACCACCATGAACGAAGCAGCCCGAGTCCTCCTCTGCGGCGGCCTGGCAGGCATCATCACCTGGGCGAGCATCTTTCCGCTGGACGTGGTCAAGACACGGGTGCAGACGCAAGTCTTCTTGACCTCCTCCTGCTCCTCCTCCTCCACCATCACCATCACAGCCCTAGCACCACGAGATGGGAGGCCTGTTGCTGCTGCTGCTGCCGTGATGGCGGCGGGGGAGAGGACGCCGTTGCTTGGCGACGACAGACAGAACATCAACGCACCACTACCGCGGAAAAGACTTGGGGCGTGGGACATGGCCAAGGAGACGTACCGGGAGGGCGGACTGCGGCCGTTCTTCCGGGGACTGGGAGTGTGCAGCGTGAGGGCGTTCATCGTGAATGCCGTGCAGTGGGCCGTGTATGAGTGGATCATGGTAGAGTTGGGGCAGGGGAGGAGGAAGGCAAGTCGGCAAGAGGGGTAGAAGCAGGGTTGTAGATTCTTGGATAGATAGCGAAGGGTAGAACCCCCGCGGGAAAGATACCTGAAGAATGGGTGCTACTCCTGTATAGATATATAGATGTTGGGGAGGACAGATAGACGAGGGCAGTGGTGATACCCTGTGATACCGCTGAATGAACTTCCATTTGAATGCCCCATGTCTTACTCCATGGCTTGCAGTTCCACTGTGCCCTGGACACTCTTGGAAGGACCACGCCACGAGAAAACATTGGCGGCAGAGTCAACAATCAACCCGCGAACAGGGAGGCCATGCCCGCCGCCACCTCAGTTTTGCCTTATCTTTCCCCCCTTACGCTATGTCCTGTATGCCATGCCCCGTGTACCATGCTCCGCCGTCCATGTAGTTGTCAGAGCACCCGTGACCCGATCACACACCTCCCTTCAACGCTCACGGCATGCACAGATATCGCCTTCGTGATCTCCCAGCACCACTTGGCTCCCACCACAATTCCGCCACGCCCCATTTCACAGACCTCAACCGGAGAAACGGGCAGCAAGCTTCCCTATCCACAAGCGGGCCAGTCAGCCATCCGTCAGTGTCAACAAGACACCACCAAACAATGACGACCACGGCCCCAGCACATAGACAAAAGTGGCTCCTCCCAATCCGTATCATATCCATGTCAATGCTCATGGTATGAATCCCTTGCCGCTCTGCGAGACAAGTATAAAAAGAGAAGGAGATACCATAACGCCTAGCCCTTTCCTGCCATGTAACCATGCCCATGCTGAAAGAGGTAGGTGGCCAAAACCTTTCACCCAAGCATCTTTACTCAACCAAGTTTCTGTCCCTCTCCCCTCCGTCCAAGACAGAAAGAACGAGGTAAAGGAACCAAGGTCGAATAATCAAGGGATCTTCAGGCCAACCACACCAGAGCATCCTGACCGAATTGTGTAGGGAGAGGAAAAAGGAAAGGAAGAGGTAAGCAGAGAAACGGAAACAAAAAAGAACCCTAATATATATGCAGGGGTATCTCCCAACCGAGTTCACGCCGTGTCGCGCCACTGCCTGATGCAAATACCCTTGCTGTATGCATGCCCCATGCCGCCGCCAAATGTTTGTTCCGTTTTCCTTCTCGTGTTCCGACCAAGTCAGTCAAAAAACAGAGAAGTTATCAAAAACCGAGGAAAAAGGGACAAGGAAAAGTGGTCATCGATGTTCGCGCCGTCTTGGGTCGTATTTGAAGCCGTGCCCATTCCAGAAGTCCCTGAGCAGACGAGCCCAGTCTTCGAATGCCGTCATTATCATCATCATCACCGTCGTTGTCGATTCGTTTGTGTTGTTGTTGCGAAATGCGTTCCGTCTCTTGCCGCGGGAAGGTAGCAGCCCGGGCGTCGGTATTAGCCGTTGTGCCGAGTCAACGTCTCATCTTGCGTCGTCCGTGAAGAGTCAGGACAAGTGGGGTTCGGAAGCAAGAGCAGCCAAGGGTGCCGATCGACTCATTGCTTCGGATTAGAACGTGTTCGGTTTTGTCGTCTGAGACCGAGGGCCGAGAACAAATCGATATGTGCCGAAAGGAGTGTTGAGAGGAACACATTGATCGAAGCTCCCAAGGCCACAAGCGAGTATGGTGTTCTTGAACCAAGAATGGGTGTGGGTGCCGTTGTGTCGGCGCTGGATACTTTAGACGATGCAGTCGTAAAAAGAAAGAAATAATAAAAAGTGCATAAACTCGAAGAACTGTGAAAGTCGATCAAATGAGCGTTCGTTGCCAGACAGCTGCAGAGGAGGGAGCTCAATGCTCCAATGACTCGAGGGTCATGTCAAAAAGCTCCTCGCAGAAGTGGTCGAGCTCAATGATTTTGAACTGGTGGCCCCATCGCTTGGCAAACTCGGGTTCCCGCCAGGCGGACGAGATGTTGCGACTCCAGCCGTACAACTCAATGTTCCAGCCGACAGCCAGTACTCGCTCAATGTTCTTCTTAAACCCGTCCGAATACTGGGCAGTTGCAGCATCGCCAGTGGCGAGCACCATGGTGGCAGGGTAGGGCGTGTCCATGGCGCTCTGGAGAATCTTGAGGTGCAGCAGCTCGTCCACACCCTGCTCTCCGTTCTTCATCGGTAGTCCCATGAAGCAATCCTCGCCAGAAGTCTCAGCTCCAGATGTATGAGCATCCGGGTCACGGGTTCCCACCTTTGCCTTACGCTTGCGCACAGGTGAAAGTGCAGGCTTGGGAACGCGCTCCAGGATGTTCATCTCGTACTTGAGCTCTTGAGCCTGTACCATATATGCAGGCCAGCGTTTGTTGTACGAGTTAGCCAGAGAGCCTGCGACAATCCTTTTCGCAACATTTCGGTCGCGAGTGAGGATTGTGTCGAAGTTCTTGAACGAGAAGGGAGGAGCCATGACACGCTTGTTCACCGCGATGCCGCGGCTCTCCTTCATGCTGTCGTAAAAACCAATGATGATATTGGAGAGGTCGATGAAGATGTGAACAGGGTTCCGCGCGACGGAACCCGAAAAGCGATCACAGCGCAGTTTGGCGTCGTCGAGCTTCAACTCGCCGAGCTTGTGCCGAAGATAGCGCTCTTTGCCGCGCTTCGTGGTCCAGTACTTGGGAACAAGCTGGTCAGGGCCGAACTTAAACCCAATTTCGTAGCACGTGAAGCCCATCCAAGGCTGTTCTTTGGCCACCGGGAACTTGCTGGTCTTGGAATTCGGCGAAAAGGGACTCGACGAAGAGTGCGTGGAATAGGTCGTGACGGCCACTGAGTCGGTGGGCTTGAGGGCATGGTCAAAAGCAGGAAACGAGAAAAGTGGCTGGCTCAGACCGGTGCCGAGACGGCCTCCGTGCGTCTGAGCATGCGAAGGGAAAGAACGTGGTGCCGAAGTTGGGCCGAGCTCATCGGCGAGGCTGGACGGGAGCAAGGCGACACCGCCATTTGAATCATCATAGAGACCGGTGACCGACTCGAGGTCAGGAGACGACAAGCTCTCGTCTGCAGAGCATCTAGGGCTGTTCCAATGAGCAGAGTCCGACGAGGTCTCGCTGCCGTAGTCCGGAATGGAGCCGTGCGGCGAGGTAATGAACTTAGCAGCATGCTTGAGCTGCGGGGTAATCTGGCTCTTATCAATGTCGGCAGAGTGGGAGGGGACGGTTGTGCTGAAGTTCATGTCGAAAACTGCTTTGTCGGACTTGATGCATTCCGGCATGATGCTGGCAAGCTGCGGAAAGGTTGGAACTTTGAAGCCCTCGTTCATCAGTCGCTCGCGCGTAGCGGCGTTCCAGCGAGCAATGAATTCAGGCCCATGACTGATTATTGTCGTTGTGGTCGTCTCAGCCGTGTCCTTGTTGACATGAATGTTCTGGGGCGGATGAAATGTCTCTTCGTCAAGGCGCTTCAAGCGCTCATCTCTCGCAGCCTTCCAGCGAGCCTTTACTTTAGCGCTTGCGGAGTCGAGAATCTTGTCGGCAACTTGCTTAGCGAGCTTCTCAGCTGGCGGACCATCCATGCCTCGAAGAATTGCATTGGATAGCGCCAACGCTGCAGCGCCGCCCGCGTCGTCCTGTGCATCCTCAATCTCGGCCAGCAATTCCAGACGTCTTGCCTCTGTTCGCTGGTAGTTCGCCGATTTCATCATGTCGATGACCTCGGGGTCGATTCGATTGACTTCATCTTGAAGGGTCTCAAGCTTCACCGTGTTGTTCGGACCCTCCTCCAGTCGAAACTCTTGAGCCGGGCCGGTAAACAGCTGGGCTCGATCCTCATCCGAGAGTTGCGTCAGGTAGTATGAGTGGATCGGGTGGCCAAGAGAGAATGTACGCGTCCACTTGGCGAGAAGGTCAAAATCGGCCCCAAGTCGTCGGCTGTCGTGCTTGGCACGGCCGAAGTATGTAGTCGAGGTCATCGTGTTTCCTCAAGAATCGCAGAACGAGGGTCGGAATACGGACGAGTTATCGACTTTGACTCGGATTTCCCATCACCGGTTGAACCGAATTTTCCCAGCGAACCCCAATGTTGCAGAACTAAATCGCGATAACGCTATACTGGACGGCGGAGGTGGCAGAATCTGTTGTGCCTTGTTGGAAATCAAAAACTAGCGACTTTTCGCTTGAGAATCGTGATGAAAATGAGCTGATTTGGCTCGTAAACTACGTATAATGCGAAGTGCGTGGGAGTGATGAGAAAATTACGGGGAGACAGGAGAGTTTTGTCCGTTCGGTTTGTCAGTCGGGCGGAAGGGAATGGCGAGGAAGAGGGAGGCGGATTAAGTTCGAGAGGCGGGGTTTATGAACGTTCGCTGACGCGAAAGCATTGTATGCATCTCGATTTCGAATTCGTTTCGTTTGCAAATCGGGCGCAGGAGATGGGAAGATGCGCTGCAACTGCAAATCCGCAGTGAATCCGTGGGTGACAGTTTTTGTGTTCAGAAAGAAGCAGAAGGCGAAGCCTCAATAAACATTCGGGAGGTTCTTGATGATTTGGCTAAAGTGGGGCCCCCGGTATGACTTGGCCATGATTTTATGGGGCAGCTCGCAGAGCCGCAGAAAACCTTGCTCCTCCATCGTCTCTGTCCAAGTTCATACCTTTCGATATTTCCGAAGAAAGTGCAGAACCAAATTCACATTCGAGTCCACATGAATCCTTCATCCATTTCCTTTATAATTCCTGCCCAATCACTCCCCAGTACAGAGCCATAGAGAAACAGAACAGAACACGATAGGCCAAGACACTAACAAACGAATCACGATCGCATCGAAACACAGCGCCAGCTCCATCAAAAATGCGTCAGCCGCGAATCGAACGCGGGGCCCATCGATGGCAACGATGGATTTTACCACTAAACCACTAACGCAGGAATTTGCTCATGAAGAGTTAGATTAGCATATGGAGCACCTTCAGGTTATATGGGTACTGCGTGGAGCACCGTAGGGGACACACCCCTTAGATATTTGCTAGGACCTTTGTGGGTCAAAGGGACTTTCCCCGACAACATTTGAGCCATGGAGGACTGCCAACAAACTCATCATTTCGGTGCGTAGACAAACGCAAGCTGGTCCACCTCATCCCCAGCCTGCCCAACAAAGCCGACGATATGCCATCCCCCGGGCGCCACAAACGTTGCGCAGCTCGCCGTCGCCGTGCCCGCCGCCAGGGCGCGTCCGGACGAGGTCGCCGCCCTGATGTAGAAAATGCGCGTCTTCCCGTCCTTCTCGCCCTTGCACAGCCTCGCCTCCACCCAGTACTCGGACGCGCCCAGCGCGAGCGACGCCGCGGTCCCGCTCGTACCGCCGTGCGTCAAGGTGGTGCCGTCAGTCAGCATTAGCCCGACGCTGTCGAGGCGCGACGCGCCGCGGAAGGTCAGGGTTGCCGGCTTGGGCTTCCCGGTTGTTGATGTCTTACTCGCGAGCGTGGGCGCGTCGCTGAACCACGCGCCGTAGTCGCCCCCGAAGAATGCGCTCTGCCGCAGCGATGCGCCGGCCGACCATATGAAGTCGGCGTAAATGGGGTTGTGGTCCGACAGGATGCTGCCGTTGGCCTGCAGGAAGCGGGTGCTCTCGTAACGAAACTCTGTCGCGCTTAGCGTCACGAGCGGCGAGGACCGGTAGAAGATCTTGTCGACCGTCTCGCATGTGTGGACGGTACTCGGGTTAGCGCACAGGTTCTCCGCGGTCGGGACCACGCCACCCCGCTGCAGCTGCACCCACGGGTCGGTGAAGCCGCTGGCAAGCAGCGAGCGGACGGCCGTGTCGTCTGTCCGGCTGTACCGGCTGTTGGTGTCGCCGAAGACTACCACGGCGTTGCCGGTGCTCCATGCGGCGATGTAGGCTGCAACTTGGTTGATGTTGGCCTGACGGGCGGTGATGTCACCGGCTTCGACGCCCGCGTCGGTGTGGATGTTGTACAAGTCGACGTATACCGCCGTCGTGTTGTCGCTTGAGCGAGACAGAGCCAGCCGCATGAAGGTGAAGCCCTTTGGTGTCAAACAGTCCCCGGAGCCGATGGAGCACTGATCCCATTTGATGCGTCTGAAGTTGACCCAGTCATACTTGGACAGGGTATTGAGGCCATCCCCGAAAGGCACGCCGCCGGATGTGGCTGTCCTGTAAGTATGGTTGTCGGTAGCATAGAGGTAGGCGTGGTAGTTGAAGTCCTGTCAGGTCAACGGTCAGCATGAGTGGTTTGCACTGCGCACATAAACTGTAACAATCAGATATCCCAGCATACCTCCTGGACGTGGATGGCATCATAACCGTACTGGGTAAACTTGGAACCAATCAGCCCGGCGTTCGTTGCTTTGTCGCCGGGCACACCATTGCCTTGCAGGATGGCGGGCAGGCCAGCGACGTTCATGGCCAGAACATTGAAGCGGCCAGATGTTGCTGCTGCTGCCAGCACTCCATCGAGAAGCAGGGCTGCGGAGGTTGCGACACTCAAGCCTAGTGCTCTCTTCATCTTCGCAATGTGCTCGCAAAGAGACAAACAGCCGGGTAGAGGGAGGGGTTTTCCGCCTGCTGATCCATCGTAAAACGATGTCTCTCGTCAGCTTTTATAGTCAGTCATTCAACATCATCAACAAGAGATTGAGCATGGTCAAGCCATGCGACGCTGAAACTGAGGTGTACTCCGTATGTCTCGTAGCGTAACATCGTGACTGCCGACATATGCAAGCAGTCCTTGCTGAGATACATCGCTTGAGTTCGGAATAGCATCGCCAACATCCACGTGAAAGAAGTAAGTGGATGACAAAGGCAAGTGTATGTCTGAGGTTACCCTCGCTTCCCGCTCCGCGTCCGGGCCGGCATGTTTTCCCGATCAGTGACCGATGCTCAGTTCTTGGGCTGTTTATTCCCGGCACGATATCACCTTACGCAGACGGCCCCGCTACGCCGAAAATGGAGAGCCCATTCATTGATCCTCGTTCGATCACACGTATGCGATACTAGTACAATGCCCCAAGCTAGACTCCAGTTCACGAGCCGAAGACATCTCGTCGTTCGGTATGCGACGAATCATACCCCAGCTCCGGAGCAGCACGAAGAGGCGTACAATCCAAACCTGACTGTTCGTTTGGCGTGGCACATGGCGGGTCACTAGACATGATCAAGTAGGATACAAGGAAACAGCGAAAAGATGGAATGTACCAGGAGAAACTAAGATGAGGAGAAGAAGACATGGAGAGATGAGCGGGGGAGAGAGCGCGCGCGCGAAAGGGAGATAGGGAGAGCCGAGACAGACAGAGACAGAGAGAGTGTGTGTGAGAGAGACAGGAAGGAGAGGGGAAGAGCGAGGAGAGAGAGAGAGAGAGAGAGAGCGAGAGAGAGAGAGAGCGAGAGAGAGAGAGAGCGAGAGAGAGCATATCAGAAGCCTAAAGTGAAGGAAGATGCAGCGTAATGCCTATTACAGAAGCTTCACGCTAACAGACAAACCAGGGTTAGATAGTATAGGCCTGTTCTTCCTCGAGTTTCCCCTGCCAACCCCAATATCAACGCCGTATCCGTAACCCAGCCCTGCCCAATCCGGTCTGGTAAGCCGAAACCTCGAATGATGGACAGCCGCGACATCGATATAAAAGAGCAAAATAGACGAAAGAAAGAAACCAAGCGACGCAGATGGTTACACAGCCTCCTCTATTCAATTGTTCCCATACCTCCTAACCCGAATCTGCTCCTCCGTCAACCCCTCGACAGCCTCCTTCTCCAGTCTCCTCATCTCCTTCCACCTCTCAAACCCAATCGCCTGATCCAGCACCTTGGTCCCGCGCTCAATCTCCGCCGCCCACGCGAGCATGACCTGCTTGAGCATCTCCTGCCTGCTCTCCCGCTCCGCATCAACATCGCGCTCGGCTTGCTCGCCAACATCCTTCATGGCAGCGCGCTTCTTGTTAGCCTCGCGCTCTCTCTCGAGCGCCACGTCGCGCTCCTTCCTCTTGCGCGCGCGCTCCTCGCGGAGCTGCTTGATGCTGGCCAGGTGGCGGACGCTGTGGCCCAGGCCGGCGTACTGTTCTGCCACGCCGCCGTTGCTGCGGGGGCGACTGAGCGGCGGGGCCGTAAAGAAGAGGACGCGGCCATTCTCGTCGCGCTGGAACTGCTCGCGCACCTCGTCGGGGATCGCCTGGTCGATGGGGTCTTGCAGGGTGTACACCTCGGGCGCGCGCGGCACGTTGTAGACCTGGCCAGGGTTGATGTGTGGGGCGGGCGTGACGCTGGGTGCGGGCGCCATGGGCGGGCGAGACGGCGTCATGGCGGCGGGCGCCGGATGCACCGGGCGATGGTGCTGGTCGAAGGCGGGAGCGATGTGGGCGGGTGTCTGGTATTGCATCTGCTGTGGGGCCATCTGCTGGGGCTGCACCACGAACTGCGGTGGATACGCCTGGGGTGGGTAATGGGGGCTTGGCTGCATTTGTGGCATCCCAGGATGTTGCGGCACGTGCATTGGCATCGGCAGCTGTGGCTGGAGATGGACTGGTGCCTGGTGAGGAGCAGGCTGTGGAACGGGGCGCGGCTGGAAGTGCTGCATTTGGAAATGAGCAGGCGACGGAGCAGGCCCCGGAGCGACGGCCGTGTGATGGTGATAGGTCGGTGTCGCCGCCACGGGGATGTTGGCTTTAATGGGCACCTGGGTAGGCGCGATTGCAAGCGGCACAGGCGCGACCACGGCGGGCAATGGATGAGGTCCCGGAGGAGGCGATTCCTTCGTCTTTGTCAGCTTACTCTGCTTTCCCGTAGAGTTACCCAAATGATCGCTGGATGCCTTAGGGAGTTCCGGCCGTAAAAAGCCCAATGAGTACCCAAGATTGACCTCGGATCAGGTAGGAAGACCCGCTGAAATTGAATGAATGATGTTGGGTTTGCAAAGTGAGGGAGAATTACGGCAGATAAAGGTGCGGGAGAAAAGAGACAGGTGCCAGCTGAAGGCAAAGGAAGGGACACCCAGTGCTAGACACGCACATAAGGCGGGCCCCAAGGAAACCACAACGGGGCCAGGTTGTAGTAGACTTACATTCGGCTCTCGAGGACGACGGTGTACTGCTCCAATCAAGGGCGGCGCGTTCGGGCTACGCCAGGTCGGCTTCGGGAGGTCGTCGGTCTCTTTAGCATCGGCCTGCAACAAGTGCTTGATCGGGCTCGGCACTTTTCTCAGGTTCCGCGGCACATCAAACAAGTCCATCTCGTAATCCTTGTCGCGCACCTCGTCTGGCAGGCAACTCGTCCAAGTCTTGATCTTGTTGAACTTGAACCTCTCTTCGTTGTACCGTGCCTCGCAGACGTAGACAGACTTGTCGGCTGGCAGCCCCCGCGGTCGACCTCGTGGATAGCGTGTGATGAACATGACGAAACAGCGGTCCTCGACATCCTCGATGCGGTGATCGCGGTATTGTCCCGTCTTGACCACCTCGTTTTCGTAGAAGTGCTTATCAAACCGGTGGACGGTTTGTTCGGGGCGATAGTACCAGCACGCATTTACCCATTTCTGGCTTGTTGCATCTGACCAAGTCCGGTAGATCTGGGCGACGATCGGTTTCGACAAGTCATTCGGGTTGCGAATATGGACCCAGTCGCCTGCATGAAGTCAGTCAGATCTCAGCGGATGAGGAAGAGCGAAACCTCGTTCACTCACCAACTCTCCAGACCTCTCCCTTATGCTCAATGCCAGCGAGCGGTAGCCGCCCGTCCTCATCACGAAAGTCGTCGTCAGGCTTAGCCTTTTCCTGCTCGGCGAGAAGACGCGCCTGAGTCATTAACTCCACCGCATCTTGGTAGACTTCGCTACCCTCCTCATTGAACTGCTTGGCATTTTCGAACATGAGCTCCAAGTCCTGGAGAGCCTGATCGACACTGTGGTACTTCTTGCGCTTGTGCTTCTTCTTGATCGTATCGAACGCGATGGGGTTTCGGATAGCAGCATAATAGTCCGGCAGTTCAGCCTTGTCGGGCAGCCTCTCGAAATGGAGGATGCGCGGCTGGCCGCTCTCGTTCTTGAACCGGCGCAACCCTTTAAGAATGGCCTGGATGCGGGCTTCGAGAGGGGTGAAGACCTTGGGTGGTCTGCCGCGCTTCTTCTGAGCGTCGTCGCCGTCGTCTCCGGCCTTTCTGGCTCCAAACTGCCGGCGGCGTCTCCCTGGCCGGCGCCGGCCGCCTTCTTCGTCCGAGTCCTCATCTTCGTCGTCCTCTTCCTCTTCATCGTCGTCTTCATCTGCCTCTTCCTCTTCGTCCTCGGGCGGAGGAGAGTCCTCAAACTCGGGTAAAGGCCCTAGATCCGGGATCTCGGCATCCTTGGCAGTAATAACCTCTTCCTTGACCATTTCGGCAAGTTTCTCCTTGAGAACTTCCAGCAGGCGGCCGGCATCGGAGAATACGGGGGCAGAGGGCCTGTTATAAACCTGCGCATTGTGGCATATGCGAGTGACATCGTGCACAAACTCGTTGAAGGCCCTATAGGACTTCTTGCCGAGCTTAGCCTGCACAGTAGTCCAAGTCAGCCTTGTTTTTAGTCTGGGACATGGAGAACTGGGTTTGCAGCTCACTCTGATGGTGCTAAAAGCCATCGGCTCCTTGATCACCTCAAAGTAGTCGGGAAGGCTGCGCTTGTTCACAAGGCGCTGGAACCCTGAAGCGATCTCGTGGTCCCTGGAAGTAACCAATCAGCATCGTGCCGCAAATGCGACATGTGAGAGAGCGCCAAAACGTACTCTCCATCGACCTTAATTGTGTAGCGGCACAGATACTCAGAGGTATCCTTAATGAGCTGCAGCGTGTTGCGCCATTCCTCTTCTTGCCGTGCCTGTTCGTTCATATCGTCCGGCTCGCCCTCTGCATCGGCATCGGCATCTGCATCGGCATCGGCATCGGCATCGGCATCGGGGTCCGTGTCACCGTCGGCATCCATGTCGACGTCTTCGTCCTGTTCGCGCGCGGGGCTGTCGGCGTCGTCCATCTCAATATCGTCGTCGACATCACCTTTAGCCTCAATGTATTCGCGCACCTCGATCGCGTCGCCGGGCATGCTGTTTCTACGCTTTCTTGGGGTCGATCTTGTCGCAGTCGGAGAGTTCTGAGAAGCCTTCTTGGCAGGCGACATCTCGCCTCTGCTCGGCCTTTCACGCAGAGTGGGCATTGCGGCAACGGGAGGCAGGGTTTCCAAGACTCTTACGTGTAGAGGGTACCTCAACCGACCGAGCGAGTCAGTTGCGACTTGGGATTCTCCACAATGAGAAGGCACACAGCAGTGTTCAGCGCGATTGGGATGGGAGCCGCTGTTACCGGAACGCGCTAAAGCCCCGATAACTGCCTAGCGCCATTCATTACTGCCGATTGGATGGCAAGTGACAATGTGGGATCAGGATTGGCTCGTGCTGCCTCCACGAGGTAATCCGCAAGTTAAACGTGAAACCTGGCAGACCAGACCACCAGCTCACGGCATTTGAGTGGCCGTTGTAAGTCTTGCTCCTAGAGCAATTTTCAAGCCTTTGGTGACTTCTTAGCTTCCATTCTCCAGCAACGCTTCAAAATCATTTTGATACCTGGAACCAGGATTCTTAGCAGACGCGCTCACATAACAAGGTTCTCCAGGAATCAGAGCGGCCTAAGCATATGAGGTAAGCTCGATTGGGCAGGTCTTGGCCAACGGCGACCTCAGCCTGGCAACTTGGCTTCGAGCTGAACACGCCCGTTTACACGCACAACCTACCGCTATTCGAGCCAACGGACAAGCTTCTCTGGCCTTCCACGGCTCACTCCTTCCCTGTGCTCACTCATCAACTCACTTCGCCTCCTCAGCACCGGATCCTGGTTCAAGTTCCCAGTCAACCAAGGAATCAGGAGTGGCGAAGGAAGCGTGGCCTGTTTCTATACTTTCTCGACGCTTTACTCTGCATTTCACCTATCGAGCCTCGTTCGGTATTATTCTTGCACTTCTCTGTATGTATATACTAGTACATACGTACGGAACTTACTGAGAATATCTCTAGGGGCCTCCGTAAACCCACCCTCAGCAAAGTACAAAGCAACCTTAATTATCGCTCGAGAACTTGAACCTGATGATAGAGATCCTGCCGCCATGTTGATTCAAATCAGCCTCCGCTCACCAAACGGCCAGTCGCGAGTTCAAATCGACGACGATGCCACCCTAAGAGAGCTGGTGGAGACGATCAAGGCCAGAACCGAGCTGAGCAACTTCTCGCTCAAGTACGGGTACCCGTTGAGAAGTCTCGACATCAGCCCGACCTCGCAAGACGCTAGCATCAAGGACCTGAAGCTCAGGGGGGAGACCATAGTTGTTGCTCCCGTCGACACTGCACCCCCGACCCCCGCACTACAGCCTGCTTCGACTGAGCCCAAGCCCAAACCCTTCACCCCGAAAGGGATAGAGCCGGATGAGACGTCTATGGAATGGCCGGAGCGGGGCGGATATATTGGTGAGTCTCGGGTAGACGTGTGTTGGATGTGATGGCTGACAACAAGAACCCTTAGTGCTCCGTGTCATGCCGGATGACAACAGTTGCATGTGTGAGTGGCACTCATACCCCGTTAGTAAGTCATCTGAACTGGTAACGCTAATCTATGCCGCAGTCACGGCCTTCGGCGGTGCCATCGGCTTAGAGAACCCGTCTCGCACCCTCAGGAACCAAGTGGCCGATTATATCCTCGGCCATCCAAACGAGTACACCAAGGCCATCCTCGGGGACGAACCCGAACGATACACGTCCCGGATGCGGCAGATGGACACCTGGGGCGGCGCAATTGAGCTCTCTATCCTCTCAGATATCTACAACCTCGAAATCAGCTCCATTGACGTCAAAGCAAGCCTATCCCTCCCCTTCCCCACGGTGACCCCTTGCTGACCCCCTGGCCAGTCCCTCCGGGTGGACCGCTTCGGTGAAGGGAAATCAAACCGCGTCATCATCCTGTACTCGGGTATCCACTACGATAGGATAGCGTTCTGCATGGACCTGAGCTACCCGGTCGAGGTGGACGTGACGCGGTGGTCGACCGACGACGACGAGGTCCTGGAGAAAGCCCGCCAGCTGGCCCAGCGCCTGCAGAATCTGCACTACTACACAGACACGACCGACTTTGTCATCAAGTGCGAGGTGTGCCACTGGATCGGGCAGGGCACGCGGGAGGCAGCCAAGCACGAGAGGGAGACGGGGCATAGTCGGTTTGGGGAGCTGCAAATTACAGATTGAGGGGTGAAGCCAATCGATCGTGGAATACAACGAGTTTACTTAGAGATGAATTGCGAATATAGAGGCAGTTACAAAGCTCGCGGCCGTGCCTGCAGCAGCTAATTGGACTGGTGTCATGTTTTCACTGCACCACGGGCACGTGAGAGTCGGTCCAGCGCACTCACCCCTGACCACGGAGCCTCACAATGCCAGCCTTCATTCGTCTTTGCAATCTCACTAACTTCCGTGAAACCACCCCATTGCTGTTGAACTCTAGCACCCAGCATTATTACCAAGAGGCGCCTTGAGTGCCCCTATCCATAGTCGAAATCATCGAAACTCAAATCATGAGGTATCCGTTCTATCATCCATCTCGCCCTTCCGCATCTAACCAGTAGATATACAATAATTAACGATACCACCAACACCAGTAAACATACAAGCCAGCTCCTCTCGCTTCTGACATCCGATGACAACAGGGCGAAGCAGAAATGCATCGCTCATAGACACCCAGTGGCCACCGCCAGCACTGCAGACGCACCTAGAACAAATAACAGGCTCGTCCGTAACTCGTCCGCTATCGAAGCCGGCTGATGAGGACCTGTGGCGGGAGGGCGGTGCTGATGAAGGGGCACACACGCCTAGTCGATGCCCCATTCCGCATCCGCGCCATCTCTCCTTTGTTCTCCGCAACGGGCAGCGCCACCATGTCCACCAGTCGTCGGCCTGTCCGCCGACTTCTCATCGCCATCAGCAGCAGCAGCAGCGGCGGCCGCCGCCGCCTCCACTTCTGAACTTGAGCTACTCGAGCTCGCCCCATCCCTCGCAGCAACGCGCGGCATATCTAACGGCCCAATGTCCTCCTCCTCCTCCTCATTCCCGTCTGCCTCATCGTCATCACTCTCAGGAAATGCCCCCGCCATCTTCATCCTCCCCGGGCCCATCCTCCTCCTCCTCTCCCTACCTGTCCTCGACCAAAACTCACCATCCCCGTCATTCCCATTCCCACCCCAACAATCACTACCATTCCCAAACCCAGCAGTCATACCACTACTCAACCCCTTCTCTACCCCTCTCCTCCTCCTCTCAAACCCAGCCCGATCCTGCGCAAAATCAAACCCATCATCATCATCCTCACTCCAATCCCACGCGACACTAACCCTCTCCCCACCCTCCCCAAGCCCCAATACCAACCCCTTCCACTCGCCCGCGGCAATCCGCGCCGCGACCCTGAGCATCAGGCCGATCAGGTGTGAGGGAGGCGACATCAGTATCTCGCATGTCTTGTGCAAGACTGTGAGCGGGAGACGGCGGACGGCTGCTAACGCACCCTGTTGGCCTTGCGGAGCTTGGCCTGCGGCGGGGGAGGGGCGTCGTCGTTGGAGCGGGCTGAGCAAGGTGGTGGTGGCTGCTGGTGGGGCAGGGGAGAGGGCGCGGCGGGAGGATGGGGAGATGCTTGAGGTTGTTGTGGTTGCGCGGCGGCGGCTGCGGGTGGAAGAGGAGGTTGATGTTTGGGACGGGGATCGTTTAGATGAGCGGGGTTTGGGGGGGGATTGTGATTCCATTTTGGTGGGTGTGGGTGATCGTTCGGTGGTAGGGGCTTGGAGTGGTGGGCTGCGGGTTGCTGAACTGTCGAGCTCATGAAACGATGAGGGCGCTTTTGTGGCACTGCACTCGGATTCGGCGAGAGAATCGGAGGTGGCAAGACTCCATGTTTGGGAGGGTCTTGAAGTCACAGTGTGCTCGAGTACGGCTTGGTTAGTGGTGGTTCCAGAGAGTTCTTGAGTGTGAAGTTGGGGTGCGGAGTTCCTAGGCGACCCGGGAGTTGATAACGGAGGCGATGGCGGAAGAGGTGTCGCGAGCCACGACTCCCGTGCGAGGATAGATTCGGAAGACTCAGTGGGCGGAGACTTGAATTTCTCGGTGGGAACGGTGGTCGGGGTTGATTCCCGAGCTCTCGGTTGAGGAGCGACGATTACGGGGGCTTGCTGTGAAAGGCTCGCAACGTGCGTCGCGCTCGGGCCCGAAGGCGCGTTACGCCTTGGGCTGTAAGATTGGCCGCTTTCAGCTGATATAGGCTCATCGATGGACGGCACCAGACTCCCTGCTTGCGCAGTCAATGCCCTCCTCGCACTCCCAGCGGTTCTCAGGTCGCTCGTGCATATTGATCCCCTGGGTGTCCCCTCGTGCAGACGGGCAATTTCGACTGGGGTGACTGGCGTCAGGGGAAGCGACGCGCTCGATCTGCGCATAGGCGCCCATGGCCGTTTTTGGACGGGCGTCTGCGGCCGCTCCGGCAACTCGACTGTAAAGGATCGTTTGAACGGGCACTCGGTCTTCTCGAACTGCAGGATTGCGTCGAAGACTTCTCGTAGCTGCTGAGCTCGGCGGACATCTTCCTGTTCCTCCACCGGGACCTCTATCCGCCAATACTGTGGTCGCCGTATTTGCAGAACGAACTTGCTCGATTCCTCGTCGACACACCATACCTGGCTCTTAGGGAGGATTGGCTGGAGGGCGGTGCCGCAACTGAGGAAGGCCACCGATCCTGGAGCGCGGTAGATTCTGAACGGACCTGTAACATGAATGGTCAGAAACGCTGTTCGGTCAAGGCAAAGCATTCGTAAGCACATACCGACTGCGATGGTCCGCTCCAGCTGCGAGGACCAGGAGAGCGATCCTGGCTCGATCTCCGGCCCGGATGCTGCCCGCGGACCGACAGAGAGCGAACGGGCTCCTGCGGTGAAAGCGACAATCTTGACGTTTGGATGACCGTACAGCGTGTCGACCAAGCCACCGGCAGACTGAGGAGACGGCCCCGCAGCCGGGCCCGAGGGGGGAGTTGGAGCCGTGAAGACGCGGCGTGGGGCAAAAAAGCCGGAACTCCGTGGTCTCGAGGAGTCCATGGCGTGTGTTCAAGTGCAAGTATTGCGCATTGCTGGTTGTGAAGCGATGGGGCTGCAGGAACAATTGCAAAGTGGAGGGGCGAGATTGGGAAGCGAAGATAGCGGCAACTATCCGGCTTGTCTTTTGGCCGGCGTCAAGGGCGTGCGTCCCAGGACGGAACGATGCGCAGGGCGATCAGCGGGTTTGCAGCCGAATCTATGCTAGCGAAACAGTCCAAGTATTCAGAGAGAGTGCAATGTGGCAGCTCAGTCGATATGTGATTTTTACAAGGAATGGATGCGATGGCGAAGAGGCATGGCGAGGACAACGGTTCGCAGCCGGCTGCAGTGGCTGGATGCAAGTCAGAATCGCTTGCATCCTGGGCCCTGCAAGACGCGCACCATGATCAGCTTGCCACGAGGCTTTCCCCAAGCTCGCGCTGCCATGCCATTGGCGCGCAGTCTCCCTGGAACTCGCGCTTCTTCACACATCCCTCGCATGAGTGTCAAGAGAGTCTCGTTGTTGATGCAGAAACCATCATGCGATATGCGTGTGCTGCACCAGGGGGGTTTTCAAGGTGCAGGATGACCGTCAGTTAATGCAGTACGGCGCTTTAGACTTTAGTTAGAGGTGCATTTCAGCCGCAATTGCAAGATATCTTTCTAACAGTTTTGTCTTGCCTCAGATTCTTGCCAAGGCCGTTGCACCATTTTTGGTCTAGCGTTCTTTAAACAGTAGAACTGACATCATCGACCGATCGGGACTCCGAGAGTCCCAACATGGAAGTTACACACACAATGCTTCAGATGATTGCCAACCTCAAGCTTCAACCCATTCATGTACTGCGGTAGTATAATCAAGATACCCATCTAACCAGAAGGGCATTGATACAAAATCACCATGTCTGTCGATCAGAGACGGCGCCTCGACAAGGACAAGCTGAAGCAGCGTTTTGATGTGTCGCACTTCGACATCAATGCCATCATTCGCGGCATTCAGCTCACCCTAGTCGGCGGTAAGTGACTGTCGACCAATTCAGACCCGTCGATAGGATGTGCCTTTAACACTGATTCTCGACAATAGCCCATCGAGCCCTGCAGAACCCCGAGATTTTTACCTCGCAGCACTACAAGCAGGCAGCCCTCGCCGTCGCTGCGGGCATCGCCATCCGCTTGTTGATAGCCCTCCCGGTCCGTCCACCTACCGTCGGTTCTGTCCTTCCGTTGTTCTCACTAACAGACAACCCCTGATTCCAGGTTTTTGGCATCAAAGTCCTATTATGGTTCCTCTCTCTCTTCCTCCCGCTCGATTGGGTCTCCTGGGATGACAGCCTGGTCAATGGTCTCAGCTTCATCGAGGAGCACGTCCTCCAAGCCCCTCTCTTCTTCATGAGCCTCATGCGCTATGTCACCCCAACGCTAGATGACCTGTACGTTTCTCCCCCACCCTAATTCCGAACACAATCCCCTCACACAATACGCCCAGCTTCATGTCCTCCCTGGCATGGGTCGACCACACCTACGCGCTCAAGCACAAGCACGACCGCGACCCGTCCCAGCTGCGCCCTATGTACTACACCAACCTGCAGCTGTACCGCCCGACCGACGGGCGCACGCACTCGTCTAGCACCGCCGAGTCGGTCACGCTGCTGGTGTACCGCTTCGCGCGTAAGGGGGCCATCTCGCTAGCCGTGTTCGGCGCGTCCTACCTGCCGTACGTGGGGCGGCTCATATTGCCGGCGGCCAGCTTCTGGACGTTTAAGAGGGCCGTCGGGCTGGGCCCGGCGAGCCTGATATTCGGAACAGGCGTGCTCCTGCCGAGAAGGTATCTGGTGATTTTCCTGCAAAGTTACTTTGCGTCGAGGAGCCTTGTGAGGGAGTTGTTGGAGCCGTATTTTGCGAGGATTAAGTTCACGGCGGAGGAGAAGAGGAAGTGGTTTCGTAGTAGGGAGGGGCTGTTGTTTGGGTTTGGGATTGGGTTTCTGGTGTTGTTGAGGGTGCCGTTGTTGGGGGTGCTGGTTTATGGTATTGCTGAGGCGGTTGGTCTTCCCCCTCCCTCTCCCTTGATAAAGTTGAGGGTAATGGCTAATATGCCAACAGAGCACCGCGTATCTTATTACCAAGGTGTCCGACCCGCCGCCGCCTCCATCGGAGAGCGAGGGGTTTACCCAGAGCCAGACCGAGTGGAGGAACAAGCAGAAGTTCTTGAGTCTGTCCCTGGGCAACCTCGATGCGCTTCACGATAAGCCGCCTCCGTACTCGGAGGTTGACCCGCATCCTTCTAGGCCGTCACGGTAGACTGTTGCTTATCTCAGGTAGATGGATTTGGGGTTCTTATTCGAGTCGTTGGGAGCTGAGTTCCAAGACGACTTACGCTTGAACAAGCATATCAAACAACATGAACGGCCGCCAGTGGGCTCCGGTATATGCCCATGTTTCCAATTCCCGCTCTGAGCGGTAATATGCCAACTGGCGGCCAGACCCAACCCTGAACCAGCCAGGCGAGCCCCTTCAAGTTACCATGGCTTAACTGTCTCTCTGACTATACCATGAACACTCTACTGTGTACGATGACGAGAGATACACGGGTCACACATACCGGATGAGACGTACCGGCCTTGATCATTGGGTATCTTATCTTGCAGTAGCAGTATGCACAAGGAGCATAGGGTCTGCATTGCGAAGCAATTGCGGGGTGTGGAGATGCTTATCGACTGGTTGATGATACAGTAGATACAGCCGCGGCGGTTAGAACTGCCAGAACCAGCCAGGCCGTTTCTCCAACTGGATTGATAGGGGTATGTTCGTCTGACTCTCTTGAGCTGTCAATTACGTCTTTGCTCAAAATTGACTGGGGCCTGATAAGTGCAGGTCGGGCTGGGTTCCGGTCTCATCATGCACAGCAGGGAGGATAGGGATGCGGGGTAGGGTACCTTACGTCCGGGTCTTCGGATGGCTTTGGGGACTGGTGGTTTTGCTCATTTGAATGATAGGGGAAAGGGGTATAAAAGGGTGTGGTTCCCGAATCTTGGAGGATTGATATTTCTTGAGGAGCTTATTGTCGATCCATTGAACTGAAACGTTGAAACGGAGACTCGAGGTAAACGCACCTGGTGGGCAAGATGGGAAAGACTGGGATCCGGACAGTGTGCAAGGTCGATTTCGACAGGCCTGCTTCAGAGCAGCCATATCTGCATGTAAGTGTCTGACCTCGGAGCATGGATGGCGGAATGTGAGTAAGCTAACAGGTTCTAGAACAGATGGCATCCTGATAGTCAGTGGTTGCCTTACAGTAGGGGCATGGTCGATAAGTACTGACACGGACAGTCCCATTCGCGGGCATTATCAAGGACGGGGAGACAGTCAAGATCGAGTGCCTTGACTGGTAAGCACCCCCTATGTATCTGCGTGTTGACAAGCCAGCTGACAACGACCAGGACCGGCGGCCAGATCAAGAACGATGACTCGGCCGACGATGTCAAGAACGTCGACCTTACCAAAGTTCACTACCTCTCCGGGCCTTTCGAGGTCGAGGGGGCTGCCCCAGGCGATGTTTTGCTGGTCGAGATCATGGATGTCCAGCCGTTCCAGGACCGGCCCTGGGGGTTTACGGGGATATTCGATCGGCGTAATGGAGTATGACATCCCATTGCACACTCAGGACGCCGTCAAGTCTCACTAACAGCAGAAAAGGGAGGCTTCCTAGACGAGATATATCCTTCCGCGTATGAGGTTCCCCTCCATGCCCCTTGCTAACGCAAAGTTGACCTCCTCCCAGTGCAAAAGCAATCTGGGATTTTGAAGGCATCTACTGCACCAGCCGGCACATACCGCACGTGAAGTTTGCCGGTCTCATCCACCCCGGCATTCTCGGTTGTGCCCCATCTGCTGAGGTGCTCGAGAAGTGGAACAAGCGCGAAGCCGAGCTGATCGCGGCAAACAAGCTTGACCGTGACGTCGCTCTTCCGTGAGTTTCTCTTACTAGTGCTCCATGTAGGCTCGACAGCCGTTGCTGACAATTGCGCACTGCGTTGAACGATTAGGCCGGAGCCGCTCAGCGTCCATGCCGGGAGCGCAGACAAGGACTTGACAGAGAAAGTCGGCCGCGAGGGCGCGAGAACCATCCCCGGACGGCCCGAGCATGGCGGTTCGTCCCCCTTGTCTCTCATACACTTTTATTTCCATTTCCGGTGCTGACGTCCTTCCATAGGAAATTGCGACATCAAGAATCTCTCGCGTGTAAGCCTGCCACTTACTCCCCCTTGGAGACAACCACCCACCTAACCTCTCCCCTTTTCTGCTGCAGGGCTCAAAGGTGTATCTCCCTGTCCACGTTCCTGGCGCCAAGTTCTCGGTCGGCGATCTGCACTTCTCGCAGGGCGACGGCGAAATCTCGTTCTGCGGCGCTATCGAGATGGCAGGGGTCATCACCATCAATTTCAAGGTTATAAAGAACGGCGTCGCCGACCTGGGACTGAAGAGCCCCATCTACATCCCGGGCCCCGTCGAGCCGCAGTTCGGGCCGGGACGGTATATCTACTTTGAGGGCTTCTCGGTCGATGAAGCTGGGAGGCAGCGTACGTTTCTTTTTTGGCCTATCCCTTTCGTTTTCCCCTCCTCTGCCCTCTTATCCTCTCCCGCTTCGCTGCAGTCAACTCATATCCACCGTCCCTCTACCCTGTTCTACAAACGTACTTCAGGCGCAGAGAGCTGACACTCACCCCCTGTCTCCTATAGATTACATGGACGTAACAGTAGCCTACCGCCAAACCACTCTCCGCTGCATCGAGTACCTGCGGCGGTTCGGCTACAGCGACTATCAGATCTACCTGCTGCTGTCGTGCGCGCCAGTCCAGGGCCACGTGGCCGGCATCGTCGACATTCCCAACGCGTGCACCACGTTGGGCTTGCCCATAGACATCTTTGACTTTGACATTTCGCCATCGGCGGCGCTGCCCGTCAAGAAGATGAACATGGGAAGGTGCGCGTTCGAGACGGGCAGGACAGAGGGCGTGGCTTGTGGGGAATCTGGGAAGAACAGCCAGGTTAGCTTTGGGGGTGGGTTGACGTATAAGGAATGAGGTCTCTGTTTGTTTTGGGGGAAGATGGCTGTCCATGCTGGACTCTTTGCTGGATGCTGCCAATTGTCGGTGGAAGGGAAATCCTTGGAATGCGAGCTATTGGGGATCATCACCGTTTCAGTGGGAGGGGAAATATGAAGATGCTTAGAAGCGACAGTCTAAACCAGGTCTGGGTGGCCATGTCCTTTCCATCACGGTGCCGGAGGTGCCTGCAAGACAGGAGCCATCAGTTATGTTTCCTAACTAAATACTACTATGTAGCTCGCTTTGATTGCATTCATAAATCATCCGAGAAGCTGTAGATGCAGACACTCCGGTTCTGGTCCACAACACTCTGAACCGCATTCTAGGTCAGCCTGGCTCTGTCCCTGAACACAACCATTCCCTGGTCGACGCAATCTCCCAAGCCACCAGATGCAGTTTTCTACATGAAGAATCATATATCCCATCTTTATTTACCCCATAGCTCTCGTAGCCATCCCTGCCACTCCGTACTCGTCCCCTCCCCCTTCACCTCCTAGCGTTGAAGTCGACGCTGGCTCGTGCGCTATCGAGACTAGGCCTCACCGAGCAACTGGAGCTGCGGCGTCTCCGCGCTCGCTGCTCCGACGGATCAGACGGCCGCAGACCGCTCGACTTGGCAAACAGGTTGAGAATATCCGTCATGGACACGACGCCCGTCAGGCGACCGGACAAGATGGCGCCAGGCAAGCCGGTCGGTATCACAGTCGTGCTGAAGCTCTGATTCGGGAGCGGAGACTGCGGTGCCGAGGCGTTGGCCGGCAGGGGGATGATGACGGTGCTCGACGGAGGTGGGCTGCCAACCCCGCCGGATCCTGAGTGGGTAGGCGCCGGCCCGGGACCGGCGGGAAAACTCGGTTGGAGGGGGGGTGTTGCCGGCGCGCTGGGAGAAGGCGAGGCGGACTCGACAACCCACATGCGGTGGGACCTGGTTGCGACGAGCTTCCCCACTGTGTGGCCGAGTGTTGAATACGGGTTGACGTGGAACACAGGAAATGAGTCGCGGCCGTGCTCCATGCCGCGTTCTGACAGGATCACGCTGATGAAGTTCATGCATGAGTTCTTGAGGAGCGGCAGGCTGGTTGCGTTCGTGAGGTGCTTGACGTCGGCCGTTGAGATGTTGCCCACGACGTTGAGCCCCTGGTCGACGACGGCGACAGATGTCAGTCCTTCGTTATGCATCAGCAAGAGAGCATCGGTCAAGGGGCGGTCAAGACTGCAGCACATGGGTCAGCATGGAGCAATCTGGCATCAGTGCTCGGGCAGGATACTCACTTGATAGCAATAATCTGGTGCGAGCCGATCTGGAGGTCCCGCAGGAGACACCCATATAGCCTCTCAATTACTGGAAAGTGTGCCGCTTCGTGCCAGAAGAACTCGACGAGGTGCAACTGGGTGAGAACTCCAACCACCTCACCGGCGTGGTTCGTGACCAGGATCCGGTGAATCCCGCTACTGAACGCCTCCATGGCCCCGTCCAGAGTTGCCTCTGCGGGGAATGTTACTAGCTCTTCCTTCCGGGAGAGCGACTGTATCTCCTTGAGTGAGATGTGTTCCTGAGACTGAGCCTTCCTCGAGATGTCGGCGTACAAGTCGACCTGTTCCTCTTCAGGCTTCGCGAGGCCCACGACCACCAGCAGATAGGCGTTTAAGTCGCTGTAATCGAATGTGGAGACGGCTGTCTTGGAGGTTGGAGTCTCGCGAATGAGGACAACATTGGTCGGGTTGTGCTTGAGGAGCAGCTAGTCGCGGGTCGGGTCAGTTGCTTGATACCAATCGCACGGCAATTCAAGCGGGCATACCATAGTCGCATCTTGGACGCTGAGGTCCACGTCGGCCCACCGGACATCCTCGGACACGGTAAGCTCTCCCACGGCGATATCTCGCCAGTCTCTGCCGGCATATCGGGGGTTAGGAAGCCTGTTGGAGGGCGGGTGGTTCATGAGCTCCAGGAGAGCCTGCTGTGTGAGGGAGGGGTGTCGGTGGTTGCGCGGAGACGGCGGCGGGTGTCTCTGGTTCTCGACGAAGCTCTGCCGGTGGGCGGCAACATGGCTGGGTTTGTGAGTGCTGGCACTGCTGGATTGCGAATTGTTCCTCTCCATGGGCGGCGACGCCAACGCACCCAGCGAGTTGCCGGAGGTATTTGCCGCCGCCGCCGTATTCCCTGCGCCTTTGGTAGCTGAGTCGGGGTCCATCGGATTGCGCTTGCGATATCTTGAGAGTGAATCCCAAACCAGATAACGATCCCTGGGACAACCGAGGCTGAAGTTGGGTTGCCTAAGCTCTAGCTTCGAATGATCATTCGAAAAGACACGAGACCAATGCTCCACAATACCAAAAGAGTGCTCAGTGTGAATGCAAAGGCGATGGTCTACGTACAGGGTGTGAGCAATGACGGAGCTCAGACCAAAGCGGGGTTCACTTGTTGCTCGATATCCGTGTTATCGTGCTGTATCTTTGGCACGAAAGGTCCAGTCTTTTTGCAAACAGTGCACAGTGATGTGATGGGGACGAGATAGCGCCAGGTGTTTAATGTTTGCAACCTGGAAGCCAACGAGGGTCTGACACCGATACATCAACTGTGACTTGCGTTTCCGTGGCAAACCAACGCCCGGCGGTTGTTGAAGCCTCACGAAGTCCCCACCGGAGCCATGCTCACCACGCCAAGCTGGAAGCTTCCGATCATAGGGACTCATCGTTGCAAGCTCCACTTTTATTTTTATCAGTGCCTCGTTATCTCACATAATGCAGTCCCTGAGAATGCGAAGTGGTGACCATGTCCTCGAGCCCTGCGCTGTGTGCTCTTGACGAGCATTCATTTGATGCTTGGCTACCATGAGGTATGCTAGGCATGAATTTGGACAGAACTTGCCATAAAGGTTCCCTCCCCCCTGACAAAAAAGACTGAAAACCTACTCCTACTCCTTTACTTACACCTTTACGCCCTACATTGAGGTATGTGCTCCTTTCCCCCCCCTTTCCCCCAAGAGAAAAAAAGAGAGAAAGAAAGAAAAGAAAAAAAGCATATAAGCGCAAGAGCTAGACAAGCTGAAGGCATCCATCTGTATTTCCATTGCTGTCTTGCAGCCCTCCTCGAAAGAGACAGAGGACCACCGTGCACACACTGTACATATCCTACGTCCAGACCTGCCAGGTACGGAGGTCACGGTTGCAGTATAGGATTTGCAAGCTTGTTCAAACCAAAACCTAAGGTGCTGCCCGTGTGCTGTATGCCTACAGTTATAGGGAGGAACAGGGACATTCAATATTTTACACACGGGTACGCCAAAAGAGCCATTTCGGTGACGTTGTAACACAGGACAATGTGACCAAATCCGGTCTGAATCTCTAGGTGTACGGTGCGTTATCGCAAACGTACTGTATGAACAAAGCCTGCCCCTCCAAGCCAGGCCAAGAGTGAGCCAATCATAAAATATTTTGCTCCCCTCCTTCGCACGTCGGAAACCCCTCCTCGCGACTCGTCCGTTCCACAGGCTCGCCAGGATTGTTTTCTTTCCTCCTCTCGCTTTCCTCACCTTCCGACGCGTTATCCGTCTTAAACTGCGCTCTGCTGCGGCCAACGTGGCTAACTGACGTGTTTCAAGGAGTCATCGCTCGCACTGCCCATCTGGCGCTGCCCGAAGCTCGCTTCCCCGCCTGGTTCGGGTAGCAAGGGCTGACACGAAAACTTGGCCATCCAAGGCATCGACCGGGACAGCGTGACGCGAACTTCTAGTTCACCAAGACAGCCGGCGGCTATAGCTCGCGATCGTATTTCACATCCAACAGTCTTCCCTATTCTTCAAGTCCCTTAGTCAAGCATGTCGCTCTTGCCCGCCGAGGTCAGCGCCCAACTGGTTCAGCTGCTCCAGCAGCTCCAGTCGGCCGACAACAATGTCCGCTCGCAGGCCGAGGACGTGCTCCAGAATCAGTGGACCAGCCAGCGGCCCGAATGGCTCTTGATGGGCCTGGCCGAACAGATCGCGACGTCGACTAACCCGTCTGTATGTCGTTCAGCCCCGCCGGCTCAAGCACACATCGATGCTGACCCTTTGCTCACCAGTTACGGTCCTTCGCGGCAGTAATCTTCCGCCGGATAGCCTCCAAGACCCGAAAGATTGGCAACTCGGACAACGTCGACATGTTTATCTCCCTCGACAAGGAGCATGGAACCATCATCCGCTCAAAGGTCTTGGAGACCCTGGTGACAGAGAGCGATAAGACTGTCCGGAACAAGATCAGCGATGCTGTTGCCGAGCTTGCCAGGCAATACTACGACAGCAGTGCGTTGCAAGATGTGGCAATGGGAGCACTCGCGGCCCGCATACTGACATGATTCGCAGACGACTCGTGGCCGGAGCTACTCCAGGTTCTCTTCACACTCAGCCAGGCGCCGGATGCTGGCAAGCGCGAAACCGCCTTCCGTGTCTTCGCAGCGACGCCGGGCATTATCGAGAAGCAGCACGAGGATGCGGTGGCCCACGCATTTGCTCAAGCCTTCAAGGACGACTCCGTCGCGGTATGTGAGGACAGGGATGTTCGGCTGTCTGCATATGCTGACTGCATGCAGGTTCGCCTTGCTGCCATGGAGGCCTTCGCAGCGTTTTTCCGCAGCTTGAACAAGAAGAACCAATCCAAGTATTACGTCCTGCTCCCTGAAGTGCTCAACATCCTCCCGCCCATCAAGGATTCCCAAGACTCCGACGATCTCAGCAAGGCGCTCGTCGCTCTCATCGAGCTCGCCGAAGGGGCGCCACGGATGTTCAAGCAAGTCTTCAACGTTCTCGTCCAGTTCTGCATCTCGGTGATCCAGGACAAGGAGCTCACCGATCTCTGCCGGCAAAACGCGTTGGAGCTGATGGCCACGTTCGCCGATTACGCGCCGTCGATGTGCAAGAAGGACCCCAATTACACCAATGATATGATCACGCAGTGCCTCAGCCTGATGACCGACCTGGGCGAGGACGACGATGATGCGGCTGAGTGGCTTGCGGCGGACGACCTCGACGATCCCGAGAGCGACCAGAATCACGTTGCCGGCGAGCACTGCATGGATCGTCTCGCCAACAAGCTGGGCGGTATGGTCATCCTGCAGCCAACCTTCAACTGGCTCCCTCGTATGCTGTCCTCTCCTGCCTGGAGGGACCGCCATGCGGCGTTGATGGCAATCTCGGCCATTTCGGAGGGCTGCCGGGACCAAATGATCGGAGAATTGAAACAAGTCCTCGAGCTTGTTGTTCCTGCCTTGAAAGATCCCCATCCCCGTGTCCGTTGGGCCGGGTGCAACGCGCTTGGCCAGATGAGCACAGATTTCGCACCGACGATGCAGAAGGAGTATTACGATGTCGTTCTCTCGGCCATTGTTCCTGTCCTCGACTCGCCAGAGGCCCGCGTCAAATCCCACGCGGCTGCTGCTCTGGTCAACTTTTGCGAGGAGGCCGAGAAGAGCGTCCTCGAGCCCTACCTCGACGGCCTTCTGACTGCTCTCTACCAGCTCCTCCAGAACGAGAAGCGATACGTCCAAGAGCAAGCGCTGTCTACCATTGCCACCATTGCTGACGCGGCTGAGCAAGCCTTTGCTAGGTACTACGACACACTAATGCCCATCTTGGTCAATGTCCTGAGGCGTGAGAATGACAAGGAATACCGGTTGCTCCGGGCAAAGGCGATGGAGTGCGCGACCTTGATTGCGCTCGCGGTTGGTGCTCAGCGGCTCGGCCCGGATGCCGCGATGCTCGTCCAGCTGTTGGCAAGCATCCAGGATACCGTGCAGGACCCGGATGACCCGCAGGCCCAGTACTTGATGCATTGCTGGGGCAGAATGTGCCGCGTCATGGGCAAGGCTTTCCTCCCTTACCTACCAAAGGTCATGCCGCCGCTGCTCGAGCTTGCGAGCGCCAAGGCCGACATCCAGCTCCTGGACGACGACGAGCAGATTGAGAAATTTCAGCAAGAGGACGGCTGGGAGTTGGTCCCGCTTCGCGGCAAGACCATCGGCATCAAGACGAGCTCGATGGACGACAAGCATATGGCCATTGAGCTTCTTGTCGTCTATGCCCAGGTCCTCGAGGAAGACTTTGCCCCCCATGCAGACGAAATCATGGAGAAGATTGCGCTGCCCGGCCTTGCCTTCTTCTTCCATGATCCCGTCCGGTTTGTGTCGGCCAAGCTCGTCCCGCAGTTGCTCAGTTGTGTCAAGAAGGCGTACGGGCCGCAATCGGAGCAGCTCGCGGGTCTGTGGAACAAGACGGTCGATAAGCTCCTCGAGGTGCTCACGGCGGAACCGGCTGTTGATACCCTTGCCGAAATGTACCAGTGCTTCTACGAGTCGGTCGAGGTTATCGGTCGGCCGTGTCTCACCGACGCACACCTGGCTCGGTTCATTGAGGGGGTCAACTCGACGCTGGAGGATTACAAGGACCGTGTCAGCCAGCGCGAAGAGGAGCAGCGGGGCGCCGCACCAGAGGATGTCGAAGACGAGCAGGAAGAATTGCTCATGGCCATCGAGGACGACCAGACGCTGCTCTCCGACATGAACAAAGCATTCCACTGCGTCTTCAAGTATCACGGCGCCAACTTCCTCCGCCACTGGGAACACCTACTTCCGACCTACCAGGGCTTCCTCAAGTCCAACGACCCGACCCAGCGTCAATGGGGACTGTGCATCATGGATGATGTGCTCGAGTATTGTGGGCCCCAGAGCAGCCAGTATGCCAACTACATTACCCAGCCGCTGCTGCAGGGCTGCCAGGACCCGTCTCCGGCGATCCGCCAGGCGGCTGCCTACGGCATTGGTGTGGCGGCTCGCCACGGCGGCGATGCGTGGTCAGCGTTTCTAGGGGGGGCCGTCCCGTTCCTGTTCGGGGTCATGCAGGTTCCTGATGCGCGCAACGAAGACAATGTGTACGCGACGGAAAACGCCTGCGCAGCCATTGCCAAGATCCTGCATTTCAACGTTTCGGCTGTCGCTGAGCCTGACCAGGTCATTGCGGAGTGGATCAACACGTTGCCGATCACCAACGACGAGGAGGCAGCCCCGTACGCATATTTATACCTAGCTGAGCTCATCAGCAAGTAAGTCGCCGCGTCTCTGCTTCGTACCAGATCCCCCGCAACAGCTGCTGACAATCTCTAGGCAACACCCAACAGTCACGTCACAGCAGCAGGCCCAGAGGATATTTGTGTTTGTGGCACAGGCTCTCGAAGCCGAGGCACTCAGCGGGCAGACTGTGGCCCGCGTTGTGGACGCGACCAAGATCCTCTTGGCAGGGACGAACACCGACGTCTCGCCGCTGTTGCAGCAGTTTTCGCCGGAGGCACAGAACGTCATCCGGGCGCACTTCGCTTAGAACCGGTGCGGCGGAAGTCAGTGTGCGCGCATGTTTCAGCGCGAATCGACGGGTCTTAGGATATGGAAGGCCGCCCAGCAAAGGAAGTGGCGGGCGTACTTGGAGACGGTGAACGAGGTTGATAAGACGGGCGGTCTCTAACGGGAGCGGGTCGGTACGGTCAGGGTGCTGGCTGGGCGGAATGAAGTACGAACAATACAAGTACAATGGGCGGAGGTCGTGTGATGATACCATCAGTTGGCTTGACGAGAGCAACGGTCGCAGCGATGCCGCGGATCGAACAGTGAAGTGGGATTGCTTCTATTGGCTTCGCGGAGTAAGAAGTACTAGGAACCTGAACAACGCGGAAACTAGTAAGAAAGATAACTGAAAGCGCTCCGTGTCTTGTGGCTAACGTATATGATAAGCGAGCGGCGCGGACAAGCGAGCGGCGCACTGATAAGAGCTGTATAGACGTTTTAGGTGTAGCACTAACAGCGGGGTTAAGGCGGAAATAACCTGTTGGTGCTACAGCTAAATGTCAATGCAGCTCTTACCAGTGCGCCGCTCGCTTGTCCGCGCCGCTCGCTTATCATATACGTTAATCAAGCCCATCACGAGAGTACTGGAACCGATCAATCATCGATGGCCTTGGGCCTGATTATATCCGTAATACGCCCCACGATCTAAGGTAATGGTTGCCGAGCCCCGCTCTCGAGGGGGCCAAAGGGGGGTGTGGGGGTGATTTACGTCAAGTCGCCCCATTGGTTCCTCTGGAAGACCGAGAAACTGCATCCTGCAATCCCGTCGGCAGAAGATGGCATTGTGAAAATCGAAGAATTCGCCTTCAATCTGCAGCCCGTCATTGGGAATCGCACAATACCCATTGTCGATGCATTGGACCATCCCATGTGAGCGGTCGCACCGAGAGGACTGCCTGGTTACGACGATCCTGACGAACTTGTGTTTTCCATCTCGTCGACCCGTGGAATCCTCGTGGAATCCCAAAATCTGGTGCCCCAATCCTAGCGTACTTTGCCCCCTTTGCGTTGGCCTTCTGCAACCCCGACATCCTGGACGTTGAATACGCCTCTGAAAAAAGGGGGCAAAGGGACGAGAAGGGACCAAAATTGGGTGAGAGATGCCTGTATTCTCCATGCTTGTCTTTCCCCGCCACTGGCAGCTTGTTGCGAACAGTGGATTGTTCCCGGGCCTTACTGGGTTTCAATTGACGTGCATATATCTGGTACGACTTTGATCCGTTCGTCTGCATCTGTTTGGCCCAACGCTCTCAACGCCCCGTTGTTTCTCCTCGTGGCGACTGGCTACCGGTTCCAATCGGGAGCTAATGCGTGCGAAGAAATAAGCAGACCCGCACACACTGCCAGAGAATCTCAACTCCTCGAACGACGCTTCATGCCCCCTCAACGCATCCCGACAACATCCCTCTCCATTCCGTGGCCTTCCCATGCGAACCGCTGGGACAACGACATTCAAGCATCGAGCCGACTCATCCTCGGTACAATGACGGCAGGTTTTGTCCTGGATTAAATCTGCACAGCCAATCGTCTCGGGCCACCTCTGGCGCGACGACGACCGAGGCCCCCAGGATGAACTCCAACTTCTACCCCTCTCGACTGTATCCGGAGGAAATCCAAGCTCAGCAGTGGCTAGCATTGCAACAACAGAATGGAGCCAATGGACACCAAGGGCAGGGTGGCGGCCAGGGCCAAAGCCAGGGCCAGGGTCAAGACACTGCAATGAGCAATGCCGCGAATCTCGGAGGACTGGACTGCGCGAACACCCTCTCCGCCATGGACGACATGTCACTGACTAGGGAAGAGTCGCTCGACGACATTGTCAGTCAAAACGTGCGCGAGTTCCAGCGGAGACGGAGCCTACCCCAGCCCTTCTCTGACTCGCTGCTACCGCAGAATGTCGACAGGCGCATGGCCATGATGGGCTTTGGCAGCGCCACCGACGCTCTCCACGCCTTCTCCTTTGGCTTTCCAAACAGCGCAGGCCTAGCGGGCACTTCGGAAGCGTTTCCACAGCAGGGCCTCGTGGTTATGCCTGATCAGACGGGCTATCCCACGCTCCCTCCGCACACGGTTGGTATGGGCGGCTTCTGCAACCAGGATATGGTATCAATGACTGCAGATCCCGCTTCTATGAGCTTCTTCAATCCACCCAACCTACAAAATCAGCACCCCTCCGCCGCCATGGAGGCCGGCGGCCCGAATTATGCCATGGACATGGGCATCGAAAGCGCACCCCTGAATGCACCCAGCGTCAACCCGGTGGCCAGATTTACAGTTGGGGGAAGTGGCGGCATGATGGGAGGAGCCAGTGATACAATCAACACCAACCCCGTCCAAGAAACTCCCGGCCTGATCCTTAATACAGGCATGGGCCGGTTCCCACCCAACATGTCACCTCTCGAACCTGAGCCGCGCGAGCCATCCGTCCCTGCTTCGTTCCAATCACCGACATCCCCCACGTCCCGGGCCATGTCTCAATCAAGTGTCGGGCCGGCAAGTATCGCCGCAGGCACCCCGGCGTCAACAGCGCCAGCCACTGCCGGCCCGTCGCTTCCCCCCGGTTTAGGCTCCCGAGACCCCAAGAAGGACGCTTACTCCAAGAGCGGCTTTGACATGCTCAAGGCTCTGTTCTACGTCGCCACGAGAAAGAACCCTACTGTCGATATTGGCGCCGTCGATTTGTCATGCGCTTTCGTCGTCTGCGACGTGACGCTCAACGACTGCCCCATCATCTACGTCTCGGATAACTTCCAAAACCTAACGGGCTACAACCGGCACGAGATCACCGGGAAGAACTGCCGCTTCCTCCAGAGCCCGGACGGCAAGGTAGAGGCCGGCACGAAGCGCGAGTTCGTGGCCAACGATGCCGTCTTCAAGCTCAAAAACGCCGTGGCCGAGGGCAGGGAGATCCAGCAGAGCCTGATCAATTATCGCAAGGGCGGCAAGCCATTTTTGAACCTGCTGACCATGATCCCCATCCCTTGGGACAATAGCACCGAGACTCGGTATTTCATTGGGTTCCAGGTCGACCTCGTCGAATGCCCCGAGGCCATCTCCAGTCAAGAGTCCGGCGGAGCCATGCAGGTCAACTACCGCCACCAGGACATCGGCCAGTATTTTTGGACGCCGCCCAACTCGACGCAGTGGTCGCCCGAAAGCGGCCAGACGTTGACGGTGGACGAGGTCTCGTCGCTGATCCAGCATAACAACCCCGCCACATCCGCCCCGCCCCGGTCAGAATACCACAAGTCGTCTTGGCCCAAGATGCTTCTGGAGAATGCGGACGACGTTATCCATGTTTTGTCGCTCAAGGGACTGTTTCTCTATCTTTCGCCGGCGTGCAAAAAGCTCCTCGAGTACGACGCGTCGGAGCTCGTGGGGACGTCGTTGTCGTCCATCTGTCACCCGTCGGATATTGTGCCCGTCATGCGCGAACTCAAGGACGCGGCGCAGCATAACCCGAGCTCGGTCAACATTGCGTTTCGCATCAGGAGGAAGCATTCCGGGTATACCTGGTTTGAGAGTCATGGTTCGCTGGTTACGGATCAGCCTTCTACTTCCTCCTCCTCGTCTTCTTCATCTGCTGCTGCATCTACTTCTGGTGGGGGTGGCGGGGGTGCTGGAAGTAGTAGTAGTAGCGGTGGTGGCAGTAGTGGTGGTGGCAAGGGCAAAAAGTTCATCGTCCTCGTCGGGCGCAAGCGCCCCGTCCTATGCCTTTCGCGGCGCGACGTGGATGCCCATACCAACGGGATAGGCGGCTCGGCGGGCGACGGGAGCGAGGTGTGGAGCAAGATATCTGGGTCGGGCATGTTTTTGTTTGTGTCGTCGAGCGTGAAGGCGCTGCTGGAGTTGGAGCCGGCCGAGTTAAAGGGCCGCAGCATGCAGGCGCTCATGCGCCAGGAGGCGAGGTCCGAGTTTGGGCGGATGGTGGAGAAGGCTAGGAAGGGAGGCGGCGTGGTTGCGTTTCGGCATGAGGTCATGCATAAGAGGGGACAGTACGTGCCGGCGGTCACGGTGTTGTACCCTGGGGATGGGGCTAGGAGTGGTGGGAGGAGTAGTTTTTTGATTGCGCAGACGAGGTTGACCAAGGGAGCTGGGGGGAGGGTCATTGCTGCTCCTGGGAAGGGGCATGGCCAGCATGTTGGTGGTGGTGGGGGTACCATCCTGGGGACGATGGAAAGGGTGCCGGACCAGGATGCGGTGAATCATCCGATGAATGGAGTTGTGGCTACGGGGAAGCTGACCGCGTCGAAGGCGACGTATCCGGATTCGGCGCCGGGCGAGGAGAGTCCGTCTGGCGGGGACGAACAAGAAGAGCAAGAGGAGGAAAGCGAGGATGATATCTTTGCGGAGCTCAGGACGACCCGGTGCACGTCGTGGCAGTACGAGCTGCGGCAGATGGAGAAGATGAATCGGTTGCTGGCCGAGGAGCTCTCGCAGCTCATGGTCAACAAGAAGAAGCGCAAGCGGAGAAAGGGCGGGGGCACCGCGGGCGGAGGGAATGGAAGTGCTGGCGGCGCTGGGGTAAAGGACTGCGCGAACTGCCACAAGCGCGATACGCCCGAGTGGAGGAGGGGGCCGAGCGGGAATCGCGATCTGTGTAATAGCTGCGGGCTGAGGTGGGCGAAACAGGTATGGTTCTCTCCATCGTTCATTCTTTCAACCCATCCTCTTTTCCCCCTTTTCGCCACGGTCCATGAGCGCTGACTGACGCGTGATCTTGATGTAGACGGGCAAGGTTTCACCCCGGAATATGTCTCGTGCTGGTAGTGATGGCGGCGGCAGCAAGAGGAGCAGCATCAGCACGACGAGTACCAACTCGCCGGTCGAGTCGTTGCCCTTGCGGCGCGAGGTGTCGGCCGACGCCATCAGTGTTGCGTCGTCGAGGTTGGAGAGGAGGAGCACCAGCACCGGGGACGGGAGTGGTGGTGCCATGAGCGGGTTGGAGATGGGGTCTATTCTGGAGGAGTGAACGGCGCTGCGGCCTCAACGGAATCTCGGTTCCACTTGCTACAGAGCTTCCTCAAGCAACTGGCATTTCCGGAACGCTGTGGCTGACAAAGGCGTCGCAACTCGAGGCTTGGCACTATCATCGGTCTAGCGCGCTCAATCCGGACCGAGGCTTCCGTCGGTCACGCCACGGTTGAACTCGAAAACCTCCACGACGAGATGACGTTCGGCAGTGGCTCGAATGTCTCAGTCAAGTTCCATGGCCGGTTCCGCGAGCCAGCATCGTCTTCCTCCTTTGGGAGACCGTTGCTGGCTGGCTGTAAGACTGTCTCTGTTCCATTGATGGAGTAGTACAGGGTTTCGCCGAACGTGGTTGCTCCTGAGCTCTATCGCAACGCTGGATGTTCACTTGACTCTGTTCGACCCATCCAATGGGGGTTTGCACGGCGCTTGTGTTTGGAAAGGTTGTCTGCCGATCAAGACATGGCACGACTGGTCGTGCCATAGGATTGTGTCATCATGGTTTACTCGATTTCTTGGTTCTCTGTACATGTTTGACAGGGCTTGCTCATTCACCGGGATTGCTCGGTTGGTCGGCGCGGGATTATCAGATCGGCGGCGCGAGCGACTGAACACTGGGCTCAACAGGGTTCACTCTCACATCTGACCGGGATAGGTCATGGGTTACGACGGGGGTATCTTCAATTTGGGTTGATCAGCTTGGTCTGGGCCTGTTGTTATCGAGTGTCGAGTGTGCCGTTGTTCGGGGCATCAGGGGTTACGAAAATACGGGATTGGGATCGGCAAAGAATTTCTTGAGCGGTTTTTGTTGACTTAATCTGGTTTCTCACCTTGATCTTCATGGTGATGCCTAGACGTCTGGTGGGAAGTACTCAGCTCATCAGGCGCTATGTGTGTCGTATGTTGACGCTGACACCGATCTTACCTAATCCATACTCATGGGTAAACGGATTCCACAATCGGCTGACGCCAACAAACGCGGTATCTTCGCGGATCCTGTCGAGAACCCGCCGGTTTGGGTAGACATGGGAGCATGAAACACTCTCGGTCCGGGATTGAGGGATGTTCAGGGGTACGGATGCAGGGGCCGACTAAGCCTCGGTGGAATGACGGACTTGGACGGGGAACCTACTAGAGGTCAGTCAACGGGGTGCAGTTGGAGCTGGCGGCGGCTGTCCGAGTCTAGGCGTTGAGCCATCGCTGCGACATGACTTGCAGGTCTTTCTTGGCCTCCTTCCACCACCGTCTTCAACAACCGAGAAGGGTCGCCCACAGTTCATTAGGAAGAAGGCTTTTGCCGCTAAAGCGATGTACGATAGATAGGTAAGCCCCGGGTGCCGTACGCAGTATGAAGCTTTCACTGACGAGCGGCGAAGTCAAGCCAAAACACAACATGTCATTCTTTCCGCGATCGGATCGCATCATCGCAATTGTCCGATCCATCCCACCGTTGTACGCAACGATTCCATTATTCCTACCATCCTACCGTCAGTTATGGTCGGTGGTGATTGGGTATTCTGCCTGGAACCCGCAGCCAGGCAGCAGGATTCTTTGAGCTTAAATACTACCTCATTTCACAACACCCACGGCCATGCACCTCTGTAACGTGACCAGAACGAGACGGCCGGACGAGGGAGATCATGCTGCGTGCCGGCAGATGAATTTGTTATGGTTGTGGTGGATGGATGGACCGGGTCTTGGTTGTGTCCAGTGGGTCATGAAGCAGCACGAGCGCATTGAATGCACCCCTTTTGCTTGGCCGCCTCAACCTGGTGCTGCAGAAGGGGACTTCACATTCCTCCATCAACCAGCCAGACGGCTGATCCTGAGTCCTCACATCTGGAGCGCCCACCTCCCCTTCCCCTGACAGCCGTGGTAGTCGCCCACCCTGTCCCGAATCCGCCCCCGATTCTGCAAGGGCTCGAAAGTTGTTGCCTGTTCCTGAGGGATCCGCTACTTGGCCGCACGTTAAAGCCAACATCAGGCCGAGGGGGCTTGAAATCCGGCTCGTGGGGCCGGCTCGGCGGTGTCTCTTGCCCGTTCCGTCGACTTCACCCTTGACACTTTACCCCCGGAGCGCGGCTGAAGGGCTCCTACTGGGCCTCATCAACGCACGCCACGTCAAACTCGAGCACACGTTGAAACGTTACACACACTGGACAAGATGCTGAACGATGGCTACCTATTTACACTACCGTACAGACCTCGAGACAGCTGCCGCCCGCTGCTGTGCCATCGGCTTTTCGAACATGAGGGTCCTCTTGAAGCAACAAACCTTCCCGAAGTCCGACCAGCAGCGTTGCAGTCCGGACATTATCTGCAGGCACGTCTACAACCTCACCCTTCCCGGTCGGACCACCATCACTGCCATCTCTCGCTGCGACCTCACGCGGTAGTATCATACACAGACAGCCGGAGCTGGAGAAGGAGTGTGGCATGGCTAGCTGCAGAAAAAGTAACTCCCAACAGCCCTAGGACTGGAAGGATTTGGTATGTCCAGTCGGTCGCTTCATTAGAGACTACCGACGGGCCACGGCCCGCTCTCCGCAGGATCTTGTCAGGCACTTGACTATTGCTGTCTGTTTATGACCTTATCCTGGAGGAAAGTGAGCAAGGCAGCCTTCGTTTGCTTCTGACCATCCGATCTTCAAACCGCGGTCTCAGTCCCGATTCTTACTTCCATTCTCATGGCGGAGTTCCACTGGCATCATCGTGGCACGAAACAGGGACGAGCCAGGGCAGACGAAGAACCCTGCGTCATCTGATCAGTTTACGGCTGGAAGCGTCATATTTGACGAGCAGAGAGGAACCACGGATAGGGCCGTCATCCCATCTTTCTCACCGAGCCTCTCCGCTAGCTCGGCCTCTTGCCGTCCCTGCTTTGGCTTCCAACAGGGACAGGGGGGTTGGAGAAGCAGACGACACATCAGGCCCCCCTGAAGTTACCTTAGGCAGCGGCATGAAGGACCCCGCCAGGCGCCAACTGCAGTCAGGAAGAAACCGAGAGACGTAGGACCTTTTGGCCACACCGGCTTACACGTCGAGCCATGCTCTCGGCATGGCCTGAACCAAGGATTACAGGGCGCTTTCCCCAGCGGCGCCTGTCGACCATGTCAACCAACGGGCGTTCAGTTCTCCTGCTTGGGTCTCGACGTCCGCGACCCCTTGTGCATAACAGACTTTTCGGGCGGCCAAGGGCCTTACCGCCTCGTTTGCTAAAAGCCATTGCCTAGTACAACTCCATCTCGCACCCTCGCTTTCCGCTTTCAATGCATGGTGAGAATGCCAGCCTCGGCTCGGCCAAGCTCGTCAACAGCTATCAGGAACAGACCCAGTGAGTCAGGGGTGGTGGATCGAGTACGGAGGTGCTACTGAATTGGGTGTTGTGCTGTAGGTAGGAAGGTGGTATTACAGCGAGAACAATCTACATGTATGTATGGACCGCAGTGTCTCTTCACATCGTCAAGCCCTTGTCCCCCCCCCTCCCCCAGGTTCCACAGATTGGCGCTCCATGTGATGCCAAGGCTTTTTTGCACTGTAACCATTCCCCTGTTCCCGATATATTGCGGCCTAGGGGAACGAGGGAGGTTACTTCCGCCCCACGACTTTCTTCATCCGCCGAGAAGCATATGCATTACAGGAGCTCATACATAACCAGAGTATTGATGAATCCAGTTCAGAAATAGCTTTCCCTCCTTAGAGGTGCTAGATAGAGTAAACGACGAACCGATACGCCCAACTCTGTTCTGCAAGTCATGTCATGTCAATCTCTCCATCCTGGCGGAGCAAAGAAACACGTCCAGAAAGAGGGCAACATGTGAGAGAAGGAGGGGGACGAGGAGGGCTGGCGTTGTAAGCAGTCTCCCACGACGCGATTCTCTCTCCCTTGACTAAATTCACCGATGGCCCAAGTCATCCATGATGACAAGACGCCAGACAGACCGGTTGCATCAACCACCAGACACTACGGAGCAAATACCCCATCCGACTCCAGCGAGTCTGGGGGCCTGCCTCCCCCCACCCCGGACCCTCCCTCATGGTGCCACAGGTCAGCCGTGGGCACAGTTCAGCTCAGCGGTTAGGCCAGGGTGCTCGTGTCACCGGATCAGGGGCTTCACGAATGCCGACGGCTGTAGGTTAGTTAGCTTCCAGGATGGGCTGAGTTGATGCGGATTTGGATTGCAGATCAAAGCCCAGTAACGACGAAGGGGGAGGCTCACCCTGCTGCCTGTTTCCTGCGTGTCCGATATCGTTGCGAGACATGCTCAGGCTGACTGGCGCATGGAATTCGCAACCATGAGGATATGGTTAGGGCATCGACCCTCCGTTAAGTGCCCAAAATCACGAAGAAATGAAAGGGAGAAATGGCGCTGCAAGAGAAAGGACTGGTATCATTCATTACATCCCCAGCGGACGGGTATACCACGCCTTGGAGTATCACGCCCAGAACCTGGGCATCAGAGTGTATATATACATCATGAGCCTTTTGGGTGAATACCCTCCAACCCTGAAAGATGCGCAATTCAAACCTCAAACTCCATAGACCAGACCGGCTTAGATGCAAAGATGAAAAGCCATTCCACAGTCGTAGAAACCGACCCATCATTGCCAGTAGAACACACGCCTCGCCGCCGCCTCAACACGTGGATATCATCCCGCCAGACCCAACAAAAGCGCCAACCCACCCACCCCGCCATCCAAGACGCCCCGCCTCAAAAAGAGGATAACATGACTCCCACCCAACATCGTGATAGTTCCTACCGACCCCCCTCCCGAAACCACAACTCCTCCGACCTCGTCGACATACTCCGCTGCAACGACAACCCCGCGGGCTGCACCGTCACCGGCGCGGCGGGGCTCAACGCCGCTTCCGTCATGGGGGAGACCACGCCCGCGGCCATCGGCACGGGCGTCTCAGGCGGCATGATGAAGCTCGAGGCATACGTTTCCGAGAGGGCCGACATGGGGTGGTGGTCCCGGTCCGACAACCGGCGGTAGTGGTGGTGGTGGCTGTGATGGTGGATAACGGGGCTCTCGTCCGGCGTGAACGGTGCGGGGTGGTGTTCATGATGCTCATGCGCGTCATTGTCGTCTAGGAAGTCTGACGCGGCGGCAGCGGTGGTGGTGGTGGTTTTGGAGGCGACCGTCTCGCGCTGGCCCTGGTACCACCACTGGCTCTCGAACCCGTTGTCGACCGTCATCATGGCGGCTGACAGCGCGCCGAGCTCTTTGGCGCGGCCTGTCTCCAGGTCGCGGGCTCGTAGTGGGGAAGAAGAGGAGGTGGTGGTGGTGGCTGGGGGTTCGGGGGAGAAGGTGGACACCATGGTTGGGTTGGTGGCGTAGGTGGCGGAGTTTCTGTTGCCGCCGCCTGGCGATGCTGCTGAGTGGACGAGCATGTCTTCGTATTCGTCGTCATCGTCGTCATCGTCGTTGTTGTTGTTGTTGTTGTTATTTTCGTTGTTGTCGTCGTCGTCTTGGGGAAGGGCGTCTGGATCGAAGCCGTCGGGTAGGGACCAAGTTGACCACGGATGTCGTCCCTCGCCTAGGCGGAACTGGGATGGTGGTGCGGGCAGGGGCTTCCGCTTGATCTCCATGGCGGGCCGGTTGAGCGTCGCCATGTCGGAATGCCGGGTCTGGAACGGAGGCACACTGACGTCCCAGGGATTCTCACCGATTGGAGGCGGGGCTGAGCGCCCTCGCTCGTGTGAAGATGGGCGGGCGTCAGCCCTCGTTGGTCGGTCCGGCTCCCGGACCACTGGTAACTGGAGATGAGCACCTTGTTGTGCTGGGTATCCCTGGTAGTACTCCTGCATTTGGTGATTCCTGGTGTTGGCATACCGTTGTCGCATCTCGCGCAGCCTTGTTTGCCTCTGATCAAACGTATGAATGGCAGCAAGGTAGTTGGTGTTGGGTGCCGGGACCTGGCGTGGGAACACGGTTGACCTCTCCCGTGTGCCGCGGGACCTGTAAGTGACCTGGTGACTCTTTGGCGACTGCTGTTTCCTGCCCCAGGAGACCCGAAACTCCAGGTGGACATATATTTCGGGACCCCATCGCTCGCTCCGCTGTGCCTGGCGTGGTGGTGGTGGTGAAGATGGCGGTGGCGGTGGCGGTTGTGGTTGTGTTTGTATTTGGTGGTTCATGATGGGCGTTTGTCCTCCTCCTCGTCGTCGTCGTCCTTGTCGGTCTCGGCGTTATCGATGCCCTCCACAAGCCGATTCCGGGTATTCACACAATGTTTGAGGTTGAGACCTGGAACGAAACCCTGGTGGCCAGTGACAAGGTTTAATCAAATACTGACTACTGGTCGGTAAGAGTGTGCTTTGGAATTCCTTCCCTCGCCACAAGAGGCGAGACAGGTTGCTGAGCTCGCACTGAGCTGATCAGATGCCGCAATCAGCCCGTGTCCGCTTGCCCTTGGAGGCGAATCCGGGGGCGATTTGATGTTTAAGGTCTTGGTTCAGCGGAAACGATCAGGGGTGAAAAGGGTGGGGTGATCGATTAGGGCTCCAGTGTGAAGAGGAAGGGACCAGGATGGCTCGACGCGGTGGTTGCACTGCCGCCGGACGGGGATATTGTTAGAGGAGCTTATTTTGGTTCGCTGGAAAAGTGGCAGCCTGGCGATTCGGGCCCCTGTGATGTTAGTTAATCTCCGTCCAAACCGCCCGAACCGCAGAATGGGGCGCTGTATGTAGGTAATAAAACCGGTTGCAGATGTAAAAGGGCCAAAAGTCCCAGCGACTCGGTCCAGGTTTGATGGGAAGCGGAAATACTCCGTACAACGGGCAGCTGCGCGGAGCTCTCTGTCAATCGCAAACTTCGGCTCTTGTTCCGATCGGGCGGAGAAGTTGGGCTAAGCTCGGCTTCCAAATCCGCATCGGACGTGAACAGCCACATGTCTCGGCGCATGCTCGGGGCAGTGCTTATGAAATGAAAGGTCCAAGCCGTCAACTGACCCGTTCCAACATTATTTGGAAAAACGGCAAATGCGATACGGAGCAGAAAGGATCGCTGCAGAGCGAGCTGTGGATCAAACCGCTACGCGCTTGAATGATTGCCTCGAGGGATGCATCTCAGAAACACCAAGGCCAAAATGAAACAACTCGGAAGCAGAAAACACAATGAAACGAAGCAGAAATGCATTGTGAACTGCAGCCGCATTTCTCGGAACCAAGCGCACACGCAGAGATGCATCAAATAATTAGAGCCTCAGCGGCGCCACGCACTCATTTCGCAGCGATTGCTCGGGGTATTGGGTTGTCGAGAGCGACGGCTGAGCATGATTCTGAAGTTTGAGAGCCGAAGATGGGATGGCTCAAGGATGGGTGTTTTGACGGCGCCTCACTGGACCTGCTGACTGCTCTGTGGTTGGTTGGCAGGCTTCCGCTAGGTGGGCCTGTACGTGGATCTCACCTCAGCCCCAGCGTCCTATCTCGCACCGTCACACACCAAGACATATCAATCTAAAAACGACGATGGGCAACGGAGAGATATGGGTGACTTTCAGGTTGTAGTTCCGGATTTCAAGACCAGTCAGTGCGCAGACAAGCATTCGTTCCCCTCACCACGAAATTCCTGGCTGCAGTTCGGTGTTGTCGGTAACGTAGGCTTTGGCTACGGAACAGGTTGGGGGCCGAGTTTTGTTGAGGGAGCAACATCCGATGCTGTTCAAAGTCGAAAGGAAATTACTCAATGGTTCATACTGTGTGAAAACGGTGTGGAAGTGTCCATCGACGGCTTGGAAGCGTTGACATGGGGCCTTGCTTGCTGCTACATGATGAGTCCACAACAAAGACACCACCACCAAGACTACCTTGCGACACTCTCCCAAGCCCCTCCCACATCGTCACCCTAAACGGTACCTACCTTGACTACCTGTAGCACGTCTGGCCGCCTAGAAGATAACACACGCACGACTAGCACCATGTACTTCCTAAGGGATGGCCTGCTACCGCCATCGTTCTTAAGCCAATTGTCTCGTACTCATCCATAATCGACTAGACAAAGGGCAGGTCGTATAACGTTAAGTTACACCTACATAGCGCGTTGTTGACAGCAAGTAAACCTGGAGGCGTGGCCCAAAGACACCCTAGCCCTCCTCGCACACACGTCTTCTAGCATGACCGTGGCTTCGCCGCTTTTCTCTCAAAAGATGACCAAGGGAACTACAAACTGTCATCATCAGCATACGACTGCTCCCTCCGCGAATTTACAATACGACCTAGACGGAAAAAGAATTTGCTGAGACAGACAACCACATGTTATGAAAGCTAAGTACGGTGTATACTGGCAAATCAGAAATTGTCTGACTAAGCCCTCAATAAATGCAAAGTCCCTTTTAGGGAGCGCCTGAACGCAGCCGGCAGAGACTGCGCTAGGAAGTCACGGTCCTTCTTCCCAGGGCTCTCAAGTTGGGGGCCAAAAGATCCCAGATGCATCTCCAATGTTTCAAAGAGCTTCCCAATCGATGGTGGCGCATGGCCCTGAAGGATGGAAAGAGGACAGGGGAATGTGGGGCCGTGCCGAGCAAGCCACTGGAGTCAGAAGCCTAGGTCAGGGGCAGATTTCTTGGGACAAGTTCCTTGTCTATAGCCCATGACTGCCTAACATCCGTAGATGCACGGCACTGAAGGATTTGTCTTTGACGCCTTCATTTTCCTTCCATTCCATTTGTGTTCTATGACCGCTTGTTCGGCATCATACAAACAAACAAGGACGCGAATTAAGAAGCGGCTAACAGCCAACTAACGAAATAGCGTCATCCGTCAGCTTGGTGACCAGAGATGGTACGTGATTGTTCCTTGCTGCCTACAATTAGTCAACCACAGGCAAGCCGAGAAGTTCGAGTTACAGCTTACCCTGGTTGTTTGTTTGGGACATAGCCAGCGTGTTGGTTCCCTTAAACTACCTTCTTTCATCCTGGCAAAGGAATTGCCGTTGACTGAAATCCGCTCTTAGAAGGATCTTCTATTATACTAAACACCAGAGACACTCATCTCACCCACCACTCATTTCCGGTGTCAACTTGTGTCTGTGTCTGTCTATGCGTGTTACCCCTAATTGCTCATCTCCGGCATCAAGAATAAAATACCTCATCCGTTATAAAGGTATACATTGCTAGTCCTGTGGTTATATGAATGAAAAAGTGGTACCTTGCCCAGCTAAATCTCATCATTATGTTCCATCGAGCATCTATGGCAGATTCCCATAATACCATGCGAGACTAACCCAAAGACACCAACACCAGGTCCAAAACCCCATCGTCCTACCTCATGATCGACTGATTGATACCACACCCTCACACCCACAACCATATAATATATATCACCACGCTACACCTACTACACCTGCCCCTCCGCCGCCCTACCCTTCCCCTCCCCCTCCACCTCCCAGAACCGATCCTCCTTATCCCTCCTCCTAACCAACCCCGCCAAATCAAACGGATCAATCACCGTCACCCAAAACGGCCGTCCGTCCTTATACCCGGGCCCCATGATCTCCGTCGCCCCATCCTCCCGGGAAAGGTACGTCTTGGCGCTCTTGGGCAGATACCTCCTCGGATGCCGTACATTCATCAAGACATGGTTGACCAGCATCAGGGTTGCCTCAAACACCCAAAAGAACCACTCGTACCGGATCGCGGGCGACAGCTCGTCCACGTCAATCCCACCCGGCTTATAAAAATCGTGCTGAGCGATGCTCCAGTACTCGGCGACGCGGAATACCGTGCGCACGCTGAGCAAAAAGGTGGAGATGTACAGCGTGTAGAGCGAGGCGAGCAGGTTGGGATTGCGCAGCCCCCCGCGGAGGCATCGCCGGTGGAAGGTCGCGGCGAGGAGGACGAAGCAGGCCAGGACCGCCAGCTGGATGACAAGCGCGGCTTTGAGCAGGGACCGGCCGATCTCCTGGACATGGGCGGGAAGGGACATGTTGGCGCTGTGGGCCACGCCGGCGCCGTTGAGTGATTCGATGATGAATGAAATGAAGGCGAAGGTGGTGATTACGCGGCCTGGGTGGATGGGTGAGTGGTATGGCGCGTAGTAGAGGATGCGGCCGAGGATGTTGTAGTTTGCTAGCTCGATGAGCGGGCTGGAGAGTGGTGTGTTAACACTTGGTGGGCAGCTTGAGCAGGAGGGAGGGGAGGACTGCATACGGCGCGCCGTAGACCAGGCAGGTGCTGATGATAAACTTGATAAGATCGGAATAGTCAAAGGCGCCCATCTCGCGGACTACGAAGCCTGCAGTGAAGAGAACGGAGCAGAAGACGTAGAGACCGGTGAGGCGCCAGCTGTTGTAACGGCTGGTCTATGTCAGCCCCTGTGTGGGAAGTAAACCAAGGCAAGCCCGAATGCCACCTACATGCATTGGTATGTGTGACAGATCCCAGATGCGGCAAATGCCACGGCGAAGAACACCGGGGCGCCCTTGTTAGGGGCGTAGAAGTAGACGCTACCCTGGACTGATGGCATGTCAGATTTCTGCTATTGAGGGGTCAGGCTGCGGATGGTTCATACCGTACTCCCCCGTCTCCATGTTTGTGTCTAATGGTCCGGATGGATTGGTGGTCTAAGTGGTACCCCTAATCGTGACTCGATGGTCACACAATTGTCAAGTGCATCGGTGCCGATGGATGATCCAGTCATCTCCGTCGTGCATCCCGTCTACCAGCCGCGCAGACTTATATCCAAATCGCAACGGCTTCAGACCTCAGTCGTATTTCGCGTTCAACGCTGCCACGCGTTGCCCGAGACTGCCTCCAAGCGGCAGATGTCACAGCCCTGCAGGCTGATTTGGGCCTGTAGCCAATCGCATTGCACCGTTCAATACGATGCCAGAGCCAAGCAACGAGAGGGCCAGTCGCAACTCAACCACGGCCTGCTGACAAAAGAAAGGTGTCGGGATGTGGGTTCCGCGCGTGGGTGCCATGAGACCGCTGACAAGCACGGAGATTCGTTTGAACTGGACATCAACCGGGCAACATTCCATTGCATTCCAGGTTTTTGCACCGCCAGGTCAGCACCAGGGCACGTTCGGCACTCTCCGACAAACTGTGATCCAAGATATGCTGGGGATCATGGCAAGGCGGTGCTCGATGCGGCAAACGGTGCCTCCAGATTGTCGCGGGGTGTAGATTCCTGCGGCTGACTGCGATATGAAGTGAAAATGGGGCTGATCAAAAAGGGAACATTTGAGGTTTTGACGAGACCCCACTAAAAACGAGTGGGTCCATCGCTGGAGTTCTCACTGGCGTGAAATTTTCAAGTTTATCAACAGCTCCGCAACCTGCTTGAACCGGGCACGATACATTCATCTTATTATTCTCTTGAAATTGGAAGTGAAGAAGAGGTCGGCAACCCAGCCTCATCCCATCACCACCTTCAAGCACACAATTCTGACATGGCCCCGCCACAAAAGTCTGATCAACAAGTGGCCGCCGAGTTCACGTCGTACTACCTGCAACGCGCCACGAAAGAGTTTGCCGAGGACCTCGACAAGGTGCGCTCTGCCGACGACTTCAAGAACGATGCGCTCCAGATCATCGTGAGCGCTCTACAGCAGGGTACCACCATGTTCTCCCCCGAGGAGCAGAGAAGGATCGTCACGGCTGCGGCTCGCCCGGCCAACAAGGCATGAGGTTGAGCTCTAAACCCTCAGTTCGATCTGCACGATACCATTGGAGTGCCGGTGGTCCTTGGACTAATTCACGAGAACGCCGCGCATGGTTCGCTGGCAGCAGTTGAAGTGTGGACACATATTTAATGTCACTCTGCCTCAACTGCAGTCACGGTCATCATCAAACGCGAAACCTGAAATCAACGTCCAAACCAGTGGTTCGCCGATATTGCATGGACCTTCTAGATCACAACCAGAATGCAAAGAAAGCCTCTATATAAATATGATGGAACTCGCCGTAGTTACCGGAGTCCTTCTACTCCTCTAGCCCACAAATGGCCGTCTGTTCCTAGGGTGCGAGTGTCTTAAGATGCTCCAGAGTCAGCGCCATGTTCTTATCTAGTCTGAAACCAAGCCGAGTGATAAAACTTACATCGGAAGTTTCTTCTTCGGGATAGGAATCTCACCCCGATGTCCGTTCTTCCCATCAGTTACGGCGTGCTCCTCATCCGCTTTAACCGCCGCCGCCACATCCCCGTCGACTCCGTGCGCCCACGGGAACCGAAACACGACCTTGATCTCGAGCTTCTTCTCAAACCGCTCATAAGCCTTGGGCGCGTCCTCAATCCCCATGGTCGCAGAGACAAGCCAGCCAAGCCGCGCCCGGCCCGTCTTGACCAGCTCAAAGAGCCGCGGCAGCAGCTCGTAGATGGGACACACCCCCATCTTGATGCTGAGGCTCTTGGGCCACGCTTCAGACAGGTTGATCTCGTAGACGGGATCGACCTCGCCGCCGCGCGGCACGCCCTTGCTCGTCGGCGAGGCCATGTACACGCCTACCTGGCCGATACCGCCGCCCACCGAGGCGACGCGGATGCACTCGTTGATGACGTAGTTTTGCTGGGGCTTGAGGCGGTGGTTGACGGCCTCGAAGCCGACGCAGTCGACTGCGCGCTTGACGCCCTCGGGCCGCCGCCGCAGGATCTGTGCGCTCGCGGGACCGTCTTCTGAGGTAAAGTCGATGGGGATGGCGCCCAGCGAAGCGGCCTTGTCGAGCCGCGCGCGGACCGAATCGACGGCGAAGACCTGCGAGGCGCCGCGCAGCGCAGCCGCGTAGACGCACATGAGCCCGACCGGCCCGCAGCCGAAGACGGCGACAGCGTCGCCGGGCTCGAACCCGGAAAAGTCAAGGCCGGCCCAGGCGGTAGGGAAGATGTCGCTTAGGAACAGCCAGTCGATGTCCGAGGAGACGGTGTCTGGGATGGCGACGAGGGAGTCGTCGGCGTAAGAGACGCGGACATATTCGGCTGGGGGGATATTGATGCGTGATCAGCAATGAAACGGGTTCCGTAAATGTGGTGTACATACCCTGACAACCACCGTTGTCTGGTCGGAAATCCCCCCCGGCACCGTACATGGGTATGTCGGGCGTCAAGGTCGAGTCGACCACGTAGTGGCCAGCGTCAGTGCCGAAGGGAATGAGAACCCTGTCGCCGACCTTGAACTGCTCCGTGGCGCTGCCGACCTCGACCACGATGCCCACGGCCTCGTGGCCCATGACCCAGGGCGGGTTATGGCTGCCGAAGAAGCCGCGGTATATGTGTGCTTCAGAGCCGCACAGGGCAGCGGTGGTAATGCGGACAATGGCATCCTCTGGCATCTGGATGGTGGGCTTGGGCCAATCGTCGCGGACCTTGATTTCGAAGGGCTTGCCCTCGTAGACGACGGCGCGCATAGTCTTCTTGTCGTGGACATTAGGGCTCGACATGGTGGGATGTTTTGGCTTGGGCATTCAGAAGTTCGTTGAAAGGTATGACGGGCAAAAGGATGCGTACTGTGGTGACGATACCTTATTCCTCCGACTCCTTTCTTGCTCTGAGCATCAGCAGGATGTACGATACATATAGACAGCAACTAGAGTCCACAAGATAGAGGATGCCAACGGTCAGGGAATTATCCACAGTGTACGGTGACAATCGTAATCCTCAGTTGTGCAGGCCGAGGCGCCGTGACGCACTCTCCACGCAAATGCGATGATCCCCATCGGCGCAGCCTGGTAGCCACAGCCGCAATGATACCCTGGAAGGATTGGATATCACGTTGACTCTACCTACAGGCCCCGGATTCCGGAGTCAAGTTTGCTAGGCACGTCTCTAACGCTAAATATCATTGGTAGACTGGCTCGCTTTTGTTGTCGGTCTCTGTCAGCACTCGAAGAACCCATTGTCAGCTTCGTTTAATCTTACTAGAAGTTGGCTGACGGTAGGATAGGTGTTGTTGTAACTTGCAATTCGCTTAGCGATGGCAATATCCGTAAGCGCGGTCTGCAAGGGGCATCTTCAGGCTGCTTCTCCTTTAAGTTGACGAGCTCAGAACTTCATCCAATCATCCGGCAAGTCTTCATCGCGGGATGCTGCCACGGTGGTAATTTCAACCAACTTCCCTGGTGGGAAGCTCGGAAATGTTAAGTGCGAGACTCATGTAAAATGCCCGGTTTTAATCCAACACCTGATAAACAGCTGACATTCAGTGGTAAGAGGAATCGTGTAGGCAGTGCATGATCAGTCTCACGAAGACCGCGCGAGGCTCAAGACGAGGAAGCACAAAAAAAGAGAAAGGGCTAAGAAAAAAAAGGAACAACACGAACAAGCGGTGGAGGAAGACACACGGTGTTTTGGAAAGTTGCAGCAACGCAGCATTCTTCACTGTCACAATCTTTTTACTCTTGCCCAAAACCGACTGAATTAACTATCTGACTAGTCTGTAAATTCCACCATTTCTGGCTGAGCTCTGTTCTGTTCGACAATTGCTCGATCCCCTCCATCCTAGTCCCGGTCAACGTCCAGCGAATCGAGAATTCGCCACTGGTCGACGACATGAGCGACCCCGTCATGAACGACCAGCCCCGGGGTGGGAGCACGATTGCTGGGGCTAACTTGTAGAGAATACCATCCCGGCTGTCGCGACGCCCGATGAGAGCGTAATCCTGGGATTAGGCTGACCTCGCGATGTTACCCCTCATTCCGCCTCTTGTTCTGGTTGTTCTTTGTCCTATCGCTTCACCTCACACGGCTGGCGATAGACGCTACAAGGTTGGTCTCACCGTCTCTCCCCCCCGTCTCTCCTTTTCTCTCTCTCGCTCTGCTCTTGTTCTTTATTTATTTAACGTTATCTATTTTCTATTTCCTATTTTTTTTCTATGTTGGTCCTTGATAGGAAACTGTTCAGGCTGACTTCCAGGTTGTTGCCGTGCCAATACCGAGAATAGCGAGGAGAAGGAAACGGACACCCTCGTTAAAAAGATCGCCCAGGCCAACCACGGGGACCACAAGAAAGAGGTCACCACAGGGATTACAATACAACGGCAAGTACGAGCCGACTACCCAGCCCGTGACCGATGGTCATCCTTGAACGCGTCGTCCTATGAATTCATGAGCGACAAGCTCTCGGTATAAGATAAATTACCGCCATCGGAGGCGCCCTTTCCTCTGCCTCCCTGCATGCCTCCTCTTGACTCTTCTTGCGCATCTCCTCTGCAGCACGCTCGTGGGACGGTGTGCTGCGAGCTACCCGCGCGGCCAGCGCGCAGTCGAACGTGCGTCTTAGCAAGATGGGTCTTGGCCGAGTTCCGAGCTTAGGAAAGGTGGCTGAAAGGGGCATGTACTTGATGTCGCCCTCTTCCCGCTCTGTTCACGAGTCAGAATAGATTACTGCGAAAATCTAGCGGGAGAAAGTAACCACCGCCATACATGATCTCGTCCAGCTCCTCTTCCAGTCCTAGTTGAACAGCTCGTCGGCCTCATCAACCACTATATATTATTATTCCTACACCGCTGTGCCCTAGGGCGTGCCGGACCTTCAACAACTTACTATACAGGAAAACCGCGCGCTCGTGGGCCGGGTGAAAAACCCATATCGACAATCAAGGAAACGATCAGTGTGCGATCCTGCAAATACAAAGTGGGAAGGCCTCTTGGCCTTCGAAGGAAAGGGTATCAGACTGCGAGCTCCAGCTCCAGCCTCCTGGCCAGACCGTACATCGGCAGTTTCCCCGAGTCCATCAGCCAGTCCAGGATCCTCCCCGTTAGCCGTGCAGCTTTGGGACTGATTCCCTGTAGGACAGAATAAAAGTCCCTTCGCGTTCTGATCTCGGCTCTCTCCCATCTTCGAGTCAACGGTGGGGCCAAGCACCACATCACAAGGTGTTCGACAGTCTCTCGCCCCTCTCCACACTCCCATATAGGCGTCAGTACCTCTGGGACTCTCCTTTCGAATAAGAAAGCCCGAAGGCCTATGGCCCCGGTTCGAATCTGGATCAACAGTGAACTCTTCGCTCTGCTGAGGCCGTCGTGTCTCCTTAGGGTTTTGTCTTGGAACAGAGTCTCGTGCTGGTGGTCAAGGTCATCTGCGGGCCTCGTTGCTGTCCGGCCGTCTCGTTCCTTGAACCACCTCTCTCTCCAGGCCTCCTCCATTACTTTGTCCGTGTCGGCAGTCCCTCCCGTCCAAACTGCAATTGTGTTAGCGGCTTCTTCTACCGCTGTGGGCTCCTGCGGCCCAAAGGCTCGCGGTCGGCCCCTGTTATCCGTCCTCGAGTTGAATATCTGATATATCTTGCCGCAGGCCGCATGAACAATACTCCCTGCAGTCTTCTTTCCGCCTCGGCCGTCGGCCAGAGTGGGCATTTGAAGCCGGGCCTCAAAGTCAGCCAGTCGTTTGTTGAAGTAAAGGTCCAGTGGCGGCACCCATGTCTCCGTTTCAAGGTTCCGAGTGGGTGTGGACTTGAAGGCTCCTGCCACTATCCGTAGACTCTTGTTTTGAGCTTTTCCAAGCGCCTTGGTGATCCCTTTCGTTGCTGGCTCACCCCCCTTCTCGGTGGGGGTGTGAAAGGATGATGCGCCGTACGCTAGCGCTGACCGGATGCACTTTGAGTATACCTCTCGTGCTTTGGCCAGCCCTAGGCCCCACGTTTTTGCCGTAATCCTTGACAAAGCGTAGCTCTGTGTTTTCAGCTTCCGCTCTACCTCTCCTAGGTGGGCCTTCCAGTTGAGTTTCCAGTCCAGCCAGACCCCTAGGAATCTGGCCGATGCCATCGGCTTCACCGGGCTGGTGCCTCCTCCCGGCTGCGCAAGTTCCAGCTGGTCAGTCCACTGTTTGCGCCCTCTGTTGAAGTGAATCAGCTCGCTCTTTTCCGGGCCAAGAGACATTCCCCGGGTTTCTGCCCACTGCAGGCACGTCTCCCACGCTGCCTCCAGCTGTCGAACGTTAGCCCGTCGGAAGTATATTGCTAAGCCCATCTTTCCTAATATAGAGCGAGCTCCGCATTCTAAGCCTCTTTTCGCCGATAGAGTCGTCAGCCCAATAGATCCGTTGGCCACTACAACCGAGCTTCAGCCTCAGTCGTTTAGCCGTATCTACGGATGTACATCTCCGTGATTCCTGGCGTTTTCACCTGGTTTTCTTTCGTCACTGACCCATTTTAATGGGTTAGGGTGCTCCTCAGCACTAGGCCGGCGATAATCCAACCTAGAAGCAATAGTACCAACCCTAGTCTGCTTGCGCTGGTCATTCGTGGCCGCGTCTAGTGTAATTGCGGCGATGACCGCCAAATCCACAGGCGTTGCTAGTTTAGGCGAACTGATCTCCCGCCGAGATGTCTGCCTGGTGGATTTCGAAGACGCGGGCGGTGTGTAAACAGAGGCGAGCGTTTGATGCAACTCAGAAATGTTTGGATAAAGCGAGACGTGTCCAGGCAGCGGTCTTGCTCCAATGGCGATCTCAGAAGCCACTGCTCGGATGTTGAAGGTGCTCGCCATATTGTTGCGTCCATTTGCGCTTCTCCCGCTCGAACATCTCCGAGGTCTCAGTATTCAGCCTTGCCGCCTACTGGTATTGATCGGCTATGTCGCGGACGGCGGATTGGGTTTCGACGTCCTCTTGAAGGCACGGAGCTGAGTTATCGACCTCACTCGTCGCCTCCAGGGCGGCTTGTTGGAAAGCCAACAGCCACGAATGTGCCGCACCGTAGTAATTGGGTACCAAAAGGATGGGCAACCACTCAATTGATGATGATCCTGTCTGTGTTCTTCCAGAAGTTCCCTGCCTGTTCCTGATCCTGAGAATCCTGGTGGCAAGCCATTGGTCACCCCTGAACTGCCCTCTCTGACCACCTGCCAAATCCAACACGTCTTGATGCTGTGTATGGGGAGGAGGCGACTCGTTGCCTAGAATTCGTAGCCATTCATCTGCAAGCTCGGATAAGGACTGAGATGCTGAAGGCATGGCAGGAAGAGTTGGCATGTTCGAAGTCGCGGTATTGTGCCAATGCTCTCTTGGAAGCTCTGAAATGAGTGAGGCAATCCCGATATGGTTGTTTGCTTTGCCCGTACATGTCGAATCACTACCTCATCCAACAATCTTAGCAAGGGTCCTCATATTTTCGAATCTTTACCAACCGGCAGCGGTGATTGCTTACTGGTTGGTAGCATATGTAGGGCAGCCGAGACCTTCCCGACGTGGCAGGTGTTAGAAGATGGCAGGTGCGTGCCGCACTTTCCGGAGGCGGGCAAGCCGTCACAAAGAATACCTAGTAATAGAATTTAGCTCTTATTATAATATATTTAATAGAGCGTTAGGCCCTCAGCACATCTATACCCTCGTCTATTAGCCTCTCCTCCTATACCTTATACCTAATGAGTGGGTACAGTTATACCTGATTGCTATTTGAGGCGAAAATATCCATGGCTGCTAAAGCTTTATATACATTAACTTTAAAAGCTTTAGTAACTGAAGTCGTCAAGCTGGCCGAGTGGTTAAGGCGACAGACTTGAATTTCCTAATTTGTTATCTGTTGGGTTCGCCCTCACAGGTTCGAATCCTGTGCTTGACGGTTTTTTTTCCCCAGATTCTTCATCTCCCCTTTTTTTCTTTGTTTTCCTTTTCTACTTCTTTTTCCCTTTTGCTTTGTCATTCTTCCTCACCAAACACCCGCTCGGTGCTTGATAACTCAACCACGCTAATAGGGACCTAACCTTAGCGTTATAGGATGTCACGGGTCGTGACAGTGTGAGGTTCATGTGCGCAACTCCTGGTTCGACTGGACAGTTCGAACCACGGTCCCTCTTCTGAGGGTGTTACGCAGTGGTCAGTTGCGCCCACCCGTGACATAGGAGTTGTCTAGCAGCCTACTATAGATATAGACAATGATATTCAAGTAAGATTAAGCGGATGCCTTAGCGCGCTCCACGACTAAGAAAACTACCGAGCAGGTACCTCGGACGGGAAAGGTGGCAAAGGCCGGGATAAACAATAGGGAAAACTCAATCACAGAGTGGATAATCGAAGAGCGGATAGTAGAATGTACCTTCCAAGTCGCCTACCTTATACTATTAAACAATCTACTCCCTACTCACTTAGAGCACATCTCCCTAGCACAGCTCCCTGATTCCCAAGTTGTCTACCTTATATCCCCAAGTCGTCTACCCTATACCTCTAGGGCGTACGAATAGGTACTGTCGGAGACCCTCTCCGCCCTTCAGCCAAAACAAGCCACCTTTCCTGAGACGGTACGGCTACCTTATATACCTTTACCTAAGCTAGAGTGCCGAGGCAGCGACACATTCTGGGCAGAAGTCTCAGAAGTTGCGATTCCTGCCGTGAAGTCCATCAAGCTCAGAGTTTAGGCACACTCCACGTGCAGCGCTGATGGATTGCCATGCGCTTCCAAAGCATGAACCAGTATCGTGTCCGTACTAGGTACTCTATAGCCCTACTCAGTCTTGAATGCATAGCCACTCTGTCCTCTGTCCTTGTCTCCATCCTCCCACCTACGCCCTCCCGTCTCTCTCTGCCCACGCCTATTTTCACATTGAGCAAGGGAAGACAACACCAACCCCTCACATTCATTCCCCGTATCCTTTCTAGCAATCCGTCGTCTCGGCGCAGTAGACCAGGGCCAGACAAACAAACAGACAGCTTGTGGCCTGGGCTCTTTACACATCAACTAAGGTATCCGTGGTAGACGCAAAGGACTGAGACCCGAGCCTCTCCTCGAGAGGATAGCAGAGAGTGCTCAACATGTAAGCCCAACTACACAATTTCATGAAGAGTTATTGTGCCAGTAGTTCATTCATCAGAAGCAGACCCATTTCTCGTTGTCATGGTCCCGGACACCGGCTACTAGCTAGTAATATCTCCGCACCCAGAGACGAGCCTCACGCATTAAGAACAGGGGCCGAGCAGCATGTTGAAACCGTATCATCTTGAAGTCTACCGCTTCTCCATTGGATTGCACGGCGGAGTGGGCTCAACACCTGTGCCAGCGTCGGTAAGACAGTGGCTTACAGCAGCCCTGAGCCACTTCTCCCACTTCTCCTAAATAACGCACACGATCCAGTATTTCTATCAGCATTTCTTACTTCCCTTGGCTTCCACGACCCAGACTCTGACTGCAGTAAGTTCGAGTCGCCAGACAGCCCACGCTCCAAGAGGAAGGATAATGCTCACAAGCGATGCGGGATGACTCCAGATAGCTCTTTCTTTTTCACTGTATCCTTTCCCTAGCCGACACAACGACTCTTATACCGTCCATTCACATATTCATGAAGCAGCCACCTAACACACCCGAGCAGTTCATTTTGGGCGCCCACCATATCACCACTTCCCCTCCATCCAGTCACCAGCCACTCACTCGTCTTCATCATGCTCATTATCCTCTTCCTCCTCCTCACTACTTTCCTCCTCATCAGCATTCTCCAACCACTCCACCAACACGCGACACTTCTCCCTCAGCGCATCCATCTTCTCGCCCTCCCCCACCCTCTTATCCGCCCACCACGCCAGGATCCCCTCCTCCTCGAGCACGTCGCGGTTATACAGCTGCTGCAGCAGCGCCGCCAAGAGCGCGCCCGCCCTGCCCACCTCCAGCTCCTTCAGCTCGCCCAGTAGCGCCCGCTGCACGGCCAGGGCAAACTCGGCCTGCTGCGCGACCCCATCCCCGCCAACACCAACCTCCTTGATAAACTTGACGGCGCCGTGCTTGGACGTGAGCGCCTCGGCGACGGCCTTGGTGAGCTCCAGCCCTCCGTGCTCGGGCCTCATCAGCTCGGCGGCGCGGCGGACGAACGCGACGGCGATGGCGCGGCGCATGGCGCTGTCAGAGGCGTTGTTGGCGAGACGCAGGCCCATAAACTCGAGCTTGGCCGAGTCAAAGTCGGTGCTGTCGTCGGCGCGGAGGGCGTCGACGAGGCCGTTGACGGCGTCGTTGTGGAAGTCGCCGTCAGGCTTGGAGGCTGACTCGTCCGAGGCGAACGACGACAGGCGGTCGCGGGCGTGGCTGCCGAAGTAGTCACCTGCTTGCACCGAGCCGGCGAGGGAGATGTTGTCGTTGTCCGTGTCGTAGTCGTCTTGTTCGGAGGCGAGGGTGGAGATGGACGAGGTGGAGATGTTCAGGCCTTCGAGGGAGTAGATGAGCGAGCTTTGAAGGATGGCGGGGTCTCTATTTGCTCCGTCCTCGTCGTCCGATTCCTCCTCGTCCGCGGCGACCTCGTACAGTGCGCCAGTGCCGCCTGGGCCGACTAGTGAGGTATCCGTGGGGGCGAGCTGGCCGTCGTCGGTCAGAACCGATATCCGTGCCGGCGGTTTGGATGGCATCTGGATGCCGCTGTCGATGTGTACGTTATATGAAATGAGCGAACCCTCGGGAATCCGGCAATGCGCGCCAACGACGACCGAGCCTGCCAGTACCGAGTGTACAACAGAGGCACCATCTCCTATTACCGCATCGTCCCAGATGTGGCTGTTCTCGATCCTGACGTCCTTCCCGATCTTGCACCGCCTCCCGATACTGCTTCCGGAGATGACGCTTCCCGCCTTGATGGTTGTTCCTCTTCCGACCACGGACCGTGTTACCTTGGCTCCCCTCTCGGCGAGGGCATGGTCCTCGACGTAGTTGCCGCCTTTTACTCTTTTGTATGTCTGGCCGTGGATCAGGTTGCTGTCGGGCACAAATGGGAGCGTCCACCGCTCGAGCACATCCCGACTGATGCAGTCATACATCTGAAGGTTGCTGGCACGCGCCGCATACCCCTCGTCTAGGATTTCAGCGTACAGGAGCTTGCCGTTCAACTCCCAGTCCTTTAGCACGCCGTGCAAGAAGTTTTTCCTCGGCAGCTCGTAGTCGAAACTTTCTGACCACAGCGCCAGCACGTCTGGGGTGCAGATGTCGATGCCGCAATCGACCAGGTCGGTGCGAATCTCGAACTCGCCGTGAGAGAATACCGCGGGGTCCAAGTCAAGATAGTGTTCGCTCTGGAGCGGGTGCATCTCCTCGTACTGCAGGCATCGCCCTGTTGCTGGGTCGACGACAAAGACGGGTGTAATTCCTCGAGCCTTCGCTGCCCGATGTGGCTGGTCCCCGACGGAGCGCAGGACTACGGTCATGCAAGCGTCGCGGTTTGCCTCCCTTCTCGCGCGGTGCTTCGCCAGAGCAGCGTCCAACTGGATGTTTGAGACCAGGTCGCCATGGACGAGAACAAAGTCGCCAGTGATGATGCCTCGCTTATCCAGGTCTCGTAGGAAATCGCCGATCGAGTGCGCGTCCGAGACGCGGATGAATTCGAGCGAGGAGAACGGGGAGATGGCGCTGGCGGGGCTCCATCGCGTGGACTCGTGGATGTAGCGCTCGATGTTTTCGGAATGTGCGCCGCAGTAGATGAAGACCTCTTGGACGCCATTCGATGCGAGGAACTCGAGGGTGTACTCGATCACCGGGACGTTGACCAGGGGAAGGAGGCACTAGGAGAGTCTAGGGGTCAGCAATGGTGCGCAATTGACCCGACACAGTGTGGCGTCCGGGCTTCTAGGGGGCTGAGACGCACTCTTGGGGTCTCTAACGTGAAGGGCTTGAACTTGTCTTGAAACGAGTCGGCCAGAATCACGGCCTGGAGAACGTCTTCTCCCTTCTCGTCGGCGCCAGCCTTGGCAGGCTTCTTCGCCTTGCCCGCGGCACCCCCGCCCTTTCCTTGCTTGGACATTGGATGGCTCTTCGGTCACGTACAACTTATATTTCAGGTACTGCGCGGTGCAGAGTCGGAAATCGTTTACCGCAGACAGCTTGTCGGGCGTTGAAGAAGAACAACAAAAACGAACAACGAATTTGTGAGTCAACGGCGACCAATTCGCGCGCGGTCTTCAAAGTTCAATGTGGGGTGCGGGGAGCGGCAAGGCTGAGGAACGAGGCGGGGACCTTGAGAACGGGCCCGTTCGCGTGACAGCGGCTGGGCTTACTGTGTATTTACATGTGTATAGGTTGTCAAAGATGTAGCTCTCTGCACATCTAAAATGTCTCGTCATTTGTTGAAGCCCGTGCGCTTGAATCAGGCTAGGGGCCAGACCTAGAAGTCATTACAATCTTCAGCCAAATTGTTTCAGAGAGCACTTCTACCACAGTACGTCATCAGGACATGCGAGACTCCAGTTGTTTAAATCCTCAAGCTTGGAGTCGGATCGGCAATTGCCCGCGCCATGACACTGACATGGTCTCTGTCCGGAATCCCTCCAGCCCTGTCGAAAACAATTTCTTGGATCGAAGTGTTCCTGAAGGACGGGTTGATGATGGATAAACTCCGGCAGCAGCTTGCCAAGACCAGCGAGAGCGCCCACTCTGGGAAGCTCGCTAGCCTCGCCAATCAAATCATACCAGGCCGCTACATGCAGCGTGCTGGTCTGGAACGAGCCGAGCCCATGTTCCGAGATTGCGGCGCTAAAGGCCTGGCCAGAACATTCCTTGCATGACAACCAGCGCACCACAACTTTGCTCCTTCCGGATCTGTCGACTCGGATCAACTCGTCTGGGGGACATTACAGGTGAAGGCCTGGATGAAACAGAGTACGGAGTACGGATAGCGATACTCGCTGGCTTGTACGTCGGGCCACCGGCGACCACATGCACGAACATACTCCGTAGTTTCGGTAGGATGCCTCTTCGAGAATAAGATGATACGACATTCTGCCCTGGGAACCCCATCGTTTCGCAACCAGATGACGGACACCATATGTGTATTCGTCCTGTAGAAGCATTCTGGTAATAAGACGCCGTGACACCGCCAACCTGCAGGTCAAGCTTGTAACAGGCCACGACAGGCTTACCACCAAACCTCACTCCATCCTGCAGATCTGGGCTTGAGATGAACCCAGCCCAGCCCGGCCGAGCCCCAGCGCCGAGCCGTTCCAGAACATGACAGGCCCCCGCGATACGGGAGAGACTGCAGCTGAGGAACATGCAGGGACCGACAAAGCCGCCTGTCTGAGTGGAGGATTGTACCCAAGCAGTCCGGCTCGTCAGGGACAGGGCTCAATGGGACGAACGGAGATGTCGTAAGCTCTGCTCCGTGATGATTGTTACGGCGGTTACACTTGTTCGGCGCAGACGAGACGAAAATCACCGATCAACAACCACGGGGAGTGCGACGAGCGGGAGCTTGGTGGTAAAACTACAATCTCCTTCACCACCGCGACGGAGTACGCACGCATGGAAGGAGGGCAACAGACTACACGCTGGATACTCCATAGGGCTGGAGCACTCCTGCCCAACTCGCCAGTAAGTACGGAGAATGGCCAGTCAGTCGGAGACTCACTATCTCAAGTCACCCAAGAATAGCAAAGGCTGTTAGTAGGGCGTTTGCATGTCCGTTTGTTTGGTGTCTCACCCCAACTGCTGTCCCCTGCCCGTCCGGTAACTTACGTGCCCATCGGGTAAGCTGCCTTCCGCCCTTCCCGCAGTCCAGGCCCGGGCCAGGCCAGGTCATGCCGGGGGTGGCTGTGAAACGGGCGTCCAAAGCGACCAGGCTCTGATACATATCCCTGTCGTCAGCCCACTCCCCATCGTTGGCCTTCTTTCCTCTTCATTAGTTCATTTATTGATAGTCATCGGCTCGCCGATTATTACTCTCCTTCGGCTCACCCTTCCAGCGAATATACCTCCACCATCATCGTTGAAACACACAGCAAAAACGACACGACATCCCGTCATGTTGTTATTAGCCGGCCATTCACTCGAAGCAGGACCTTCTCAGACATCACCAGCCCAAGAATCAGCACCATACATTGACTCTCCAATGGCCAGCGTCAAGACCCTGCCTTCCTCAGCCCGTCGAAGCACCATGGGTTCCGAAGAGTCGACGGGCTCTAACTGATCAACCGCTGTTCAGCCATTCATAGCCAGCGATACAACCTGCCCCTTTCCTTCTGCCGCTGGTTCAGGCCGCCGTTGAGGTTGCTCGCGTCGGGACCCAACCCAAGAAAACTAACTAGACAAGGACCGCAAGACTCGGAAGACAACTCAGTTGTCTCACACACTGTACCCACAGTCGTACAACTGCTGAACCTCCCGGCGGGTTCTCCCCAAGCCAGTCCATACTTGCCAATAACCGAAGCTACCTACCTACCTACCATATCTACACAGCCAGTCCAATCCAGTTCAGAAAGCCGGACAGATAATAAACCCGTCCCGTCCCGACGACGCAAAACCCAATGCCACGATACAAACCAAATCCATGCGTCTCTGTGTGTGTGTTTCTGCTATCAGCTATATCAGCTTAACCATTTAACCAACCATCCATCCACCCTTGGCGTTTAAGTTTCTCAGAATTTCACTCCCAGTCCAGCTTTTGGGCCCGAATTTCGAATCTTCAACTCCAGCCCACCCAACTACAAACTCGCCCATCTACGCCACCCACCATCCCCGAAGAGACGAACCCCCCGGGAGCTCTCAGCACACGCGACGACGACGACGACCCGCCCCCAACCTCTCTTCCGAACGAAAACCGCCCGAAATTCAACTCCCCAGCCAAACCCGACCTATTGCACATACCCCTGCGGCCCAGGCCCATACGACAAGCGTTGCCTCTTCTCCGGCCGATCATCCCCTCCGGCCGCTCCCCCACCACCAACAGCATGCAGCCCGCCCATATGATGCGCCCCCGCGACCTGCTGGTGCGACCCGGGCATATACCCACCATACCCGCCCGCTGCCTGCTGCGGGTGATGATGTTGCTGGGCATGATGCTGTTGTTGCTGCTGGTGGTGGGCATGATGCGGATGCGGATGCTGCGGCGGCGGGGGCGGCGGTCTCTGCTGCTGCTGCGGCTGTTGCTGCTGCTGGGACCCGCCCGGCGTCAACACCATTCCACCGGGCCCAACCGCACTCCCGACAGCGCTCATGTATCCTCCCGCTGCGGCAACGGCGTTGCCGCCATCGACGCTGGTCGGCGACGTCGAATGCGGATGGTGCATCTGCTGACCGGGGGAGTGCCACGACGAGACGGTGGAGGGGGACTGGATCGGGGTGTGCTCGAATTTGACCTGGGGCCCTGCGGCGGCGGCGGCTGCCATGGAGCCCGCCATTGCGGCGGCCATGTTGGCGGGCGCGTAGCCCTGGGCGGAGGTGGAGGCGGCTGTCGGGGGACCCGGGCCGTGGCCGGCTACGGCTAGGTTTTGCGACATGGGGTCGTCGGCGCCGACGAGGCCTGCGGCTGATTGCGGGTCTTTGAGCATGCGGGTGAGGTGCTTGCGGAGGATGCGGACCATGCCGTCGCGGGTGAAGGGTTTCGCTAGCACGTCGTTCATCCCTTTGGGGTGGTGGTGGTTAGAGCACAGGTAAATTGTGCGGGGGGTTTGGGTGAACTTACCGAATTGGAAGTAGGTCTGGATGTCTTCTTGCCGGATGTTCGAAGTCATGGCGACGATCGGCACCTGCGGCGCGACCATGCGGATCATGGCTGTGGCCGATACACCGTCCAGGTGGGGCATGATGATGTCCATGAAGATAAGATCGAAACGCTCGGCGTCGCGGTTGACCTTTTCGACTGCTTCTAGGCCATCACGCTACATCGCCTGTTAGCTGCTGCACTACAAAAGCGGCCACCTTACTTACAGCAATGTCGACAACGCAGTCGTTGATGGTGAGAAACTTCGACCCTATCCTCGCACACGTCTTGTCGTCTTCGACGAGCAGGATATGGGGTTTCTTGCCGCGCCAAATGGACCCCAACTGTTCCTTGAGCGGAGGCGTGACCTGCGCTGAGGCTTCCGCCTGGATAGCGGGGTTACTCAATGGTCGGCTGTAAGGGATATTGTGGATGTGGTCAGCGTGGAAGGGGTCTATGCCCGTCGTCTGTCCCACCGGGTACACCATGTGCCGAGGGTCGTTGAGGGGGTCATGGACAAGCGGCATCCCCCCTGGGCCGGGATGCGCAAACATGACGGACGAGGAGCCCGCTGAATCGGCGGGGGATCCGTTTTGGTTGTAGGCCATTGACAGCCTCTCGAGTTCCCTGTCTGCCTGGACATCCGGAGACACGCCGTTGAGAATCTCCCTAGCTCGCCGCAGCTCTGGCGCGGGCTCGTCCGCCCCGTCCGGCAAGAAGCCTGTCGACCCAGCGTGGAAGGTTTGACCTGTCTGACCCGAGGGGCCGGACTGAGCCGAGTGACGGCTGTTGCGCCGGCGGTCTTCGACGTTGTTCAGATGTGTGATGACCTCGTTGGCCGCCTGGCTCTGCGCCTTGACCATCTTCTGCAAACTCACCACCTCACTAACGAGCAGCTTATTAGTTTTTTCGAGTTCAAAGTACTGTTCCTGTAGCGCCTGGATTTGGTGTTGAGTCGCTGTGAGTGACTCGCTCAGGACGATGACCTGCTGCGAGGCCGGAAAAGCATCCTCGGCCGGCGGCGCCTTTCGTGGGGCGGGGGCCTTCCTCCGGATGTTGTCCAGGTTGTCTTTTCTGTCGGCCCTGAACTCGGGGTGCCGAAACTCCCACGCCTGTCATTCCGAATGTCAACATGCTCTGTCCAGACCCAAGGGATCACCCAGTTGTGAGACAACGTACATCTCGTCCGTATGGCGACTCGCCACTCTCCTCGTTGTGTCTGACTTTGTGGAAGTCGTACTTGTTTAATTGACGGACAAAACTCGCAAAGTTGCTGTGCTTGAAGTGTTTGGGGAGGATCGTCTTGGTGAACTTCTCGTTCTGCAAAAGCGTCCCAGGAATCAATATCGAAGCATCCCCAACGGTTTCCAAGTTTTGGCACCACATCCGTACCTCCAAGACCACAAAGCTGTCGCCGTCGGCGCTCCATCGTACAACTGAGTTGTACGAGGGGTCCTCGAGCATCCTGAGACGTCATCTATAAGTATGTGCTGGAAAAATTGGCAGTCGGGGCGTGGTGGCGAGGGAGATCGTACTTGTAGAGTTTGCGAACCTTGAGCACGACATGTTAGCTGGGTTCCTGGGTGGATGTGCGGGTTCGACTCGCTCAGATAAAAGGGGAGTTGCTCACAAAGTCGCTGGAGCTGTTTCCAGCCTGCGCGGTGCCCGCGTCGCCATCGGCGGGCGGCATGCTTGCGGCCGGGGCACGGTCGAGCCAGGGACCAGTGGGCTGCCAAAATGGTTCGGCGGCGCAGACAGTCGCGATGCACTCGATGCACTCGATGAGTCGGGTCCAAGAAAACGAGATAACAACGGCCGATAAGGCCCTAGAACAAAGGAATAAAGCCCGAATTGGATGGGAAACGTTCCCAAGCAAGATGCATGGTTTGAAGATTGCCCCCCCCCTTCCTTCTCAATCCCCACAAGCCTTGAAAGGGAGGAATGCGACGGCTTCCCTGGCCCGAGCTGCTGCCAGCCTGCTACAGGTGCCCTGAACCCTGGACGCCGCTCACTGCAGGTTCGGTTCCCACTTTTCGCCGAGGTCACAGCCCGGAGATATCATAGGCCGGGCATCCTGCGAATCAACGGCCCGCTTCGCGACGTAATGCACTCAGGGCCGCGGAATCAAGACTGGTTCAAACGACAGAGGTCCTTTTGGGCTGCCCGCTGCGGTCAAACTGTCGTTTCGAAATCGTGGGCCGAGACAGGTGGACGTCCTCGAACACTACCACAGTAAACACGTGTAGGTTGTAGACAGCATGTCACAGGATACACGTGCAGTGGGGGTTAGTGGTGCGACGGTACCTCCGTAGCTGAATCAAAGCTTTGCAGCTGGTTGTGGTGGTGGCTGCTTTGGGGCTGGCAAGAGTGCCGGGATTAACAAGCTGGAAACTGATCCATAAAATGGGTGACGAATGGGAGGACTCTCACATGTCACTAACAAACTCCAGCGCCTCGTTTCGGAGACAGTTGAGGATCTCGGCGGCTCGAAAAGAAGGAAGCAGGAAAGCGACTCCCGGTCTCGGCTCAGTCGACAACTCGACAACCGGGTGGAAACGAGAGCAGGGGTGTGTGCAGGCACAAGTTGGCAAGGAAGCGCAATAATCGTTATGGATTGGGAATGGCGATGGTCAACAAAAGCATCAGCGATCCGGTTTGGGTGCCCGCTCCAGCTGCATTCGGCTGCGCTGACGTTGATGATGGGCAGCAGGGCAGCTAGGCCACCTGATGCGACTCGCACCATCGAGGACTCATAAAGTAAACGTCACTTCCACTGCTCGTTATTGCCCATTCTTCTTGCACGTCCATGAACCTAAATGCAGACCAAGTCGGTCCTAGGCGTCGTTGCGGTTCTTTACGAGGTCAAACCCTGACCCAGACCGCCAGGCCGGGCACCCTTGTGATTCGCTGCTCCTCGTGGACTGAGTGACAGTCTGAGGGTCTCAAGCCGATCTTGAACCAACATGTTGATGGTGAGACTCGTTGGACGAGGCGGCAGTGGAAGATCAAAAAGAGAAAACCAAGCAGGAAAGGAAGAAGTAAAGAGCGAGGTCAAAAGGAACACGGGTCTAGTACAGGTAGAGAGAGCCTCGCGCTGAAGATGATACCTACGTTCATGAAACGGCAGTGCCCCCCGTAGCCGTCTTCTGATCGTCGACTTCTTTCGTTCCTTTTCCTTCAGTTGAACAAAGGGTTGAAAAATCTGAACTTTACTCGTATACCTTATAAGATACGTTCTGTTAGGTTTTTCCTCACAGTAGAGCAACCCTGCCAGATACCGTAACAGAGACGGCAGTCTTCTGCCACGCCACACCAGATGCGTTGAGAGTTGGCAGTAGAAATCCCAGAACATGCAACCAGCAAGCCACGACTCACCACCACCCGTGCCGATATCCGGCTGCTGCTCACAACGAGCTGGGAAGGCTTTACGACCGGGATATCACGTTGCCCCAAATCTGGCAGGGATCGCCATGCTCACAGAAACATGCAAAGCATGCGCTTCATCAACCAGGAATCGATGAGACTTCTCTCTCTCGTCTTGTTTTGCCTGCCGTTCCGTCTCCCAACCGCCAGGACCCAGCAGGATATAATATACGGTAGATTAACGACAAGCTCCTCCTCCTCCAAAGCCAAGACAAATCAGGCGAGGAAACTGAGTCTCGAACTCACCTTCACTGTCAACTTCACCTGGGCTCCTTGTACACTGCATGGTACATTCCGTCCGACTACGGCTGGTTTACAATGAAGCTCTCAATTTCATTACCCATAAACGCCGTGCTATGGCAGCATCACTTTCTCCCTCCCCTTCTATGCACAACCATACAAAATCCTAAAGCTACCACAACCCAAAAGACCAGTTACTAACAACGTACCCAATCTCTTTTGATTCACATTCTCCCCCATCTTTCTCCCACCTGAGGAAGAAGAAAAGAGCTAATACTTGATAACCTTCTGCCCCTTAACCCTCCCCTTCTCCTTCCCGACTCCCTCCGCCCCGGTCTGCGTCGAAAAGGCACAATACTTATCCTTAATGGCCACAACCTCATACGTGCCCTCCTGGTTCGCCCGGACAACCTTGCTGTGCTCGTGGCTCACATCGTGCCTCGTCTCCAGCACCTGGCTCTTCTGGCCTTTCCTCGCATTCGTGCTGCGCGTGTACGTGAACTCGAACGGCGGCGTGCCCCAGAACTCAAAGAGGATTTCTACCTCGCCGCCCTCGTGTATGTCCACCCGCACATTCTTGCCCTTACTGATGCGCACCGCCGGCATCGGGTGGATCGTCTTGGCGATGTGCACCGGCGCGCGGCACTCGCTGGCCTTGTCGGAGAGAGTCGTGATGATGAACTCGCCCGGCGACTCGGCCACGCGCCGGAAGTTGGTCGTGGGCGACTTGGCCTTGCGCTCCACGCCGTCGAACGTGTACCACACCTCAAAAGGCGGCGTGCCCGAGAGCGTGTACGAGATGCGCTCGCCGACGCAGTAGTCGGTGCGCGTCTCGAGCGGGTAGATGGTGGGTGCCTCGAAGAGCTGGACCTGGACTGACGGCCCGCCCGTGAGTTCGCCCATCGAGTGGCAGCCGCTGCCGTCTTTGACGTCGCGGATGCGGATGTGCTGCGTCCCCAGCCGGAGCTGGTGGCGTGGGATGCGGATCTCGTACGAGTGCGTGTTAATGGCTGGCGTGCGGTAGATCTCGGGCACGGCGGCGCTTTGATGCTTGATCTCGATTTCCAGCGCAAAGGGAGGAACGCCCGTCAAGGACACGGGGATGCCGTCCTCGTTGTCCTGCTCCGACTTGCAGTACTTGAACGTCTGACCGGGTTTGACGAAGGAGGCCGCCGGCTTCCTGTTCACCTTCTGCTTCACTACTAGCGGCTTGAAGCTGCGGTCGCTGCTGTACAGATTGTCTTCCAGGGCAGTGAACTTGTACGTATACGAGCCGGCCTTCGCCGTATCGGCCTGAATTGACTCTTTCCCGAGAGACGCGTCGAATTTTCTCTTGCTCAGAGAGCTGGATCCGTGGAGGGGATGATGACGGACCTCGTATTCCGCCGTGTACGGCGGCGTACCTGAACCTGTCAGCCATTGTTCCGCGGCAGGGAACTCGATGTTGTAGAGAGAGACTTACCTTTCAGAGCAACCTCGAAACCTGAAATGTCGCCCTCGCAAACATCCTCCACCATATACCCGCCGTCTGTCTGGCTTACACCATGTGTAAGCGCCACAGACATCTCCGGCCTGGGGAACCAGTCGACCTCGAACGTGGATGCCTTGGAGTCGACAACACCATGGCACTGGCTGTCCCAGACGTCGGTGATGGTGTAGGCGCCTCGTTCCTTGACGTCGATGTAGCCATTGTCATTTCGAACTGTCCTCTCCAAGATTTTCGGCTGATCCGCGGGGCCATCGTCGAGGCGGGTGTAGAAGACCTTCCATGGCCCCTCCCCAGTAAGGCGGACCGGAAGCTTCACGGTTGCACTCTCGACAGCCAGCATCTTCCGCTTGCCCTCAATCTGGCCGAAAGCGGCACGCGGGCTCTGGCGCCTGACGGAGATCTTGAGCTCGTCCTGAAGAAAGTTCCTGCAACCGCGCTTGTCCTGGATGCTCGTCAAGCCCAGCGTGTACTCGCCGCCTTGCGTCAACGGTTTGGTCTTGATCTGGTACGAATTCTCCCGGATGTCGGTGGCCTTGTACTGCTTTCTCTTGCCATCGTGGATAATCTCCCACTCGAGCGTAAAGGGAGCGTCGCCAAGGAGCAGGATATCTGCAGTGACCTCATCACCAAGGCACGAGCTCACCTTGCCAGAGCTGTGCTGGATGAGAGCCGCTGCTGCGGGCTTGACGTCCTGCTCCAGGACGTACTCGGAGCCTGTGAGCTTTTGGCCCTTGTTGTAGATGGCGTCACCAATGTGAGTGAAAATGTACTTGTGATGACCAGCGACGCGCGGCACCAGGTCCATCTGATAGCGAAGGCCAGGGATGTTGACTCTCTCCGACCGCCGCTGGCCGTTGGAAATCACGTCGTAGCGGACAATGAAGGGCGGAGTCCCAATCAGGTCCATGTCGACGCGCAAGCCAATCGAGTTGCCGGCACATGTGTCGGGAATTTCTTCAGAACGCACGGTGACCTTGGGCTCGAGAGGGTTGAGCAGCAGGCAGGACGAGGGCTCCTGGACCTCGCCCTCGCAGGAGCTGGCAGACACCGACTTGAGAGTGTACAGGCCAGGCTCGGAGATCACTGGCCTATCACGGGCGTTCCTCGCATTGTACGTTCCGGTGGTAACAGCATCGCCATGATCTCCGCTCTCGGTGAGAGTATCAATGGGCGAGAAGTGCCAGGTCAGGGTATGTGCTGTAATGTCCGGAGTCTGGCCAGGCATCTTGAAGCGGACGGGCAGCTCCTTGGATTCGCCCTTGGCGACCTTGAGCGGCCTCCTGAGATCGCACCCCTCCAACCGGACCTGGGGGCGCTCCTTGACCACGAAGTTCTGCACGAGATGCTTGGGCTTAGGCTTCCCCTCGGGATCGTCGGCCGACGAGTCGTACCTGACAAGATTCCCGAACCCGTCCTGGACCTCATCTACCGAATATTGCCATTCTCCGCTGGCGTGCATGGATTCGTTGAGACCGACAGGGACTCGCTGCGACCGGGACCAGGAGATATCCTCGTCGTCCAGGCCGACCAGGCTGGTCGAGCGCAAAGCCCCGAGGGGGGAGGTGAAGCCGTCCGGCTGCAGACTTTGGAAGTGGAAGCTGTGATCCTTGCCGTTGATTGTGCGACTGTACTTGATCTTCAGCGGTGGGGTTCCCTCAATCTGGATGGAGACGTCAGAGAGGTCGCCCACACAGCGTCCCGGCGAGGCGGAGGGACCGATCCAGGCCTTCGGGCAAGGGACAACGAAAGTTTGCGGATTCCTCCGTTGAACTTCCAGCTTGTACTCGTCGAGGACTCGTCCGAGCCGGTAAGCACCAGGCTTTTTCACAGGGTATTCAAATTGTACCACGGTCTGCACTCCGTCCTGGCTTTCTCGCTTGGCCTTCCGCTCGATATCCCGGATTTGAGCCCTCGTCAGCTTTATGGACTCCTGCTGGTTCGTCTCGAGATCGGTGCGGATAAGCTCGACCTCAACCGGGATGGTTGCGTTGAAGAAGATGGGCAGCGGCGCCGTCTTACGGTCACCGCCCAAGCAAAAGGGGTGGAGCTCAGGATTAAGGATGGCGGACCCCTCTGGGAGAATATTGATAATTTGCCGGCCCATGATCAGCGAAGAATTGTGTAATATGCTTGAGAGCTTGACGTTGTGCTCTGAAATGGCGAGCTCCCGGTCGTAGAAGACCTTGACGAATCCCAGAATCCATGCCTGCCAGGGAAACTGTTCGAGTGTCAGCAACTATGCGCCTTGACGACCCGAAAAGAGTACCAAGAAGTCCATACCCCGATATTGAACATGAGCACCCAGTCGAAGAGGGCATGGATGAAGAAGGCTCCAACCACGAATGGCTGTGACAGCTCAAGCCATGGTATCCTCAGCTCCGGCAGCCCAAACAGAAACGCGCAGTCTATCGCAATCCATTTCAAGAAAAGCCAAAAGGATTCTGTGTCTTCCTCAACCAGTTGGGCCCAGTCGTAGAACTTCCATGCTAAGAGGGCGACATAGAAGCCGAAGGCGTAGAGACGCTGTGTCGGGGCGTCCAGGATGCGTAGCGGGATGACAGGTGCGGAGCTCAATGCTGCTGATGCCCCTTGCTGAGGAGCTACTGGCAGAGGGCTGCTTGTCTTGGTCGTGGAGGAGGGAGCTGGGCCCCTCGCGGGACCTCGTCTCGATGAAGGGACCGGCGTCTGCGGGAAGGCGCCGATAGCAGATGCGTCGCCCATGGCATGCCGAGTTTGGGAAGCTTCCTATAGTTGTCGTCAATGTCTGGGAGCTATCGGGTTTTGCAATAGCAAGGGGATTGTGCTACTTGCTTTATCGTTCGAGTCGCGAGGGAACTTTTCGAGTGGGCTCTACCTCTCTGAACCGCACAGAAGAGAACCAAGCACCGGACGAGGAGGCCGGTTCAATGAAATGAAGCGGCGACCGAGTATATTATTGTGTTGTGGCGTCGTTGATGGTGGCTGGCGTTGAGGTGCAGCCTAGTCGCATTTTGCTGCAGCTCCAAACCAAAAATCACGGTTTCTTTCTTGACTTTCCATGTCAAGACGCGCTCTGGTTTCGGTGCCGCGCTGTGGTTTGTCGGCAGCAACGAGCCCGTTGACGCAACACACAGCAACGTGATTGGCTACCTCCTCCAATTTGCCCCACTCTGTAGTTTAACACCAGCTGGAGCTTTCCCGACCAGGACCAGTCTCGCCAGTCTGAAACTGGAGTCGGGTGATATCAACATGGATGCATTTCGTTACCTTACTGTGTTCCAGGTGCACAACATCCCAAGAGTGGAATGCTGTTGACTCATAATGCTCCCGAGGCCCTAATACAAGAAGGCAGCAGCCGTTACGTGAGCTACATCGAGACGTCCTGGGCCAACTACCACCTCACTTCACTGGACTTGAGCAGGGTTCGCGGTATCCCGGGCCATTGCTTCCGTTTTCATGAGCTCTCACATCACAACACCAAGATCCATTTAACAACCATCCAGAAGCACCTTATCAATGTCTCAATAGCAGAAGATCCCAGAGATACCAGCTGTACTCTTCTGTGCTCTTTTGGGTCAAGACAGATGCATGGATAGGCTCAAGCCAGATGCTCGATCTCTCCCGTCACAGCTAACCCCAATGCCACGTTGATGAGTGAGTGAATATTTGATCTGGCAATCATCTCTTTCCCGCCACGTACGACCGGCGAGGGTTAACTGCAGGCAGTAGCAGGATAAACTGTTGACCTGTCAGTTCCGCTTTTGACAAGGGCGCCTGGTATTCACAGATCCGAGATAAACAGATCTGAGATAATCATCTGAACAAACGCGCGAGAAGAACTTCATTTCCGCGTCTGACGGCACCTTTACCTTTCACACTTGCCGTCATTCAAAGATGGGTAGTGTGGGAGAGCGCTGAGCACCAGATCAAGGAGTGTTCTTCCAGCCAACTCGAACGCCAATCCATATCCCTTCCTTTTTCATCACCATTTCACTACCTCCCGGACCGCGAGATCCATTCCTTGGTGCGCATCTCTTCCATTCAGCGCGGAATGGCCGAAGACCAGAACGCAATAACTCCAACTGAGGAGACTGGGGATGTGGCTCTCACAAACGGCGAGAATGGTTCTCCTACTGGGCTTCGTCGCTCCGGCCGCGTCCGCAATTTGAAGCGCCCCTCAGATCCCAGCGAAGACGCCGATTATACAGATGGACCGTCGACCAACTCGCCTGCTCCGCGCAGCTCCCGACGGGAGTCAAAGCGAAGGGCAAGCCCGGAGGCCTTTGAAGTGCCCGAGAACTTACTGGAGGCATCCTTAGGGCCGTGGAAGGAGAACGAGCAGTCGGAGTGGGCCAGTTGGGTCGAGTTGGAATCTGACCCGGTTAGTTCTGCCTTCTCTTCCCAGTCTCCGACCAATGAGTTTTACTAATAACACACCTAGGCCTTCTTCACAGCTATTCTGGGTCTACTTGGCGTCATGGGAGCGAGGATAGAAGAAGTGCTCTCGGTCGATGAGGACTCCCTGGCCGCTCTGCCGTACGTCTTGTCACCGACTTTTCCCTTCGGCGACCGTTTTACTGACCCATTGCAGGCCTCCGGTCTACGGCCTGGTATTCCTATTCGAATATGCCGGGGCACTGAGCGTGGACGCCGAATCAGGAAATCAAGAGGTGTGGTTCGCAAACCAGGTAAGTCCATCCTAAGCTGCAAGAGCAGAGAAATCGGCATTGGCAGCTCATGACGGCCGTAGACCACTAGCAATGCGTGTGCCACTATTGCCTTGCTCAACATCATCATGAACGCTGAGGGGCTCGCCCTCGGCGAGAAGCTTCGCAAGTTCGAAGAAGAAACCAGGGACCTGTCTCCTCCGCTAAGGGGACACATGATCGACCACAGCACCTGGATACGGGTGGCTCACAACTCGTTCTCTCGGTATGCAGCCCGAACCAACGCAGATGTTGTTCACTAACATTCCATAGCCGATTGGACCACTTGAATGCAGCTCTCGCTCTGCAGAATGAAGTAGACAGCAAGAAGAAGCGAGTCAAAGCGGCTGGAAGGCAGAGCAAGAAAAAGCCCAAGCGGCAGACCAGCACGACGGAAAGATCAGGCGGTAGTTCCGCATATCATTTCATCGCCTATGTTCCCGTCAACCGCAAGGTGTGGCAACTGGACGGACTTAAGTCGGCACCCGTTTGTATCGGTAAGAAAACCTGACCGCCCTCCGACACCCAACCTCCTTCTTTTCACGTGTCTAACTCTAGTCTAGGCGAATTTGAAGGTGACCAACACTGGACCTCTGTGGTGCAACCCGTGTTGCAGCAGAAAATGCAGCGCCACCAGACCTCCTTCAGCCTCCTGGCTTTATGCGGCGATAATCTCACCGACGTGCGGAAAGAGCGCGCCGCCAACATCCGCCGCCTGGCCGAGCTCGAGGCAAAGTTCGGCGGCGACGATTCCAACTGGCAGCCCAAGGCCGACCCAGACATCATCTGCAGCGCCATCGATAGCCGACTCGAGACATACCTGCTCAACGCGCAAGACATCGAGGCGGTTCCGGAAAGCGAGGTCATACTGCCCGAGGCAACCGAGTCCGCCGCCGACGAGCGGGAGGAACTCGGCGAGGAGCATAAGCGCCTCCGTGCCCAGTACGAGGACGTGATCAGGATGGCCGGCCAGGAGACATCTGCCGTTCTCGGTCGCACCAAGGACTACACGCCTGCGATTCATGAGTGGGTCAAGAAGCTGGCAGACCACAGCGCATTGAAGAGGCTGCATGAGGAGGTGCAGCTCCAGAACGCCCATTGAGGGGTAAAGCAACTCAAACAAGGCATGGATTCAGGGTTCTGGCTGGAAAGGTATCTGGAAACAGTGAGAAAGAGATGGTATGGAATGCAGAGAGTCTCAAACGGTTGGTGTTGGCTGATGAGTGCGATGAGGAGATAGATCCGGAGCCGATGGCAGTTGCCCTTGGAAATGGCGTCGATTGTTTTGCTTGAGCGTGTGGCCGATGTAGAAACCATTCCATTACAGGCAGATGATTAGCCAATGCGAGTAGTCTGTGGTAGTCCCAGAAGCTTGCAAAATTTCAAATCCCTATGACCTCCGCGATCGTTGTGAGCTGTTTCCGTCATGACGGTGAGCTGTACCACGCTGACTTATTCCCTGGCCTACAAGTTTCTTATTACGGATCCGTAATATTGTCAGAAAGAATGGGTGATGGAGCGATCACAAGGTCAGGTCCACAGACGGCTGAGCTCCTGAGAATCAAAACCAACAGCACGCCTTGCACCCACAAAGCGAAGGTCAAGCGAACCTTGTTTTCTCATGACGTAATTATCAAATCGAGTCCTGCGGTTCTGGGCCCTACTTGACAGTGCAACATGACGGCATTTGGTACCCCTGTTACCGGCAGCTCTCCCCAGACAACCAGGGTTCAGCAAGTCTCCACTCGCCGGCAGTGCCAGCAAACGCAACCAACACCAAGTGATCACGGCGACACAAGACACCGACGACGTCAACGGTTCCGCATATCTGCCGTTCAACATCTCCTCAAGAGGTTCTCCAACCTATTGTGCCTTTCTTCATTTTCCCACCGCCCTCTCTTCCATTCTCCGCATTCCCACGAACGAGCCTGACAAGCAAAACCTGCGAATTACCGCCAGCGATCAAGAAACGGACGACGGCATGTCCAAGAGACTCACCTATGCTGCGGTCGCCGCAAATGGCGCCGCCTCAAAAGAAGGCAGCGAAGTCAATCCGCCTTGTATGTCTGCTCCGTTGGAGTTGGGAAAGCGAGAGCAACAAAACGAAGACTGCCCTGGCTAACCCCCCTTCCGCAGCAATAGACAAGCAGAAGCTCCTGCTTTCCAGCGACAGCGGGCACTTCTCGCTCATCCGCGCGCTGCACCTGGCAGACCTAATTACCGAGCTGAACGGTGAGTGAACAAGGCACAGCTCTCCCCTTCGAACCACCAAGCCATTTCATCTAGAGGGAGCTCAGCCGAACTGACTTCACTTCCACAGGCCTCTGCGGCATTCTGTCTCTCTTTTCCTCGATGCGCTACTGCCTCGGTGACCCGACACAGCATGGCAACCTCTGGGCGGCGCTCGTCTTTCTCCCTCTAGGCTTCTTCTTCGACGCCCTGGACGGCACGGTGGCGCGCTGGAGGAAAAAGAGCAGCTTGATGGGCCAGGAGCTGGATTCGCTCGCCGATCTAGTAAATATTCCCCCAGAACTGCCCTCCCGCTTCTCTTCCCCCATCCCAATTCATGCATCTTCCCATCAAAACAGCCCCATACTAACCCTCTTACTCCAAAGATCTCTTTCGGCGTCTCCCCCGCCGCCCTCGCCTTCGCAATCGGCATCCGCTCCCCCCTCGACCACCTCGCGCTCGCCTTCTTCGTGCTCTGCGGCCTGACCCGCCTGGCGCGCTTCAACGTGACGACGCAAAACATCCCCAAGGACAGCACGGGCAAGGCGCGCTACTTCGAGGGCACGCCCATCCCCACCACGCTCGCGCTCGACGCTGTCATGGGCTGGTGGATCTCGCAGGGCTGGATCCATGAGGGCCTGCCCGGTGGCGTGTGGTTTGCGGGCAGCGCGTTGGAGTGCCACCCCGTTGTGGTCATGTTCTTTGTGCATGGATGTTTGATGACGAGCAGGACGATTCAGATTCCCAAGCCCTGAGTTTGAGTCACGGGTCTGGGGGGTTTATTCAGGGTAGGGGGATCTTGCTGGGAGTAGATTTGTCTATGTGTCTTGAAAGTCTTGACATAGGGCGATTGGGGTTGGGATTACGGATGGGAGATGGAAGGGTACAGCGTTGGGAACGAGCGAGCAGATATACATGCATACACACGCTATGAATTTCCACAGCGAAATACGATGGGGCTCAAACGGAGAGTGGAGTTTCCTGGGTTTACATTAGCATTGGTTTGGTGTACTCTACTTTGCATATCGCAGCCACAGTCTCGTCTCGCATTACATCCGTCTGATTCAAGTTCCTTTAACATCATGTTGAGCTCAGTGGCAGCTAGATCGTCCCTGGTCGTTAGGTTCCTCGCAGGAAATCCCCATGCTCCATGCTTCATCCATGAAAAGCTCTACACTATTTTGCGCCGCATATATCTACATCTACGCCTTCTCCTCCTTCTTGTGAGGGAAGGGGTTATACATCCCCCTGTCAGCCTTGAGCTTCCGCAGCTTCTCGACCGCCTCATCCAAGTCATAGGGGACATCTCTCGCCTGAGTTGAGGTGTCGTCGCGATAGCGGATGTTGACCTTGTGGTTGCGCATCTCATCGTCGCCGACCACGAAGACGAAGTTGTCTGTCTCGGTTAGCATATCCTACCTGCGCCACAAGGTAGTTTGGGGTTGTTGTTACTCACATTGAGCCAGCTGAGCGTTGCGGATCTTCTTTTGGAGCGTGTTGCCGGAGCTGTCCACATCTAGAGGCACTCAATTAGCACACCCCCAAGCCAGACGGAAGCGAGAACGATGATACATACCAACATGGAAGCGCTCCTTCTTCAGAAGTGCAGCCACCTCCTTGGCATAGCCCAAAAAGCCCATGCCGACCGGAATGACCATGATCTGCCGCGGCGACATCCAGAAGGGCCACTTGCCCGCGAAGTGCTCAGCCAGAATGGCAGTGAAGCGCTCGATACTGCCAGCCATGGCACGGTGGATCATGACGGGTCGTGCGCAGCCAGGGGACAGCGGCTTCTTAATCAGCAGAGGCTTCTTCTTCTCCTTGACCTCCTTCTTCTCGTCCACCGCAGCGTCAGGCGCCGGAGCCGGAGCGGGGGCGGGCTCTGCGGCGTCGGTCTTGTCCTTGTGTGCGCCCTCGGCAGTCTGGTACTCGAGAGAAAAGTTGATGGGTTGTTGGAAGTCGAGCTGAATGGTGGCGCATTGCCAGGATCTGTTAAGGCAGTCCAGAACAGCAATATCGATCTTCGGCCCGTAGAAGGCACCATCGCCGGGGTTGAGCTCCCAGGAGGCGCCGGCATTGGCAGCGGCAAACTCGTCAAGGGCTTCCTTAAGGCGAGCCTCGGCACGATTCCATATCTCGATCTCGCCCATGTACTTATCCGGGCGGGTGGACAATTTGAGCTTGAAGGTAAGACCCAGCATGCCGTAGAAGGAACTCATAAAGTCGAACAGATCTGCGACTTCCTCCTTGATTTGGTCCTCGCGGCAGAAAATATGGGCATCGTCTTGCTGGAACCTTCTGACTCTGGTCAAGCCACTCAGTGCGCCGCTGGCCTCGTTCCGGTGCAGCACACCAAAATCGGCAAGACGCAGGGGCAACTCCTTGTGACTCCGCTCCCTGTGGCGAAACATCATTGCATGGGCTGGGCAGTTCATGGGCTTGAGGCCAAACTGCTCCTTGTCCACATCAAGCAGAAACATGTCTTCCTTGTAGTGGGCCAAGTGGCCGGACTGCTCCCATAGGCTGACGTTGAACATGTTGGGAGTCATAACCTCGTCGTAACCACGATTCCAGTACTCCTCACGGATATACTCCATGATGGCGTTGTGGATTCGCATACCATGGGGCAACCACATGGCAGAGCCTGGCGAGCACTCCTCAAAGTAGAAAAGCTCCTGCTGCTTTCCGATCAAGCGGTGATCACGCTTGGCAGCCTCCTCGAGGAACTTCTTGTGAGCGGCCATCTGCTTCTTGTCGGGGAAGGACACGCCGTAAATGCGCTGGAGCGAGTCGTTGTTGGCATCGCCAAGAAAATATGAGGCCGAGTTCTTCATGATGGCGAAGGCCTCGATCCTGCTGGTATCGGGCACATGGGGTCCACGGCAGAGATCGATCAGCGGGCCGTTCCTGTATACGGTGGTTCTCGTACCGTCCGGGATTTTGTCCTTGATGATGTGAACCTTGTAGGGGTTATACGCAAACATCTTGAGCAAGTCTTCTTTGCTCATTTCCAATCGCTGGAAAGGCTGTTTTTCCTTCACGATCTTGGACACAATGGTCTCGAGAGGGGCCCAGTCGTGGGCATGCACAGCCGCACCCCCCGGCAGAGCCATCTCGTAGTAGAACCCGTTGTCCACCGGAGGACCAATGCACAGCGAACAGCCAAATCTCCGTTCGCAGGCTTCGCCGAGAATGTGAGCGCTCGAGTGCCAAAAGACGAATTTGCCCTGGTCGTCGTTGAAGTCGAGCAGCTCCAGCTTGCAGCTCTTCTCAAGGGGGCGGTCGAGATCCCACAGGTGCTCCCCATCGATTCTTGCGACAACAGTGCGCTTGTACAGGCTGTTGGAGATGCCCTTTGCGATCTCGGCGGGGGTAGTCTCGTAGGCTTTGCCGGGCTTGATGGTGCCGTCGGGCATTGTGATGGTAATCTCCTCGCGCGGCTTCTTCGCGAGCTCCTCCTGCTGCTCTCTGTATAGACGGTCGAAGAGCTCGAGACGCTCCTGGATGAAGGCCGGGGGCGGGTCCATCTCGAGGGGACCCGCGTCGGTGTCGGCAGCTGGCGCGGTCTTCTTCTCTTTCTTGGGCTTCTTCTCGCCGCCGCCAATGGCGGCTTTCTGCAGAGCCTCAGTGACCTTCTCCATGGTGGCTTGATTGCGAGACTCGGAGCGTGGAAATTGGCGGCAAATGGCGAAGGTGCAGGATTTGCGGCCCCTGAGACTCGTTGAGTCACTTCAGACGGGACGGTATGACAACTAGAGGGTTTCTGTCAAACCCGCCGAGCAACGGTAAATTGATGTGGGACGATGCACAACCCCGCGATCGATAAGGGGACACAGCATGGATTAATGTGGTGTGTGCCGGCCTCGAATTCGGCTAGAAGCTCCAGTCGCCTGGGCCTTATCGGCCATTTCGTATTATTACCGTATTGGAACCAGCAGCGAATACTTACAGTTCCAGAACGGTTGCAATGATGCCAATGGATGAATTTGATCGGCTCATTCCATCCCGCGCCAGCTTTCCCTCCTCGTCGGCCCGTCCGGACAGCATCCCGTTCCCATTACAAGTACTCAGCGGCGTCAGCTCCTCAGCGTCGCCTTCATCATAAACGCCAAGAGCAGCTGTGGAGAGCCTGACCCGATTGCCGATTACTGCGATGCGTTCATCGCTTGAAGACACTCCCGACGAGATCGTCCGCCAGATCCTACTCTATCTGCCGCCCGAAGACACGCTTGAGAGTTTCCAGCTTCTCTCACGCCGATATCACCACCTCGCAAACGAGGCTCTGCTATGGCGATGGCACTGCCAGACGTCGTTTCGATGGTGGAACCCTGAACACAAGCTCCAGGAGAAGCTTGAGGCGCTCGCATCCTCGGTGGACTGGAGAGGGCTATGGATTACGAGGAAGAGGAGGAATATCAAGGCTGCGCGGCTGTTGGACGGGGTAATATTTTCCAAAGTTGGCCAGCTGAAGAAGCTCAAGGGGATCTGCGAGCTGGGATATGACGTGAAGGACTATCTTTTGGAGCAATGTCATGTCGACGAGTCTGCAGAAGATGTCTTGGCGAGGAGGTACGGCATGTCGTCATCGTTCCTTCGGCTTATACTCGTCGACTTGGAGTTTGGAGTTGGCCATCTCATTGCAGCGATGTGCTCTCTATAGTATTTGTTGCTAAGATCGCTTTCAGGTACTATGCGAATTCGGCCTTGGACAGCATACACAGGGGCGTGGCGGTGGAGTTGTGGTCTCGATACCAGGGCCGGGCATTGAGCTCTGAGGGTCTTGACACGGCGCTCGCAGCCTTCGATATGTTTGTGTTGCATGACCAAGAGCAGGACCTCGACTATGTACGACTCGGGTGTGGAACTATCACGCAGACTCAGGGCTAACCTTGTCTAGGTAGTGCGCACACTCGACGCACTTGCCGAGCGATTCAGGGCAGAACACCCGACGTTCGGCGACCTATCTACTCGTCAAAAGGCCTTGTCACTGGTCCGCTGGTTGAGAGCGAACCATCTCACCGGCATGGACCACCCTGAGATAAACTACCGTAATTTGAGGAACTGCTTTATCGGGCATGCGCTCTCCGACGAAAGCCACCCTTCTCTTCCCATCATCTCCAGCGCCATTTTCACTTGCATTGCGGAACGGCTGGGTATGACGGCGTTTTGTCTCGCTTTCCCAAGCCATGTCCATGCCGCGGTGTATGCTCCGCCCGGGGAGGATTTGGATGGCGACGAGACGGAGGAGATGAATGGTGACAAGAAGCGCATGTGCCTTGATCCATACGGATCCGACGACGAAGTCACCCTCAGCGATTTGCGATCAAGGCTGGTGGAGTTCGGCTGGACACAAGGAGCAGAGGCGTTCCTCACACCCTCCCCCGTGCCCATTATTGTTCAGAGGACGGCGCAAAATATCAGGGCAACATACGACACGGTCCGCAACCTCACAGACAACGACGTTTTAGGGGCAGAGATGCGGCGCTTGCGGAGCGGCCACCCGGGCATGAACATGGACGCCGCCCTGTACGCCTCCATGTGGGCCGAGCTGCTGATGAAGCAAACCTCCAGCTTCCACTGGGACTCGAACTTGTCTGCCTTACTTCAAAAGTTTGCCCTCTCTTGGAGCGAAGATGTGTGGCTGGTTCGGAAGTACCTCGTTCCGCTCTACGACAGTTTCATAGCATCACGACCAAACCATCATCTACGGAATCCCTGGCAGAACGTGCACGAGATCCTCGGCATGCTCGAGGACTCCATAGACAACAGGGTACCGGAAGTCAACCGGCGGTACACCCAGGACATAGCCGCGCGAGTCCATTACAAAATTGGCCAAGTGTTCCGGCACCGGCGGTATGGATACATCGGCGTCATTAATGGCTGGGCGGCCATGGGCAGCTCCAGTCTGCCGATGCCGCACTATCTGGATGCTGCCGAGGCCGAGGAGGAGGGCGACGTGTTCGATCCGACCGAATCGGTGCGCGCAAGTACCATGGGGCCGCAGAGGACGTATTATACATGCCTGTGGGTGACTTGACTCCTTGTCCTCCCCGCATATGCTGCAAGGACGGCTTTGTGCTGACCATACATGAGCTCCTCTAGGAAGTCGACGATTGACCGGCTACGGGTAGCCCAGGAGAACGTGGTCATCGTCACTGACCCCAGCCTCATCCCTGAGGATCTCTTTTATGTGGCGGGCAAATTCTTTAAGCGCTTCGACGCCGAGACATGCACATTCGTGTCGAACATAAGGGAGTATTATCCCGATGACTGATAGGGGCTGGAAACCAGCTGTGTTGTAGGGGGCCTGGGTTATATGACAATACGATGAGCTTGTTACCGTTCACCATGGCCGGCTGGAGTTACTGTTGTGTTACCTACCTGCATTCCCGTCAATGCTATCACTGCTGGCCGGGACATGGCTGTTACCTTGGGTATGATGAGTTGCACGGCTATGTTGAGTTATAGCCAGACTCTTTTAAACACGGACACAAGATTTAGAAAGTTGAGTAACTTCAATCATAAATGAGAAGTCTTGAATGTTGGTTTACCATTAATGCGTACATTATTCAGTTCCCGCTACCCAGCTCCGATTACCCCATCACATGGTTCTCATTCCCACCTTTTTTCAACCCCGGTTCCTCATCAAAGCCTGGGGCCATTCCTAATCTCAATTTCATCAACATCGTAACCAAAGCCAGATCAAGGGGTATCTAAAACCGAACCACGCCACGCCTTCAGCCTAACATCATCCCTACCAAACCCAATCCATTCCACTCCACCAAGTCAACAGCAACATCTGCCGTTCCTTCAAAGAACCCGACCGCATTGAAGCGCGCCTTTTCTTCCCAAAATATTAAAGTCTGATGGAAGTGGGCACGCCCTCTAACTACGGTGAGACGTAGCGTCACTCAAGCGCTCGCCGCCTCGCGCCTCGCAGCCCAGCCCTTGAGCGCAATCATCAAGATGACCCACGCCATGAGCAGACCAACAAAGCCCATGGTCACTGTGTACATGAACATGGCATCGAGCTGGTAGTGAATCATGCCGCTTATGGTATCGCTCGCCTGATTGCCCCTTGCCGTGTCAGCCCTCATCGTTCACCCATAACCAAATAAACAAATCAATGAATAGACAACCAAACTGGGCTTTGTTTTTATTGTGGAAACGGGAGGGTAAAGGTTGGGGGGGTTGGGGGGGGGAGGAAGGGTCAGAAAATAGAGTACGACTTACGCTCGCCATAAAGATAATCCCCCCCGAGATGAGCCCAAAGGAAGTCAACAACTCGGTCGGCGGGCGCGAGGGGAAGACAGACCGCGGGGGGCGCAGCCACATGACCACGTAGGTCAGGCCGCGCGCAAAGGACGCGCCCGTCAGCAGGTTGCCCCACTGCTTGTGCACCATGCTCGAGACCATGCTCTCCTGCCTGTGCGAGCTCATCATGATGCCCGTCAGGAGGATGACGAGGGCGGGGATGGGGTTGGTCGAGAAGGCGTAGGTTTCTGGCTCACGGAGCGGGGAGTCGCTAGTACTGGTGGTGGTGATGGTGGTGGCGGCTTCTTCGTCCCTACTAACGCTGGCGTGGTGATGGTGGGGGTCGCTGCTGTAGGTGTGGTTGTTGGTAGAAGAAGCGGCTGCTTCGGTGACGGTGTAGTTGAGGAGATTGCGGATCTTGATGGATTCAACGAGCATGCCGCACTGGGTTGGTAGTTTAGTATGCAGCTTCAGGGGGTAGATTCGGGCTGCGATAAGCAAAGGGCAACTTACCAGACCGCCGCCGATGAAGAGAACGGTGATGGAGACGTGCTCCAAATCCTGGGCACTCCACTCGCCGCCCGCACCGCCGAGGTGCTCGAGGAAGATGTTGGTCGAGCCGTAGAAGAAGATCAGGGCGCTCTCAACGAATTCAGCCGAGGGACGCCATTTCTGGCCGGCCTTCTGGGGACGGATATTCCAGGCCTGGTACATGTTAGTATCTCACAGCTTTGGTCTCGTCAACAGTCAGGGAACCAACCCATCCGAGCTCGCCAAAGCTGCCCGCCCACCGGCCGAGTGTAAAGACGCCCAGCCAGAAGAACACGCCACCCTTGATCCAGTGCGCCAAACCGCTGAAGATGCCGTTCCCCTCCTTGAAGCTTGTTAGAAGACACGGTGGCTGACTCTCAGGTACGCAGACTCACAAAAAAGCGACCAAAGGCGATGATGCCGGTGCAAAGGGCGATGAAGCCGAGGATGATAATCGTCCGGTCAACGAAATTGTACGCAAACAAGAGGACCTTCCAGAACCGATCCGACATCTTCCCGGCAACTCTTGCGACTATCGAGTGAGCCTTGGTGGACTTGGCGAACATGGGCAGGTGCGCCTCGACGTCATCGTCGGCGTCGTCATCGCTGTGGTGGAACTCCTTGTGCGCTTCGCGGATGGGGGAAGACGGCGAATCCAGCGACTCGGTCCTCGGCTCGGTGCCCTGGCCGCTGTCGTTGGAATACCGGCGGTACGGCGCTGACGGGTATCGGGACTCGTGCTCGGCCATGGCCTCGGTCGAAACGGGGATGAAGCATTGGCGCTCCTCCGCCCGGCCGGCGAGCTTGTAGCTCTCCCGCTTCATCATGCCCGCAACCCGGGCCAACAGGCCGACCACGGCCTGCACGCACACCACAAACGTCACGATCCAGCCCAGCTTGTGGTGCGCGTTGTTCGGGTACAGATCTGGCGTGCTCGCGTTGTAGACAACGCCCAGCAGCACGCCGCCCGCGTTCAGGGCAAGGAAGCCGAACTGCATCAGAAGCGTGTACCGTGAGCGGGCGAGCGACAGCATGACAGCTAGAAGCATCGGTTTTAGTGATCCGCCCACCGCGCATCCGTTTACGAAGTATGGGCCTTACCAGCAGGCAGCGCAAACACCCACCCGAGAACCATCAGGGCAATGTGCCCGTAGATGACTGCCTTGTGGTCGGGATGCGCAAAGTACGTGGGAGGATACTGGTCCTCCGGCAGCGGCCTGTCGGCGTCGCCCATCTTCATACCGCCCAAACCGGCCATGCCGTCGTTCCCGTGGCCGTGTTCATCGCCGTGCGCAAGGACCGCCGGGATGAGGCCGACGACGGCTGCGCTCGCAACAACCGCGAGCGCCTTCATTAGGGCAGGCTTTCACACCGGCGCGGTTGTTGATGGTTGACGTCCTTCGGTTTGTCCCAACTCTGGCGGGTCGGCCGATGCGATGACGTGGGTTCGGGTCAGTAGCCTAGTGATCTCACTCCCCAAGCTGTCGGGTATTGCTTGCTCGGCAGTGGCGCTTGCTAGTATCGGCTCGGTAGTGAGCGCCGTCAATTCTCTTGATGTGGGCAGATATTGCTGGTGCCGAGCATCGGGTGATTCGCCTGCCGGAGTCTGTCTGCGGTGCACACGATGATGCACGTCGTCCGAAGCAGCTTGGTCTATCCGTATCCGCTCTCAGGAGGCGTTCGGACGACACTCTGGAGGGGTATCGTCAGATGGCAGAACAAAGACTGAGACCGCCCTCCTTTATTACGATTATGGATTTGCTATGTGTGATGGTGAAGTCATCTCTCCGGAAGCGGGCAGCGACGAGCAATGAGACGCGGGCGCGGAACCTTTAAAGGCGGCCATGGTCGACGCCGAGCAGCTCGTTTTTCCTTCCGGTCGATCTGATGATTGGTAATTCGCAGCCCAAAAACTCCAGGGTGCGGGTAAGAGTCAGGCCACATGGCCCTTGTCCTGTGCCCTTCCTGTCGATGCCTTTTCGCGGTTTGCGCATTTGCAACTCCGGTGCATCCGAAGCTTCGAAAAAAGAGGCGGCGGCGGCACACATCAGCTTCAAGTGAGGAATCGACCACAGTGTGTGAAGTACAGTGTGGGCCGCAGCTGAGCTAAAGTGAGCATGGGCTTGTTGACGGAGTACCTCTCCAGCCGTTTGTAATGTATGGGTACTTCAAGCGCAAACTTAGCAACTCACGTCACCACATCCATCGACGGCTTCATCTCCAGCCAATAATAAACTTGCCATCCGACGACGGTCGAGTCAGACTGGAGCAAAGCCCGCCGTCTACGCATCCGTACACACGCATATCCGTCAGTAAGCTTATCCAGCGGTGTGCCTCACTGCCATGCTGCAAGCGAATGTCTCAACGCCTGTTGTCACCATCACAACCGCCATTGGGTACTCCAGGCAGGGCTGGATTTGCAGTCGGGATTTGGGCGCGGGTGGAGCCGGAATCAGCATCATCGGCGAGTGAGTTTTAAATCCTATTCCAGCACCGTCTTTGGATTATTCATCGCAACCTAACGCACAGTCTCTCGGTCATCGACGGGGTGTGATGTTTTATGCTCCCACAGCCAACAACTCCTTACCACAACAGAGCCATTCGCGTCGCAGCGGGGGGGGCAGCGCTTGTTCGTTTGCAGTCAGTCATGAATATCTTCCCCGACAACAGACGGGATCAACATCCCAGCGGTCCTCAGTCTCGGCAGCGTGGTGGAAGCGGGTAGAAGTCCCCTGAAACTTTGGGTACAGTGTCAGTCCCACACCCCAGCCTGATGCCACCCTACCGCTACAGTCCCGAGACCCGGCACATGCTCCTGCAGAAGCCCTTCTCCTAGCCTTTTCGAATTGAAAGGATGCGCATCTCTCGCGGTCAGCATACGGACTCGGACTTTGCGACAGCGCCGAGGCCCGCCCACTCGGCTGTTGGTCCATGCAAGCTCTCCTCTCGGATGGCGAGATATTATGAATATACACAGTTTGGGTTGACACATGTCAGCTCGCCCCTCCTCATTGCTCAATATCGATGTCGCTGCCTCCCGTCAGAGGTGTTGTTGCAACCGTCTATACAGTATATCTCTGAAGGGAGCTGAATCTGAGTTACTCGGAGCACAGGAGTTTCATCACTTGACAAACGGGATTCACTGTAAAACACCAACCAACAGAGGTTGACCGGTACCTCCCCGTATCCGTAGCACATCCCAATCACCTCTTTGAACCCCTGCTAGAGTATATCGCAACGACGGATCCGCGCGCGACAGCCTTGCCGGTCCCGCCGACCCCACCCTGACGATGCGTGCCCACGCAAATACCCGTGGACCAATGCTTTGTGTCAACAGTCCCCACTCTCCTACCACTGGCGATGCCGGTGCCGAGTTATCCACGTTTCTGTAAGTGTCTTGGACGAGTTGCTCAAACCTTTGTGTGCATGGAACAGAAATCCGGTCTTTGCAGCGTCTGATTAGGAACAGGTGATATTGGAAATTGGAGTCCTCCATCCTGCTCTGCAAGCTGTGCAGCCTGCCACAGTCAGCAACATGAGACAGAGAGAGGAAAAGAAAAGGAACCACACAAACTTGAAGTCCGGTGTAGTGGATCCGATCCGAAGCCTCGAAGTCCACTTCTTTCCATACTGTGCTGTTGAAGCTCTCGCGACAAACGCGCGCCGCCTTGGCCACACTTCCTACCAACATTATCCGTATCTCGCTCCTCCTTCGAGAGGACCGCGCGTAGCCATAACGCGACGGCCCTGATGTTCTCTGCGCCGAGCACGCCACAGCCGTGAGACACACGAATTGGGGACGTTAATCTCGATCGTAAATTCGAAATTGACGTCACTTTACATGGTTTTGTAGGGCTGAATGAAGCCAAGCAACCATCATGTATCACAATCCCAATCGAGTGGTACGCCGGCCTATTACACGTCTTTAGGAGTACAGTCTTTCTTCCCTATCCCGAGAGCCGTTTACAGGGCACACCAACCATCTCATCAATTGTCAAGCCTGTCTTGCCGGCCAACACACCTCACAAAGCAGATCGGCCCGAACCCACCGTGCTCGCGAGCTTCCACCTCTCGCCATCATCCACATCCACGACCTTCCCTTCCCTCTGCAGCTTCTGCAGAATTTGCACGACCCCACGCGCGGCTGCAGGGTGCAAACTCTCGGGCACATCCCGGTAGATCGTTCTGACGAGCTCCATCACCGTCCAGGCATCTCCGCTTGTCCGGTCGTCTTTCGCAGGCTCGCTCCCTGTCTCAATCCCAGCAGCAGAGGCCGGGCTACTGCTCCCGAAGAGAGACGCAAACGAGCGGAGCGCCTGAACGACCTGCTCCTCGCGCTGCGCGCGGTGCCGGATATACTCGGCGATCTTGCCCGGCCCGTCCGGTACCACGGCGCCATGGCCCGGGTAAGCCTTGCCGCCCCGGTCTCTGTCGTAGAGCTTGCCCATCCGCTCCAAACTGCCCACGTACAGCCCCAGGTCCTCAAACACGCTCGTCCCGTGCCCGAGCACGTTATCCCCAGTAAACAGTGCCCCTTCCTCCTCCCACACAAACACCGTGTGATCCGCCGTGTGGCCGGGGGTATGCACCGCCGTTACGCTGGCCCCTGCGACCTCGAACCGCTGCCCATCCTGCAACTCCTCCACCTGCACGTCCCCCTTACCTTCCCCTCCCCCTTCCCTTCGGACCTCCCCGCCCCCAACCCCCTGTAGCAAGTACCGACCTCCCTGATGTTTTAACACCCTCGCCCCGGGACACACACTCAACAAATCCCGTACGCCATCCGTGTGATCGCGGTGCCAGTGCGTCAGCAGCGCGATGCTCACGGTGGTGCCTTCCCCTTCCTCGGCGAGCACGCACCGGAGCGCTGCCGCCCATGAGGGCTTGCTCTCGCCCGTGTCGATCAGGATGCGTGAGGGCCCGGTGCCCAGCAGGTAGGTGTTGGTGCCTTGCAGGGTGAAGGGGCCTGGGTTGCCGGCGAGGATGCGGATGCAGGATGAGGTGAGGCGGGTTATTTCGGGCAGGGAAGGGAGGGGTTGTTGAGGTTGTTGTTGTTGGGTGGTCGACATTTTGAATGGCGGTTTAGGTAAGATAGTGGAGGTGCAGTGTTCCTGGTGTTTGATGGGGTTGATGACTCGATAGGTCACGGTTGTGATGCTGGAGGCTCGGAGTGGCTGCCGTAGGAACAAGCATGCGGGCGACTGCCGCATTTGTAAGTTGATAAGGTAGGTGGCTTCTCCAAGAATCGGAGGTTGAATATAAAGATGAAATGCCTATCCGTTCGGGAGATCGCGCGGGACTGTGCCGGGCCGCCGATGCGGGGTAGTGATCGGTCCGGCCGTGGTGGGGGACCGAGCGTGCTTTTGGGCTTCCCGGAGCATGTGCTTACGGATCTGAGCTCCCGTCTGCAGTACACGTGTATACACCAGGCACTTACTGCGTCACCTCAAGTAGAGATAAAGGCCAACCACCACCAGGTCAGGGCACCGTAAATTTTAGGCAAAAATCTCGCGTTACCCGCCTTGAAGATCTTGGAGTTGCAGTGCAAGGGCAACATATGATTAGCAGGGGTGAGTTGCAACTGCAAAGAACAATGCAAATGACGCGACCATGTGTTGTTCGAGTTCTGCAGGCCAATTCTCAAATGAGGCACCGGGAGGTAATGGGCAGTTGAAGAACCTAAAATCGGCCACTGTTCCGCCGATGTCGAGGATGAGCCAAGTCCCCTGCCGCGGTGGGTTCTGGCGAAGCTGATGCTCCATGCTTGACGTTATCGATAAGCCTCAATTTCCAGCCCGCCGCGTTATCGATCCAGGTAGGAGGCGGTTGGACGCCTTTTTGAGGATGGCGGGAATGTGTAAATCGAACAGGGCGAACAATAACTTACAACTACCCCTGCTGGCCGATTGAAGAGGTATTGTCGCTGCTTTTACTCATAGACGTGAATGCTATTCTAACTTTTGAAAAGCCTTTAAAAGGTTAAACCACCCCTATTATCGCCGACACTTGCAGCTGCACGCAACGCCAAACGCTGCATCTGCAAGACGGCCTTTTCCGCTTCCCTGAACGCGGCCCGCCACATCTGAAGCACGCGGCCTTCTGACCGGGAAACCCCATAAACAAGCGTCCTCGCTGCAGGTTGCTTCTCTTCCAAGACCTGCCTCTCTCCTTGCGATCCTCCCAGTGATTCCGCAGTGTTTCCCAGTCTCGGTACTCAGCTGGTAACCTGGACGCTGAATCACTTGCCTCCCGGCAACACTGCCCGAGTCTGCACAATTCCTTGTCAAGCTAGGCCAATTTACATCATCGATTTGGATAAGGACTGGTCAAAATGGCGGCGAGGCCTGCTACACCGGCATCGCCCAAGACGAACTACAAAGTCAAGGCTCCGCAGCCTGGGCAGCCCATGTACGGCTGCGGTACGTCGAAACCATCCCCGCGCGATCCCTCTCGCTAACAAACGCAGAACACCTACAGAGGCTTTTCAACCAGGACCAGGCGACGACGAACACGTCGATTCAGCATTACAAGGCGATCCTACGGAGCATATATGACACCACCCCTCTCCTCTCGCAGACAGCCAAGGGCATTGACGGCCAGATCGTCACCTCGCTCACTCCTACATACCTTTGTCTTCAATGCCCCTCGACCCTAACCGAAGACGACCGGACGAAGCATGGGAGCAAGAAATCACACAGATTTTGTACGTTAGCGTTGGAGGCCCTCGGTGGTTGGTTAAGGGGGCGCCGGGTATCCGCGGCTTACTGACCTGACTTGGGGCAGACGTCGACTCTCGGAGCGGTGCTTTGTACTGCCAAATGTGCGATGACATTGTCTGGGATCCGACGTTCGAAGAGCTCAGGTTAAAGAAGATCGGGACAGGCACATTCACCAGTAAGCTGGGCAGCGAGCGTATGAGTTGACGGCAACACCAGACTAACCTCTAATCCAGCTCGGAAACGGAAACACGAGGAGTTGTTCGAGGCTTCAGATCCCGTGAGAGACAACCCCACTTACATCTCTTCCAATACCACGGCGGCCTCGTGCAAAGCTAATGGCTTGCGCGGTATCTACAACGCCGGCGCCACTTGCTACCAAAATGTCGTCCTCCAGAGCTTCCTCCACAACCCGATCCTGCGCAATTTCTACCTCAGCGACGGGCACTCGAGCAGCAACTGCGACACGCCGCATTGCCTGAGCTGCGCTATGGATGACATGTTCCAGGACTTTTACGCGCTCGAGAACACCAACGGGTACACGGCCGCCAACATCCTGTCCGGGTTCTGGATCAGCGAGAAGAAGGCGTTTGAGAACTTGGTCACGACCAAGGAGCAGGACGCGCACGAGTTCTTCCAGTTCCTGGCCGAGGAGCTGCACGAGCGCAACGGCGACGGCAAGAAGCCCGAGACGGGCAGCGAGCACAGCTGCAACTGCATCATCCACCAGACCTTCTACGGCAAGCTGCAGAGCAACACGACGTGCCAGAACTGTGGCGGCGTGACGAACCAGGTGCAAAGCTTCCTGGACCTCAGCCTGCCGCTCGAGAACCTGTCGCAGAGGAAGAGCAAGAAGGGCACGGCGAGGCCCGGCGGCATGCTGACTCTGCAAGAGTGCCTCGACGAGGAGTACGTCAAGTCGGACAAGTGCGAGTACCGCTGCCACAACTGCGGCTCGATGCAGCAGGCACGGCGGCAGACGTCTATCAAGCGGTTGCCAAACGTGCTGTCCATCCAGCTCAAGGTGAGTTCCCCTATCCTTTCTCCTCACCGCGCTCCTATATCTCTCCGTAGGAAATATTTGCAGTTTCGCTAACGAGGAGGGATGAGTAGAGGTTCGAGTACAAGCAGGGCCGCAACGAGCGCGCAGCAAAGATCGACACGCCCGTGCAGTTTCCGCTGCAGCTCAACATGCTCCCCTACACGAACCGCGCCCGCGGCCAGGACGTCAGGGAAAACTACGAGCTGGCCCGCTCGTGCACCTACGACCTACTCAGCGTAGTCGTGCACGTGGGTGAGATCGACACCGGGCATTACGTGTCGTATTGCAGGGTCGGTGATCAGGTAGGCCTGTCCCCTCCTTGCCTTGGCTAAGTTTGTAAGGCCTTTTACTGACCTGAGATCGGGAATAGTGGTTTGCATTCAACGATCACAAAGTGGAGCTGGCGCAGAAATCGGATGTGCTCAACTCACGGGCATATCTATTATTTTACGTAGTAAGGTCGCTGTCCTGAGGGATGGGCGGACGAGTCGGGCGACACGGCGTTTTCTGGCGCGGTGACTTGCATGATCAGCTTGCTACTCATTATAAAATGCTGGTCTGAATTCGAAATACCATAGGCGGTCGTCGTGATGGAATGGGATCATCATGGTTTGATCAAGGGTGCTGTCTTGAGGACGGGTTTGGCGTGGAAAGGCACGTGAATTATTGGCTTAAACAAACGAGCTAGGGCTTGATTGCGGTTATGCTATGCATCAATCGAGCTCGGAAACCTGATCCGTTCTGATAAGCATCCCAATAGTTAAGCGGATCCCGACGCGATCAGAAGCCTCACGAAATATTGCTGATGAAAAGGATGCTTATATACACACCCCCAGTTCCTCTAGTCTCTCCTTACCTGAGGCCTATTTGATACACGAGAGCCTCTGACCTGCTCAAAGAAACGCGGACCGGAGGTAATTTGCCATGCAATAGCGCAACAACGAGACCATCATCCAACCCAACCCCCTCTCCGAGCCGAACAAGCCGGCTTTCTGGCCGACAGAGCGCGCGCCTCAGTCCCTTCTCAGGCGAATTCCGGACTTACCAGCTTACTCGGATACCCAGAAGCGATAAATCAAACGGCCCCAGGACGAGCACGTAGACAGCAGACAAGATGCCGACCGGGAACCCGACGCACATGCTCAGACTCAACCTCCAGCGGCTTGTGTCCTACATCGACCGGCTGCCCTTCTTCACGCGGCTCGCCATAGTGCTGATGGTTGTGTGCGAGGCGGTCAGGGTTTTGCCGTGGTGGGATATCCAGGCGTGGGGCAGGCTGGAGCCGGATCAGCTCGGGTTGCAGACGAGTAGGTCATTTATTTACTGGGTTCAACCTCCCTTTCTCCCCCCAAGTGGTCTTAAAACGATGTTGCACGCACGCGAACATCGACGACGGCGATGAAGAGATCACTGACTGACTGACATGGCTGGTGGTGGACAGTGCATCGGACCAACACCTACGCGCTCCTCCATACGGATGTGTTCCATCTGGTCATGAACATGTTTGCTGTGATACCGATGTTGGAACGGTTTGAGGCGGAGCATGGCACGCTCACCTCGCTGGCGCTGTTTTTTGGTCGTGAGTGTGTACCTTACCTCCTCTCCACCCGAAGAACAGGAGAAAGGGGAGCTGACATGGGCTGGCTGTCTTCCAGCGCTGTCGACCTTGCCGGCTTTGATGTATGTCGGAATAGAGAAGTTTCTGCTGCGGTCCAACACGTCGGTCGTGGGAGCTAGGTGAGCAAACCGGCCCAGATCTTGGCTGGAGAAAGAGGCGGACTGCTAACAAGCTGTGCAAAGTATCTGGGTCTTCCTTCTGCTTGCGATCGAGGCCGTGCGCCAGCACCGGACGACCCCCTACTTGGTCATTAACGGACAGCCTACGATACCCACCTGGTCGACGCCGTTCGCGGCACTGCTGGCTGTCGCGGTGCTGATGCCCGGTTCTAGCATCCTGGGGCACCTTTGCGGTGTGGCGGTCGGCTATCTCTGTATGTATTCATCTTTCATGTTCACCCCATGAGGGCGACACTAACACAAACGCGAACAGGCGGCACGGGGTACGTCAACATTAAGTATCTTGCGCCGCCCGAGAGGGTCTTGCGATGGATCGAAGGCAGGGCCAAGCTGAGGGACTGGCTGCCGTACTATGTGAGCGTGGATCAGAAAGTCTATGGCCGGTTCGGAGTGCTTCCCCTGGCCAATCCGGGAGCAGCGCCGGTTGTTGTTCCTGGCTTGGTTGGTAGCAACCAGAGGCTGGGCCCGACTCCTGAGTAGCGGTCTTGGGTGGGTTTCAGAACGAAATGATTACGAGTAATGCTTGTAAAATATGTATTTAGACGTTGCGCCGGTTGTCTTCAAGATGCATTGGCTCCTGTAATGGATGGGTTATTTCTCAACTGCAGCCCCCAAAGTGGACTCTGACTTCCATGTCAGCTCCGAGCTGCCCTCCCATGAGCCAGTATTGGATAAATTGCCACATCCGGTTAGCGCTCCTGCGCGCCTGCATTCCATTCTTGGCGCTCCACGACTCCCACTTGACGTTCCGTCGCGACCCCTGATTCAAGAATCAGGTCATCCCAACTGCCAACGCAACAGGTGCCCATTCCTGAAGTCCAAACGGTACTGCAGTTAAGATGCCGCGATTGCTTGGTAGGTTCTATCCCAGGCGCGCTGGATAAAAGACAGCTAACAGCATGCAGCCAGCGCGCTGCAGCTGCGGCGGGACCCGCGCATCCTTAAGCTCCCGCCGTACTTGTCGCTGCTCTGCATCCTCGTCGGCGTCGCCTGGCTCTTCCTGCTCCCGCTCGACCAGTACTCGCGGAGAACGTACATCTCAGAGAACGCCCTTCTTCCCGGCCAGGTGCACACATACTTTGGCGGCAGCGACCAGAACGTGTTCCGGGCGTACAAGCACGAGGTCAATGAGCTCATCGGCAAGAGCAACGCCGAGATCAACGACAAGCTCGAACCAATCCTCAAGGGCCTCGGCCTCAAGACGGCCAGACAGAACTTCACTTATCACGCCGCCGGACACACTTACTCGGGCGAGAATCTCTACGCCACCCTGCAGGCCCCCCGCGGCGACGCCACCGAGGCCATCGTGCTGGTGGCCGCCTGGGAGAACGTCAAGCACGAGATCAACCGCAACGGTTTCCCGCTCGCCCTGACCCTGCTGCGCTACTTCAAGCGCTGGTCGCTGTGGTCCAAGGACATCATCCTGCTGCTGACCCCGGACAGCATTGCCGGCCCGCAGGCCTGGGTCGATGCCTACCATGACGCCCACGATCCCGCCCGGATCTCTAGCCTGCCCATCAAGTCGGGCCTGCTGCAGGGCGCCATTGCCCTCGATTACGCTCAGGAGGGCCGCTTCGACAGTGTGCACATTGTCTATGACGGCGTCAACGGCCAGCTGCCCAACCTCGACCTAATCAATTCGGTCAACCATATCGCGAGCGGCCAGATGGGCATCGGCGTGGCGCTGCAGGAGATGTGGCAGCACGACAACGGATACCGAGACCGGCTGCGCACCATGCTTCGCGGCATGCTGAAGCAGGGCTTCGGTCTGGCCAGCGGCGCGCACAGCAGCTTCATCCCGTACCACGTCGACGCCGTGACGCTGCGGCCGTTTGGCGACGGCTGGCAGGACGAGATGGCCATGGGCCGCGTCGTCGAGGGCACCTTCCGCAGCCTCAACAACCTGCTGGAGCACCTGCACCAGAGCTTCTTCTTCTACCTGCTTATGCAGCGTGACCGCTTCGTCAGCATCGGCACCTACCTGCCCAGCGCCATGCTTGTGGCCGCAAACTTCACCATCATGGCCATCGCGCTCTGGGTGAAGAGCGGCCAGCCGGCAGAGGGCACGACGACATCTGCTACCAAGAACGAGACACCTGCCACCACAGCCGAACGTGACCTTTTCTTACCCCTCGGCGTCGTGGCCCTAATCCACTCCCTCTCCATCGTCCCGCTCTACGTGTTCAACCACGCCCCAAAGAGCGTAAGTTTTCCCTCCCAACCTCGACCCTTTATTTACTTCCTCCTTCCCTCAAAAGCACGCCCACTAACGCACCCAACCTTCTCCATCATCTCTCTAGGCCCTCCACCTGTTATTCCTCGCCTTCGCCCCCATCAGCACCGTCCTCCTCCCCACGTACCTGGTCCGCCTCCTCACCGCCCGCGGCACCACCCCTCAACAGTACCACCTCATCAAATCCTTCTCTCTCCTACTGCTCGGCATGTCCCTCTCGACACTCGCCACCCTCAACTTCTCCCTCGCGCTCATTGTCGGCCTGCTCGCCTCGCCTCTGTCCTTCATTCACCACCATTCTTCCCCTTATTCGCCGCCGCCGCAGCAGTCGTCAAAGTGGTGGTCAGGGATTGCCAAGACCGTGTTACTCATCCTCATCAGCCCGACGACCGTCCTATTATTGGCCGGCGAGGTGTATGGGGGGGGTTTGGATGCGCACGTGCTGCGCGAGGCGGCCGTCGGGTGGCACGTGTGCGGGACATACTCGCCCGTGGTGGTGTGGTGCGTCTGGTGGCCGGCTTGGGTGGCGGGGATGGTGGCTCTGGGTGGGGGAGCGGGACTGCGGGCTTGGGATGGGGAGGGGGCTGACGAGAAGGTGAAGAGTTCTTGACTTGCTTACTGAAGGCTCGCTGGCTGGTTTCTTTGACTGGATGGGACAGGTGGGATAGGAAGGATGTAAGGCGTGGGGCCAGGTGTGAATAGTACGGAGGAGGGGATATGATACCCATAGCATTTAGCATTTCATTGTGGCAATGCCGGATTCGACTGGCTTGCAGCCCAGCCTTGTCATTCACAGACTCGAGAAAAGTCTTTCCCATGCCATATCGTACAAGGCAGCATCTATGTGAGTCTGTACTTGAGATTCAGTTTGCCATCCCACACCTCCCTTACACCGCCCACACGTCCTGCCCCACGTTCTCGATCCAGTTGCCCAGCTGGTTGACGCTCAAGTCCCACTCCTTTAGCCGCGCGCGCATGTTGTCGATCTGCTTCATGTCCAGCACTTTGGGCTGCACCCAGTTGATGTGCGCCACCTCGTCGACCTGGTCGATGGTGCCGCGCAACAATCCCAGGCTAAGGGCCTTCATGATCAGGTGCTCAATCTCCTCGGGCCGCACCTTGGTCTCGGCCGCGATGGTGGCGAACGTCATGGCGCGGTCGTGCGGCGGCCGCCGGAACACCGCCTCGGTCAGCGCCGCCAGGTAGATCTTCTCGCGCAGCTGGCGGCCGTGCTGGGCGAGCAGCGGGTTCGACTTGATGCGGTCCGCCAGCGTCTCGTACGCTGCCAGGTCGCCGCGGTTGAAGGCGAAGAGGAGCTCGCGCAGCCACGCGTCCTCTCCGCGCTCCGAGAGTGCGTCGAGGATCGGGTGCAGCAGCAGCTCGCCAAAGTTGTAGATGCTGGTGCTGACCAGCGCCGCGAGCGCGAGGTCGTGCGCGCGGTTGCGCCGCTCGGCGGGAGACAGCGACTTGATGTCGATGCATGCCAGGTAGAGCAGCGCGTTGCGGTAGTACGAACCGAAGTCGGCCTTGGCCTGATAGTAGTCGGCGTTGGCTCCGTAGAAGGCCGCGTGCACGATGGTCTCGACCGAGTCGAAGCTGTCGAGCACCCGCTCCGCCCGGTCCAGGTCTTTCCTTGCGCCGTCGAGGTCGCCCAGGTCGAGCTTGACGCGCGCCACGGCGATGGTCGCGAATACGAGGGCGTCTTGCGAGTCTTCGTTGTCCACCTTCTTGACGACCGCCTCCATGAAGGAGAGGCGTTCTTGGTTGTCTGGTCCGGTTAGATACTGTGGGGGCAGCACTCAATAGATAGGCCGCATACCTCTACATTGTGTCGCTGCCTTCAGGGCAAGGTCGACGAGCTTGAGCTGGTTGATCTTGTCGGCAAACTTGAGGACGAACACCTTGTAGAACTGTAGGCGCTGCGGGCCGCTGGCTGGGTGGTTGAAGAATTCGATGAGCTGGTTTGTGAGCTGATGCCACAACTTGCGTTCCCATAGTGTCTCAAACTCGAGCACAAGCGGTTGCAGCTCCTCTGGAGCGCTGTCCCGCTGCTCGGCCAGGAAGTCGGAAATGGTATCGACGTTCATGTTCGAGAGCTGAGCGGGAATGTTGGGCGAGGCAGACGGCTGAAGATGGACTTTTCTTAAGATCCAAGTCCCTTTTGTCTGAGTTAGAACTGGTTTGCGGTCGTCGGGGTGTCTGGTGGGACTTGTGGAAGTCAGAGTTGAGAGTCGGGTGTTTGGAGTTGTCGATGCAAGGCGGAGAGCTGTTGCAGCTCCCACTTGACGCGGACAAGGCAACCTGGCCACGGTACGTACCTCCTTGCGGAACCGTGCACTCAGCTTGGCCTTGCATCAGTCGCAATCTGATTGGCCAATTTGTCCGCAATGATCTCTAGAGTGGGTAGTGGGCCCTTGAGCCGGCGGGCAGCATCTCGATTGCCAGGTCGAATTGAACGATTGAAGCTCGCAGCCTCCGTCAACGTCAACTGACTGCGACGCCGCCCAACACTTGGGACACCACAACCACCACCCGCCACGATGGCCTCCCTGCCGACCGCCGTGCGGTCGACGGCCCCGAAGATCGCGAAAAGCGCACTGCAGCGCCGGGCCATTTCCGATGTGCACATCACGCGCACCGGCAAGCCTCTCATCCGCACCCAGGGCGGCCGGTCCGTAGCCCGCTCTCCATGTGCCGAAACATGCTGACAAAAGTCCCCTTCAGCTCTTCTCTCGGTGAGCACACAGCTACCGTCTTCGGCGCCACCGGCCAGCTGGGCCGCTATATCGTCAACCGGCTAGGTTCTACTGTCCACCCCGAGGCAATTTCTACGTCAACTGACGGGGGTGATTCGAAGCGAGACAAGGATGCACCGTCATTGTGCCGTACCGCGAGGAGATGGCCAAGCGCCATCTCAAGGTGACGGGCGATCTAGGTCGAGTTGTGTTTCTTGTAAGGGCGCCTGCAAGGCGAGAGGGAGAAGGAATTGGTTGCTGAGGGGAGCTAGGAATACGACCTGCGCAACACCCAGTCGATCGAAGAGAGCGTCAGGCATTCCGACGTCGTTTATAACCTGGTCGGCCGCAACTATCCCACCAAGTGAGCTGGAACGTGTGCGGGTTGGAGGAGAGAGCGGAGCTGACCGGGTTCAGGAACTTCTCGCTCGCTGATGTGCACATCGAGGGCAGCGAGCGGATTGCCGAGGCTGTTGCCAAGTACGATGTTGACCGCTTCATCCACGTCTCGTCGTACAACGCCAACCCCAATTCGCCATGCGAGTTTTTCGCGACCAAGGTAGCTACTAGCGTCCGATTCCGTGATGGGTAAACCCTCTGACTGCTGGCAGGGTCATGCCGAGCGGGTGGTGCGAGAGATCTTCCCCGAAACCACCATTGTCAGGCCGGCCCCAATGTTTGGTTTCGAGGACGATTTGCTCCTGAAACTTGCCAGCGTCGTCAACCTCTTCACGGCGAACAACATGCAGGAGAGGTACTGGCCGGTGCACGTATGTCGCCCGAAGCCCAAGTAATCCGAACCAGTAGACTCTAACGGACACTGCAGGTCATCGACGTCGGCGAGGCCCTAGAGAAGATGCTGTTCGACGACAACACGGCATCCCAGACGTACGAGCTGTACGGCCCCAAGAACTACTCGACGGCGGAGATCGCCGAGCTGGTCGACCGCGAGATCTACAAGCGGCGCAGGCACATCAACGTGCCCAAGGCCATCCTCAAGCCGGTCGCCGGCCTGCTCAACCGCCTCCTCTGGTGGGACATCATGTCGGCCGACGAGGTTGAGCGCGAGTTCCACGACCAGGTCATTGACGAGACGGCCAAGACGTTCAAGGACCTGGGCATGGAGCCCAGCGACATTAGCAAGTGGACCTATCATTACCTGGTATGTCAACCTCTATCATTTACCATTTCCACCCCTGGATCGGACTGACCTTCAAACAGAAGGGCTTCCGTTCTTCCACATTCTACGACCTGCCGCCTGCGACGGAGAGGGAGATGCGGGAAGAAAAGAAATACATTCACGTGCTTGACGACCAGTAAAATGGCGTTGGGTGTTGGGCGGTTGAGGGGAGGGTGAGCTAGCAAGACTGGGGCACTGTAGAGTGTATGTACCGGTGTAATTAAACATCGTTTTCCATTCAATCGACGGTAGAGAACGAGGGTTTGGAAGTAAACCTGTGAGGCCGTGCTGACCGTCTGTTCCAATCGAAGTATTCAATTTGTTGGCATACGGTGATGGCTTGAACTTGACTGGCAGCCCAACTCTGGAAATCCACAAAAATTTCAGGCCCCTCCTCATACTCCTCATTCAGACATTGATTTCATGTCCGAGTCGATTAACACTCCAGAAACCTCACTCAATCGCGATGGCCAACCATGAAAGCGACGATGAAGAGCTGTATGTCCAATATGTTCATTGCAGGAAAAAAGAAGTTTACTAACATAAATTTTCAGGACGCTATCGGTCTCGACGCTCGATGCCCTCAAGCAGTTCTACGCCGAGCGCGATGCCCGCGCCGAGCAGTTTGCCAAGCTCCAAGCCCAGGCCGAGGAGCAGCATGCTGTTGGCCAGGCGAAGCCCTTTTCCATGGAAGCGTTTAGCGAGGACTGGAATGAGAGTCAATTCTGGGTATGTTTCCCCGTACGCGTTCGGTTGCGTTTGGGTGGGAATCAGAAAAGACGAAAATGGATCAGGGGTGACTGGACTGGACTGGGGAGGCCGTTTTGGCTCTGTATTTCGGTTTCCATGTCTGACTTTGTGGTTGGGATGGGAGGGAGGTTGCTTGCTTTTCTTGGTGCATGCTGCTGACGACAAGGGAATGCATGCAGTACTCGGACGAGACGGCTTCGTTACTGGCGAGGCAACTGCTCGATGGAGCCACCGCCGATACGACTATTGCCGTTGTGTCGGCGCCGAGCGTGTTCGTGGCTCTGAAGAATATCTTGAACGCCGGCGGGTCAGAGAAGCTCAGACCCAAGCTGCTGCTCCTCGAGCATGACAACCGCTTCGCCGTCTTTCCTGAATTCGTATACTACGACTTTGCTCAGCCCCTGAAGCTCCCGGGTTTGTCCAGCCTTATCATACATTCACCCCTTTTCAGACAAGTCATATCTCATGACGGCATCGACGGCTGATCAGTCCGATGAAGCCCACCTAAAAGGCACCTGCGACCGCATCATTTGCGACCCGCCATTCCTCAGTGAGGACTGCCAAACCAAAGGTAGATGTCATTTACATAGTCTTCTCCCACCAAGCTAAACTCATCAGCTAACCAACTACCTCCTCCCCCTAACCAGCCGCCCTCACAGTAAGGTGGCTCTCCAAACCGCCATCCTCCTCCTCTTCAGACAGCCAGCAACAACCACAACGAACGCGCCTGATCGTCTGCACGGGCGAGCGGATGCAGGACATCGTGAAACGCGTGTACCGGTTCTTTGGACTACGCATTACCGACTACGACCCGGTGCACGCCCGGGGCCTGAGCAACGAGTTCTACTGCTATGCCAACTTCGAGTCGGCGGACTGGGGGTGGCGGTACGAACAGGGTCAGGGTCAGGTGTCTGGGTAGATGGATACATGGGCCAGATAGGTGGACGAAAGGGCATTATCAAGGAACAGGATTGTCGGGACAATCCAGCAGACAGATCATCGCTATTTACCATCACCGGTGTTGTGAGCGTGAAAACATCGTTTTGGCTTGTTTACAAGAGCATGAATTAATGATGAAATAGGGGAGTGTTGGAATAGTAGTCTACCCTTTCTTATTTTCATCTCCGTTGTCTTTCCCCTTCTGCTGTGCTCTCCTTCTTCTTTTCCCTCTCGTCCCCTGAATTTTTCATCTTCTTTAACCAACGTTATAATAGAGCTTGACATTTTTAAGCGCTCTAAGAATAAAGAAAGAAAGAAAGAGAAACTTCCAACGCGGCTGTCGACGGCACGCTGGCAGACCGCGGCCTCCTCTACAAACCAGCTGCGAATCGCGAAGCGCTGTGGAGCCGGACATCGCCAGGTCGTGATCCGCCGACCGAATGTCTCGGAATGATCCCCCAGCATCCTCGCTGAGCCAAGGCTGGCCAGCAACAGCACTGCTCTATATAACAAGTGGTTAGTGGTGTTGACCCATGAATTAGGCCTGAGAATATCGCCAGTAGTGCGACCGATATGTTGAAAAGGATTGCGTGTAAGTGCCTAAACCAACTACAAAGTGGCGCCTAGCTCTTCAACCAGTGCCCGCTATCTATGATGAGTACGCTGAGTACAAGCTCGCTGCCGGAAGAGTCGGGGAGAGCAGTGTTGCCTACAGGGCAAAGGCCCCGCGAGCTGAAGGCCACCGGTGGACCTGACCTGAGCAAGAGGAGCACAGCCAGCCAAAACAACTGGGGCGGCAGCGTCTAAGAGCGCTACGATGTATGTTTCTTTGCGTCGAGGAAGCTGTAACCTGATTTGATGATTAGTGGGATATGTCATCCGCCATCCCGAGAGACGCCGCTTATTCAACGAGCGGTCCACGGAGGTGCTGGTGCCAACGTTGTCCCAGGACATGAAGGATAACAGGCTGTCTCTGGCTGGGCCAACCCTTTCATGCGCCCTTCGTATTGAGACCATCCCTTTTTCAGTGAACCTACCTGTTACAATACAGAGAAAAAACCCTTCACTACTGATGGGTCCACAGACCATCAACGACACCAAGGCAGCTCAAGAACATCGAACGAACCGTGTTATGCCTACCGCTACACATCCAAACCATGGAACCCATTTTTCTTCCCTTCCCAAACTCCGTGATGCCATGACGGCACCATTCCGACAATGCCAATGATAAAACACTCCTCCCTGAGAGAACCGCGAACAGAAGGCACAAGCGACAGTGCCAGCAGCGATGTGCTCCCGAACCAATTCCACCTTCAGCCCTCCGGCCAGCCCGGGAAGCAAGCATGCACAAGGAGATGTACTAAAATTACGAGCAAGCCGACAAACACCATGGCAAACCGCCAAAACCAGAACAACGACTGCCCACCCTCGAGTCGAAGTTGTCGTCGCAGCCAGTCCTTTCACCCGGCCGAGCCCCGGCTTATTCTCAATCCGCTGCTTCCCTTGCTTTCCTCGCTGCAGCTCTTTTTGCTGCTCTTTCCGCTGCTGCCTTCGCCCCCGGTTTCCAGACAGCTCTCAGGCCCCCACGATCCTGCCACTTCTAATAGCCATAAAACCCCGGGTTCGCCGGGTTCGACGGCCCCGTCGGGATATTCTGTCCCTGAAAGCCGTCCTCGTACATCTGGGCGAAACCGGGCTGTGCGTCACGGCCACCAACATCATCCAGACTTTTGTAATACCCGCCCCCACGGCCGCCACGGGCCCCCTTAGGCGCGCCGCTGCGCTGGCCTCTAGGCCCGCGGTTATTCCCGCCGCCGCCGTTACCGCGAAAGAGGCCTCGCCCCGAGCCTCCGCCGCCGCGACCTCCGCCGCCGCCGGCAAAGTTGTTGGCTTGGTGGTGGAAGTGCCGGTGCTGCTGCTGCGCGGGGCCCGACGGCCGCGCGCGAAAGTCGTCCGACGCGGCCGTGTGCTTGCGCTTATTGAGGGCGCGGTCGCGGGCGTGGTGCTGGTAGGGCGCCGAGTCCTCGGCCTCGATACGCAGCAGGATCTTCTCGCCGACCGTCGTCTCGAAGCGAAAAGCTTTCTCCGGGGGCACGGGCTGCCAGTGTTGAATCTTACCTGCGTCCACGTGGCGGGCGCCCTTGCGCAGGGCCAGCACGACAAGCGGAGTCGGGTCGCCTGTATGGAAGCTTGCTGTCGCGGGTACGGGTTTGACGCACGCCGCCCAGATGGTGTTCTCGAAGCAGGCCGTTCCGGTCACTTCCCATGTCATTTTGCCGCCGATGCCGCCGACTTTTTCTAGGATGGCTGGCGGACAAGGTCGTGGACAAATCATGATGTTGTTCGCGTGGAACTTGAGCTCCCCTTCGGGAAGATTCTGCGGGGTCTGTGCCAGAGTGAGCAAGCGTTGTGTGTCAGCGTTGTTGATCATGTATCCTGTGTAGAAGACGGTCTTCTTGATGGCGAGGCGCTCGCCCCTGACGCCGCGCCGCCTCTTAGACAGAGCAGCGTTGTGCTCAGCAATGATTTGCTGCACTTCGGCCACTTCGACGATGGGGTCGAGGTAGGTGGCCACGTCGGCCACTTGGATGACCTCGCCCTTGATAGGTCCACGCGTAATAGGGCTTGGTATCCCGTTTATCTGCCTGATGTTGTAGTCATCGAGGAAGTCGCGAAAACCTTTGACGTGCTTTATCCTGTCCTCGTAGATGCGGATCTCTTCGGCATGCCTGTATGTCTCCATCAGAGCCTCAAGGAACATCTGCTTGAAAACCATGGTATTGGCAAAGCGCTCATTGTTGGGGCCGACAGCTGGCTTCAACGAGATCAGATCGAACTCAAGGCCCTTGCTTGCAACCATGCGCTTGATCAGATCGCCGAAGCCAGACTCGGAGCGCCCCGTGAGGAGGACGCAGAGCGCATCTTTTTGCTTATTGCTCAGGTGGATGAGCTCGACAATCTTCTCGTTCCACCACCCGTCCCACGCGCGCGCCTCTTCCTTGGCGAGGCCCTCGCCTGTCGCGGTCAGAATGCGAGAATCGTGCCACCATCCGCCATTGACGAAGGCATCAGGGTTCGATAGCGTCCCTATTGTTGGGCCATTCCACAGCTTGGGATTTGGAAGCGGCGTCTTGAAGACTGAGGCGATGAGTATTAGCAGAAGCAACATATGACACAAATTCAAACAAAGGGAGTAAAGTCTCACGAGTGTTGTCAAAATCGTAGACATGGATGGCCTTGATGGTATCGACGGCGGGTAGTTGCTTGTTGAGAATCGACCATCGTCCCATGGCTGTCACCGTGCGCGCGCTGCTGCCATTGCCAGCGCCATTGCTGTACACTGCGTACGCTGTTGAACCCATGGCTTTCCGTGCTAGGTTGGAGATGGGCGAGAACCAAGATGCGAGAACCATGGAGACTTCATCTCGTAACTCGATGCGGCGACTGCGGGAGCAAGTACTGCGACACTAACAATTCCGCGTCGACCACGATGGCAAGGAGTGGCGGAATCAAGTGGGGCATCCAGTCGAACTTAGAAGTTGGCAGCGTATGCATGTATCCGAAATATTTGGATAGTCAATAAGGTACTCACATGAGGATGAAGATTGGTTCTGGGGGCATATAAGCCTTGCAAGACTCGAAAGTCACTTCCGAACACGGTTGAGATGTTTAAGTCAGTGTGTTTTTGTCTGACTCTGAGAAACGTTTTGTTTGTTTTCAGAAGAATGCAGCGAAAAATGTGGCCTTCCCTTTTCCCAGAGCCCGGCCGCCGTACCTGTCGCCTAAACGCCTCTACCTACTGTATACGATGAATCTCCTCCTGTCATGTCGACGATATTCGCGTCATAGAAAAGTACTGTCCGCTTCAAAAAAAACCAATCTCACGACATCTCAACTTCCTGAGACTTTGTCTTTTCAGGCCCATTGTCTATCCTGTACCCAATAGCCGCATTCGCCTCCTCATGCGTATAGGGGCCCTCGCGCAGCTGCTTGAGCCTGCATCACTTGTCAGCAAAGTCAAACAAGATGTACACACGGCACACCGACCTCCTCTTATGGGGTTTGCCCTTCCTGTGCACAACCAGGCTAGTCTCAGTCTCGAACCACTTGGCACACTCGACGCAGTAGTGCCGGCCCAGGCCGGGCAGGTCCTCGGCGGCCTTGGTCTCCTTGTACTGTTGCAGGTGCCTGGGAGACGTCAGGTCGGCCTTGATCTGGTCAATGTCCCTGGCGGGAGAGTTAGTCTGGGCTGCAAATTCGTCTGATAGGGTTCTTGCAGCTGGGCTCACCGGGTCCGCCGCCTAGTCTTGGTCTTGGTGCGCTTCGCAAAAATTCCCATCTTGCTGGTTCAGGGCTGTGTGTCTTGTAAGATGGTACTGCAGTTTTGGCTGGTGAGACTTCAATCCGCCGTCTTTGGGTTGGGTATGGCTTGGTTGCGGATGTGTTGAAGTTTGATGTGGGGTGAAAATCTCGCCCTTGAATTTTGGAGTCTCGTGGAGAGACACATGCAAAATCAAAATCACGGTACATCTATTTGTATCAAGCCTTACACATGAGGTACTCAAGTCCCGTCCATTCGCCAATCCTTCTCCATTGCTGGCGTCAGAATCCTCCCTCATCGTATGTGCCGCTGTCGAATCACCATCGTTCTGGACGACGAGATCCGTTTTGTTGCTCGTCAATTGGGCGTATTCAGTCCCTTTCGGCGCCAAATCGTACTAGCATCCAGCCCGGCCCCCACGGCCCATACCGCGCCTCCACCCGGCTCTTCGCACGGCTCCCGATCCGTTACCTCCGAGCACGCAAGTACCCTTGAAACATGGGCTTCGATTGATAACAGCATCTTCAATACGAGTATGTTGAACAGGGCCACTGGTGGGCATGTTAACTGGAAAAAGATCGAGAAAAAGGCTCGGTCTACAATGAAGACTTCACGTAGAGGTCTTGAATGTTATGGCATTATCCGTATCGCCCTCGGATCTCCATCTTCGACCGAGCGACAAGACCCACTAGCCGGGTGCTAGCTGGGCCCATGCCGAACAAATGCCCCATTTTCTACGTCTCCAAGCCAGCAAAACCTTTCGGTCCCTTCCGTCCGATGCTTGAAGTTGAAGTCGAGAGAAGTCCCCATAATTGTAACAGAGCCGTCTCGGCTGCGATCGTAAACCGACTTCAACACCAGCTCGTAAACATATCAGTATAGAAGCCAAAGCGTATTGTGGAGGCGCTGTGCAAGACCGCTATCACCGCCGGCTGTCGTTGGTTTCCCGAATTTTTCTGTATCGAGATTGCCGCCGAGTTGCGTCACTCTGCAGCCCTGCAGGTTGCAAGTGGTCCGTTCACCAACCTCTGCGTGAACCCCTGTGGCAGGATTGGGCTGCGTCGTGAGTTTGGCATTGACATTCATCTACATAACGTATCGCGATACTCATCAATCTCGCGTTGTTGTACCTTATCCAAGCAAAGGTACTTTGTACGGAGTACCGAAGTCAAGCACACTTTTGGGGCTGCCCCGCATGGGGAAAATGGCCTGTGGGATGCAACGCGGGAGAACCGGCCGATTCGAAGCACATGTCATCAGCATAACAAACAGCCACCAGGGCACTCGAGCCCCAGCAGGACCCTGATGCGCCTTTGTCAGAAAAGACGGAGCTTGTCCTGCAATACACGTGCATTGGAGTCGCCTTTCGTTCGCAGCTGCCAGTGAATCGGTGAAAATCCAAGAGGAAGCCCACCGCTGCCTCGGCTATTCGTGCCTCGCGGAGCCTTGTTGGCTGAATATCTACTCCGGCTGGACCTATCCATTACCGCGCTCATGGAGACATGCAAGCCCAGCTCACTATGTAGAGCAAGCAATGACAGGGCCCAGCCCACGAGACCTCAAATTGTGCTCTATGCCACAAACCCTGCTTCATTGTTGATTGCCAGCGGAGATACAGAATTTGTGGCGGCCGAGTCGTGAGAACAAAATCGAAAGGCTGGGCTCAGCATGGAAGCGTTGTGCAGCTGCGGCTTTGGTCGGGAAATCCAACGTCCAAAAAAGCGCCATTGAAACAAGGCTAACCGAATTTGAGTTGGCAGATCTCTTCCAATGCAGACCCGCAACAATGCGGGCAGACACAAATGGCGAGTCTCTGATTGGGCAGTGCCGCCGTCTCCATTCGCGCGAGGATCTTTCTGCCACCGTCATAGCCGAGAAGGTCGCAACGACGGTTTCCCGGCCTCGTTGCCACCGATGTAAAATCCCGCCTGCGGTTCCTGCCATCCAAAAACCCTCCACCGTTTTTTTCTTTTCTCAGCAGAACCACCCGGCTACGTACTGCTTCTGTTCCCTCCGCCGTCGTCGTCCCGAGGGTAATTGGGCTTTGCAAACTCTCCACTCCAATTGAAGTTCTGTCTGCGCTCTTTCGAGCTGCACGTCACCACCATGATGTCCTCTCGTCAGCTCCTGGGCGTCGCCCGGAGCCGCGCTCTCGGCAGCGCAAGCCTGGGCCTGCGGCGCATGGCGACCGTGTCCGACTCTCCTTTGGACAGGAAGGTGAGTACTTGATCGCCGACGAGCGCTGCTATCGAGGCCCAGCGCCGCCCTGCGCAATGGCTGACTGATCGCGTGCCCTGTATTTAGGTCCGGCAAAACAACTGGGAGGAGAACAACTTCATCAACTACAAGAAGATGTCAGAGAACCTCGCCATTGTGAGATCAAGGCTCAACCGCCCCCTCACCTTTGCCGAGAAGATCCTCTATTCCCACCTGGACGACCCGCACGGCCAAGACATCGAGCGCGGTGTTTCCTACCTCAAGCTGCGGCCTGACCGCGTGGCCTGCCAGGATGCCACCGCCCAGATGGCTATCCTGCAGTTCATGTCTGCCGGCATGCCCTCGGTCGCTAACCCGACTACCGTTCACTGCGACCACCTTATCGAGGCCCAGGTTGGAGGCGCCAAGGATCTGGATCGCGCTGTGAACATCAACAAGGAGGTCTACGACTTCCTGTCGAGCGCCTGCGCCAAGTACAACATCGGTTTCTGGAAGCCCGGGTCCGGTATCATTCACCAGATCATCCTTGAGAACTACGCTTTCCCTGGCGGTCTACTCATCGGCACTGGTGTGTATTCCGTGCTTCCCACATCTTGTACCTCTGCTGACCAACGTTCAAAGACTCCCACACTCCCAACGCCGGCGGTCTCGGTATGGCGGCTATCGGTGTGGGCGGTGCTGATGCCGTCGACGTTATGGCCAACCTCCCTTGGGAGCTCAAGGCCCCCAAGGTTATTGGTGTCAAGCTGACCGGCCAGATGTCCGGCTGGACTGCTCCCAAGGACATTATCCTCAAGGTCGCCGGCATTCTGACGGTCAAGGGCGGCACGGGCGGTATGTCACTAATCTTAACCCCTCTTATACTTTCTCTTTTGCACAACATGACTGATAATATCCCAGCGATTGTTGAATACCATGGTCCGGGAGTTGAAACCATTAGCGCCACAGGCATGGCGACCGTTTGCAACATGTGAGTGCCATTTGCCCAGATCTACAAGCTATGGAAGCACTTTCGTTGACCCTAACCCTAGGGGTGCTGAGATTGGTGCGACAACTTCTCTGTTCCCGTTCAACGACCGCATGTACGACTACCTGGCCGCGACCAAGCGCAAGGACATCGGCGATTTCGCCCGCTCCTATGCCAAGGAGCTCCGCGAAGACGAGGGTGCTGAGTACGACCAGCTGATCGAGATCAACCTATCCGAGCTCGAGCCTCACATCAACGGCCCCTTCACCCCCGATCTCGCAACTCCCATCTCCAAATTCTCCGAGGCGGTTAAGGCCAACGGCTGGCCCGAGGAGCTCAAGGTCGGCCTCATCGGATCCTGCACAAACAGCTCGTACGAGGACATGTCCCGTGCTGCAAGCATCGCCCGCGACGCGCTCGACCATGGTCTCAAGGCTAAGTCGCAGTTTTTCGTCTCTCCGGGTTCTGAGCAGGTCCGCGCCACCACCTTCAGGGATGGCCAGCTGAAGACTATCGAGGAGTTTGGTGGTGTTGTCCTCGCCAACGCCTGCGGTCCTTGCATTGGCCAGTGGGACCGCCGTGATGTGAAGAAGGGCGAGCCCAACTCGATTATCTCCTCGTTTAACCGGAACTTCACAGGGCGGAATGATGGAAACCCCGCCACTCATTCGTTCGTCACCTCTCCGGATCTCGTCGTTGCCATGACCATTGCTGGCACCTTGCACTTCAACCCCCTCAAGGACACGCTCAAGGACAAGGACGGCAACGAGTTTAAGCTTGCTCCTCCCTCTGGCAACAGCATGCCCCCTGCCGGCTACGATCCCGGCCAGGACACCTACCAGGCTCCCCCCAAGGATCGTAATACCGTCAGCGTCCAGGTTTCCCCCAGCTCGGACCGTCTCCAGATCCTTTCTCCCTTCGCCCCTTGGGACGGCAAGGATGCCCTTGACTGCCCTATCCTGATCAAGGCGCAGGGCAAGACCACGACTGACCACATCTCGATGGCTGGCCCGTGGCTCAAGTACCGTGGCCATCTGGACAACATTTCCAACAACATGCTGATTGGTGCCATCAACGCTGCCAACGGCGAGGCCAACAAGGTCAAGAACCAGACCACCGAAGCGTGGGACGCTGTCCCGGCTGTTGCCCGCGACTACAAGGCCAAGGGCATCAAGTGGGTTGTCATTGGTGACTGGAATTACGGTGAGGGCTCGTCCCGCGAGCACGCCGCTCTGGAGCCCCGCCACCTCGGCGGTCTCGCCATCATCACCCGGTCGTTCGCCCGTATCCACGAGACCAACCTGAAGAAGCAGGGTATGCTTCCCCTGACCTTTTCGGACCCGGCCGACTACGACAAGATCCAGCCCGACGACAAGGTCGACATACTCTGCACCGAGCTCGCCGTCGGCAAGCCCATCACGATGCGGGTGCACCCCAAGAACGGCGAGTCGTTCGACATCAAGCTGTCCCACACCTTCAACGAGGGCCAGATTGCGTGGTTCCGCAACGGCAGCGCGCTCAACACCATGGCCAAGAACACCAAGAACTGAGTTGGATATACCGCAATGTGGATTGTGAGGCATGGCGCGATGGGGAGAATGGTGGAAATGGACGGAGCAGCTTGCAGAGGTGTGGTGGGTCGGCAGCTTCGGGGACCACGGGGATTGGCGTAAATTCGCAGCACTGTTTCTTGTTTTGTATGTATATCACGGCTCTTGCATCTGAATGGTACTGTTTGTGAGGACCTGCTGCTTTTGGCGTGCTAATCGCTTGGTAGTCCATGCCTTCCAAGACCCTGAAGCTCAGTGGACGTCATCGCATGGGAAGGTTGAGGAGGCCTATCCACCGGGAACTGTCCAGTTATCCATTGGATTCGCAGCGGCTTGGTTTCCGACGCAGCATGGTAGCACTGGGTTGTTGAAGGGGTCGATGACTGGCAGGACAGGGTGGACCAGGAAAACTTGAGTGAGCGAGCGATGTACTACTGGCTTTTCGAGGCTTGAAAGCAGAGCTTTTCATGTCAATGCCTGATCAACATGAACTGGCCCTCAACTCTTTCAACTTCAAAGGGACGTCTGCCGTGATCATCGAGGCCTCCCGACATAAGATGGCTGCGAGTACCACCAAATAAGTCATTTCATACCCTTTTTTTTTTCGTTTAGTCTCTATTTCTTTATCCTTTTTAGTTCTTTTTCCTTTTCCTATTCTCATTTATATTCTTTCTCTTTTCTTCTTCTTCATTCTTCCCTCTCTTCTCCTTCTTTTCTTCTTCTTTTCTATTCTCATATTGCTCTCTTTTCTCTTTCTCTTTTGTCTTTACTTTTCCTAATTTATTAACTATCTATCTCTTCACTCTTTCTTTTCCTTGATATCTTCTCTCTCCTTTATTCGTTTGGTTCCTTTTCTTCTTTTCTTTTTGTTGTGTTGTTGGTCTGAGGGTCAAGTTCTGCTCACGGTTAGCGAAGTTTGAAGATGTGCCCCTGGGCAAGTAAGTGGCCATGCACGGTTCAGTCTGAGAAGCTGGAAGTGCAAAGGTCGATCAAGCTCCGTGATTACGCCTTTTCACAGGTCGCTGATGAAGTCCATCATCTGCTGCCAGTGGGACACGTACTTGGCGTTGTCACCCTTGGGTGGTGGCTTCACTGGGTTGAGACAAGGGGTGCCTTCACTCGTCACGGAAAGCCTTTCGACGTACATTTAAGACAGGGAGGCATCACCTTTGTCTTCCTGAATAGTGCTTTCGACAACCCTCCACCCAGCATAGATACACCATCGAAGTCGACCTCCGGTGCATCCTCTAGAGATCCGGAACGATGCTCTTCGTTATTTAGACACACTGGTAGCGTTGGTCTAGCCAAGACAGTCGCCGAAGGGCGCCTGAAGGTGCTAGAGGACGCGATCACCAGGTATGTTCCTCCTTTATATCTTCCTCTTCCTCTTCCTCTTCCTCTTCCTCTTCCTCTTCCTCTTCCTCTTCCTCTTCCTCTTCCTCTTCCTCTTCCTCTTCCCCTTCCTCTTCCTCTTCCCCTTCCTCTTCCTCTTCCCCTTCCTCTAACCAAGCAACCAGCGTTGGACGTCCCCCAACGCCAGCGGAGGGAGCTGGCCAATCTTCTTTCACAGGTTCCTCGGCCACTCTTGAATCGATCCCAAGCTGTGTGAACAAGGATTCCCAACTCAATGGTTCCTCTCCTTGAGAGGCCAGCAGGCGGCAACGCTTGAAGAGCTCAAGACCGTAGCGACCACCGAGCCAACCAATGAGACAAAGGATGTCCACCTGGCTGTGCTCGAGCTTTGCGCATACCTCGGCCACGCGGAGCTACGTCAGAACAGCTCCACGACAAGATCAACAATCTGCGACACGGGCGGCCCGGCCAGCAGTAAGGTCATGCTTTGCGTGTGCGGTGTTGTCTTTCGCCTTTCAGGTCAGCGCTCTCCCTATCTTGCTGCCTTGCACTATACGAGCACAGCTCACCGCCATCAAGACCAGACCAGACCGTCCACCCGGCCGACCCCCCTACCGGCCACGGTCCGCAAAGTTGCTATGCAAGGGGCAACCTTGCGCTCTGCGTGAGGTAGTTCTGGTAGGTAGGGCGGCAGGAGAAGGAGTGCGTCGGAATTGTGTACACATATTGATGTGTACTTGTCGGTCAGGTGGTTGATCTCGCGAAATAACAGGTTTGGCAGCGGCAGCTGCAAGCCTTGGTACATTAGTCTCTGACTTTGGGCAGATAACAATGAGTACAAGACAAGCCTACGTACTACAGTGGGGGCCGGGAGAGTTGTTCGGGCTGCACAAGCCCGACTCTACGTGACCCGGCGTGCGCGTCCAGGCGCTGCGGGTCAAGAGAACTTGGCGGCGGTATCGTCCTTCGGCCGTGGTATTGGTGTCTGGACTTGTCCATCTTCTTTTTGGAGATTGTCGGCCGCGTACCTAGGCTCCCGAACAGGAACACGCTGCGCCAACCTCGGCATGTCCCATTATCCGCCAGCTTTGAACGCCATTCCCTAGTCCAAGTTTCGCCAACACTCACCCGCCGTGGCACCGAGGCGACGACCGAGTTTCACTTAGGACGCTGGCAGTCTCCTGTGCGTTGGCATCATGGGGCAGCATTGTTTGAACATCAGTAACTTTCAAGCCAATCTCCAAACCTGCAACATCCATTGCTTCAACACCATGAAGTAAGCGTGCAATGGGTACCAAAGGACTGGTCAATGTCAAACCAAACCGATCCCTGCCCGCCCCTTACCCATCCATCCATTCATCATTCATATCGACAAGCGAGCGAGCACAGAGCTAAACAGGTATGCAGCGAAATATGGAGACCCAGGTCCCAAATAGACAAACAGATTTGATGAAATCATTTCGTTCATGCCCAGTCCTATCCATCTCGCCCCGTCCCATCTAAACCATGCCGCCCCATTGCCATCACAAGATGGACTGAGCCGACTGAAACCGACCCTTTTCCAACCTAATCATACGTACTCCCGATGTTCCCAAGACAATAATGACATTGAGAGAAGGCACCAAACGGTGAACAGCAACAGTGTCAACACGATCAGTTGCGCAAAATAGATCAACCAAAAAAGGCAATCTGTTAACGTATGTACACTTTCACATCACAAACAGAAGATTGGTATCTGCTCGCCCATGAAAGCCGCCCATGACACGAACAAGTCAGCCGCACGAACATACTTATGAAGACCCAACAACATCAAGAGCACGTAATAATGCCTTCTGACAACTTACCGAGAGGGTGGCTACACGAGAGCTGTGGCTTCTGGGTGTAGCGGGTCTGCAGCTCGTCGCGGATGCTGTTGAGCAGCTGGACGTAGCTCTGCTGCGGGTTCTTCTTGAGGGCCGTGATGAAGGCCCAGGACATGGCGCCCGTTGCCTGGGAAGCGATGGTCGCGTCGGCTCTGGAAGGTGGGGCCAAGTCAGCAACCCCCGAAATAAGAGAAGTAGATATCATATATTGTATCGGAAAGAATGAGAAAAGAGGGCACGAACGAGGTTTGATCATCCTTGCTCCCAGAGAACATAATGACATCCGCCGGCGACGTCTTGACGGCCATGGACCTGGCGTAGGCATCCTCGCTACTGCTAGCCTTCTTGAAGAAGCCCACGATATTGTTGGCCACGCCGCCCAAATCGCCGCGGGTGTACGCCGACACGGCGCCGAGCAGACCCTGGCCGGCCTCCTTGGCGAGATTCGGCTCCTTGAGGATACCCTGGGTGGAGTAGATGTAGGGCAGGTCGAGGGCCGTGCCCGAGTGGCACGAGTCGAAGATGGCGGTGAGGCGCACGCCTGCCTGCAGCGGGCGTACCATGATGCGGTGCATCTCGTCGTCGGTGATGTGCCCATTTTGCCGGAAGTCGACGGGGTAGATGACCTCGTCGTAGCCGTCTTCTTCGTCGCCATCGAGGTCCTTTGTTTGCCCGCCGTGACCTGGGACGAATTCAGAATCTCGATTCCCTTGTGAGGTACACTAGAAGGGGGCTTACCTGAGTAGTGGAAGAAGAGCGAGTCGTTTGCATGAGCGTCCTTGACGAGCCAGTGCATGGCCCTCAATATATTTTGCTTCGTCGGCTGGCTCATGGGGTTCTGCTGGTCATCCGTGAGGATGACCATATCCTCGCGCTTGTAGCCAAAATTCTCGACGAGGTATGCCGACATGTTCCGGACGTCGTTAATACACCCCCTGAGCTGGCCGCGCTGGTTGAAGTAGTTGATGCCGATCAGCAAGGCTTTCCGGCGCCCCGTGCATTGCGAGTACTGGAAGGCAAGGCCGTATGATCCGTGTCCGTAATGCTGGGTTGCCTGGGGCGGGGGCGGCGGGGCGCTATGATTTCCGTGGACGTACGAGTTCGAATTCACCGTGGGCATGGCTGCGGTCGTTAGTGTGTGGAATCCTCCTGCTGCATGGCAAGTTCAATGCTCACTAGGTCTCACATAGTTATTAGGGGCAGCCGGCGGGGGACGATATCCCTGGTTGGGCGGTGGCTGGCAGAGAGGGTTTAGTCTGCGGCATCTGGTATCCGGGACTTGGTGAGACGAACCTGGGGGTAGCCATAGGCCGGGCCCGGTGGTGGTTGTTGGTAGCCATATCCAGGGCCTTGGGGTGGAGGGGGCTGCGGGTAGCCGTAGTTTTGTGGCCTTCATTATAGCAACAACAACGTCAGCCTCCCAATCCAGAGCAGTGGATGGCCGGTGGTGCGTACGGGTAGTATCCGTATTGTTGCTGCTGCTGTGGAGGGGGTGCGTATCCACCAGCGTTATAGCTCGCACCAGGGTATCCGGACATATCCAGACGGACAGTCGGCAGCAAAATGGAGCTCGAGCGAGGGAGGCGGGTCTGTCAGGTGGGCGAGCGGCCAAAGTTGGCCTCGCGGGATGGACTGGCGGCGGCGCCGAGCGGCGGAAGCAGGAGGTGCGCGGCGCAACTATAATGATAACTCGAATGGCGTTGATTTTATCGGGCTTCTGGCGGTCGAGTTTTGTGCCGGAGCGGAGTCGAGGCGGTGGAGAAATGCGGGGAGGGACGGTTCCAGGTTGGGATTCGAATCGAGCGGGAGCAGATCGAGGATTGGATGCCAATCTATTGGACGGCACTGATGAGCATGGCGACAAGCACGGATGCAGAAGAGAGGAAAAGACAGTGGAAATGGCGTGCAGATGAGGCAGGACTGATGAGACAACGAAATACACGGCAGAAAAGCCGACACGCGAGCCCAACAGAGCGGTCAAGGATCATGGATCGACCAGGGCTTGAGCTTGGGTTGCGTTCACCACGTCGACGAGAGCTTGGTTGCTCGGGTTTGTGGAGACTGGAGAGGCTGGGGCATCGACTTTTGATGCCGTACCTCTACCGTGACCTGCAGGGACAACGACGAATACGTTGCCGCGGACTCTTTGACAGCCCGCTGCCCACACGATTGGGACGCTCGCGCTGAATGTTCAGGCGCGTATGAAAAGTTGGTTCGGGTGGGGGATCCTAAGATGTTCCAGCAACATGGAAACTGCGAGTCTTTGAACCTGGAAAGAAGTGCGGGCGGAAGGCGCTTGAATGCGGAGTGGGGTATCCGTAACCAGCGTCAGGCACTATTGGACATCGGAATCGGTGGGGTGAGGTGGCGCCAAGGCCATGTGGCTGCGGGTCCTGACTGAAACAGAAACCGAGATCGTCCACGTCTCCCTCGCCCGCATTTCGCCGCAAGCGACCTGAGTGGGATGCTCAAAATTCCAGAGCGAACTTGATTCTTGACTGGCCGCGTATAAGCGGGCTGTCCCAGCCGAATTTCTCGGCTGTCGAGGAGTTTCAGCTGCCACTCTACCCACTCAAGCTCCGCGGGTTTCGACTCGCCACTTCCGTGGCACACCTGGAGGCTCAGCTGAGTCTTGGCTTGAACTTGGCCTCGACATCGGCCGCCGTTCGGCCGACCACCGACCACCGACTATCGAAACCAACGATCACAGCCTGGAAAGGCGGCCCTGAAACGTCTGAAGGCCGATTTCTCCCTGCTTGGACCCGGTTCGAACTCAGGAAGCCGAGGACATGAGGGGGGCAATTCACACAAGCCGAAGCTCGGCATAGCCGTCAATGTCTGCCAAACTACTCCGTACCACACGCATCCCAACCTCGAACAGTTGATGTGCAAGGGTGCAGGCCTCCATTGGAATGTCCCTGAAAGTGTGCGCTTGAACTCAGCGACAGCTGGACGGAATTTCGCCTCCTCAGGTACAGCGTCATTTGAGAATCGCTCTGGCGGAGTACGAATCGACGCCATGAGTAGCGACACGTCGGGCGGTATAAGCCCCCAAGACGGTTAGCGCCAGATGACATCGACGATACTCAATTGGACGGCGGGCAGGGAGCTCGAGAGTGGAGCTGCTGAATCGTATCCTGAGCCACTCACGTCTTCGAGAAGCAGCAGGGGTTGAACGGAGCTTAAACATGGAGCTTGGGCCAATATCAAGAGCCAAATCATGCTCAATGAAAACGCCGCTGCAAGATTCTATGTAGGTTCAAAGCGACCCCGCAGCCCAGTTTTTATGTATTAACGGCGAGATGGCTCGAGATGGTGAGTACGACTATCAGTCGCTGGTGGAGCAAGCTGAGCGCGAAGCGTGTAGCGGCCGAGGCAGCTAAAAGGTTCGCACGCCAGGCTGCTCTGCACTGCTGCGGTCCCAGATCCAAGCAAAGAAGGCCTCGACTTACAACCCAGTCATCCTCACATCCCGCCGGTCCCCCTTCTCCTCGACCCTCTGGCCGTCCTGAGCCTGCTCCCGCATCATCCAAGCCATCATGCTCCAAACAAGCTGCATAGCCTTGACCCTCTCCTCAACCAGAAAAAAGTCAAACCACGGGCTCCGCCAGACCTCGAGCCTGCCCCAGCTCCTACTCCTCCTGTCATCCTCCTCTTCCCCAGACAAAACAGCAAGCAGCCGATCTGGCACGCGGACTCGCACGATGCTGACGTGGTGCAGCAGCGCGCTGACAACAAAAATGTCGTCGTAGTCGGCGCCGCGGGCGCGCCCGATGGCCTCGTACCGCGTCTTCTTGTCCCACGTCGCCGCCGGCGGGCGGATCATGCGGTAGTTGTCGTACATGGGGTGATTGCCCGATTTCTTGAGCCGCTTGGCCCCCTTGGATGACCCGCTACTGCCGCTGCTGTTGCTGCTGCTCGTTGAGATGCTGTTATTACCCCTAAGAAATATATTCCTACTGCCCAAGGGTCGTTGCGGGAGGGACGATGAGTCGGGCCTTGACGATGAAGAGGATGCCGAAGAAGGAGAGGAAAAAGAGGAGGAGGAGGAGGGGGAGGGGGAGGAGGAAGGGGAAGGGTTCTTTGGCGGCGGCGGGGCGTCCTTGTCGCCGATGGTGTCGCCCGCGCCCGAGAGCATCTCCACCTCGCGCCCGATGGGTCCGCCAGGGCCGCCGCCCCAGCGGGGCTTGGTGCACCACCAGGCGTTTTCACCGATGCGCTTCTCGACGCGGCCCTCGCGGGCGCGGTGCTGGGCCGTGATGAGCGCCGCCACAATCTCGCGGGCGAGGTCGAGGGTCGACTCCAAATCCGTGCCAGACGATGGCGATGCAGACTTGGCTGGCGGGAAACTCGTCGTGTGCCGCGCGCTCACGGCCGCCACCGGCCCTTCAACGATGCCCGCCCTGGCGGCTTCCCGTGTGTTTGGAGTGCGAAAAATGAAGGTGCATCCCGATGTGAAGTAGGAGCTGCGCGTCGAGCCGGCGGGCGTCTTGGATGTGATGTGGAGCCGTGGCTCGGTGCGAGGGGCCGACACGTTGCAAGTGAAGTCGTAGGCTACCAGCTTCAGAAAGGCCGTGATCATACTCTGGCGGTAATCGACGGGCATCTGGTGGCCGGCGCCGGTGCGGTAGTAGGTGGCCGTATCGGTGTCGTTCTGGGGAGTCTTGTCACACTCGGCGGAACTTGCTCCGTTCTCGGCGTTTCCCTCCTCGTCCTGACCAGGCTTGGGCTCAGCCGCCGGCGGCTGTGAGGTGTCTTCCCAGAAAGCAGAGAACAGCTCCAAGTGCCGGTAGAACTCATAGGCATTCCCCAAGCGTGCTTGCGGCTGACCCTTTGGAGGAGGCAGCCTACGAATAGTTCGGTAGGCCGCTTCATTAGGGATAGAGAGCTCTCGTCTTCGTTCCAGGTATGTCTGGCACCCGGGCGACAGGTTGCCCGTATTCAGCCGTCTCCTCGTGCTCTCATTGGTAGCATGCACCTCCTCGGTCGACAGGGCGTGCCAAGCGTCGAAGTCTGGAATGAAGGCCGGGTCTGGAATCAGCTGGGCCGGAGCCGCATCCGGGACCACGTGGACTCCGAGAGCTTCCAAGTGCGACGTGGAGACCTCGGTCGGCCGCACAATGCTCTGCAGCACCGAGGTGAGCGGCTTTGCGGGCTTGTCGGAGCCCGGCTTCCCGTCAGAGACTTGTGTGTAACACCGGGGAAAATTGATAGGGGTCGGCGGCGGGATTTCCTTTGGCGGCTCCCTCGAGGCCCCCGACACAGGGACTACACCGTCGAATTAGAACGCAGCCGCTGACTTATAAGGGGGAACAATTACGGCCCCAGCCGGCACCGAAGACGATCACGCGGAACAGCGGCCGAGGGGGGTTTATCAGACAACAGCTAATTGCCGCATGAAAGGCAAGACAGACAATGGCCAGCTAATGGCCGATTCGCGGTAGCGCAATGGGTAGAATGACAGTAGGGCAGCAAAGCAGGTGTGCGATCGTGCCAGTAGCAATGAGGTGAGTGAGGTTGACGTGAATGATCTCATGTTGCACAAGATCCACGAAATTCGATACCGCGGAGTACGGATAAAGTGGGCAGAGATCCATGAAACGAGAAAATGTTCCACTTACGCATAAACGTGAGATTCCCAAACATTTTGCCTCTTGGGTTTGAAATGCGCCCGTGAGGTGAGCGGGACCACCGATCAGTGGGTATAGTTCCTGGTCGGCGAGCTCGGAGGCGGAAAGGATGAATGGGAATGAGTCGGATCACGGTTGGTACTGTAGTCTTTCTCGCTTGTGGTGCTGTGTTGCCTGAGGCTAGGTTTAAGGAGCGAGATAGTCAGTACCGGCAATCCTAAGGGACAGGATTTACACAAGTAGGTACGGCAATATTTCAAGATGTCGCACTTGACCACGGGGGCAGGACTCGTCTGGTATTATGACTAGCCGCTCACAGCCGAGCGCCGCGGGAACGGCGGTTTAGAGAAGGATAGATCAACGGCCTCGGTCTGCGGTCGAGCCAGAGGGGTCATGAGAGTGCCAGTGGGTGCGAGCGGGGCAACCAACAATGTTCGCTGGCATTGCATGAGGGTGGATAGCGTCGCTTGTTGCGAACTGCTGTGGGCCGTGCAACCCTGGAACCCAGGCCGGGGCCGGGGCGTTCAGGGAGCCGCGACCTACCACAGTAACCCATTGATGAACTAAGGTATCCGTACCTGTTAATGTTGTCGTGTTTGAGCATTGAGGTCTTGGTCTGTTGGTTTCCTTCCATCTTCTCCCATCTGGGAGCTGAGGACAGTGGGCTATGACATGAGCTTCTATTACACGTACACGCCCGAATACTACAACATTCCGTTTGTTTCAACGCTGGTCAATGGGATCCAAACACGGCAGCTGTCCCAGAAGATGTCCGTTTTTTGGAATCCCTTGGCACGGAGCAGGCAACCCCAAGCGTTACATCGTTTGCATTCGCTGTGGTTCCCCACGAATAATCCAGAACTTCGAAAGGGATGACAGGAACGAATTGTACTTGACAGTGTTCATCTCATGAACCAATGCTTGGCCAATTGACCGCATCATCCAGTGAGGATCCGGGCATGCCTGGTTGCTTTCTAGGAAGTGTTGCTAAGTTTCCTGACTTTGACGGCGAAGGTCGATGTCTCGTGGGGATGGAAACCCCACCAGCTCGGGGTCTCCGGTTCCCGCACCCGTTTGCATCAGACGCGTCGCAGGACAGGGATCAACCATACCAGGGCGAGAGGTGCGAACCCTGGACAAGAGCCTCAACGGGAATCTCTGTGGAGATTGGGTCGGATGACATGCCTTCCTGGGAGGTGGTAGCCAATGGCAGCGCCTCAGCGACCCTCTCTCCGGCCCATCAAACGACTTACAGAGTAGGCACCCGGCCTACTGCCCGTGCTGCTCGTCAGAAGTCACCCATTTTGGGCAAGCTGCCGCCGAACGTGTCGATCAAGTCGCATCCGGTGGTTCGACGATGGATCATATGCGCCATCTGTGCCCAGGGTACTCTCGCCGCTAAGCCGCCCTTCCACGTCATGGCCTCTGCCATCGCTCTCTCGTCTCCGAACCTCAGATCTCTCTCACTGTCTTCTCCTTCCCCATAGTGGTGGCCGGCTCATCAGCCATGACGATGAGTTTCTGTTTCCGAGTTTAGCCGGGTTGGTGTTGCTCATCTTTCTTTTCGATAGGAGCCTCTACTCTTTCTTCCTTTCTGGAGATCTTGATGAGTTTGCCATGACTTAGACGGCCCCAGTGGCCATCATTTTATTCACTTCTCTAGAACGGCTTTTTACTTGTACTTGATATTTACCTTTGCAGCGACTGGCCTCGCGGATAGGGTTACTGAGGATAGAGTGGGAGTGAGAGATGGCCTCAAGTGGGCTCCCACCGGGAGCGTTCCTGACCACCATCGAAGGGCGGCGCTGTACGGCAGTTCCCAGAGTGGCAGCGGCCTTGTCGAGCTCGAGCAGTGCCACCAGTAGTGTCAGCAGGGTGACTACAACAGCCAGCCTGGCCAGAACAACGCCTGCAATCCAGACCACGGCGCTGGCAGCGGCTCCGGCCGCAGAGATTGACACATTCATCGAGCAAAGCCCAACAAGTACGACCAGCTCCTCCTTCATCACCACTACAAGCACCTCCCCTAGTCCGGTACGGATCATTCAGGCACAGGATAGTGAGCCGGATCCTCCGGCAAGCCCACCGCCGCCTCTTCCTGCCGGACTTCCCCTCACGTCCGGCGTTACTCCCCAGTCTTTCACTGCCGTTGCAGACGCAGCCTCTCCGCGAGTGTCTGTACCACAAAGCAGTCAAGCTGATGGCAGCGTAACAGCTCCCATTACAGGCACCTTAGCCGGCGAATCAGAGGGCCCCCCTGCCGAGACCTCGGCTCCTGACCTACCCCAGGAGCCAGCAGCCACGCCTCTTCTCACTACCGTTGGGGCGCCACAGACACCAGCCGACAGCCCCGTTCCCAAAGCCACGGGGACGACGTCAGCAGACCCAAGTGTGGCTGCAATTCCCACCTTGAACAACAATGCGGTCCAGTCGACAGTAGCTGTGGCCGGCGGTGTTATCGGCGGTGTCATCGCCATCAGCCTTCTAGCCTTCTTTATCTGGTGGTGGCGGCGTCGGCTGCAGAGGAAGAGAAGAAGCACCCTTCTGACGCCGCTCGATACGGTGCCGTCATTTGACCGCGGCGAGAAAGGGGGCTATGTGATCGCGCGTCGGAGTATTGGGCCGACCCCGGTGACGGAGAAGTTCAAAGCAGCACTGGGGCAGAACTTTAAAAGGCTTCGAGGCCACATCAGAAACCGGACCGCCCCTTCTGTGAACCTAGACCGGGGCACCTCGCAGTTTGTGGATGCGGCCAGGGCGCAGAGACGTGAGATCTCGAGCGACATCGGGGCCGAGCTGACAGTGAAGGATCGTTTGAGGAACTGGTTGGTAGGGTTGGGCATGAAGTTCAGCCAGGGGAACAACAACGCCCAGGAGAGAAACCCGAGCGTTACTAATGAGAAGAAGGCCGCCTCCAGCTCCCAGCCCGACTTCCTGACGCTCGTCAACATGAGCGACCAGGAGCTCGACCGCGAAGCCCAGCGACAGCGAGCCAGCATCGCGCGCGCGAATGGAAGCGCCAGTGACAGCTTCCTGGGCAAGTTGAACCTCAATTTCGGCAATGACAACCCCTTTAGCGACGCCAACGCCATCGCCCACATCTCAGCCAAGCCCGCGCCCCTCGCAATCGGCAACAGGTTCAGCGACAGCAACACCATTCTCGAATCACCTCGCGCGGCAATGCCCAAGCCCGCCACCTACGTGGCCGACATCCGCCGCTCGCGCAGCAACAGCATCGCCACCTCAACGGTAGGGGCGCGCCGCCAGCCAAGCGCAGTCTACAACTACTCCGCCGGCGCCATCCGCGACAGCACCACCTCGCTCGGCTCGATGGCCACGGCAACAACCGCCGGCAACCAGCGCACCAAATTCCGCTCCGACCCATTCGATCTCGAACGGCCCGAGTTGTTGGGCGGTCCCATTCCCACCACAGCCACTACTACCATCCCTGTAGCAGCCATAGCCACGATCACAGCCCCCAACCGGAACCAGACAGCCACGATAGACGCCTACACCCACACTCTTAACCGCCCCCCCACGAGAGCACGCACAAGAGAGCAAAGAGAAAGAGCAGAGTCCTTCACGTCGCACTACTCAAAGTACTCCAAATACTCCTCGGGCATCAGCATGCTGAGCGCCGTGGAAAACATGGGCGAGTGGAGCGATCCCGGCCCCGACGTCGGGCCCGCCGCCGCCGCCGCTGCTGCTGCTGCTGTGAGGGGTGATCAAATCCAACTCCAACCCCGAAACCTAACCCCCCAAAGCCCAGGTCAGGGGCTCGGTCGTCAGGGTCAGGGTCAGGGGTGGGCAGCAACACAGGTGCCGGATGGGAATGGGGTTGGTGCTGTGCAGGGGGGGAGGGAGAGGCTTGCGCTTGCTCGCGAGCGTGAGGGTTCATCTCCTTGGAATGGTGATGTTTTGGAGAGGCGGAGGATGAGTGGTAGCAGTTTGGGGAGCGTTGGGAAGGCGATGTGAAAAAAGGGGGTTGCTTTCATTTGTTTTACGGGGTAAAACCAATGTGTGATGATGTAGTCGAACGTTGTTTGTTCCGCGCTGTGCTTTATCGAGACGGATGGATGGGCGTTTTGGGCGGCTCTTGTATGTGGTTTGTTTTCGTTGTCCGTTCGTTTTGCTGCCGTGGCTCACGAACCTTGAGGTCTGGACGGCCGGCAAAGGGGAATTGTGTTGGATTTGGCTTCGTACCTTTCCTCTGCCTCTGCATACACTCGAGGCTTTGACGGAAGTCGGCAGCCTTCTCGAGTATCTGCTCCAGAACGACCATGTGCGAGAGGTACGGTTGCCTTCGCCTTCTCTGCATACCAGTTATCTCTACGTAGCAGGACCCACTGATGGGCATGTCTCACTTAGTTGCAGCGGATGGTACCTACGGCATCGGCATATGGGACGACAAAGGGGCGGTCCATCCTGCCGGTGAAAGATGGATTGCTCCACTGTTCCGTGGTGGGCTGAAGGTATGGATGAACGAAGGAATGAGGGATGAGATGTGAATACGGGATGAAGAATACCCTGACGCTCGCTTGATCGCAGTTCTGCCTGCGCCATACACAGTAGGAATTGACTCGTTCCCCAATCATCTTGATTGGTGTCTTGCTAGGCTGCACACGACGTGATTTCTTCGCTTCATTGTGGTGATATTTACAAGTTCAGAGGTAAACCATCAATGGCAGGCCAACACACCACTGTCATCAGTGACATGACTGACCGCAAAATTGCGCATTTATGCATTTGCCACAAGCGGTCCCCAATGGCATAACCATCCGCTTCCACAGTATCGCCGACCACGTCAGCCAAAGGCCTCCCCCTCCAGCTGAACTCAGCTCTCATGGTGTCGAGTGTGGCTCCACACCACCCACTTCTCGAACCTCTCATTGGCTTGCTGACTACACCCTCCATGAAACGCGAACCCGACTCGAAAATTCGCGGCACGCGTTCAACCTGCGCGGGGTTCCTCGGCAACCAGCTTGATTGGCCTGCAGCCACTTAAGCTCTCTTCCAACCAACAACCCAAGGTAAACACACAATATCCCCGCGTTCCTGCAAGTGTTACCCGCCCTGTCACTGTCGCGGTCGCTGATGCTGTTGCTGCTGCTGAAATCATGCCGCTCTCTCATCCATCGTACACTCGATATTCGATTCCTGCAAAGCTCGTCCGTCTCTCCTTGTCGAACAAACCCGGCTCAAATCCAGTCCCAAACCAACTGAGCAAATTAGTCGTAAAAACAAAGGGAATTGTGTCGCAAAACAGTCACTGTTTCCATTGCTCGCTCGGATATATTGCGTGATATCATGTAACGTTGCTGACAACAAACGTGGTGGTGGTGATATGGTGGTGGTTGCGACAGTCTCGAGGTGGGATTAGTGAATTTGGTGGGGGGGGGGGGGGGGCGGTGTGACCGCCAGAACTCCAAGGCTTACGAACGCTGAAATGAAGGGATGATGAAACAAGGTGAAGGAATTCCGTAGTCGCCGACAGATATATCGCGACTGTACCGAACACGTAGGGAGTATGAGACCCGAGGAATCATAGGGATAGAGTAGACCGCATACCCCCGGCAAACATGAAATCTGCTCGAGTGTGAAAGTCGTCTCCTTCAGGAAGGCAGGTCGTCAAATGTGAGCCGCCTCCTGGCCACACTCCGCGGAGTCTTGGCCCCTGCCAGCGTGGCGGGCGTCTTCCACGGCTTCTGCGCCGGACTGGGCGTCATGTGGAGGAACTCTGCAAAGTCGAAGCCGAGGCCGGGCGTCGACGGGTACGGGTTACCGCCGCCCGGCGTGGTCATCATGGACGAAGGCAGCGCCAGCTTGTTACTCTTTGGAGGCGGCGTCGACGGAGGATCCATCCTGTTCCTGGGCGGGTTCGCCGGCGAGGGCGAGGCTGCCAGGTAGAGAAGCAGGTCCGCACCTTCCTCGCCGGTCTTGGACTCGTTCGCTGCTGCTTGCCTATCCCTCGGTTTCTTCATCAAAGCGCGGCTCCGCATTGGGGGTGTGCGAGGTGGTGATACTCGGATGTTCATGTGGCTGGCGTGGAACGAGTGCGTGGGCAGGTCGTCCTCGTCGTCTGAGTTGGCGGCGTAGTTTGTCGAGGCAATGACATCGCTGATCTGCCTCGACCCCGAGTAGAATGACAGATCAGGGCCAGTCGACGTCGTGAAATGCTGCTGCCGCCTCGGTTTTATCGGTGACGACTGGGTGAAGCTCGCAAAGGACCGGTGCGCAGTCGGGGACTGTCGGAACCGCTTGCTTGGACTCGAGAAAACGGGGTCATCGAACGAGGCCAAGTAGGTGCGCTTCCTGTGCCCGGTGCTACCGTTGCTGGACCCAATGGCATCCGAAAACAGCGGGGCTTTCAGCGGCGAGCTCATGAGGGCCCTCGACGGGTATGGGAGGTCGGAGGCACTCGAGGAGGAGTCGGACAGGATATCGCCGTCCTGCAACCGCCTGCGGCGCATCTCGAGCTCGAACTTGGGCTCGATCATGTCTAGCGTCTCGTTCACCAGGTTGTGTTTTGTCTTGAACTGGGCGAGGGCGAGACGGTTCTGTAACCTCCTGGCCATCTGAGGCAGGGTGAGTGCTCGTCAGCGAGACATCCCTTGGCAGGGATGCAGAAACAGTACCTTGCTGATTTCGGCCCTCTTGAGCACTCGATCCGCCACAGCCTCGGGCTGCTTCTTCAACGGCGACGACATCATCATGCTAGCAGAGTGGTTTGCAAATACATGCAGAACGTCGACTCCGTTCTGGTTATTGTCGGTAGAGGGAGCTCGAGGCAGGAGAGTTGAGGTCTTGGTGATTGGACCGAGGAAGGCACCGGGCGCCTAAGTATCTTCGAGGGGGTTTGTCGGCGGCCACAGACGGGTATCACGATGCAAAAACGTGCATCAGACTGGCTTCTGGCTGGCCACTTATTCAGCATATAAACGTCGGCGCAAGGCGGGGAGGAAAGAGAGTTGGAGGTTGTCGGGGACCGGAGAGCAGCAAATTCACATTCCTGTGGAAACCGGCAGATTAAGCTGAGCACTGGCCTCCCACCCTGGTTTGGTCTGTTAGCGCTGAACTTAGGTAGGAAATTTACCTTGGACGTTACAGGAGCTCTTATCTTTCTTATTCCTCTACTTAACGTTATATCTTGTGATCTTCCTCCATATCATTCCTTTCATGCTCCTCGATATCTTTCCCTTCAGCTTTTTCATCGCTTCTATCCCCGTCTAAATCCTTCTTTTCATCGTCCTCTGTATCTTCTTTCATTTTCCTCATATGTTTCTAATCATCTTCCTCTTTATCTACATGTTTCTTTTCATCATCTACATCTTCCTTTTATTTTCCGCCATTTTATTATCTCTATTCCTATCATCTCCATTGCACATGCCTTTGCCTCTGTTTTTTTTTGTCTTATTGCCTTCTCTTCTTCTTTGCCTTGCTTCGTACATTCCAGTTCTCATGTTAAGTTCTTGGCTGGCGCCGGGGCCTCGTACCGCGCTAACAAATACACCGGGGTCGGATTGTACTGGTTGCAGCTGCACGACACAGGGCGAATTTGCGGCAAGCAAGCCAGGGCCAGGGGCGTGCTGTAGCCAGCAACCGGGAAATCTGTTGGTTGCATTGTGTGTCTCTCATCAGCAGGCAGTTCTATTCGATGCCATGTCCACCGAGCAAATAACACTCAACGGGACGGACAGGAACTGGAGGCTCTGCCGTGGTCCTGTGTTGGAGTCCCACCCGAGCTCGATGACAAGTACTGAATTGGCCCTCGAAAGAGTCGAGAACGGAAAAGTTCACGCAAGGCCGTCGGCGAGCATTCCAGGAGCTTTCAAAGACCGTCAATACCTACATAAACCAAAAACCGGCACCATGGGGTTTGCCGTCTTGTCGCTTGCGAGGATTTCGCTTGGCGTCCTGGGCGACGACATCATCGCTGTCCCGATACAAGCTGGGTCTAAGGTTCCACAGTTCAAGGCAGCTTTTTACTGATGGGCTGTCCAGTCGCAATTGGAGCTTGAATTGGGTATAGAGTAAGGAATTGCTGGACACCAGAGACACCTCAGCAGTCTTTAAAAGGTACTTACCAGATGCTTGACATTCCCGAAGCATCATGTATCACCAGCAGTGCATTACCAGTTGCGGGGAGCAGGCAGTCATCGGGTGGTATCTCAAGTTATAAAAAGCCCCACGTGTGTTGGGCGCCCCGAAGCACGCTTTCGGAGGATGTCAGCATCACACGTTAGCGTGCCCTTCTGACACAAACTACGGGCTCACCTTGATTTCGCCGAATCGGGCCACTGGGGACTCCTCCACAAGTGCCCTCCCAGATCGCATCATCTTCCCCATGTTCGCTCGCTCCAGGACCGTCTAGGTAAGCCAACACCAACTGAGTCTCACAGGAGGCGGCGGTCTGTCTAACCAGAAAAGACCAAGATGAAAATTTCCTGGGGAGCGCCCGGTCCCAAAGTGGAATAAGCAATCAACCATTGAGAGGTTTGGCGACATGTATTCAGCGCCCGCTGTTACAGTTTGGGCGGAGAGTTGGGAAAATACGGTATCCAGCGAAAACCCAAGGTATCAGTCACCCATGCGGCTCTCTTGGATTCCCATTGCTCCTGCCTCTCCTTTGTCGATTTCATTTCTCCCGATCCTCCCAATTCGCTTTCTGCGTTTCAACACGTTCTCTCATATTCCGGAAATCTGGAACACTGGCAGGGTGTGCCGCACTCGTCCAAATTCCTTGTTTCCAGCTGGGCCTCACTTCCTGGTTCCACCCATTTCAAGTTTCCTGCTCACTAGCGCAACGGAAGCTCCGTCTCATCATCACAGACAAGGCAGAAACAAGACGCAGAGAAAAAAAGTCGCAGGTTCGATGCGATCGCCGAGTCGTGGGTCCTGCCGCCGCTCTGCTTGGTTTCCATCCAACTCATTCGCTGTGATCGACGGACCAGTTGTCCGGTTCCCTTATCTTCGGCTCCATCGCGATCGGTTCTCACCGAGACCAATCTCGAGGCACGCGGCGCATCGCCTTGGACAGAGAGGACTGGCAATTTATTCTGGCCTGCTCAGGCTATAGCTCAAACGGCCGGCCACCCAATTGACAGCAAGATGTACTTATAGCGACGTCCAATTTGAAAATATTCATCACCTACGTCATCCATCGCTCACAGGATACAACGTGCGCGCCTTGCTCAGCAGTGAGACGGCGGGCAGCCGTGACAGACCTCGATTCGGGACTCGGGCCGAGAAGCAAGGCCGGTACTTTAGGGAGCTTGACCTGCGTGTAACGGCCGCACTTTCATACATTGCGCTACCACACCTCGTTCCGCTTGATTCACGCTGCACAGCGTTGAGGGCGATAGTTCTTGTCGCCAGAGCCCCTGAGCGCTTTGGTTCGCATATATGCGACATCTCAGTCGCTCGTTCCCCCTTTGTGGTTGCCGGCTCTAGGTGAAATCCGGAGACGGCTCTCTCCTGACAACAATGCCCCGGTCATTCTTGAACTTCAAAGGCTTGCGCCGGCGGTCCAGAGCAAGCTTCAGGACCGAGCGGTCCACAAACGAATCGGTGAGCGAGTCCAGCAACAACGCGACTCCCACCAGCGGCTCCTTGACGCCCCCCTCGATCGGCGCGGAGTCAGACCTTGCACTGAATCTGCAACTCAAAGATCAACCACAGCAACCTCCTCCTGCTCCGGTTTCGAGGCCGCAGCCGCATCCGTATCCGAATGGCGGCAGTAGTCGAAACAGCGTATCTGGCATGGTCGGCTTGGGGTCCCCAATCCCAGGCGGAAGGGGGCCGAGCTTGCCTGTTTCTCAGTATTCGCCTCGAATATTCATGAAAGATGACTCATGGGTAAGTGATTCTCCCGGGTTTATGACGAGCGAGTGAGAAGAGGAAGAAGAGAAAAAGAATGAAAAAAGCTGTATGCTAACAACCAACAGGTGTATCAAAGGGTTCTTCTTGTTCATGGCACCATCGGTGACCCGCTTCAGCAGTCCGTTGATGGCACATTGACTGTGAGCCGGCTCGACGACAACTTCCCGCCTATCTCATGGCCGGTGCACGACTCTCACTTCAAGGCGCTGGTCTACTTGATGCCCGGCGCCAACCGTCTACGGTTCGACTTTTCCAGCCCCAAGCTCGCCAACAGCGGGTCCTCCAACCCAATCCACGCCTCTTACCTGACAGTTCACATGATCCCCCCCGTTGGCGCACCTCCGTTGCAATTGGCGATCCTTCTGGCCAAAGACTCGCCCGGCGCTTTTGACGCGATCCCTGCGCGGATCGACAGGGAAGGGAACGGCCTGGAGACTGCGATCCGCAAGTTCCGCATGGCTGCGTACCTGTGGCAGGCCTTTACGGCCGAGCAGATGTACCGCAACAAACTGGGACGGCGTGCTTTTAGGTTTGAAGAGGAGTGGACCACCGGCACGGCCAACCTCAGGGACAGGGAGACCGGCGCGCTCCGATCCGAAGTGCGTGTGCACATCATCCGAACCGAGAAGACGGTGGCCGAACTCCGGGATCTGAACAGGGCGCAGCAAAACCCGAATGCCACCGACGCAGGGGGTCTCTGCGGTATCACAGCAGATGCGGTGCGTGAGTACTTCAAACCGCTCCCGGGTCAGAAGCTGTACGTGTCTGTTCTGCTTCTCGACGCACACTGGGACACCAGTTTCCAGACCATTGTCGGACACGCTGCCCTGGGCGGAAATGTCGGCGACATCCACCTGGGCATATTCGGGTCGCACTGCCTGCAGAGCTACCCGACCTGTCTTGAGGAGGTAGTCCTGGCCTTCAGCGACTGCACGCCCACCGATACTCAGCACGTCGCCAACGACTGTAAAGACGCCGGAAGTTCCTGGGAGGCGGCCAACCTCGGCATTGGCGCCCACCTTCATGAAATCGGACATCTTCTTGGCCTACCCCATCGCGAGAACGGCGTCATGGCGCGCGACTACGTTACCTTCCACCGGACCTTCCTCACGCGCGAGGCGTATTCCACCCGGACCCGCTCCAAGGGAGGCCCAGTCACCCAGCAAGACGAATGCACCTGGCACCGCCTAGACTGCCTCCGCCTCCGCAGCCACCCGTGCCTCCGCCTCCCCAACGACCCGGTCCTGAACCCGGACAGCAGTATCCATGGCTGGCCCATGGAAGGAGGCAGCCTGATCGTGACGGCCGCCACGGGGGTGTCGTACGTCGAGATCTTTGCCGAGGACGACGAGGTCTGTCGTGCGTGGATCGAGTACGCGCCCGAAAACGGTGGGCCGATTCACCGCATGGTTTCGCTGAGCGAGCAGGAGCTGCGCGGTAGACTGCCCGAGGGGCCTAAGAGGAAGGGCAGATTGCGAATCTCGGTCAAGTCGTATGGCGGCGGCTCGCTGGATGTCGACGATCTCAGCAAGCTGTGCTCTAAGGAGGCGGCGTGTGTCAAGATACCGAGTGCGGTTCCGGGTTTGCCCAAGACGGCGTTCCGGGGCATGAAGCTTGGATTGTCGCGGATGGAGGGGTCCGAGGCGTGCGAGTTTGTGTTTACCAGCGCGCTGAGGCAGGATCGGGTGCTGTCGAGTGTGGTGGTCTATCATGGCTTGGCTGTGGATGGGATTGAGTTTGTGTATGACGATGATTCGAGGCAGTTGTTTGGCAAGAAGGGGGGGAAGGTGGGCGGGGATGCGTTTGATATAGGTATGCATCCTTACTCTGCTCGCACTTTTCTTCTGGTCATAGCTGATGCTGACTACTTTCTCGGGGGAACAGATGTTCGTCGCGGGGAGTATATTACGGGCTTCTTTGTCCGTTCCAGCTTCTGGATCGACGCCATCCAGGTATTGACTAGCCTTGGGAGGAAATCACCCTTGTTTGGGAACCCCACTGGCGGTGGTCCGTATGTGGCATTGATACCCCCCGGTCGTCGCTGCTTTTGGCTGACTTACTGATTGTAGTCACACGATAATACCGCCGAGAGGCTACAACATCGTCGGTGTCACGGGCAGCTGCGGTCCGTGGCTTGACGGGTTCTCGGTTATCATCTCAAAATGAGGAGGCCGTCTTCAAGCGGATTGGGACATCGGCGAGGAATCTGTCTCACGTTGCACTGGCCGTTGCGGGCGGGTACACATATCAAAAGCTGGCTGGATGAGACTCGCTCCAACGGGAACTTGATTCTTTTGGTGTGTGTGATGACTTGCTGAGTCACTTCACTCTCTCAGTTGTATGTCCGGGCGGGGCAGGCATCTTGGGCTTACGACAACTGAACGTATATAAATACCAGTTACCTAGCTTAATCCTACTTACTGGACATGCTATACCATAAATGTAATAAGCTCGACGCTGATGTTGACTATCGTGTTTGAGGGGGCAAATCTTGTACAATATTTATTCTGGACGGGAACTGACCCAGCGATATTGATGAACATGAGGACATGATCAAGTCACCCAAGACATATAATAGGTCGCAGTTATAGGGGCAGACCGAGGAATTATATGGCCACTCTCCGGTCCATCCTGGCCCATAGCGACAAGGCATCGAACACAACTTCGGGGATGACGGAGTACAATTACCATGTCGGAAAGGTACATATCCGCTTGTCCCCTTCAATCCCCCTCTTTGCTAACGAAAGGGGTATCATCCAATGTTTTGTTCGTATTGCCGATCGCGTGACCCAGTCCAGGCAGGAATATGGGATGTCGTGTATTGCAGGGCTGATTATAGATCGCTGCGGAACAACAACCTCTTACTCTTTACTTGGACCGTATTTGTTGAATCGAGGTCATCGAATCAGTTTGTCTTCTGACTGCCTCTCGCGAACAGAGACAAGGCAGTTGCGAGGTTTTCGATCCCATGTCCCATGGTCCCTTGTCTGCCAAGCACAACAAAAGCCCCTGAGCAAGGAGACAGACAAAACCGCCAAAGTAAACAAACCGTTATATTCACCATCAACGGAGTACCAGACGACCATGCTTCGCGATATGCAATTTGCCTACGCTTCTGCTAGCCTGCCTAACAGAGGTATGCTCAAGATACTTGTATCATTGCAGCCAAGACAAAACCCCAAACCAACCCGGAGAATAATGACAATGAAAACATGAAGCCGCCCAAGCAAGGGCCGGACCGGCCCGTGTCCAACACAATCGGTACATTCTGATTGCCCAACAGCAGCGAAGACCAAGATGAAGTGAACGAGCATTCCTCCACTCCATTCACAAGACCAGGAATCCAAACAACCCAGCCCATCCAACCCCGCAGCTTTCTGCCAAACAAGACATTCAGCTTGATGCTTCAACCAACGGAACACCACCACCATGACCGAATGACTGGACATATCCTAACGACCCACAAGCAGACCCAACCAAAGCATTGAATCAAAGAATAAAAGGAGACCAAACCTCAAACCCCAACCTCACTCATCTCTAACAACCCCCTCCCTCTTTGTAACCCCAGTTCCCCGTCCCCATTGTTCCCACCCCCATTCCCATTACCACTGGTAACCCGCCTAGCAACCTCAGCCCGCCATTGATCCCGCATAACTCGGATCCGCTCCTCCCTCTGCATCCCATCAAAACACCGCGCCAGCTTCTGCCGCACCCTGTCCTTTTCCGCCCAGTGGCGGGCGCCGATCTGCATGCGGACGATACACCGCACCGCATGGAGCGCGAGGCGCAGTTTCCCTTTGGACGACGATTGTTTTTGTCGTTGTTGTTGCTGCTGCTGCTTATGAGATTGTTGTTTTCTGGAAGAAGGGGTGGAAGACTGCGGCTGTTGTTGTTGTTGGCGGATGATGGGGAGGCCGTCGTCGTCATTTCCAAACGACGAACTAGACGAGCGGGCTGAGGAGGAGGGTTTGATTTCAGCGCGGATGCGGTTGATGATTGCCAGGTCGGCTTTGTTGCTGTAGTAATATGCAAAATTGGTTAGTCAGAACCTGGAGTGAAAAGTTCAGTGGGTTCCTTTGAGGGAGAAACATACCATGCGTCGCGGACCTGGATCTGCATCATCAGATACTGTTTGGCATACGCCGCGTCGCTGCGCAACTTGGCCTCGCGGTCCCAGCACGCCTTGAGCCACTCCATCTGCATCACCATGCCGCGGATCTCCTTCTCGTGCCGTTGCTCGGCGGCCTCGGCGGCTCGGATAATGGCGTCGGTGTCGACGCCGTTCTTACCCGCCATGGAGGAAGCGCGGACCAGGGCACGCTCCGCGTTCGCGGCGGCCGCTGCTGATGCTGCCTCCGCAACGGCCTTGTCCTTTTCGGCCTTGAGTTTCTTGAAATCCTTCTGCATCTTCTCGGCACTGGCCCGGTACGCGGCTCGTTCGCTGCGCGCTCGCTCGAGTTTCTTGCGCAAGGACGACTCGACGCCCATCAGCTCCTCGAGAGCCTCGCGGTGTTCCCGCAGCTCGCGGTCCAGCTTGTCAGCCGCTAGCTGTGATTCCCGGAGCATCTTGTGCAGGTCGCGGCGCTCTTCGGCCGACATGTCGCTGACACTGCTGCTCACACTATTGTTTCGCTGGTTACGTACCGCAGCAGCCAGGTCGTCCCGCTCTCGCTTATACCTGTCAAGCTTCTGCCTGTACTTCTTCAAAACCTCCTCGTGTACCGCGGCAGACTCTTCGGCGGCGGCCTGCGCATCTTCGAGCGCTTGCTCTAGAACGAGCTTCTCGTCCTCAAACTCGTCGAGGCGCTTCTGGAGCTCTCGTGCCGAAGTAGAAGCCTTGTGCTCGGCGTCGCGCAACGACCTCTTCAGGTCATGCACTGTCTGATTGGCGGTAGAAAGCTGGTGGCGAAGCTCGGAAACCTCGGCTTTCTGTGCCGACCCTCCATGGGACGACGGGGAGGCCGCAAAGCGATTCACAGTAGCCTCGTGCACTTTGCGCTCCAGGTCGGTAATCTGCCGCTTGAGCGACTTGATGGTCTCTTTCTGTGTAGCGTCGTGCTTGAGCTGCTCGATCTCCTTCTTCCGGGCAGCGGACAGCTCACGCTGGAGCAGGGAGAGCTCGCTGTTCCCTTCGCCTCCTTGCAGCGGGAACTGAGAGGTTGCCAGTTGAATCTCGTAGTCCTCGACGCGGCGCTCGAGCTCGCGGATCGTCCGTCGAAGAACAGCAAGCTCGGTGTTGTCTGATGCTTGTCGCAACTTGTTTTGAAGCTCGCGGACTTCGTCGTTCAGCCGGTCCTCCTCGGTGGCCGCCTTCTCGATCTCCCTTTCAAGGGACTCCTCAACCTTGCGACGCCTCTCAGCCAGCGTCTTGTTTTCTTCCTTAAGCCGACGCAATTCGGCCTCTAGCTTGGTCTTGGCAATGCGCAGTTCGACCCTCTCCTGGTCAAACCTGAACGTGTCTTCTCCCTGCTCGTTAAGCCGGCCAATCTCCGCCCCGAGCTTGTTACGCTCCGCCTTGGTTTCTTCCAAGGAGGCACGGACAGAGCGCAGTTCGGCATCCAAATTGGCAGAACGATCTTGCAATGCCCGGCGCTCCTCGGTGAGCTTGGCCACTTTCTCGGTAGCCTCGGCGAGCTGGAACTCGAGGCGGGCAACGTTCTCGCATGTCCGCTTAGCGGATTCCTGAGAGGCAGTTGACGATGCCTGAGCTGAATCGGTTGTTGCCTTGAGGGTGGCAAGCTGCTGCTTGAGCTGGTCGCACTCTTGGTGCGCCCGGTCAAGCTCAAAGCGGGCCTTTTCGGACTCTTCGTCGATGGTAGCCTGCAAAATCTCCACCTCGTCCTCGAGCGCTTGCACCTTCTCCTTTTTTGCCTCGCAGTCCAACTGGGACTGACGCAGCTTGTCCCTCACGGTGGATAGCTCGTTGCGCAAATCTTCCAGCATAGCTTGCCTAGAGCTCAGATCCTTCTGAAGTTGGTCGATCTGGCTGCGCATGACGGCCTCTTCCTTCTTGTGTCGCTCCGCCTCGCTCTTGAGGGCTTCTTGGAGCTTGGCCTCCTTGCTTGACAAGGCGCCCTCGGTATCGCGCAGCTTATCGATTGTCCGCTGAAGACCCGCGGCGCGCTCCTCAGCGCGGTCTCGTTCAGCCTCCAGGTTGTGACGCTCAAACTCCCATCTCTCGCTGTCGTTGTCGTAGACGTTGTCCTTCTCGCGACATTCGGCTTGGAGGTCGGATATCTCATCGTTCAGCCGTTCAATCTCGCTCTGGAACTGGTTTCGAATGTCTCGCTCGATATTGAGGGCGTTCTGCCGTTCTTGCTCCAGATTGTCCTCGAGCTCCGCAACGGACTTTTTCAGGTTGAAAACTTCCCGCTGCAGAGAGATGGACTCGTTGGTCAGAGCATCGTGGCGGGTCTGCAGGAGGGCCTTTTCGTCGGTCCGCATGTTGAGGTCGGCCTGTGCTTGCTCGAGCTTGGACTCCAGTGTCAGGCGGATATGCTCGGCCGAGTCACGCTCCTGCCTGGCCTCCCTGAGCTGACGCCTAACGTCTTCGACCTCTTTCAGCCAAGAGCCGTGGTCTTCCTGCAATTTTGCTTCCAGCGACAGACGGAGGCGTTCCGAAGAGTCGCGTCCCTCGCGCGCTTCCTTTAGTCTGACCCTCATGCCGTCCATCTCTTTTTGTTGGGCTGAGCGCTCCTCTTGAAGGGAAGTGCACTCCTGGCGGGCTCTGTCGACCTCGGATTGCAGACGGGCGATCTTCTCCTCTACTTGGCGAGAGAGACCCTTGGTGACGACGGACTTGTTGGCCATCTCCCCCTGCAGCTCCTCCAGGTCGGCCTCGGCGCGCTCCTTTTGTGAGACGGCATCCTCAAGCTTGTCCTTCATGTCATCAAGCTGCTGCTCCAATCGCCGCGCATTGGCTTCCAATTCTTCAATGGTGTCCCTGGCTTCGCGGAGCCGCTCGCCATCCTGCGCCTTCTCCTCGAGCTCCACCATGCGTCGCTGCGTCTTCCTGAGCTGCTCCTCGGCATCGTCGACTTTCTCTTTCAATTCTTCGATCTCGTCTTCATGCTGGGTGATGACGTCGTCCTTGCGTCGGAGGTCCGCCTCCAAGTCGCCAATCTCGTTCCGGAGTGTCTCGATCTCGTCATGCTCGTTGTCTTGGCTCTCAAGCTGCCGTTGCAGGTTGTCGATTTCGGCGTCCTTGTCCTCGAGCTGTTGCCGCAGCCTTTCGAGCTCGGCTCGCTGATTTTCGTCGGCGTACTTCCTCTTGGCCTTCTCCTGCATCTCAAGGATTTGTTGCCGGTAGTTCTCGAGGTCTTTTTCGGCAGTTCCAAGGTGTTTCTTGTACCTTTGGAGCTCGCGCTGCATGGTCACCTTGTCCACCTTCAACTCGGTGTTCTCCTTAAGGGCGGCTTCGCTGAAGCCGGGGCCAGCTTTCCGCAGCGCCTCCTCTAGGAAATGTATCTTGAGCTTGAGCCCGAAGTTTTCCTTCTCTATCTTGTCGATGACATTTTCTTGCTCGCGCAGCGACAGCTGGTTTCCGTCTTCAAGAGGACCCTTGGCACCTTCACGTCTCCTCATGACTATCGGGGTGGACGCGACACTACTGCTGTCCACTTCGGGGAGGGGCGTGTTGTCCATAAAGGACGATGTGTTGCGAGAGGCGCCGTACATGCTGGTCTCGCCGGCGGGCATGGGCGTCATGGACTCGTCGATCTTTGCGAGAAAGCCTGGGGTTGCTCGCGGATTCTCCTTGTCGATGCCATATCGTCGTACGCTGTTTCTAGTTGCGGACTTGAGCAGGGGAGTGAACTCGGGGCCACTCAGGCCGGCGGGGAGGTTTCGGCGGTCGTTAAACGGGGCGCGACTCCCGCGCGGGGTCTTGAGGGTCGGCCGGCCGCCGTTGCGGAGTTGTTGAAGTAGGTTCGCGTCTTTGGAGGGGCTCTGGAAGGATAGTTCCTGGGAGATATCAAAGTCGGGCTTGCGGCTAAGATATGTCGTGTCCCCCACGTTGGTGCGCGGCGTGTCGAGACCGTCGACGCCTGGTTGCAGCATCGCAGCTCAGAGTCGCGTAGGAAAAGAGTTAATGAATTATGAGGGTCCGTTCCAAACCAAGGATTATCGGCGAAGGCTCTAGTACTGAGAAGAAGGACGTTCTGTTTGTGCGGGCGAGCACAAAGCTCGGGTATCTCTGAATATTCATGAAATCGCGTAGAAGTCGCGTCTAGACTAGACGGGTCGAATTGGTAATGACCCCTGCAATGGTTTGTTTACTTCACTGGCAGAACTCAGAGGAACCTTGGTTTTAGCGTCGAGGTGGGGCGAAGGACCCTTGCTCGACCTTGACCCCACTGCGGCTTGTGCATGCGAGCGCCGGAGTGGGGTCAAGTGATTATGTCCATAATCCGTAATCCGTAGAGGTCACGCCAAGGCGCTAGACAAGGCGGATGCGTCGAAGATATTTACGGATCCGTACACACGGAAACATACCGCCAAGGGGGATCGCCGAGGAAAAAATGGAAAACGCTCCGTATATCGCTCCTAAATTCACCAAGTTTCAAACCATCACAACTACCTCAAACACCACCAAATTTATTTTTCCATAGATCCGAACCTAGTTTTATTCCTTACCACCTAACCCTAACCGCTAACATAAACTTAACCACCTAACCCTCAACCGCGGGGGGCTGGCGCCGCCCCGGTACCCTGCCCCACTTGCAAGCTTGGCCGATAACTTCGGATCCGTACTAGAATATAAAAACACTAGCGCCTTGGCGAGACTTCTATGGTCAACACCATTCAGCAAGAGGTCATGCCCTTAGACTCGATCTCACTTCAACAGTTTCCATGAGAGTGGATCGTTTATCCGACACTTACTGCTGTCACTGTAGGGGAGGAAGTATCTATCTTTTGGGCTATGATATGCCTTATCTTGGCTTTCAGTTCTCAACAAAAGAGCCGTCTCTGTAACCATTCCTGACGCAGTACCGACCGTCCGCCTCACATAACCCCTTTTACGACCAAAACCTACCTACTTCGAGCTTCACCACACAACCGTCTCAACCTCAACTCTACTCCGACTCGCCACACATTTTCTTGTAACAATGGCTCACCTACCTCCAAACGCAGCCATCTTCTCACCCTCAGTCGCCCGCGCCGCCGCCTCGGCCGCCAAAGACTGGTCCTACGTGGACACATGGCTGCAGCGCAAATTCCCCGGCCGGGGTCCTCCGCCATTCGAGCGCAACCCGGACACACTGCGCGTTCTGCTCGCCCTCGCCTCAGCCAACGAAGCAGCCGACGAGGAACAGGCCCTCATAGCCCGCCTTGAAGCCCAAACCCTCGAACAACTCCGAGCCCACGAGCGGTCACAACAAGATGACAACACTCAGAATCCCACCGAAAACCCTCCAACCATCACTCTGCAGTCCGCCCGGGAAGCGATCCTCACCTCCCTGGAAACCTCCCTCACTCGTGACGGCCAAACCGCCCTCACAGCCATGGCCACACTCGCCCTGCAAACCGGCACCCCGCTCCCAACCCCATCCGCCCTTGGCAGCGAACTCCTCTCCCTCTCCACCCAAGCCGCCGCCATCGAGCAAGCCACGGCCCGCATCGACACCCTCACGGCCTACCTGACCCGCGAAGCCGAAGCCACGGCCCAACTCGCCCACGAACTCCGGGTCCCTTCCCCGTCGGATGACCACCACCATCCTTCCCTAGAAAAAGAAACCGAGGATATCGACGACGCAGCAGCCGTTCACAGCAGTAACAACGAACCCAAAAGAACAGGCTATCATCCCCCACCCAACCTCTCCCTCCAAAACCTCTCCACCCAACGCCGCATCAAGCACCTCCAATCCACCTGCCTGCCCGAGCTACGCGATAAGGTCGCCGCCCTGGCAGCCAAATCATCATCAGTCCACCCCTCCGCCTCTTCTTTCTCTTCCTCACCCAGCAGCAGCAGCAGCAGCAGCCCCAGCATAGGCCAAGTCCGACAGGAGGAGGAAGCCTACCTCTCCCTGCTAGCCGAGAAAAAGTCCCTCGACGCGGCGGTCCGGGCCTTCGCGGGCCTGCCGCCCGACACAGAGCAGGCGCGCAAGCAACTCGAAACTCTGCGCGCCGAGCTGAGGCGGATGGTGGTGCGGCGGGACGAGGTGTTTGAGGGGCTTGTGGAGAGGGAGTCGCCCAAGAAGAGGGGGAGTAGTAATAGTAGAAGTAGTAAGCAAAGGAGCTGATCCTCAAACAAAAAAGAAATGTGCTGGTGGTGGTGGATGGTGGTTGGTAAAAACCAGACCAAGCCAAGCTCTATCCTTCGTCACTTCGGGCAGCGATGGTTCACAAACCATACTCATCTTAACACAAACCGCAAACAAAACACCCCCCCATATTCTTCTGATTGATTCAGCTACCGGTAGTACTCCTCGTAGTACTCGTTGTGCTCGCCACAGAAGATCCAGACCCAGAACCACCACCACCACCACCGCCGCCATGCGCTCCTCCCGTCCTGACGATCCCCCTCCCGCGACTAATCATGCTATCGGCCCGTTCCGTCTCGCTGCCCGAGGGAGTATCGTTGCACTCCAAGTCCAATAGTACGCCGCCGATGCGCATCCGATGCCGGCCGTGATCCTCTAGACTCGGAAAATGAACGCCGTCAGAGAGTAAAAAACAAAGAGTCAAATTACAAGGGAAAAGAACCGGTCAACAATCAACGCTTCGCCGAGGAGAGGAGAGGAGAGGAGAGGAGAGGAGAGGAGAGAAAAGGAAAGGAAAGGAAAGGAAAGGGAAGGGAAGGGAAGGGAAATCACATCGAAAAAAAGACCAAAAACCACGGCTTTAAACCGGGGGGGAAAAACGGAAAACAGGGATGTGCAAATAAGTAACTTAGGCGCGCTTGCCTCGCCCAGACACAGCCCCTCCCAATCGTCCAAACTGCCTCCCCAGACCCGTCCGGGGCTTCGATGACGCCGGCGTCTCCGACTTTCCAGCAGCTTGCGGTGCCGTTTCTTTCACATTCATCAGAGGCAGCGTTCCTCGCAGCCCTCCTCCTCTGCCGGGACCCCCGCCTGCTCCTCCTGCTCCTACGCCTCCTCCCGCACCTCCATCCAGCCCAGAAAACCCTCTCGTCGGGTCCGCCGAACCGCCGTCATGGAGCCGCAGGTCCCCGACGCCGGCTGCGGCGTTATCTAGATCGCCGCTTCCCCCTCCCCCACTACCTACCATACGCACTCTCCGGGCGCGGTCCTGCACGGCGCGGAACTTCTCGAGCAGTTCACCCCAGCGGATGATACCTTCTTCCCGGCCCTTGAGGCGGTTTGGGCGATCAAAAGTGGAGACGTTGGGTGTTGTTGCGTTGCTACAATTTCATCAAGTGTGTCAATCCAATGGGTTTTGTAGGGCGTGATGAGAGGGAAGTAGGAGCGGGGCGGGAAGACGCACGACCTCGGCGCAATATGCAGGTACCCAATTGAGCTGACGCTATTGAGACGATTCTTAAGGGCGGCAAAGGCCGAGGACTGCGGAAGGAGCATCAACAGGCCGTACAGGCACTTGTACAGGTGCGGGTACCGCTCGGGTTCGAGGAGCTGCAGTCTCAAATCTGTCGTTGAATTAGGATCCCAGCATGGCAATGGGTGAGCACCAAGGAGCTGTACGTACAAGTGAACACGGGTGACTCGAGAAGCTGCACGAGTTTATCTATCTGGATGAGAATGTTGACGGACATTTCGAGTTCCGCGCTGTGACATGTCAGCTAAGTCAATAGCGGGTGAGCAAGTGCGTGAAACAGACAATATCTGCAAAAGATTATAAGCCTGCTCATATGCTTGCGCGAGCAGGCAGAGCGAGAAGGTGGCGACCGCGTTATAGCACCACGACCGAAACAGCGCAACGAAAAATGTTTGACCATCCTGCAATAGTCAGTTCAGCACGCAATGCGGCCAACAGGACGCCTAAAACAGGAAGCAGACCTTTGTTTCAAGGTTACGCAGACGTTTCCTGAGCTCGGCGAGCTCGGGCGCAGTTATCAGATTGTTGTTGAGATTTTGAACCATGATGCTAGCAAACTCGACGTCTTCCTCCTTCTCAATGCAGTCGGCCAGGGTCCGGTATATGCGCTCAGCGCTGAGGCTGGTGCAGAGTTGGCGGATGATGAGGTTTCCCCGCGTCTCAAGGAGCTTCCGATCTGTTGAGAAGAGCTGGAGCAGGTTGACCATGAAGTTGGTAAAGTAATCGTCCTCGCTGTTCCTCGATATTTGCGAGAGCAGCTGCAGGTCTTTTGTGACGACCGCCTCGGCGGGGTCCGAAAGTGTTTTGAGCAAGGCTGGGAACGTCCCGTCGTTGAACGCGAGCACTTTTCCGGGCGCCTTGCGGTGGAGCATGATCAGCCATGTCAGTGCAGCGACACGGGTGGCTTCATGGTCGTTCAAGAAAAGCAGCGTCAGCGAGTTCACCGCCGCGGCGTAGTCAAGGTCCGGCTGAGGCTGGGCCGGTACATCAGGTATTGGTGTCTGGGTCATGGCCCTCCCTTGAGCCGGCGTGGGGCTCCGGATCTCGAGGTCTCTCGAGCCGGACAAGGACGCGCGAGCGCTGTTGGTACCGTTACTCTCTTGCCGCTCGCCTACTGGCGGCGGGGGAGCAGGTATCCGAGACGGGGGCGGCATCGCCAGTTCTGGTTCGTCAGACAAGGAGACCACATAGTCGATGAGAGAAGTGTTGACCCTCCCAGCAGCCTGGCGGATCGACTCCACACCACTAGCCATGGCCGGCAGGAGATGGGCCAGTATCTTAGGCGTAAAGGGGAGCACTTCCTCTGGACATATGTCGAGGAATTCGACGATCCAACGCAGCGACTCTAACAAGCCATCTTCTTCTGCAACTTCAATCAGCGATGTCACTCTGGGTGTTGTCGCACGTAGCAAATCGTGCATACCTAATGGCGAATCAAGAGTGGCAGTCAAGATCTCCAGGATGGCCTTGTGGTTGATCTGAACGTCCTGGCCTGGGACCCAGTCATCTTCGCTCTCGACATCATCGTCGTCGGCGGCCGTCTCAGAGTCGATTTCTTCGCCGTCCTCGAGCTGGGGCCGCACGCTGCCACTCTCGGCCGAGTCGACCCGCTTGCGCTTCGCCTCTTTCGACTTTTTGCTCTCGGCAATGCCCTTCTTGATACGGGCAATCCGCTTGATCTCGTTGAGAAACTTGTCTAAGCAGCCCTGAGTGGCGACGTGCACGTCTCGGTTTGAGTCGCTCAGGAAGCGCAAGAGACCAGCCAGGAAGTCTGGCAAATATGTGACGAGCTCCAAGTCTGGAATGGAATCAAGCAAAATGATCCAGCCAACTAAAAAGGTCCGTGTGAAAGGGTTGAGTGCCCAAATGCGGTCTCTGAGCAACGGAATGAAGCGTTTCAGGGAGAAGGCTGTAGGGAGCTCGACCGAGTCGTCGGGGCCGTCTTTGTCGTCCTCCCGGTATGGAGGAGGCTGCTCCAGAACGGATACATATGTGGCGGCGGACTCAGAGACGATGTCTTTGATGAGACGATCAAGCAACTCAGCTCCGTTTTTGACAGACAGCTCAGAGTCGGCACCCAACTGCGTTCAGACGTCAGCTTGTCAGACTCTGGCATGGCAACAGTCGGGGAGCTGGCTCACCTTGCAGAGGGCGTCAAAGATGTGGTTAAAGTAGATCAAGATCTCGCCCTTTGCGACCTTGGCGATGTTGTACATGGCCTCGCAGGCGTAGTAACGAACGCGAGCATCCTGGTCAGTGAAGCAGGCGAGAACAGGGGGGACAATGACTTCGAGGTATCTAGCGAGTTCCTAAGAGGGAGATCGAAAATCACAGCCGAGTGTAAGCAGGAATGCCGGGTTTAGCCAGTCACGAAAGTTTGCGAATCAATGTTGACAGATGGGTACAGATGGGTAAGGCCACGAACGGAAGCTGCATGAAGGACGAGCATACCGGACCAAGAGCTATTGCAGCTGCCGCCAGACCTATTAAACCCCCGTTCCGTGCATGAGGCTGATGGACGGCATAAGCAAAGTCGTTGCAGAGCTGATCGAGGACGGCCTCCACACGCGGGTAGTCCTTCTGGGCAACAAGCTCTCGGATGACGCGTTCTAGCCTGTTGTAGATGACGTACAAGTTAGAGCGTTCAAGAGTGGCTGTGATGTGAACCGTCCGAGTATGGAACCCGAGGTGAGAGGCGGTAATGGAGTGGCCGCGACAGCGACGGAGCTAATAATAGGGCATTCAGATGAAGAAGGGTGACCCACTCTAGAGCGCCAACCTTGCGCTTATCATACAGCTTATCGTTCAGAGCACGCTGGATGGCGGGATCCATGGCCCTGATGCTGTGTATTTGAGTCTCGGTGCCTGTCCTGGCTCGGCTTGAGACAGACAAGACGGATGATAGCCGACCGTCGATGCCCTGGACCGATGATGCCGCGGACGCGTTGAGTTCTGGGTGCAGCCGAGGGGAGTGGGATGGCGGCGGGGTGATGGGATCTGCTCGGTACTGTGTGGACAGATGTGCCGATGAATCTAGACGGGGACGTAGCCCGGCCGTGGCTGATTATGGATGGTCTCAACCGAAGCTAAGCAGCGGTTATGCAAGGGAATGAAATCACAGGCCAGAGCTGACTGGTATGGTGATAAAAGGCGATAGCATCCAAGCTTCCAACTTCGTGTGTGGTTCAACGAGTGGCCGCTGTGGGGCACATCAAGACGGAAAGTGGAGCAGTTCAAGTCAGTTCCCGTGATAGGAAAGTGGGGCCTCGACTGAGCGGCAGCTGCATCTACTGTTCCCGATCGCAAGGTGAGATTACCCAAGAAAGACACTGTCCATCGGACTCATGACCTTCATAGCAGTCCTCGTCCCCGACATACCGGGGGTCTGCATCGGTCCATGTGTATTGCAACGGCCAATTCCTGCTTGGTACCCTAAGTGTTACAAGGAACCTACACGGGAAAGTCAGCATGACGTTGTTGAAGTTCTCTGCATACGGGCCGCCAACGAGATTGGGAACCAGGCATTTCAACCTGTGATCATCGTTTCCGTCCGTGGCTCTAAGCGCACGTATTCACCCCAAGTACACCGAATGTTAAAACTTCCCCTAGACTTATTCGTGAAATGCCACGGCTTCCTTGTGATGCCGGCCGACTACCTTGCGACACCGAACAGAGCCGCACATCGATGGTTTTCCGTGTGGTCGGAAATGCGCTGCTAACGGCCAGATCGATGTCTCGCATTTGCGCTACATCATGTCTGAGGTAGGCAATCCTACTGACAATGAAGGTTCGGCTCTAGATCTGCTTGTGGAGCCCTTTGGTCGGTTTGCACCCCTGCTACACTGCCTTACGTCCGGTACTAGGCTAGCCACTTATGTCACTGCATCGCGGGAAAAAGAATCAGAGTTAGGTATCTGGCATGTCGACGAATGTCCAGGGGACTTGGGGCAGGGGCTTAGGCCCTGCTGCGGTCAGGGTGAGACGACGATGGAACCTGAGATCCCATGTCGAACCTGGGTTGAGGTCTCCCAAGGAGATTGAATGTGCATCGACAAGGCCATCTTCACCTTTTCTTCACGACCGGAGATTCCCATGGTTGGGGGTAAACTTTACTCCATGAATTTTGCTCCAGTCGTCACGCCACCTCTCCCGTCTGCGGTGATAGGGCACACCGATTCCAGCAAGCCTCCTCCTGCACCTCCATCCCTGTCCTGCTGAAGAGTCAGCATGAGCAGCCACAACGGCTTCTTCTACCAATCAGCACAAATACTGCAGGATGCCAACTTCGAAGGACTCGACAGATGTCAGTCTCACGATCTGGCAGTTTTCATCTCCATCCTGCGAGATCACCAAACATGATGTCGCCGGGCTCTAACGGTGTGGCCCCAGCCCGCCCGTTTGATAGCAACTCTCGACGTGAATCAGGTCCTCCTCCAACAGGGCGTGAGTGGCACCGTCTGAGTGAGGTTCGCTGCATGGCTTTCTGTAGATGCGTCCGGACGGGACCTCCTGACCACGGCAATGGCGCTGGTGGCAAGCGCCCCGAGCCTAGATTACACGTCCAGGGGACCAGGACGTCGGTGAGGAGTCGGAAATCAACCGATTAAGGATACTTATTAGCGTGTGTGGAAATAAAAGAACCGCTTGCCCGACAATGTAAATTACAGGTCAGAAAATCGAGGCCCCCTTTCTCCTTCCCGAGTCTGTCCAATGGTTTCGCCAATCCAACTCTACGCTCAACGCTCAAGAAGAAAACAAGCACAACAAGAAGCCGGCAAGAAAAGCAACACAAGAAGCAACCTCTATAGTCGACTCCCCATCCCTCTCCCAATCAATGACCAGCTTATCACAGCGGGGTGCAGTGGCGTCTCGTAACCGCTCGGCTTCTCAACTCAGGGCAGGTGCTCAACAGCAGCAACAAACAACTCCCAATCACTTCTTGCTGCCGCTGCTGTTCTTGTGACCACCACCGCTCTTGCTCGGGTCACTGCTGCTTTTGGATGACAACAAGCTACCGCCCTGGTCGTTCCGCCGGGCGGCGTCTGCGGCACGTTTGCTAAATCCGTCCTGTGTACATCGCATGTCAGAATGAAAGTCAGGAGCAGGAGGAAGTCGAGGATGACGAGGAGGCAGCGCCAGATAGAAAAAGGCAACGCACCTTGTCACCGCGTGCCCTGCGAATTCGCTCGGCGGCGGCTTCGTCCATCTTGGGTTTGCCCATGGTTGCTGGGTTTTGTCTTTGGTATGTGTGCGCTCGACAATGATAGAGAGTTAGGTTGGTGGTGTTGAAGGAGGGTGATCGGGTTGTAAAGGGTATGGAGCATGTGATTGACAACCTCAACGTCGACTTGACCGTTGGTGAATTTGAATAGTTGGCGTGGCGCTGTTCTCCGAAGATACCAAGCGGAAATATATATACATAAAGCACACCGATTCTATTCTACACAAACGAAGCAGGTGGTCGTGACGATTGGACTCGCTACAGGGTCTCTTCCCGCACTTGCACGTGTACCAATAAACGGCCAGGCCACCGGCAGACAACCTGTGAGTTAGTTACCTTGAGACCAGCCAACAATTCTCTCCGTTTCTCCCCATCTCCTAGAGCGGGATGTAACATAGATGCCCATAGAACGTCCACGGAACCCGGAATGCGGGAGGCCGTCAACTTGCACAACATCCGCGTCCGTCTCCGTCAGGCACGGGTACTGGCGTCTCTCAATCCCACGGCTGTCCGTTCGTTGCCTGAGTTCAGGATGGAGGTACGGATATCATGTAAGTGAGTACATGGTAAGTAATCGAGTAAAATTTGTGTTGAGCAATGACAACGCGCGATTCGTGCGCCGCCGTTCGAGGGCAGACCTGGGATAGGGTTCTTCGACTGGGAGGCCCCGATGTAAACCTCGTTTGAAGCGAGAAGTGACAAAGAAGGAGGGCTTTCGTGGTCGTCAGAGGGACTAAGAACGTCTGGGTGAGGTAGATGACATGAGCCGCGTTGCTAGGATCAACCGGCCATTATGAATTAAGGTTTTCTTTCAGGTATAAGTGAGGCTCATGGGCCGACATCGATAGGTTGTAGACGTAGACTTTGTTACACGTTGTTGCCTTACTTTCCTAGGTCAGCCACCGACTTCCAGCAGTCCGCATTGGTACTCCTCTGCTTCCCCAGCCCAGAATGCATGCATGGCTATCTGCCAGTGTACATCAGCCAGACGTTTGTCGATCTCCCGGGCTGCAGATCGCTTTTCGCCCAGGGGGGTACCTCATGGGAACCCAAACACGGGGCCATGACGTATTTCAGATCCCTCAGCAGTAAGATAGGGGCTTGCGGCATGGCTGCCCAAGGGCTCATTGGGCCACATACTGTACTTGGCCGAATATTAACGGCAGGAGAGCAAACACAGATCGGCGTGTTACATGGAGCCACCGTCGGGTGCCGGAGCCGCCGTTGGGATAAATAATCAAGAACCCTAAGACACGCGAACAAGGTCCGGACCCTACCTACCTGTTATGCTTTCCCGAACCCCTTTTCTGAAAGGGACGGCCTGTTGTACTGTACGTAGGCACAGACATGCCGTGTCACTGGGGCCTAACCTACCTCCCTTTCACTTTCCCAGCGAACAGTGCCTGGTCGTCCAGACCCGAGCCCGTCCAGTCAATTGTCAACGGGAGTCTAAGCCGTTTGCAGGGTGTTGCACAGCATGTATAAAAAGCATGGTGCGTTCCAGGATGCCGGCTCCTGCACATTCCCGCGCAGAGGGGGGGCGTCGTCCTACCCGGGTCCGTTCGTACACGAGTCCGGGTGGCTCACCCGTTCTTTCCCGCCGGCTCCGTACATCCACATCCATCCCTCGGGTGAAAACGACTTGTCTGATTCACTTTCCAGCCGGCAAAGGGGTAGGGTCGGCAAACACAAACGTCTCTAGCTAACTGTGCTTATCTATGAACCCAATCGAAGCCGAAAATAAAATGCCCAAAAGGCAATGCTCTGCTAACCAAACCCTGAGATTAACCCTTCCTTCCCCCCGACCATAACATAGCGGCCGCTCGGCGGCCGAAGCAGAAAGCCATCCACTCACAAATACATCCCCCTTATACATCAAACGGGACACGATCCAGCTCCCGCATCAATGGTGATGATGATGACCGCCCCCGTCGCTCACCAACACACTCTGACACTTAGCCAGAATGGCTGCCTGCCTCGCCACGTCGGCCAGCCGCCCAATGACCTGCCTATTCCCGTCTACAAACCCATACAGGGCATACGGGATGCCGACCTCGTCACAAAACTCCTGCACCAGCCGCTGCGTCTTGCGCAGGTTATGCCTCGGGATCCTCGGAAACAGGTGATGTATCGCCTGGAACTGCAGCCCCCCATGGAAAAAATCGAGCCACTGGGGGCAATCGACGTCCATGGTTGTCCGCAACATCTTCTGCGGGAAGCTCTCGTCCACCCCGAGATCGGCCGTGCTCATGGCAAAGTGGCTCAGCGTGATCTGCACGTGCAGCGGCGTCGTAACCATGTGGCTGACCATGACAAAGACGAACCGGTCCCATGCGCCCGTGTCGACGCACCGGTACACGACCCCGTAGCCGAACCAGGTCCAAAAAAATACCTGTCCGGCCATCTCCAGCCACCGATGCCACGCCGCGGGTCCCCGTCTGGGGCCCTGGCCCAGCAGGATGTGCGCCCACGACAGGCGGTACAGATTGAACCTCCCAAAGAGCAGGATGACATAGTACAGGTAATGCTGGAGCGAGATGAAGAAGCGCGCGGCGGCGTCGTACTGCATGACGCGCTCGTAGTAGGTCGACCGCAGGCTGCCCAGGAAGCGGTGCGAGATGGCAAAGAAGGGCATATGCTCGATGTCCGGGTCGTGCTCGGGCGAATTGGTGACGATGTGGTGCACGTTGTGGTTGCGTTTCCACCAGCACACCGACAGGCCCCCCAAAAAGTCGGCCACCAGAATCCCGATGACCGTGTCGGTCTGGAAGTCGTGCGTGATGCCCAGGTGGCCCGCGTCGTGCACCGTGAAGGCTAGCTGGTGCCAGAAGACGCCGAGGAAGAAGCCCGAGGGAATGTACCACTTCCACCGCAAGAAGACGAGGAACAAGACGAAAAAGAGCGTGTAGCGGCAGACCTCGATGGCGTACGCCGAGTAGTTGCAGTCGTACAGGCCCTCGGCCTTGATGCGCTCGTGCAGGAGGCGGTACTTCTCCGCGATGGCTTCTTGGGTAACCGGGTCCGGCGGCGGGTATCGGCTGAGGTCGAGCTTTATCTCCTTGCGCGTGAGGACATCGAGGTGCGCCATGCCATTGACCGGCGGCGCTGGCACTTCGGCGCCGTCCTCGTCGTCGTCGCCGGAAGAGAGTGATGTGGCCGAGCTTGACCGCGCAATCCCACCACTCGATCTGCGCTTGCGAAGGCCAAGGGCTGCATCCTTGTTGGCGTCAAAGGTAGGCGACGGGGACCGTGTGCTGCTTGAATAACTCGACAACGCGGCGACATCCTCCTTCAACCGCTGCGTGATCAAGCTGCTGACACCGTACTCGTCCTCCTGCTCGTCCTCTCCATCGCTCACCCTGGGCCGAAACTTGCCGCCCTGGATCGGCGGCACAAAGTTCCTCCAGCGGCCTTCAATCCTGCCGATGCGGTACTTGTCCATCATGCGGCGGGCCTCGAGCGAGTGAAAGCTATACAACACAATTAACATCTTACACTGGAGAGGGGGGTGCTGTCAAGCGAGGTGGCAAGCGGGAACTCACCCATTCACCTCATCCGTCGCATCCCTGCCGACCATGTGCATGATGGCCTTGTCGCCGCCCGGGTGATACGGAAGCCAGGCATCGGCCTTGATGACATGCCGGTCCAGGATGAAGATGGTCCTGCCCTCGGCGATCAGGGCCTCAATCTCGCGGCGTGATAATAAGGGGTATGAGCGCCCGCCGCCTCGTCGAGAAGCGTCTGCTGCTGCGGGTGAACCCCTGGAAGCAGCCATTGAGGGAAAAGTAGGCCTTGATACCTTGGATAGGCAGAGGTGCTGTAAGGTTGTCGATAAAACCGGGTCAGGAAAGCTACCGTTATGAGCAATGAATGAACGAGGTTACGAGATCGTACGAAAGAAACCTTTTGGACGCCCAGTCCTTCCAAGATCGCCAAGGCTTCTTGAGAATCCAAGTTACCTCTAGCGTCACTTGTCCGTTGTAACAGCAATATCTGTCAATCTCGCCCCTGAGAAATGAGTGTATTGACAATTCCTCTGGCGCACCGTTTGCCGTCCAAGCGAAGGTATGCGTGTTTGGGGAACGGAAGACGAAAGAATTCCCGGGCCAGCTGCACGAGCTCGGCTTTCTCGCTGGCTCCCGACTCCGAGAAGCCAAGGACATAGCGAGCCGATTGACCCACTTGTGTAGGATGGAAGTGACCCCCCAAATGCCCCTTTTGTGGAACGATCAACAAAACGACGATCATGAGATGGTGGAGAGAGGGTTAGGGTCTAGCGTGTGGACGTATTGTTGACGACTTCCAGTAACGTTAACGTTGGAAGATGGAGGAGGAGGTACACCTTGCTGACATGCAAGCAGGGAGGTAAGTGAATACAGCTTGTTTAGTGTTTTCATTCTTTCCATTTCAAAACTATCAAGGATATAGCCATGTAATCGACGTTCCTGCCCTTCTTCGTCTTATGCCCTCGGGTGAGTCTACTACAATACTAAGTAATAGTACGCTGCTCCGTACACAGCAAGCAATGAACATATCTGTAAGGAAAGATATACTCGTTGCTTGAACAAAGTGAATATCTATCTTCCCACATGCCACACGGCAGCTTGCTATAAACCCCGTCCACCATCTAAGGATATCCCCCAGCAAACATCGCATCGAAAACGCAAACACAAAACTCGCTGCTCGCCTGCTTGACTATATTAGGCTTTTTAGACTCTCAAAATCCTGCTGTCCAGCCAAGCCCATTTACTGATGATGCCTTGAAGATGGAAAACAAAGCTAAAGTACACAGGTACACAAGAAAAACCGCTACGCCGGCCCGCACTCCGCCGCGCAATCCCACTCCACTCAACTCATCAGAAGTGGATCGGCTTCGAGTACGTCGCCATAGCCGCCTCCTTGAACGCCTCGGCGAGCGTCGGGTGCGCGTGGCAGGTGCGCGCAATGTCCTCGCTCGACGCCCCGTACTCGAGTGCCAGCGTGCCCTCAGCAATCATCTCGCCTGCGTTGGGGCCGATGATGTGGATGCCCAGCAACCGGTCCGTCTCCGGGTCGGCCAGCATCTTGACCATACCGTCCGTGTCCAGGTTCGTCTTGGCGCGCGAGTTGGCGCTGAAGGGGAACGTGCCGACCCGGTACTTGATGCCCGCCTTCTTGAGGTCCTGCTCCGACTGGCCCACCCACGCCACCTCGGGGAATGTGTACATGACGGCGGGGATGCAGCCGTAGTTGACGTGGCCGTAGCCCTTCTTGATGTACTCGACAACCGCCACGGCCTCCTCCTCAGCCTTGTGCGCAAGCATGGGGCCGAACGTCACGTCGCCGACGCAGCGGATGTGCGGGATCTTGGTGCGGTACTCCGAGTCGATGATCACGCGGCCCCGCTCGTCGAGCTCGAGGCCAATGTTCTCGAGCCCGAGGTTGGCCGTGTACGGGCGGCGGCCGATGGCGACCAGGACAACGTCAGCGTCGAGCTATGCATGGCCAAGTCAGCATTGCTCCAGTGTTCGCCCAGCGAGCCTTTTCCGCTGGAGCTTAGGGAGGAAGCTCACCGTCTCGGGCTTGCCGCCCTTGGCCGAATCGACGTTGAGCTTGACACTCTCGCCAGTTTTGTCGCCGCTGACGACCTTGGTGCCCGTCTTGAAGTTGATGCCCTGCTTCTTCAGGATCTTCTGAATATTCTTGGCAATCTCGGTGTCCATGCCGGGACCGCCAATGACATCAAGGAACTCGACGACGGTAACCTCGGCGCCCAGACGAGACCACACCGACGCCATCTCAAGACCAATGATGCCACCACCAATCACCGCCAGCTTCTTGGGCACCTCCTCGAGGGAAATGGCGCCGGTGCTGCTGATAACCTTCTTCTCGTCGATATCGAGGCCGGGGAACGGGGTGACGTCGCTGCCCGTCGCAATCAGAATGTTCTTGCCCTTGACGCTCGTCTCGCCGCCATCATTGAGTTGCACCTTGACCGTGTGCTCGTCCTGGAACGAGCCGATGCCCTTGAGGTACTGGACGCCGTTCTTCTTGAACAGGAACTCGACGCCCTTGGTCAGGCCCGCGACCGACTGCTCCTTGGCCTTCATCATCTGCTTCAGGTTGAGCTTGACGTCGTTGACCTCGATACCGCGATGTTTTGAGTCGTGCAGGATCTGGTGGTACAAATGCGAGTTGTTGAGGAGCGATTTCGATGGGATGCAGCCGACGTTGAGGCAAGTACCGCCGAGGGCGCCGCGTTTCTCGATACATGTAACCTGCGTGTTTCAGAGCGTGGTTAGCATGCGGACATTCTGCGAGATGGCACGGCCCCAAGATAAGTCGCGTGCTGTGTCCGTCACCTTACCTTCATACCCTCCTGGCCAGCCTTGATGGCGGCGACATAGCCGGCGACACCGCCGCCGATAATGACGAGGTCCCTCTCTGCGCACACAGTCAGCCCCGTAGCACCAATGCCAATCCCATCCGAAACTACTAACCAGCCTCGGTGGCATACATCCTGCTCCATCGCGACGCGGAGACAATTGACGGTAAGCTTCCCGGAAGTCAGTGGACTAGCGTCAAACTTCACCATACCGAGGTGAACCCGTACCCTGACGGCTTGAACGCGGACTTGACCGCGGCGCGGCCTATTAATCTCTGCGACAGCATGCTGGCTGTACGTGGTAGAACACGGACAGTGCAAAGGAATGTGAATGAAAGAACTCCCCAAAGCCGAATACACAGACAAATGTGACGATGGCGGGTGCGTCACGAAACTTGGAGATTGTTGGGGTTTCTGGGAAACTGCAGTTCCGAGATAAAAAAAAATGGTCCACATCGATATTTGTTCCGTCCAACCGCCGCAAGAGGCGAGTCCAGCACAAGCCGGGGATTCCAGCACGTTGCTTGGCTCCCAAGCCGCTAATTCTGCGACTCCCGCCACTAAAACCTGCGCGTAGCCTTCGATAAGCCGTCAAATCCCGCACCTAGAATCCGGGATATGTTCGCTCTCATCATGCGGCTTGGAAATCGTTCACGGGAAAGCGTCCACGGGAAAGCGATAGTAACGCCGGCCTCGCACTGTTCGCCTCAAAGAAACCAACACAGTATATGTGTAAGGAGTAGTATCACTGCACTTGCTGTTTTCGCCCGATGACTCAACAAGACCGTGCAGTTGCATAGCCAGCCAGATCCTCACCACCACAAACTCCGAGTGGTATCGGAGCATCTCAGGGGTATCTCATCATTGTACACATGCTGTACCTAATGTCTATGTACAACACACTGGATCATGTCGGGATAGACATAGACATAGACCCTCATACCAGACCTTCAGCCCTAACCAAAGCAGCCTGAACGACCGCCTCGGCCATTTTGCACCCCTCCCTGAGCAACTTTGTATTCTTCTTCCCGCCAGCCAAGTCCGACTTCCGGATGATTTTCTTCAGAAAATACTGCAGGCCCCTCGCCAGGTCGGGAGTCGCCTCCACCCCACCAAACACCTTCGCAATCGCCTCGTCGGCGGTCTGCCCCTGGCCCCGCTCACTGCTACCGACGCCGCCGCCGCTTTGGCCCTGGGCCCGGCACAGATCAAGCAGCACACTGACCAGCATGACCTCGACAAAGTCGCGCGTTTTTTTCTGCAGGTACAGCAGATTCAGCCGCTTGAGCACGGTGATCCCCAGACTTCCCGCGTAGACGAGCGCGCCAAACATCTTGGCCGTGTTGACGATGCGCCTGACGCCCACTGCCCCATCCTTCCCGTCCTCCTCCTCCTCATCCACCTCCACCTCGTCGTCATCGCCCTCGCCGAAACCAGACTCACCCATCCGCCCAAATAGCTTCCACAGGCTGGTCTGGAACGCCCAGCGGACCTCGCGCTGCTCGGCACAAAGCCGCTTGGCGACGAGCGAGTAGTACGGGTTGTAGTGCTGCTCGGCGCCGACGCAGCGGATAAGGACGTTGGGGATCTCGCGCTGGCGCTCCCTGTTGAGCCGCAGCTTGAGGATGCGGTGGTAAGCGTCCTGGTAGTCGACCGCAGACATGATGGAGACGAAGATGGACCGCCGCACCTCGGTGTTCATCCCTTGCTCCCTGGCTAGCTCGGCCAGGTCCGGCCCTTCCTCGGCGTCGGCCAGGAGGATGCTCTCGTCGTCGCTGTCATCATCGTTGTTGTCGGCCCCATCTGTTGTTGTTTTTGCTGCATTATCCTTCTTGTCGGCCGAGCGGCCCGCCCAGCTGGCGCCGACTAGCCACCACTTGCCCTGTTTGCCGGCCTCTCGGATGTCCTTGAGACCCATGCGCATGGGTTCGGTGGACTTGACCTTTTTCGACTTGAGTTGGCCGAGAAGCTTCTTCATCCGCGTGATGTGCTCCGTGATGACGGCAGACGCGCCAGCGCCAGCTTTGAGCTTGTTGTTCTTCAGGTCGGTAATGGTATCAATCATGAACTTCGTTCTGACGGTTAGGTTCTTCTCGCCTGCTCTGGCCACAGCTGGCGGGATCAAGGAGACGATATCCTTGAGCGCCATCGGGTCGTCCTGCCGCAGAGTAGGACCACACATGCGAACAATGCGAAGCAGCAGCTCGGCATTGAGTTCAGACAGGTTCTCCAAGAGCATCCGAATGTAGTCAAAGACGATATTCGGGCCGATGAACTGGAAGGTGTAGAGCTCCGAGATGAAAGTGATGAGGTTGGATGTATGTTTGGGCACTTCTGGCCGCTCCAGCGCCGCGACTTTGGCATCTGCGTAGTGCCTGTCGAAGCGCTCCACCACTTCCTGTATCAGCTGTCCCCCAAAGTCCGTTCCGAGCACCATGTACGCGGCCATGGCGAAGCCAGCTGTCAAGACCAAGAGTGTATCTGGTAAACTCGTCGGCTCACAGACCTGGATGAGGAGCAGGTCCACGAGCGAAGACGTAACATGCTGCCGGGGGTACTCTCTGTAAAGCTTCTCAACCTCAGCTATGATGGTCAACAGGTTGGACTCTGTTATCCTGTTGACCAGACCTTGGGTCTGTCGGCGAACTCGAGCGGCCAGTTCGGCATCCAATCCCGACTCTTTTCGAAGAGACGGGGGAACATATCTCGCCGTCTGTCCCGCCGTAGGGGCAACATATGGGTTCTCGCGCACCCGCTTTTGCGGTTCGTTCGCGGCGTCCTCTTCCTCTGAGTCGAACCCTCCAAAATCGTTCTGGTCCCTTCCCTCGTCGTCGTCCTCGTCCATGGCATCTTCACCATCCGAATCATCCTCCTGGAGCCCAGAGCCCTCCAGATCGTCATCATCCGAGCCATCTACATCCTCATCGACCTCGTCAGACTCCCCATCTTCGGCGCTCGAGTCAAGCTCACGTTGCGGCTGCTTCCGGCCGGCTGCCGCTGCTTCAGCCTTCCTCCGCTTTTGTGCCAACCATTCGTCTGCCTCTGCCTTGCGTTTCCTCTTTTCCTGCTTCTCCCCGTCATAAACGCCACCCAGGCCCTCTAGAAGATCGCCGAGCCCGTCGTCCTTGAAGGACTGGGGTAGGTTCTTCCGGTTCCTCAAACCGAGTTTCCGTTCCAGGTCGGCGATTTCGGCATCATCCTGCGCGAGCTTCTCCTTCACCGTCTTGGGGAGCTTTCGAGTAGAGGGCGTCGCGTCCAGGATGTGCTGCCCTCCGTCTTGTACCTCGTCTCCGTCATCCCGATCTTCTTCATCGTCGTCGTTGGACCCTTCGTCAAGCACTCCATCAGACAGGACATCCTCTTCGTCGTCTTCGACTTCGTCTAAACCACAGCCTCCCTTGTCCCCCTCGTCCCCGTCGTCCTCCTCGTCATTTTCGGGCTCTGGCCTCCTGTTCTTTGGAAGGGGTTTTGATTCGCCCGAACTCGTCCGGCTTGTTCCGCTCGTGTGATTGCTGGCGTTTGAGGAAGGATTAGGCCTGCCAACCGGGGCAGCTCGTCCGGTGTGTTGATTTCGGCCGGCTGGGGCGCGATGGATCTTGGACTGCTTTCTCTCGGCTTTCCGGCGCTCTTTCCGGGACGCGACGTACCCCCGAGGCCTACCTCGTTTCTGGTCCGGTTTTGAGTCTAAAAGCTCCGAGTTAATAAGACGCTCGGAACTCGGCTGTCGAAGGGGATGGATGGTGCTCACCTGCGATGCCGAGCTCCTTGAGTAGATGCGGCGGGAGAGTGGGCATCTTTATCCCTGGCTGTGGCATCTCGAGTTCGGCCTTGAAACAAGAGGGCCGGTATTGGGCTGAGTTAAACCACAAGCGCGCCGATTCTTGATCTTGCAGGCAGCGGTCACGGTTCGTATACCTCAGTCTCCTGGGCAGTGGCTGGCTCATGGCTCTTGAACCTTTGTTATCGATTAGCCATTGTGGGGCAGGCTCCCCCCCACCCCTATGGTACGATACGGAGTACAGTACCACAGTACCTGGCCGCTCCAATACCGGCACAAGGAAAGCAATAGAAAAGCGCCTTTCAAACCCCAAAAATTCATCAAATACACATTTAATGTTCATATAAGTGTGATATTTTATGCTTCAATTCCGATTTCAAGGCAGGTGCTCTTCCCCTCGAGCTTTGCTATGTGTACCTTTAAGTACCTGTAGCCCGCAGGTGAGTCTTCTAATACCCCAAGGTGAGTGGGGCTCCCTGACATCCGATACTTTACCCTCGAGCTTACCTTACGCTGTGAACTCACTCGAGCAGCCGTCCCACTTGACGTTTGAGAAACTTCAACGCCAGTTCCTCTTCAGAATAACCCAAATTCAAAATGGGCCACTTAACACATGATGAGGTATAGTATATGGACCCTTTCTCCAAGAATAAGTTCACACATTCACTAACGCTCGCACCTCGCAGTTCTTCATCCAACTAGCCGACATCTTCAACTCGCGCAAGACAAAAGGTCACGGCGCAGTCTATCTCACCCAAAAGCGATGTAAGGCCCCGTCACCCCTGTTTCCCATCACACTCACCTCATCTCTGTTCTAACCCACCACCCAGTAACACACAATGAAACCCCATCACCATCCCCCCCCCCCACAAAAAATGAGCCCATTGCCAAAGAAGAAGACTCACTCGAGGACCTCGTCCCGCCCCTTCAACCCCTTCCCATCCTAATCCGCGCAACAAACGGCAAGGGCAAAGAAGACCGCTCCAACAAGGAAAAGATCAAGCTCTCTACTATTGTCCAGCCGGACGAACTCGAGGGGTTCTATGCGCGGTACGCCGAGGCATGCAAGAGCGGCATGACGGCGTTGAAGCCGCGGGACCGGACCAAGCGGAAGAAGACCAAGGCGAGGAAGAGGAAGGGCGGTGCTGGGGCTGGGGTTGGCGCGGTTACTTCCTGATCTTACGGCGTTGTACTCTGTGTCGCTGGTCTTTTCGGGCATGGGCTGGGGACTTGGGATGGTTGGCATGGGATGGGATGGGATGGTTTGTCTGTTTGGGCTGAGATGGATGTTCCAAAAAGAAACGCTTTGGCTAGCTAGGTACCTGAACCAGGTGGCATGGTGGATGCATTGACGGTTGGACGAAAAAGGCTGCGGCGATGGTCTTTGCTAAGGGTCGAGAAATGGCATGAATTATTGTCGGCACCTAATACGGGGATTACATCTTGAGAAGCTCCTCCCACTTCCCGGCGCGTTCTATCGTCGTCAGTGTTCCATGCTACCAGTCCCTTCCGGTTACGTTCCAGCCAAGGAAAATGATCCTGATCCAGTGAGATGACGGGCAATGCATGACGGTTGGCTTCAAATGGCGTTGTTGACAGGGCTTCACAGCAAAGGGAGACAGGAATGTGGTAAACAACTGGAGCATAGAGGTGCGAATCTGGCGAAGGCGAACGATGTGAATCTTACCGATGCTTATCCGCGAAGCCAGTTCATCTTGAACTTACAACATTCGATTGCTTGGTCGCAGTGCAGCACTGCACCCAAGTTTCTACCCGGCTCAAGCACCTGATCTCATCTAAATCTTCATATCATCCCTCGACAGTTAGCAAACAGATGAGTCGCCATGTTGGCCCATTTGCCGCAGAAAACATAATTTGGGTATCAGATCATATGTGTACACTCAGGTCGAGGCAGAATCTTCGAAAAAGCCAATCCCCGAGCCGCCATCTAAGTCTAGTATCGCCTCTCAAGGCATAACCCAATCTTCTATCAGAGAAATTTGGACTTCCAACGCCCAGCCAACCGCACTCCAACCTCCAGACCAACCAGAACCAAGAAACTCTTCTAATCATTACTCTTCGTACACTTTCGCTCTCGCCGCATACTCCAGGATATTGCTGACGATATGGTCCCGTATGGTATCCCCCCGACCGGCCGCAATGCGCAGGATGAACTCGTTAAGATTCTGCCTGCCCAAGATGTCGACATGGTCCGCCGTGTTGGGTCCGCCCCTCGGATTAAAGCGCTCCGGCTCGTGCGGCATCTCGACGACCGTGACCTTGACGTTGGCAGGATTGTACCGCTTCATCTTCCACCCCCGGTTGCACATGTACCCCGTGCTCATGAGGTTGACCGTCCCGTCGCCCTCACCCATGATGACCCCGTGGTCGACCGCGCCCTGCGTCAAGCCCGTGTCAATCGTCATGTTCAGGTTGGTGGTGAGCGAGGCCGGCGGCTCGGGCGGACGGTAGTAGTACCCTCGCTCTGTCGACTTGCCCACGCCGTAAAAGCAGTAAATCCTGAGGCTGGGCGCGAGCGGGAGCCGTGTCTCCAGCGGGTTGATCCACTTTGCTGGGTCGTCCTCGTTGGCCTCGACCTCGGCGCTTGTGTGCGCGATACCCCAGGAGTAGCTCCCCTTGACCTGATCGCGGTACCAGTCCTCCGCCGTATCGAGGAGATAGCCTATGGCGTCATCCACCGTGAGATTCCGGTCGGAAATCGTCCAGTTTTGGCCGGACCGGAAATTGAGGAACGAGCCGTAGCTGTGCTCCTGGCCGGGCTGGTCATCCGGCGCTCCGCTGAGATCGCCCCAAATCGCATTGCCCCCTATTGGCAACATGGACGACATTCCCGGCATGGCTCGGAAGATCTCAGCCCGCTCGGATTTGCTCAAAAACTTCTCGAGTCCGTAGACGGCGAAGGCGTTCAGCTGCGCCGTGTCGCGCATCTCACCGGAAAGGAGGGCTGACACGCTCTTGAGCGCTCCCAGCATGCAGCCGCTGACATTGATCCATGATTCGATGTGCTTTTCCACCCAATCGTCGCCCCCATTGCCACCGTGTTTGGACGCGACCCAGTGGAGGAAGTAAAACACAACCTGACTGCCCATGCTGTGAGACGTGAGGACAACCTTCCTGTTCTGGAGCAACATGGCCAGCTCGATATGTGTCTTGAGTCGTGTGAAATAATGGTCGCGCTCCTCGAGTTTGGCGTACGCCAGCCGCCAGTCGTATGCCGCCGTGTATGAGTTTATTGGATCGTAGCCCAGCGAGGCAAGGTTCTCGAGAATCTTATTCCAGATCCAGTATCCCGTAATGAAGAAGTCGGTGGCATCAAAGCCTTGTGCAGCACGCAACTTAATCCCCGGAGGATCCAGCCCGGTCTTCTTGTCCAGCATGATGTGGGTTTTCCACGTCTCCTTGTCCAAAACTAGGGCCCTCATCATGCTCCAGCTGCCCCATAAGCGTTTCCGAAAGTATGGCAGCGATATATTGGACGTGCCCCAGGACTCGAGGCCTGTTGAGATGACCCCTGGCACCATGACGATGGGGTGGTGTGCAGAGAGCCCCTCGGACCGGACCTTGCGGCCTACTGCGAAAGCATCATAACTCTGGATGTAGTCGCGTTCTCCGATCTAGCAGCAGAAGTCCCACCGTCAGCCAATGGTAGCCTCTTCATGGTTGTTGCTGCAGCTTACCACAAGGTCCCGCATATCTTTGACCAAGCCAGCCGGGAGGACATCCAAAAAGCTGTCCATGCTCAGCCCCCCAATTTCAGGAAACTCTATCAAGTCATTGCTCTTCGCAAAGAAGCCTGCCGCGATAATGCCGAAAAGGCTGCCCAGCAAGAAGATGGACGTGTATTTGCGCTTGCTTGTCTTTGTTCGACGGTGAGGGACCGCCTTGATCTTATCGCTGGGCGTCTCGAGTTTCTCGGGGCTCTCGTCGCGAGGTGTAGATGATTCGGACGGCGGGTCATTGCCGGGGACTCGGCGGCGCAGGGCGCTCTCCATCTTTGGAGTCTAGGACCGCCTATGAATATGGACCGGAGTTTGTTGACTGCGAGAATGCGAGGCCCGTCCCTGCCGCCCGAAATATTTTGCAGGTGGTATAGGCCTTTGCTTTGTATGATGCTTGGTCGTTTGAATCACCCGCAGTCACCGTGGCGGGCTGCCAATCTGCGTCGTCTCATCTAGGAGGCCCAGAATACCCGACGTTTTGAGGATCCGAAGAAATACCTTACGGAAAGAAAAGAAAATACCGTACCCAGGGGCTTCGCGTGCCATGCTCTTGGGCTCTTTCGAAAACAGCGTGTTGACCCATGCTCCCGCCTTGACCGGGGACGGCCACGTCTGCAAGTCAGTAACCTTACTCAGCCGTTAACGTCACCTAGGCAGGCGACTTCCAGAAATAAAGCTCCATTGTGAAGGCAAGATAAAAGTCAGGAGCTCGCCTTGGCCTGATAGCGATCAGCGTTTCGTGCTATACTTTACGTTACAGCTTTTTACATGCGTACAAAGTATCACATCTCCTAATGATCATCCAAAGCCGGCGAGGCCGGGTTGCCATCTACGTAGGCATGTCTGAGATGTTTTTGCAATGCATGCCCAGACCCACCAGCGCATTTGACACCAATGATTTATTTCAGTCATTCCTTGCATGTGAAGCTCAATGACGCTCAGCCTCATCTTGAGCGAGACTACCGGACCTACCGATGCGACACAGCACAGACGCTAGTCAGAACCCAGCCAGTATCATCCATCTTCTTCATTGGACACACCACCTCGTTTATGTCAAGCAAACCACCGTAACCTTGATAGTTCCGAGTTATGGCAGCTTCCGAGCTTGCCAAAGACATCGAGTCCCCGCCGAAGGCCAAGCTTCCCGGCGAGCTGAAGTACATTCAATATCAACATTCTCTTGAAGCGCAGTACCTCCCGGCAATACGCGCTCTGATATCAAAAGACCTCAGCGAGCCGTATAGCATATATGTCTATCGTTACTTCCTCTGTCAATGGGGCCACCTCTGTTACCTAGTCAGTCTCGGCTCCATCCTTCCCTTCCCCGGGGTCTCGTACCTCCAACTCTTTGCTGACCTCCTTCCCTCGCCCACAGGCATTACATCCCACCGACTCTTCGCTTATCGGCGTAGTGATATGCAAGCTCGAGATGCACGCTTCCCACTCCCCGCCCACCTTGCGCGGCTACATCGCCATGCTCGCCGTGTCCGCCGCATACCGAGGCCAGGGCGTGGCTACCGCGCTCGTCAAGATGGCCATCGACGCCATGTCCGAGCGCAATGCAGACGAAATTGTGCTTGAGACGGAGGAGACAAATATTCCAGCCATGAGGCTGTATGAGCGACTCGGCTTCTTGCGGTCAAAGAAACTGCACCGCTATTATCTCAACGGGAACAGCGCCTACCGTTTGGTGCTGCTTCTCAGGCCGGCTGATACGGATATTGCTGCGAACCTTGCGCTGGATGATGCGACTCCGCCATGAGGTAGTCACCAGCCGTCTCGAACGTTCAAGTTCTCCACCACCAGTCCCGAGCAGACTTGTCGTAGCAGAAGTCCTGTCACAATCAGCATTTGTCATCCCCGGGGCGCCAGAAGTGAAACGGCTAGACGGAAGGAGCAATGACGTTGCTTTGTGTGATCTCCAAGCCGTACCTCGTTGAACGACGGGGCTACCATGGTGGTCAACAGTGTCTCCTCGGACATGGATCAGCGAAGCCAGCGGTGGTGTTGCCTGAATCGATGATTGCGTGCCAAGCCTTGCATTACATACACACCAGTAGGGCCAGCACCGAGCACCTCGCGCCCAAAACCCCGAGGTGTCGAGAGCGGAACGGTTGACGGTTTGGGGTGCCTAGAGTACATCCATCTGAATCAATCCTAACTTGCCGCATGGGTATCAACATCGCCTGACTTGAGTGCCATCAAGTGGTCAAGCTCCAGCACTAGGTGGTGACCAAACATCATGAACGCCGTGACGCAGCTGTCATGATGTACCTGAATATCTCATTCGATGAATACTGTCATTGTCAGTCTAAAACAGTACACGGCAGTCCGGTGTTGGGGGGAGTAAGTAATATCTCACCGTTGACGCCCCAATCCCACAGCTATTCCCTCCATAGATGCCAAGTTCAGTCCAAGCATCTATACATCGTGGTAAGCCCCTGCCGACACAGCAACCAAGCAAGAAACAGCCTCACTCACCTGACTCGTAATAGATCTGCCTCCCTCCAGGCCTCACCAACTCCAGCCCCTTCATCCGATTCAACACCCTCGCCACATCATCCTTCTTCCGGAAATCCCTCGTATAAACACAATCAACGTCTCCTTACCCGATTCGACCCTCGTCTCGACCCTGGCCTCGATCCCAAGCTCGTTCTCCGCCGTCGACCGCGCAACTCTCCCCCACACCTCGTTCACGTACCCCGGCTCGGAAAAGAGCATCCACTTTCCCGCGACGACGTTGCAACTCGCGGCCAACTCTTTCAAATCGTCGCTTGTCTCCCTCCGCACATCGGCCACGTCTCTTTGGCGCGACGCGGGCGATCTCCCCTCGACCGTCGTCGTCGTCGTCGTCGTCGTGGTGCTGGTGCTGGTGCTGGTGATGCTGGTGGCCTTCTTCTCGAACGCGTCGAACAGTGGGTTGTTGGGGGTAAGGTGGTGTGTGGTAGTACAGGTTGGCTACCCAGAGTCAGTCCATACCCCGGCACCAGTCGGTTATAGCGGGCGGGAGGCGGGCGGAAAATTGCGGGATGGTTTCCGAGGAGAGCCGCCAGGCGCCCTGGAGGCCTTGGTATGGGTTGTGCAAGCTGATGGGAAGGGGTTGGGTGTGGGACTGGGAGGTTTGCTGCCTGTGGAGGAGCTTGGTGGTACTCGGGTGTTCTTCCCACCAGGCGACAGCGTCGAACTCGTTGACGCGGGTTTTGAGGTCTGAAATGGTCTCTTCGTCGCCTGGGATGTGTCAGAATCATGTTTTAGGATGGAGGTTATCAGAGTGGGAGAAATACCGTAGAGATCTGAGTCTGAGTCTGGGTCCATGTTGGGAAGTTTGTGGATCTTCGCGACTCTAGTTCTGGGCTTCTAGGCGCTGATGTGAACCAAGATTAAGTCAAGGAGACGTGTCTGAATGTAAGGATGACGTTATTGCTGGTGTTCAGTTGGATGAAAAGACTTGGTGTGGCTCTAACAAGGGTCTTCAAAATCATAGCGTTTCTGAGCGATTCAGCTATCGCAAGTGCGAAAGAACTGCTAAATAACGATGTTGAAGGAAGGTATGGGTGGGAAAAGAAGGAGTGCTGTGGTGCTGGCTAGGGTTAGGGGGATATACCGAGAATTGACTGTATTTGCAGAATTTTTTACTCAACTCAACTCGAATACGACAACGCTGTGGTTTGAACTAAGTCAGATACAATATCGTCTCAGATGAGTTAATTGAGTTGTTAGGGCCTTGTGTACGTGTCATGGACAGAGACTAGCACCAGTTCTGCTGCCATTCCGCCACGGTTGTGCCCTGTCCCATTATTATACCTTCTTAGGTTCCTTGATTAACATCCAGAGAGAAGAGCTGCGATAGCCTCGATAGCCTCGATAGACCAAGGCAAATCTCCAGTATCCCAACCCCCCGGATTGTCCTTATCTTCCACTCAAACCAGTCGCTGGATTCATCGTCAAAGGAACAAAGATGAGATGATAAGTTGCTAGAACACCCAGTGCGTAAGCGGTGCCTCGTTCATACGAAGACCTATATACCGTCCGACTTGTTCCGAAACGCACGAGCCGTGGCGATGTAGATGGTATCGAATTGCAACCGCCTTGGGCGTTCAGGACTTGGATGAAACGATACGGTTGAGATACGTCGAAGTAGACTGTGCCGGGTAGCGGCGCACAGAAGGGATCAGGCTCCGGAAGGATAACGTTTTTTATATCTTCCTCATTGTCGTCTTCGTCCTCTGCGGGGCCAAGGGACTCTGATATGAATAAGTCCGGATCGGCATCTTCGTTGCTGTCGTGTATTGCTGATGACTCGGGGGAGGGGGGGGGGCTCGCATTCCCAACCGCAAGATGGTGCTCTGATCCTACGCACAAGATTCGTGTTGGCTCTTGCACTTTTCGCACGGCGGAAATGTGGGAGAAGAGGGCACCTGGGATCTGTTGACGGGCTCGCTGTCGACAGCATCTTTCCCAAAGATATCTTCGTACAAAGCGGCCATATCAGCAAACAACGAGACTCACATAGTTCGTATGGTATGGGGGCTGAAAAGCAATGAAGACTTGCTTTGGGAGCCGCAAAAACGTGGGCGGAAGTGGTGATGAACTGTCGACACTTCGACTGCTGCTGCTAGAAGGAAGAAAAGGTGGGCAAAAGCCTTGGGCGGAAAGGTGGGTTTATGAAATCTGGGTGTAGGACCCGTTGGATCCATCGCAGTGCAACGCGTCTCGTCACAAGACGCGAGATCACACAGTATAAGGCGAAGTCCCAATTAGTTGAAGTTAAGGTAGGTAGTTTAAGCTCGGACTCTAGGGCGGACCCGAACCTTGATCTCATCGTGCAGGAGCCTGGCGGTGCCCGCAGCATACATAGTTCACCTGGCATTGGGCCGAAGTGTCATGTTACCGGTGCTGTGTCGGCCCTCCCACCAGGCTACGATGTCAAAAGCTGTTGACACGCGTTTTAAGAACTGAAACGGTTCCTTCGTTGCCTGGATATCCAAGGTTGTGTGTAAGTTATATTTTCAAGGGGTGATATGACAGGTGGGAAGGAGTACTCTAGAAATCGGGAGCCTGAGTTTGATCTATGTGAGTTTCCTCGTTCCTGGTTCTTCGTTTCAAGATTTCTATGCGCCGATATAACGGAACCAAGTCAGAACCACGTTGACATATCTGAATGTTCAGACGAAGTCAAAACTGGTGTTTAGTTACCTAGACGCGACAATCTGGAAGCACTTCTGACAGGGTGAACTGAATCCAGCTGCGGTGTTTGACTGTAAGATTTCAAGGTTTCAGACTTCCTCACTCACCTTTCCTTCCCTTCAATGAAGCTTGCAATTGAAATGGTGCATACAGTAAGTACTCTATGTACTGGTGATGGTGAGTGAGAAAGGGAGTTAAGACGGAACATACAGTGGACCAATCCGGGAGGGGGGAATAATTGTTAAGCTTCCAGAAAAAGCAGGTGCGACCGGCATGGAATGCCGAGAGCTTCCTTTGACCTAACACTCACCTCTCCATCTCACTCTAACTCACTTGGTCTGTGACCGGCGTCTTCAAGCTCAACTCGGAGTCATTTCGCAGCTCGATGGCGGAAGGAGAAGGAAAGCTCATCCGATCTCTCAAATCTCAGACCCTGAATCTTCCGCCCAGTTGCGTGGAGTTTTGCCCTGCCTTTCCGTCATATTTTCTGGTTGGGACCTACTCTCTCCAACCAGAGAGTACAGGGACAAGCAACAATGCAGATACACATGCAAATGCAGACTCCGACATGGAGGGAGATGGTCACCTCTCTCGCCCAAAACAGCCGCAAAGCCGCAACGGCAGCATCATTGCCTTCCGGCTTGTAGATGGGAATCTGTGAGAAGCTTAAAATCCCATTCCAAGGTTTGGGTCAAGGCTAACTCAGATACCCTAGAACCCATGTCCAGACTATGCCCCAACCGTCGGCGCTTCTGGACCTCCGATTCAGCCCTCATCACGGCAGCCGGGATATCTACGCTGTGGTCTCGAGCACTGCTACCCTTGCCCTGTTCAGGTTGTCCCCTGACCAGGAACAGCCCCTGATGCACCTACACACCATGGATATAACTGCCATGTCTCGGGGTGAGATTGAGCCGGAAGCAGGAGAGGAGATTCTGTTCCTCTCATTCAGTTGGCATCCGTCCAGAGCAGACATGATGGCCATCACGACCTCAACCGGGCGCGTTTACCTCGTAAACCTGCCTACGTTCAACGGCAGCTGGGAGCTAAACCCAATGCCCATCATCACGCACACCCTCGAGGCATGGTGTGTCGTTATATCTCCCAGTTTGGCCGTTGCAAAGCAACTTGACGATTCACGCGAGACAGGCGAGGTGTTTAGGGTGTACTCCGGCGGTGATGATTCAATGCTGCGCTTCCAGACATGCAGCTGGACGAAGGGCGTCATCACCGATGCCTTGTCCTCCTTCGAATCACGAGGCCACGACGCTGGCGTCACCGCTATCCTGCCACTACTCGCCCAAGAAGCCGGGAATGAGCTAATCGTTACGGGCAGCTATGATGAACACATCCGGCTGTTCTCGGTTCCGCCCTTTGGCAAGCCGAGGCACCTCGCAGAGAGCAGACTCGGCGGCGGAGTGTGGCGGCTGAAGCTCATTGACTCGGATACAACGCCCAGCCAAGACTACGTCTGGCGGGCCAGGATATTAGCTTCCTGTATGCACGCTGGCGCCCGAATCGTCGAGCTTGTGCAGACGGTGGATGGCGCACATCGATTTTCTGTCCTGGGACGCTTCGAGGAGCACCAGAGCATGAATTATGGAAGCGATTTCCAGCCAGGGTGGAAGGACAAATTGTCGGTGGTATCTACAAGCTTCTACGATAAGCTTTTGTGCCTCTGGGAATTTGGGATGGCATGAACAATTCAATGATGCTCTTGTTTCTTCTCCCCTCTCCCACATACACTGTGCTGTGTAAGGTCCGAGTCTTGAAATGCTTGTACGGAAGAAATCTGATCAAAGCCATCGGGTCGTCACACCGTCCGCCCTAGCGAGAAAGAGCTGCCCCGCGCTAGTGCCAAAAAGACATAGCTCAACTCGCGCCTGAGCGCGCCTGGCAATGGTCCGCATGGAACGTGGTGGGGACTGATCTCAACTGTCAAAGGCTCGCGATTGATTCACGCCTGATGAGCATGACAACTGGCAGTCACAATTCATTGCCAGCTAGAACAAAGTGCCAGCGCAGGTGCCTCAGCACTGTTGATAGCTTCTCCTGATAGATTTCTTACATCACCCTCACGCTCGTTCCTACACTCACTTTCGTCAGCACAGCTATATACCTAGGGAATTTTTTCTGCCTCGTGTCGTCAATCCTTCCGAGCACTGCACTGCACTGCACCGTGCATTCACCGACACGCACCTCGCACTTCCTCTATGGTTTAGGCCAAAACTACCTCGATATTCTTTCTCCAGCGATAGTTAGTTCTTCTCGCCGGCTGACTGGTCTCCTCGTCTCCAATAGCTCGGCTCTTCCGAGGCTCTCACCATGGCGACGAATTCGGCGAACGGAACGGCGGGGCCTGCTGCCGCTGTCACTGGCGGAGATTTGGTTCTCTCTAGGATACACGAGGCACTCAAAGTCGTCCACAGCCCCCTCTCGCCCAACCAAGCCCGACAGGAGGCCCAGGCCTTCCTCGAAGAAGTCAAGACTCTCAGCGAAGCCCCGTCGCATGGGTTCAATCTCGCCTTCAACAAACCGCAAGAGCCTATCGTCCGCCACTACGGCCTGTCGCTCCTTGAGCACGCAGTGAAGCACAAATGGCAGGAATACGGCTCGGAGCATCGAGAATACCTCCGCGCGTGGGTCCTACAGCTGGCCGAAACCATTTCCGCCGACGACCCGTCATACCTGAGGAACAAGATTGCCCAACTCTGGGTCGAGGTGGCGAAGCGGGCATGGGTGTCCAGCTGGATGGACATGGACCACTTGCTTGTCCGTCTCTGGCGCGCCTCGGACTCGCCCCTCCACAAACAATTCGTGCTCCAAATTCTCGAGGCCCTCTCCGACGAGATCTTTAATGGGGACGACGCGGTGGTCGCCCTGCGCGAAGGGGCTCTGAGCAAGGCATGCGTCGAAATATTCACCCCGGCTGACGTCCTGGCCGAGGCCTTCCCTAACCGTCAGGCCGGCCCCGAAGTACGCTGTGAAGGCGAAGGCTGGCTCAATAGGGTAACACAGCTCATCAGCGAGAGCCTAAGCGGCGGCATCGACCAGGACCATGATGTCAGAGCATGTGCTGTCAAGGCCCTCAATGTCCTTAACTCAGTTGTACCCTGGGCCATTCCAAAAGCCCTGAATGCTGTCGGCTGCCGCCCTGTTATGTGCAGCTGTCTCGCGACGCCAAGTGTCCCCGTACAAAAGGCTGCCCTCGAGGCTCTGCATTCTCTCTATAACCGCTCGAGCTTCACGGAGGAGGAGTTCGTCGATCTTGTGGTGCCCATGTACAGCGAAGCCATGGTAGACCTCTTCAGGCGGCTCTTTGGGTGGTTGGAAGTGGATGCCCAGGATATCGACGACGACAAGTACCAGTTCGCCAAGAAGTTCTCAGAGGTGAGTATCTCTACCTCACACAGGAAATGCCCTCTTTAGAAATTTCTGACTGCCTAATAATTACAGATGCTGTGCTGCCTGGGCAATTATCTGGACAGAAAGTTCGCGGCCATACCGCCCCAGACAAACATTCAAGGCTTCCTGGACCTCCTGATGCAGGTGGTGCAAAGCCAAAGTCTCGTCGTCTCGATCCCAATCCTCCTCACATGGACCCGCCTCCTGTCTCATAGAGCATTGGGGCCGGCAGCTGCCAATATGCCCTTCATTTCCAGGCTACTCGAGCTGTGCAGTGCCCGATTAATTCGATATGAAAGCTTCCCGGAAGATTCAGACGACCCCGTCTATACCCTTCTCATCGAAGACACGGACACAATTCCCGAGCGACATGCCTTCCTGGGAAACTACCGGCGGTACTGCTGCTCAGTTATCGAGAACATTGTCCACCTCAAAATGTCCGATGCAGTCGACCATATTTTGGGCAGAGCGCAGAGTGCTCTCAATACCCTCTACGATTCTGAGATACCTCTTAACCGTGAGCCTGACCATCAAAGTCAGCAGCCTCTCTCAAAAGCTAACGTGCCTCTAGCTGCCAACTACTCCAAGACCTCGTGGCCTGTTTTGACGGTGGACGCCCATGCTACTGTCATTGAGGCGGCTCTCAAAGGCTACGACAAATGGAGGACGTCGGGCAACCGGAGTTCAGAGGAGGTACGTAGGACCTTGAGGGTGAGTAGTAGCATATCTGACCGTGGCATAGAAGCAACAAGCGGTGGCTGTTGAGGAGTTCTTCGAGAAGTGGTGCGGCCAGCTTCTAGAGATGAAGTTCGAGGTGGGACATCATTAGTCTTTCTGGCCCCTTCTTATCCGCATTGCTAACCATGACCAAGGATCCTTTGATCCGCAAACGAATTCTTCAGCTTCTCGTGACCTTCTCTACTAAGGCTCTCGACTCAAAACCGGCGATCATGCTCAGGGTGCTGGAGCATATTCTGATGACATGGCCGGCTTTGCAACCAGAGCATAGGCTCTTTAATGACGCGATTCGTGACCTCCAGACCGAAAGCATGGTCGAACTGCAACGGCTCGCATCGAAGATGCCTGACCCCCTTCTCGTAAGTCATACGTCTTTGATCGTTGTGTTCGCGCGGACTGACCACTGGCGTGCAGGACGTGTATGACCAATTAGAGGCAAAAGTTCAGGAGATGATTGCATCGGGCACTCTTGACGAGAAGCGTCAAGTGGCCTACCAGAGTTTTCTGTTTATCATCATGTAAGCCTGCCATGACCAACCTGAGCACCCATCGTTCTTGAAAGGATGGCTCACCATTTCTAGTCACCGAGCTACTCGCATTGACCCGGCTACGCGTCTGACAAGACTCCGTGCTTTCGTTGAGCCTGTGAAGAATCAATGGAAAGACGATTCCTTGAAACAGACTTTGGCCTCTTACGAAGGCTTCTGTGAGCTACTAGGCCTTGACAAGGCGCAAAAGTACCTGGCTGAGCGCGGCGTCCATACCATCGCCGACTGGGGCTCAACAGAACTTGACGCCGAGGGGCTGGCTCTGCAGGCGGAGTTGGAGCGGAGACAATCGGTACGGCACTCTGCCCTAACTTTCTGTTGACTGGCAAGCCTAACTTGTATCTAGGCACTTCCACTCCGTGTCACCAAGTCATTCCTGACTTATTCAGTTGAACGGATAGAAAAGAACTCGCTTCCCTATCAGGCATCTTGCACCCTCTGGCAGGACGGCTTCCAGCTCATCCTTCCAGAGCTGCTCCAGTTCTTGAGGTTTGTCATTCCGAATATCGTGATGATGCAAGCTCCGTACTGACTCCAACCCAGTTATGCCCACGCATCCCACAACCCAGCCAACTGGAGCCTTCTCCCGGGAGAGATGCGGTCGGTAGTGAGCCGCCTCCTGTCGGACCGGTTCTGGCAAGCCGGCATCTCGGAAGGGAGCAAAGACGACTTCTACGCCAGGGTGCTCGGAAAGAAGAATACGTTGGAAGGGCTTGCCTCGACCGTCCGTGGTGCGGTTCGGTTCGTACGGGAAACTTGTTATGCCATCATCTACTGCATGACGCGGCTCGACATGCAGTTCTATGGTTTTTTGGAACTGCCCGGGCCGCTGGCTAACGCACTGTTTGCCGACTCCGTCTATCTATCATCTCACCAGGTCATCAGCCTTCTCACCTTGGTCAGGTACCTGGTCGACAACTGCCCGGTGGAGCTGCGCAACCATTTCATACCTCCTATCCTGGCCACCTGTTTCGAGCAGATGGATGCCAAGATTAGCTCGGAATGGGATAGGCTGGGGCAACGGGAAACAGTGCGGGCTGCGGGCGATGAGCTGACGGAGGAGATGAAGGCCGAGAGCATCTTGAGGCAACTCACGTATTCCGCGGTGCTTATGGTTGCCGACGTGCTAGACCCGGCAAGACTCGGTAAGTGACTGTTTCACACAGTCCATGCTGCTGCGCCTCGATCTAACACTGATTGAGAAACAGCATCTCCGACAGCCTCGCCGGATAACCCTGACACTGCGGAGCCCGACACGAGATATCCTCCACTCCGAAAGTTCTGTCTTATGAACCCGGCTATCGCGGTGCCTCTTCTCGTGTTCTGCAGCCATGCAATCCGTATGCATGACGGTAGGTGTTGTGGCGTGGTGCTAAGGGTCTTCCGCTCTATCGTGCCCGAGTTCAGCCCTTCGGACCTTTCGAAGACCATGAAGGACTCAGGGCATACGGCGCCCCTGGAGGAGTTCCCGATTCCGGAGGAGACAGCAAGGGAGATTCGGGAGTTCATCTCGACGGAGGTGCTGAAGGCCGCCATCTCCTCGCTGCACGACCCTTACTTTGTCGATTCTCAACGGGATTTGGGCGCGCTGATCGCCCACATTCTCGCTTACTACTCGCCGTTGACGCCAACGCCTCGGAACATACTCGTGTCGTTGCCGAATATCAAGCCGGAGGATGTTGACAGGACGATCCAGCTCGTCTCTCAGCCGGGCATGCACTCTCGTCAGCAACGGGCGCTGGTCCTCGAGCTGCTCGAGGACTTGAAGGGCGTCAGCATCTCGGAGATGGGCAAGCTCACCAAGAGCCTGGGAGGAGCTGCGCATGCACCGGGATCATCTTCATCGCGCGGCGGCAGTAAGAAGGCGACGCGGAGCAAGATGGCGCAGGAATTCATGACGCCGAATGCGGGTGCCTCGGCGGGGACAACAGGAACTGGCGGGACGGCGGCTGGTGGTGGCGCGGGTGGTGTTGATCCGAAAGTACGAAATAAGACGCCCGATTTGGAGGGAATGGCGGGCATGTTTAATGAAGCCGGCTAGCGGCCCCCCACTCCGCGCGCGGGCAGCAGCAAGATCAGGAGGTCGGGGGGACGAGGACGGTGAGGCGGAACACGGAGACGGCCAGGGGCGGGATCGGAGTCTGTGGATACGGACCCGAACGCGGATGCGGAGGCGTCTGAGTCACGGTGTTGTTGTGTACGTCTACAAGCACTAAGGGGCTTCGCACCGGCAGCTGATTCGAGGAGGCGACCTCCTCCTGGCAAGGAGGCGGCTCAGACGGCCATGCGCTCGAGGAGGCGAGAGCATACATACAGCGGTCCATTCTAGGCGGCGAAGTTGCCGGCGGGGTGGGGGGGTGAGGGAGGCAGGGGCATGAGAGGGAATAGCGAAGTCTCTGGTTTCGAGACAATAATACCAAGCTTGAGTAGAGGAACAAATCTTCTGGATTGGTTGTTGGTTTGAACTTCGTCAGTCCACAAGGCCATGAGCGGGTGGCGGTGCTGCCCTGGTTGTGTTTCGGGTGTCGTGTTTCCGGTGGTGTTTTGGCTGTGACGTTGTTTTTGCAATTTGGAATACCTGCCAGTAACCCTCAACTCATAACCTCGAGGTGTTTCCAGTTGCATCAGACTTACTCGGAACCCAGGTGCGTTCTCTGTCTTTGGTGTGCAGGGCTGCCGAGGCCACGCGCAGTTCCTGGTGGCAGGTGGCTAGACCCCTCCCTCTCCTTGGGTCTGCTCAGGACTCGGGGTAGCCATCCCCTCCTTCCCAAACACCCGCAAGTGCTGCATCATGGTAGGGATCTGCGCCAAGCATAAGGTATCCGGGGTAGGGACCGGGTGCCAACTGATCGCTACCTGGTTCGAGCTTAGTGAGCTGTCAAAGGCACGGGCAAAGGCTTTGTTTGGGATTCATGACTGTCAATCGGTGAACTAGCTCGAATTGTGGGCGTTGTGAACTCTGTGGGCTGTATTTCTGTGCACGAGTCAGGTCGTTGCAAGCAAAAAGGGGCAATTATTAACTAATAATGGGAGCAACCGAAGCAAGCGTGGCAAGCCCTGCCCAGTTAGAGTTCTCTTACACCGAGGCTCCCGCACACTCTTCGCACCTTGCTGGCCTGTCAACCTCGGCTTCCGTCGCTTTCGATCTGTGAGCGAGACAGCCGTCACACATTTGCTGGGAAGCATCTCGCGACAAGGCTTCTGCCAAGTCCGGGGCACGTTTCATGCCGGCAGATAGACATTCGGTGGAGCCTACTGGTGCAGGAGGAGGGGAACATCTTTGGGATGTTTTCATGATCATTTTCTTGCGGATAAGTTAACCTGCAGATTCCGGGAAGCTCAGTTAGACGGAGTATACAACTCAGACTGAGAATTGGTTCACGGCCTCGGCTTCTTTTTCGACGCTCAGTCTCTCCACTATAACTCTCTCTACTCCGGCACACAGCCCAGAGACAGAGGGTCAGAGGACAGCCATGGTGTACTGCGGGAAGCCCTCCAAGGGCTGCCAGATGTGCCGGACTCGGCGCATCAAGGTATGTATGACAGCCGGCCCCTGGATTGGAACCGCAACGGGGAGATATTGACCGAATGACATTTGCCAGTGCGACGAGACCAAGCCGACATGCAACCAGTGTGCCAAAGCACGCCGCCAGTGCCCGGGCTACAAAGACGAGTTCGACCTGGTCCTGCGCAACGAGAATTTTGCGGCCAAGCGGCGAGCCCTGAAGCTCACCGCGCCGAGGCGCAAGAAAGCAGACCTTGCTGAACCGTCCTCGGCGTCAACCTCGTCGTCATCGTCATCATCATCAGCATCGTCGACGTCGTTGTCATCCTCATCATCCCCACCAACACCGACCGCCTCCCCACCACTCTCAACTACCACCGCCTCCACGACGTCGTCAACTCACCGTCCCCTTTTCTTTACTCGCAATCATCAACAACAACAAGACGATTACAGTCAACGACAACAAATCCGACTTGCCCTCTCCCCAACCCCAATCCATCTACCAGTAGAGGACCTCGCACCCTGCCATTTCGTCTCCAACTTTGTGCTGCTCCCCCGCCAGGACGGATCCAGGGGCTGGCTCGAGTATCTCATTCCGCTCATGCAGTCTATGCAACAGACACAACAACAGTCTCATCAAAAGGAGATGATGACTATGACAACAACTGGACGAGGTGGGGGCGGAGGAGGTGGAGGGGACATGGCACATCTCTTCCATGCGTTCAATGCCTGCGCGCTGGCGAGTTGGGGGAATCGGGTCGGGGGCGCTTCTTTTCCTTCTTCGGGGTCTGGAACTGGGACTGCGTTGGGGTCGGTTTCATCCGGGCCAGGAGTTGTTAGGGGTGGTGACATGTCACGGGTTGAGACCGGGATAGCGGGAGGGGCAGCGAGGATGGGTGGTGATGGTGGGATTTTGGGCAAGGCGTTTGCCGAGTATAGCAGGGCGTTGAAGGCTACGCAAGCTGCTTTGACAGATCCGGAGCGGTGGAGGAGTGACGGCGTGCTGGCGGCGGTCTTGTTGCTGGGCATGTTCGAGGTGAGTGAGGCCCAGGTCACATCAATCTGTCCGGAGAGGGACCGGATGGCTGATACTGGACACAGAACATCTCGGCCAAGCAGATGGGTACCCTGGCCTGGGGGTCGCATATCGAAGGCGCGATACAGCTCGTCAAGGCCCGCGGGCGGAGCCAGCTGAGGACGAGGCTGGGGGTGCAGCTGTTCATTGCCGTGAGGACACAGCTTGTAAGTTCCAAGCTCCCCTGTCTCATATTGGAAGGCTAACCCGCCAGATCATCCACACCCTCACCACCGGCACCGCTCCAGCCATGGGCGCAGACTGGTGGATCCAGGACGCCGTGGTTGAGCCGACGGCCACCGAATGCCAGCGCCTCAGCCTCAAAGCCGGCGAGCTGCGCGCCGACGTCACCCGAGTCCTGGGCAGCGCCGCCCGCACGCCCGAGAACATCGAGCTGGTACAGAGCCTCATGCGGCGGGCACAGGCACTGGACAAGGAGGTCACCGTCTGGATGTGCTCGGTCCCCGAGGCCTGGCGGTACAGGACGCTGTGCTGGCAGAGCCACAACCTTGCCGTCCCCGGCGACAGCAGCAGCAGCAGCGACTACTCCAAGGCCGAGGTGTTCCCCGGGCGCGTCGACGTATACAACGACTTCTGGGTGGCGGCCGTGTGGAACTCGGCGCGCACCGCGCGGCTCATCCTCATGTCCATCGCGGTGCGCTGCGCGGCGTGGGTATGCTCGCCCGTCGACTACCGGACCACGCCCGAGTACGCCACCGCGGCGCGGTTGTGCGTCGACACCATCGCCGACATTCTGGCGTCGGTGCCGTACCATCTGGGCTGGCACACCAAGCGGAGGGATTTTTTTCGGAACGAGGACGGCACGGCGTTTGCGTGCGGCGAGGAGGACGGGATGAAGGGGCTGGCCGGGTACTTTTTGACCTGGCCGCTGGCTTGTGTCATGACGCAGGACTACTCGACCGACGCGCGTATGTGGACTGTGTCCCCTTTTTCTCACCGCACGGACAGACGAGGCTGATACATTGGCTGTGCTAGAACGAGCCTATGTCAGGGGCAGACTCCATCATATCGGCGACGAGCTCGGCATCAAATACGCACACATCATAGCCCAGGTTAACCTTTTGCTTCATTGTTACATAAAAAGATGACGTTGCTAATAAATGGACCAGCTCCAAGTCCGAGTCCCATCAATGCTCATCCGCTCCGACGGCCTCCTTGCCAAGCCTTATCCTATGGCCCACAACTTCGAGAAGCTCCTGTCGTCCCGGTTCGACAGTCCGCTCACGCAAGCGTATACACTGAAGGAGAGGCAGCTGCCGCAGCAATGGACCATGCAACAGGAGCAGTTCCAGCAGGGCGATGAGTGGGCCGGTGGGCAATAGTGAGACACGGCCAGGCCTGTGGATTGTATAAGTTTTTCTATTTTGCGATGGGCTGCTGCTTCGACGAGTTTCGGTATGGGATACCCTGAAATTGCTTGCTGTATCAGTGTATAGGATTTAGGGGGAGGTCACAAACTTCGGCGCTCAGGAGTGATGGGCGTATTTTGAGGGGAATCGAGTAATTATGCGGTCGTTTAAATTCAGACCAACGCATATCGGTCCGAACGCCATGGGCTATACTGCCCTTCCCAAGTGACACCGTGAGCAATGACATCGCTTCCTGCCTATTTATCCCCTACAATCCTGAAGCCCCCGCGGCTTGTCATGATTGCCCCTCTCCCGGCTTCGATCTCGTGAGCATATGCCTGCCCACCGCGCAAATTAGTCTCTAATAACCCCAAAGAGGGGACGCACTCCCATGCAACAGACAGATAAGACAGACCTCTTCCGCTTTCCTGCATCTTCCTGCTCGTTCGCGCCCGAAGCGGACGACCCCAACTCCCACGCCTTGACGAACACGCTCTGCGTCTTGTCCAGGTACGACTCGGCCCCCACGTGCTGGACATTGACGCGCATGCCGTCCTTGGTGAAGACGACGTGGTCGCCCATCTGCTTGCGCGCCTGCGCCTGGATTTTGCCCAGCGACAGGTATATCTGGTAGCAGACCCAGGCGATCACGCCCAGGACGACCAGCGTGAGGACTAGCGGGATGAGTTGCCTGTTGCCCTGATATTAAGTACTGAGGGCTCATGGCATGGGAATTATTAAGGGGCATGGCGGACCTCGTTGTTGACGGCGGAGTCTGGGTGTGCTGCTTTCCCCAAGCCATGATGGGGTAATAGATGGATGGATGGTAGATTATTATGAGGGGTGCCAGACTAGATAGTTGGACTTTGCAAGCAGGCGCACAGCCCGAGTCACCGGTGGGTAACTCTTGCCGTGAGGAGAATCCTGGACTGATTCAAGAAACCAAGGAGATATTATCCTTATGAAGCGCTGTGACAAAGAAAGCCTTGGGCAGCTCTGCAAGTGCAAGGTTGCCTTTGCGCAACCAAATGTGTCGAATCCGTTGGCTGTTTGGAGGACGCAGCGTCGTGGCATAAACCAACGTTGCCGCCACCGTTGTTCCTGTTGGCCAACTCCAAAGGGACAATATTTCGTGACTATTATAAACAACTCAGAGCCTTTCGACAGTGGAGTTCTCTTGATATTAACAGAGGCGGCCTCAGAACCCGCCTACATTGCGCAGCCACGATGAGATGGGTACATTTGAGACGCCGACCCATCTCCAGTGGGGTTGTTTGATGGGCTGCGAGGAACGTGCATACCGGATGTAAGTGTATTTCTCGCTTTCCCTACCAGTACGAATCCGTACTCCGTACGGATACATTGAGCTCCGCTGTCTCATGTTCCACTGAGGGAGTAGCAAGTCACGTTACAGCACGAGCGCCGGTCATTACGATGCTCGGTGTATGGTACGGTTCGATGCATTTAACGGAGTACCTTGCCCTTAACCGAAGATCATCACAGGAGTCTGCAGATGTACCTTCCTTGGCCAGAGCACTGGAGCCGCAGCCACGGCTCCAGCGCCACAGTGCGGGTCGCAAGCTCTGCGGTAGCCTTCCAGGTTGTCCTCAGCGTGCCTCTCTCACTGACAGCTTTGGATGAGGCCAGTTTGCGATCCACAACCCCTCCGCCAAAATTGGTCCCGTCACTGTGGAAAAGGACACAGCAACAGCTCCAACCCTGCAGGCTGCAGCCAATTCCAAGCCCGGTCCACCAACCGCCACCATCCCTCCGACGCCAATCCAGGTTCCAAACCAGCTCTCCATCTCCAGATTGAACAAACCGACGTCCTACAAATACCCAACACTACAACTCTCGGCCACCGTCTCATTAGCGACGCGCTGCTGCAGCGACGCCCGGCCGAGCCCGCAATGTCTGCTCCCCACGACGGCTACGGCCAGTATCCGCCCCAGCAACCCGCCGAGCAAGCGCAAGCCCCGTATGCCGACCAAGCTTATGTGAACCCGGCCGCCGCCCCGCCTCCGCCTGCTGGCGCGCATCATGCTGCAGACCATGGCAAGAAGAAGAAGAGAGCATATGCTGCACAGGCCTTCGATGTGGGCGTAGGGGGCAACGCCGCGCTCCCCGGCCAGCTCCCCAGCCAGCTGCCAGTGGGAGGAGGCCAATTCGGCGCTCCCGCCCCGGCATATGGAGGCTATCCGCAACCAGACGTCCAGCCCGCTGCCTACGCCGCCCAGTCACAGCAGCCGTACGGCATGGCCCAGCCGGCGCCGGTCGCAGGTTACCAGGCTCCGGAGCCGTACTACCCCTCAGCCGGAGCTCCCCCGGCCGCGGGAGGCGTTGCCGGACTCACCTCGGGCATGTCGGCCATGAACCTCGGGCCCGGAGCCCAACAGCAGCCGCAGCAGCTTCCGCCGCAGGCGAGGGCCGGCCCTCTTAACCAGCTCTACCCCACCGATCTTCTGAATCAGCCCTTCAATGTCTCCGAGTTGGATCTCCCTCCGCCACCCATCATTTTGCCACCGAGCGTATGTCGACTCTCTCTGGGGATGTGAACGCGCTCCTACGATATGCTGACGTTGTGCAACAGTCCAGCGTCACCCCTTCCCCTGATGCAAACTGCGCGCCAAAGTACGTACGATCGACCCTCAACGCCATCCCTACGACTCACTCGCTGCTCAAGAAGAGCAAGCTGCCATTGGCCCTCATCATTCAACCCTACGCGGCCCTCCATGATCTCGACGACCCCGTGCCCGTTGTCCAGGACCAGGTCATTTCCCGGTGCCGGAGATGCAGGTCCTACATCAACCCCTTTGTGACCTTCCTCGATCACGGCCACCGATGGCGCTGCAACATGTGCAACCTCACCAACGATGTGCCCCAGGCCTTTGACTGGGATGCTGCGGCCCAGAAGACCGTCGACCGGTGGCAGCGCCACGAGCTGAACCACGCAGTCGTGGAATTTGTCGCCCCGCAGGAGTACATGGTCCGCCCTCCCCAGCCGCTGGTCTATCTCTTCCTGTTCGACGTCAGCTACGCCGCTGTATCGACCGGCCTCCTTGCCACCAGCGCCCGCACCATCCTCGACAGTCTCAACAGGATTCCGAATGCTGACCGGCGCACCCGTCTCGGCTTCATCGCCGTCGACTCGAGCCTGCACTACTTCTCTGTGCCCAAGGATACGGAGGAGAACGGAGAGACCAGTATGCTGGTGGTCAGCGACCTGGACGAGCCGTTCCTCCCGGTTCCCCAGGAGCTGCTGGTCCCTCTGACCGAGTGCCGGAACAGCATTGAGAATTTCCTCAGCAAGCTTCCCGACATGTTCATCAACAACCAAAACAACGGGTCTTGCATGGGATCTGCCCTGAGGGCTGGCCACAAACTCATCTCCCCGCTCGGTGGCAAGATTGTGGTTCTCAGCGCCTCGCTGCCCAATGTGGGCTACGGCAAGCTCGAGATGCGCGAGGACAAGAAGCTGCTGGGCACTTCTAAGGAGAGCGGCCTGCTTCAGACGGCCAACAGTTTTTACAAAAGCTTCGCGGTGGAGTGCTCCAAGAACCAAGTCTCGATCGACATGTTCCTCTTCTCGTCGCAGTACCAGGACGTGGCCTCTCTGAGCAACCTCCCGAGGTACACGGGCGGACAGACCTGGTTCTATCCGGGCTGGAATGCTGGCCGTCCAGAGGACGCCATCAAGTTCGCCTCTGAGTTCAGCGACTACCTGTCGTCCGAGATCGGCCTCGAGGCGGTCCTCCGTGTTAGGGCAACGACCGGCCTCCGCATGAGCACCTTTTACGGCAACTTCTTCAACCGAAGCTCCGACCTGTGTGCCTTCCCGGCCTTCCCTCGCGACCAGTGCTACGTGGTCGAGGTGGCCATCGACGAGAACCTGACCAAGAACGTCGTGTGCCTGCAGACGGCCGTGCTGCACACGACATGCAACGGCGAGCGCCGCATCCGCGTCTTGACGCTCGCCCTGCCGACAACCACCAACCTCGCCGACGTCTACGCCTCGGCCGACCAGTCCGCCATCACAACCTATTACAGCCACAAGGCCGTGGAGCGGGCGCTCAGCAACGGGCTCGACTCGGCCAGGGACCTGCTGCAGAGCAAGGTCACGGAGCTCCTGCAGACCTTCCGCAAGGAGCTGGCCGGCGGCAGCATGGGCGGCGGCCTGCAGTTCCCCTCCAACCTCCGTGGCCTCCCCGCGCTCTTTCTGGGTCTGATCAAGCACGTCGGCCTGCGCAAGTCGGCCCAGATCCCCTCGGATCTCCGGTCCGCGGCCCTCGACCTGCTGTCGACGCTGCCTCTGCCCCTGCTCATACAGTACATCTACCCGCGCCTCTACTCGCTGCACGACATGCCCGACAACGCCGGGTATCCGGACCCGGAGACGAGCCAGATTGTGCTGCCGCCGCCGCTGAACTTGTCGAGCGAGCGGTTCGTGCCGTACGGCTTGTACCTGATCGACGACGGGCAGACGCAGTTCCTGTGGGTCGGCCGCGACGCCGTGCCGCAGCTGCTCGTGGATGTCTTTGGGGTGGCGGACCGCGCGCAGCTGAGGGTGGGCAAGGGGAGCTTGCCGGAGCTGGAGAATGATTTCAATGAGCGGGTCAGGGCGGTGGTGGCCAAGAGTCGAGATCATAAGAGTAAAGGGGTGGGCAGCATTGTGGTGCCGCATCTGTATATCGTTAAGGAGGATGGCGAGCCGAGTTTGAAGCTCTGGGCGCAGACGCTGTTGGTGGAGGATCGGGCGGATCAGGGCATGAGTTATCAGCAGTGGATGGGGGCGCTGAGGGAGAAGGTTAGTTTCTGAGTTTTACCCCGGCCCCGAAAAGAAAGTGAGATGTGGGTGTGCTGACTGGTTGGAACAGGTTGTTCAATGAGGGAGGTGTGGCTCGGGACAGCGTGGGAAGGGAGGTCTGTTCTGTGCCTGGTGTATGGGTAGGGTAATGCTTGTGAAATAGATATCTTACAGAAGCCAGGTCTGGAAAGAAGGGCGTTTACAATATCTGAGGTTCGGCTGGTTGTGTCCGTTTGCTATCCGTTAGTGAGACATCGACTCGTCCTTTCCTCGGGCCTGTCGCAATTCTCCATCACTTGGTCTTCTTGTCTTTGGTCCATCTCCGTTGCGACAGCGAATCTGCGGACTGATGAGGGTCCCTTCCAAAACCCAGTCTTGCGGATATTCTGATTCAGCGGCGGGCTAAGGTGTAAATAACGTCATCTGGGTCACTCGATGTGTATCTGCAGGCGGTCCGGCCCAGCCTGGTCCTTTTCTGGCTTTTTTCTATGGTATCTGTATAAGCGGCCGACCTTGACCGTGGTTGTTTCATCGCGATGCGCTGAGAATAGCAACAACGCAGGCCCCCACATGGTCGCCATTTTGGCCTCGTCAATCAGGGGTCGTTCGCATACATACAATGTGCGGCTCTTTTTCGCAATACAAGTCGAATGCGTGACGGTTCGCTTCTTCTCAAGATCCCGATGTAAAGCAAGGTCTGGTTCCCTTTTTTCAACGGTTTGACTAGGGGGTCACTCTGAAAACAATGCAGTCTCGCTGGTTTCACATCAGATAAATTGGATAAGCGCAGGCCAAAGGTGCACTGCCTCGATTTTGAGGGTCCCAACCAACCAAGTAGCATATCTAGGTACAGAGTAAGGGTATCTTCTACCTAGCTTTTTAGCGGCACCTGTACGGAGCAATGGCTTGGTTCCTGTTTAGGACGACCAGGTCGGGTGTGTGTGGTATTGTGCCCTGCTTCTACGGAGTACTCCGTCTCCGTAATCGTTTATGATCAAGTTGAGTATTGTGTAAGGTATTGGCGGAGTGAGTGTCAAGGTTCCCGTTTTAACGATAGAGGGCTGGTCAGTCACCATGCCCTGTAGGCGACCTCAGCCCGATGCTGAACGATAATGAGAAAGAAGGGACGGCGCTGAGCTGTTTTGTCTGTGGCCGAGGGGCTGACCTTGAGAAAGTGAAACAGTCGCTCGCCGGCCAGCCGGCCATTGGCGATTTCATGTCTTCCTGAGACAAGCACGCGCCGAGAAAGGGCGGGTCCCGCTTGTGCCGCGCCAGGGTCACGGCTAGGGGCCATGGATGATGGTATGGTGGCTTGGGGTGGGCAAAGGCGCTTATTTGACTTCTCGTTGGTCGTTTGTAAGGTGACGGGAGCTATGTATCATGCAGCCGCTTCTGTGCTTCGCGCTTGGTGGGACGGATTCAATAAGGTAGCCTTGGTATGCCAATGGCATGCAGTGTGATGAGCGCGAGTGTGATGATGGTGACGGTGAATCTGGGCATAGGCATTCCCATACAGCAGGCTATTGATGAGGGTCTCATGATGCCTACACAGTAAGGTCGACTGGGATTCAAGACGGGGAAGCTTTTCTCAGAACAAGGAGTACCTCCGTGACATGCAAATCGGAGTCCACATCGCGAGATGTTTCGTGTTTCTACGAAGTATGTTTCATAATTCTAAGCGCCAAGCGAACAGCCAGGTGGCCGGCCGTTGCTCCAGGCGGGAGGGGATACCATAACTTATCTGACGAGCCATTGCTGTCTCTTTCCCCAGCCAACTGATGTTGGCTCTCGATGGCCTTTGAGGATGCTCACAAACGGGCTCAGGGAGACGACAGACACGTGCGAACCAACCGACCAAAGCCACCCGGTTTCCTATTTTGGGGACCGGGACAGCCGCCCTGCACCCCGGCGTTTTGAGCGACCTGCAAGACCGCCAGTGATGTGCCGATGTGGTGAGAGGTTGAAGAGGCCTGGGGTTCATAAATGCCCACTGTGTGGTTGCGAGCGAGTGTCTTCATGGACCCACCTCGAGCGAATGACACCCCGGCCCCTGACCTTGTCGCTCCATTCCCCCGCCAGGAGAGGGGCCAGATCCAGGATGCATGGATGAACGGCCAGGCAAGCTCGTTCTTCTACAACACCATCTCCCGTGTCCTGGCTGGTGAGCTTTGATTGTTTTCTGCTATTCATCCCTTTGAGATATCGCTGCTGTTTTTGCGGCAACTTCTCGATTGCGTCGGTCAGCGACGAAAACAGCTCGCGTTCAGACCATCCGTTCATTTTTCGGAAGGAACGGATAAGGTACAGTACCCTCCCAGCCCAGAAGCGGGGCAACCTCCTGCTGGAACTGAATCTCACTGCTCACGCCGTCGCAAGCTCCTACCTTCTCACCACCTTCAACCGTCTCCTTCACTAGCAGTGCGCTTGACGTATTTATCTGAAGCTTCCGCGCTTGACCTCAAAGGTACGTTTTGTGCTATGACATTGTTTCGAGATGGCTCTTTCCTTGCCCCTCTTCGACCCCAAGGACCTTCGCCCGAGCAATGCACACACCTCGACGACAACCGGCTTCTCTTCCATCCACGTCGTTGTACGCCGACCTGGAGCGTCCAGTAGGATCTTCTTTTTGGTCGATGCACGAGCTGTGCTCTGTTGTAGCCAGAATGCCATCGGTCTATCCCCCCAGAGTAGGGGTCATTTTTGCGACAGCCCTGCTGCAACGCCCGAGTTGCATACGAAGCGTCTGATCGCCAATTTCCGGCAACCCAAACCTGTTTTCTCACGGGCTAGTTCACGAGCTTCTCGTGGGATCGCTCCTGTTCACATGCTCGACTGGAGCTTTTAGAAGCGCATCAACCCCTGAAACCCTGCACAACGACACTCGACGCCTGATCGCCACGCTTGAAAACCTGCGCAGCTCTAGCACCCGTGCCGCTTGCGTTCTCGGAACTGGTTAGCTACGACAACTGGGATACGGCAAGCTGCTACATTGATGCTAGCCACGGGCCACATGTGACCGCCATGCGTTGCATTTTGCCTTCAGTTGGTGTTCCTGGTAGCTAACCTGGAATTGTAGCTTTGTCGTAGACAAAAGCCCGCATCCGATCTCGATACCACGCGGCGCCTACCGCCGTCAAACAAAGAACCAGAGCCCGCCGCGTTACGGGACAAACCCTTCGCCGTGTCTGAAGTGGGAAGTGGCATAGCATAAAGGAAACATCGGCCTGCAGCACAGAAGGGCTTGGGTTGACTCTGCGACTGCACCATCACAAACACTCCGTTGTCGGACAATTACATTGTGCCGCCTCATTTCCACCGACTGCGAAACGGGAAATCGGCATAGGAAACCACTGAAAGTGAGCTGCCTAGTTCGGCCGGCGTCTCACCTCCAGTGCCCAACCACCGCATCACAGTCGACCGACGTAGCTTTGCAACGGTCAAACAGCTATGAGCAACGCACAGCATAAAGGTGGGGCGCGGAAGATCTCCTTCAATGTGAGCGAGCAGTACGACATCCAAGATGTCGTTGGTGAAGGCGCTTACGGAGTCGTGTGGTAAGTCTATCCGGCCGCATTGTCAGTTACCGAGCCAAGCTCTGATTGTGCAACAGCTCCGCCGTCCACAAGCCTTCCGGACAGAAGGTGGCCATCAAGAAGATCACTCCATTCGACCACTCCATGTTCTGCCTCCGGACGCTGCGCGAGATGAAGCTGCTGCGGTACTTCAACCACGAGAACATCATCTCCATCCTTGACATTCAGAAGCCTCGCAGCTACGAGACCTTCAACGAAGTTTACCTGATTCAGGTATGGCTGTCGCCGTGATGACCAGTGGTGTCGGCCTGGGTTGCTTACGCACGGTGTACTAGGAACTCATGGAGACCGACATGCATCGTGTTATCCGTACACAAGAGCTCTCGGACGATCACTGCCAGTACTTCATTTACCAGACGCTGCGCGCCCTCAAGGCGATGCACTCTGCGAACGTACTTCATCGCGACTTGAAGCCGTCCAATTTGCTGCTCAACGCCAACTGCGATCTGAAGGTGTGCGATTTCGGTCTGGCGCGGTCGGCCGCGTCGCAGGAGGACAACTCGGGCTTCATGACGGAATACGTGGCCACTCGTTGGTACCGCGCTCCCGAGATCATGTTGACGTTCAAGGAATACACCAAGGCGATCGATGTCTGGTCTGTGGGCTGCATCCTGGCCGAGATGCTGAGCGGCAAGCCCCTATTCCCCGGCAAGGACTGTAGGTGTCTTGGAGTCTGCGGAGCCCTCTTGGTGGTCTTATACTGACGCTTGCGCATAGATCACCACCAGCTCACTTTGATTCTAGATGTCTTGGGCACGCCAACAATGGAGGACTACTACGGCATCAAGTCGCGCCGCGCCCGAGAATACATCCGCTCGCTGCCGTTCAAGAAGAAGGTGCCGTTCCGGACGCTGTTCCCCAACACGTCGGAGCTGGCACTCGACCTGCTGGAGAAGCTGCTCGCCTTCAACCCCGTCAAGCGCATCACGGTGGAGGAAGCCCTCAAGCACCCCTACCTCGAGCCCTACCACGACCCGGACGACGAGCCGACGGCCCCGCCCATCCCGGAAGAGTTCTTTGACTTTGACAAGCACAAGGATAACCTCAGCAAGGAGCAGTTGAAGCAACTGATCTACCAGGAGATCATGAGGTAGAGTAGAGTAGAGCGTTGATGGCTGGCGGTGCGAGTCTGAATGGAGGCGAAGGGAGATCTTCGCGCTTGGCTGTAACCTCTCACCTTGCTCATAAGTTGTCGTTTCTGTGCTTTGGGAGTTGTAGTGGATAGAAATGAGGGGATTGGTAATTGCATGTTGATTGCTAGTTATCTGGACTTTGCTGGATAGCAAGGTCGGCAGAATAGTAACGATACGTCTCTTTCCACCAATCACTTGTCGTTCTAGGTGAAGCAAGGAGAAGGCCAGTTTCGTGTAAAGGCGCAGCTCATCTTTGACCGGGGAGTGGGATACTGCGGGACTCAACGTGTTGCTCAAGGCGATTCACTTGTGAGATTCCATGTATCGTTGCCACACGTTTGACAAGGCAGCGATTCATGATGTCCTACGTTCGTTGTGTATCTTGACTACCTGAGCTCGACATAGCCCGTTGGCTTCATTGGCCTCCATTGATCATAACGTAGGTCTGATCCGTCGCTGAACTGCGAAAAGGACATGAGCCCTTTGCAGAGGGATCCCGTTCCATCTCTGACTCTCCCAGCAGCACAACCGATTTGAGCTGAGATGCCATGTACAATCCTCACCACAACGCCCAATACACCGTTTTTACCCATGCGCAGTTGAATCATCAGAGCAGCAAACCACCCAGTTTTCCGTGACTACAACCACTCCAAAGAAAAGGTGCGGTCGTTTTTGCCGGTGCCATACCGAACCCGACCTGACCCAGCTGTTTGTTGACTGCCCACCAAACCCCTTAACCCTTTTCCTTCACCAGCCCAACCCAACCGGCGCCGCCGACAGAAAAAAAGGTATATTACCTTACCTGAGCAGACGAGGAAAGAAGAAGAGATATGCAACTTCAAACCTCCTATCCTAGCCTTGCTTGTCCGGAGTCTTCGAAACGCCATTTCATTGCCGACTTGAAAGGACGTCCGCTTTTCAAGCCCCCAACCCGACGAGCAGCAACTACCTCAGCTTGGCCAGCACCGGCCCGACAGAGCACCAAACTAGCGCAGCCCAGCACCAAAAATGCGTAGCATACTGTCCTGTATACCAAGGCAAGGTAATGTTAAGTGTAGGCAGGTAGGTAGGTACGAACGTTATGATATTCACGCGCCAATAACCCACACCTCGACGCCCAATACGCCGAATTTCTCCCCTTCGTCCGAGAGCGGCTCGTTGCCAAACGTCTGGCTTGTCGAGGAAACGCCGCGCTCGAGCGAGTCGTCAAGCCAGAGGCCGTAGCGCCCGTCGCCTGCGCCGAGAGACAGGAAATGGGGTTCGCAGAGCATGTAGTACTCGTTTATGCCCGAGTAGGGAAAGGCTTTGAAGCGCATTGATTGCTTTGACTCGGGTTGGTTTTCTGGATGTTGTTGTTGTTGTTGTTGTTGCGGGGTCGAGGAGGAGCGGGTTCCGGGCCCTGGTGGTTGTTGTTTGGAGAGAGAGGAGGAGGAGGAGGAGGAGACGGGGTTGTTGTGTGTTGTGGTGGCCGCAGAGATTGTGGTTGTTCGGAGGTTGGAGTTCGTGGTGGTGTCGTCGATGGAGGATGGCGGGGGAGGCAGCGGGGTGTGGATGGAGACGCGCCAGAGGAAGCATTCGCCTGTGCCAAAGTACTTTGGGGCTGGGTGCGGGTGGTCGGAGAGGTAGGCGCCAAAGAGCTGTAGACAACAACAACAGACACAATATCTTGTCAGCAATGATGTGACGAAGAAGAGGGGACAGAGACGAGATGGGGTTACGTAGTTAAGAGAGGGAAAACGTACACCCTCCTCGCAATCCTTGACGCACAACACAAACCCGACCCTCAAGCCCTGGTACCGCGCACACTTCTCGTACAGCGTCGCCAGGCTGGCGCCGTCCTGCTCCAAGCTGTACACCAGCCGCCACTCGTCGACGATGCCTAGCCGCGCGGGCACCATGATGCGGATCTCCTCGGCGATGGGCGGCGTCAACAGCCGCGCGTCCTGGCCCGTCTCGTCCGAGAACCCCACCAGCTGCAACGGCTCCAGCGGCGGCGGGCGCATCGGCGATGCGGTGCGGTGGGTGTGGAGAAGGTGTGGAGGCGTGTACACGCCGTCGCGGCCGTTGCCGTTGCCGTGGCCGTCGGGCTGGAAGGTCCGCGCGTGCGGGAGCGGTGGGGCCGGGTTCGGTGTCGATAGTGAGGGCTCGCCCGAGAAGCGGCGAATCAGACCGCCCAAGAGACTTGACACAGACGAGGTGAGGAAGGTCGAGGAGCTGGGCGAGGCTGTGTCTGGCGGGGTGACGCTGCCAGGGGAAGAAGGTGATGAAGGGCCGTCAAGCTCTGAAGAGTGGCGCGAGCGGAGTGGTCGTTCGTTGCTGGAGGCGTGATAAGCCATGGCCGGTTTGACTATCGTTGCAGCGTTGTTCTGGAAAGAGAAATTATTCGATGGTAGTGTAAGCGGCTCGGATCAGGAATGGTTGCTCTGCCGGAAGCTCCAGCAGCGGGTTGGACGGTCAACAGGCCTGGGGTTGACAGCCATCAAGGATGCGGTCGGGGATGAGGATGCGGTCGGGAATGAAATGCCGAAATCGACGATTTGCTCGTGTACGAGTCTTGCCATGGAATGGTGGATGACAGCGGGTTGGTACCCTGGGAGATGGCGAAGTCCAGTGTGTTGCCTTGGGAGTTGTTGCGTCAGCCTTATCCAGACCGCACTGTGCCGGAAGCTATCAAACTTCCTGTTACACCAGTAACTATACCTGGCGAGCCTGGCCCTTGCCCATTTGGGCGGCGAATTAGGTGCAGGCTAGGTAGCTGATGGGCCGGAAATAGTACCTTTACCTGTACTCCGGCCTCTATGATTCAATGTACGGATCCGTACGTGTTAAAGGATTGGTGAATGCATCAAACTTGACCCAGATTTCTGAGCTTCCGGTCATCCCCATCCAAGGCCGGTGGGTGATCGTGTCTGTGGCTTAAGTGCAGGATACGTTCATGTCCGTCGTCATTACGAACCTTAAATTCTTGCTGCCCTATTCTAGACAGCTACTGAAGCGGGAGATGCCCTGCCATAGCCCCTCTGGCGTAGGCTGCTCGGCGCAGACATCAGGCTCGTAGCCAAACTCCTGCACCAGATGATCACGCGTTGTTGGCCCAATAGTTGCAACAAAGATGTTCTGGTCTGGCCGCTTTGGCTTAGCCTTGCCTGTGCTCTCGTCAAGAAGACCCATGGCACTCAGCATGCTGTCACAGCCACTGGGCGAAAACACAACCACCCATCTCCTCGGCCGGTCCGCCGTGTCTTCGAGACGCTGTGTAAACTCGTCCTTAAACGACTTCAGCTCCCTCGTGCCGTAGATGACCACTTCATCCACCCGCCACCCGGCTCGGGTCAACATGTTGGGAATAACATCCCGCCGCTTTTCGCCCACGAGAAACAGCAAGGGCGGCTTAACCTCGCGGTCCCTGTACCACGCCCCGTAGTGTTCGAGGATGAACGGCGCCAGCTTCTCCCCAGTGCCGGTGTGCTCGCCAAAGATCTGCAGCGAAGGCGCCTGGGGCACGGCCTTCAGGGCCCGCGTGGTTGCGGGCCCGACGTTGTAGACGGGCACGTCCTGGAGATGAGGCCAGCCATCTTCGCCTGCGCACAATTGCTCACCTTTCTTAGCGATTTCCGATGCCAACCTCGCCGAGACTAGGTAGAGTCTCACCTCTCCTTTCTTCGGCGAGCTTGGTGAAGGCCTCGACGGCGCGCTGAGACGTGAAGATCAATCCGCCATATACGGCGTCGTCGGCCGTGCTTATTGTCCTGTCCTGGAGGGCGCTTCGCACCTTGGCCATCCCTGGTTCATCGAAGCGGTGCTCCAAGACGGGGACAAATGAGGGGTCGAACGCGGGGCCATTGGGCGGGGATGAAAAGAGCTCCTCGTAGGCGTCGCCGGGAACAGATTTGGTCTTGAGAAGTAAGATAGGCGTTTTCTGCGACATGTTTAGGCTGTAGGTGATATTGGATGAAATGTGCAACCTGCAATTGGGAAATTCAATGTTGAACAAATGGGACAAATGCCCGCAGGGAGCTTCAGCTGTTGCTTTCGCTGGCCTGTTCTTATCGATAACATTGCCCTGCTCATTCATCTGATTTCCAATCACACCCGAGAATTGCCGGCGCCAGTGTCCCGGCATCGTTTTGGATGTTTCTAAGATCATGATCAGTTGACTCTACTGTTGTTGCGCGGGCTAGTTGTGAGGCTTCCTGAACCGAGACAACTCAGCGCATTCCAATGGCAGCCGATAGCACAGAACCGCAGCCTACCAGCGTGCCGGCCGCGGACGGTGCTGTGGCTGGAACCACGGTCGAGCCGCCAAAGAAATTTCCCAAAGGCGTTGTCCTCGGCAAGGACGGGAAGCCGTAAGTCTCGTGAACCTCGCTGTGTTAGAACTCCGCTAACACTCCTCACTTCAGTTGTCGCTCCTGTACCTCCTTCGCAGCCTGGGCCTCGCAGACCAAATCCTCACTCAACACCACAGCAACAACAACACCAACCCAACCTCAAAAAGACTGCCCGCCAGACGTCGAGACTCTCGGACGAAGCACTTGGACCCTCCTGCACTCAATAGCGGCGACGTATCCGCCCGCGCCGACTCCCAAGGAGCAGTCCGACCTCAAGAGCTTCATGCGCCTGTTCTCCAGGCTCTACCCGTGCTGGGTGTGCGCCGAGGACTTCCAGGCGTACATGCAGAAGCAGGAGGTGAGGGCCGGGAGCCGGGACGAGTTTGGGAACTGGCTGTGCGAGGCGCACAACGAGGTGAACAGGAAGCTGGGGAAGTCGACGTTTGATTGTGCCAAGTGGGAGGAGAGGTGGAGGACGGGGTGGAAAGATGGGAGGTGCGAGTGATTGGCGGCCATGGGAGGATTGTTTCGGGGATCTGTACAAACCATGAGTGGGACTTCGGTTGGATGAGACGGAGTTCGGCGTGGTATGTGTATGGCGTGAGACCCCTAATTTCTTTCTCTCTCTTTTGATCATATTTAGCTTTCCAACTCATCATCTCTTCACAGTTATTCGGGCATGTTGAAAAAAATAGAGGCATCAACGCGATTGGCATCATTCGCACGCACCGTGGCACGAGAGACAAAATTCCATTTTTCAGGATCTCGTCTCATCCACTGCATACTTCTGTGGTTTTGGCCGAACCCCCTTGGTGGGTCCCGGCAGCCGACCGGTATCGCCGGGTCTCGAATGACATCACCTCAGCGTAAACGAGAAGCAAGCCTCAGACCACCATTGTGTGCGCCGGATGGGAACAATCAATCTGCAATGCTGACTCCGCTGCAGCCCGGCCATTCTCGGCCAGTACTTCCGTACGAGATGGCGTGGCATGATTGGGGCCTGCGTCACCACACTTCGACCCTCCGCGAGCATGCTATAACAGCTTGTCGGTAACGCGCTTCCTCGCGAACTTCCGACTGCAGTGACACCAAGAGACGACAGCCTCATTTAGGTTTCTGAAGCCGCATATTATATTACACGACTGAGAGCTGCCGTTGAGCTTTTCCTACCAGTTCACACATCGTCGGTGCCAACACCAACAGTTACAACATGTCGGTCGATATCTGGGAACAGGGCCTCAAAACCCCCGTCCCTGTCGCCGAGTATCTTTTCAGGAGACTGCACGAAGTCGGAATCCGTTCGGTCCACGGTGTTCCCGGGGACTTCAACCTGGTGGCACTGGACTACATCCTCAAGGCCGGACTGCGATGGGTGGGCAGCGTGAACGAGCTGAATGCTGGTGTGCAACAGTATCACTCGGAAGCAAAACTCTCGACTGACTGATCACAGCATATGCTGCCGATGGCTACGCCCGCACCAAGGGTATCTCGGCGCTCGTCACCACCTTCGGCGTGGGAGAGCTGTCGGCTATCAACGGCGTCGCGGGCGCCTTCTCGGAGCACGTCCCCGTCGTGCACGTCGTCGGTTGCCCGTCCACCATCTCGCAGCGCAACGGCATGCTGCTGCATCACACGCTCGGCAACGGCGACTTCAACGTGTTTGCCAACATGAGCTCGCAGATCTCGTGCGACGTCGCCAAGCTCAACAAGCCGTCCGAAATTGCCGGCCAGATCGACCACGCCCTGCGCGAGTGCTGGATCCGCAGCCGGCCCGTCTACATCATGCTTCCCACCGACATGGCCGAGAAGAAGATCGAGGGCGCCCGCCTCGACACGCCCATCGACCTCACCGAACCCCCGAACGAGGCCGAGCGCGAGGACTATGTCGTGGACGTCGTCCTCAAGTACCTCCACGCCGCCAAGAGCCCCGTCATCCTGGTCGACGCTTGCGCCATCCGCCACCGGGTGCTGAGCGAGGTGCACGACCTGCTCGAGAAGACGCAGCTGCCCGTGTTTGTGACGCCCATGGGCAAGGGCGCCATCAACGAGAGCCACGCCAACTACGGCGGCGTGTACGCGGGGACGGGGTCGCAGCCGGACGTGGCGGAGCGGGTCGAGTCCGCGGACCTGGTGCTGTCGATCGGCGCGCTCAAGAGCGACTTCAACACGGCCGGGTTTTCGTACCGCACCTCGCAGCTCAACACGATCGACTTCCACTCGGACCACTGCACCGTGCGCTACTCGGAGTATCCCGGCGTGGCTATGAAGGGCGTGCTTCGCAAGGTGGTTGAGAGGGTCGACCTGGGCAAGCTGTCGCGCGCCCCGTCGCCTGACGTAAAAAACGAGGTGGCGCGGAACAGGGACAGTTCCGAGATCATCACGCAAGCCTTCTTTTGGCCGCGCATCGGCGAGTACCTGAAGGAGAACGACATTGTGGTCACCGAGACGGGCACGTCCAACTTTGGCATCTGGGAGACCAAGTTCCCCCGCGGCGTGACGGGCATCACGCAGATCCTCTGGGGCAGCATCGGCTGGTCCGTTGGGGCGGCCCAGGGGGCCGCGCTCGCTGCCAAGGACGCGGGCGCCGATCGCCGGACCGTCCTGTTTGTTGGTGATGGCTCGTTCCAGCTGACGGCGCAGGAGGTGTCGACCATGCTAAGGCATAATTTGAAGATTACCGTGTAAGTTCCCTCCCTATAACTACAAACATTATAGGATGTATTTATGGCTCGCTTTCTGTGTTCGCAGCTTCCTCATCTACAACGAGGGCTTCACCATAGAGCGCTTCATCCACGGCATGGAGGCCGAGTACAACAACATTTCGCGGTGGCAGTACACTGAGGTGCCGACCGTGTTTGGCGGGTCGGACGCGCAGGTCCGCAAGTTTGTTGTCAAGACCAAGGACGAGCTCGAGAAGCTGTTGACGGACGGGGAGTTTATTGAGGCTGGTGGGCTGCAGTTTGTCGAGTTGTGGATGCCAAAGGAGGACGCGCCGAGGGCGCTCAAAATCACAGCTGAGGTGGCGGCAAGGAATAACGCGAAGATGAGTGAGTAGTTCGTGATACGGGACGAGGTGAGGTATCGTACCTAGGTAGTAGGGGTGAGGGACGGATGAATGTGGGGCTGGACAGTAAAATTCCGATTTGCGTAATGTATGTGATAAGCCTCGACCAGCTTCGAGCTTTGTACGGATTATGGCAATGACTTTTTAAAAATCTATGAGTCCAACATGGGAATCGCTCCCTTCATCATTGTGTTTCTTGCGCCTGGGTGATATGTGTAGGGGGGTTTCAGAAAGGGATTTCCACGTGACTTTCGGGTGGCTGTAAGATTCAGCAACAGAAAGTGATGTTCTTCACAGCCGCCTTCTTTTCAGGAAACACTAACAGTCACCACAACTTCGACATCCAACAAAGAGTGTCAAAAACTCCTTCGTCTTTCCTGAATACAGCAACTAAGAAAAGTCATTTTCCCCTCCCTGATCGGCAATTCAACGCATGATCTAGGGCAATTCACCACAATATCTCTCAGCAAATCAGCATGGCAGAGGACGGCAAGAGGAAAGATGCCCCCGCCGCTGCAGCAGGCCAGCAGCGGTCGAAGAAGAAGAAGGTATGCACACCTGGATAATGAGAGCCATCCATGATGATTCAGGGTCCTGGGTTCATCTCTCCCCCTGAGAACCTCATGCAATGGCTCTCATGTGTGTGGCGCCTGCAAGAATTTCTCGTCATCAATGCTCACCATGAACCCTCATCCGCCAGTCTGTTCTGCTCACGTCACGCAATCTCATTGCTAACCCCACTCATAACCCACAGACTGGAAACGCGGGCAAATGGATGACGCCACACCAGCAGGCCAAAGCAGTCCTGCAAAAGGACGCCGGCCTCCAGCCCGGCGACACGGGCATTTGGGTCACCTGCGCCCGGCACCAGGAGGGAAAAGCGGCGAGGGAAGTCGAGGTGCTGTTCGCCGAGGTGCGTTATTCAAACCTTCCTTGCGTTTCATGATCGTTAAAACTGTGAGTTCACTGACAAGAAGGATATGCAAGTATGCCGAGAAAATGTACGGCATCAAAACCATCCACGACAGCGCCCCGAGGACGACCTCGTCCGTGGCCGACGGTGACGATGTGGAGGAGCAGGACGAGGAGGAGGACATTGAGGCGGCCATCCAGAGGGAGATTGCCGCGCTGACGTCGAAACCCAATACCACCACCAACAACGCCACCGAAGGGGCCGATAATAACGGCAACAGGATGATACCCGTGAAAATGAACGTGGACTGCCTGCTGTTTGTCAAGACGCGCCCGCCTGTCGATCCCGTCGCGTTTGTGCGGAGGATATGTGAGGACGCGCGGCGGTGCGAGGAGATACTCGGGATTATGAGGTGTCGCTATGTGAACCGGTTGACGCCGGTTAGTGTCATGGGCAAGGCGACGGAGGCCGGGGTAGCCGAAGTTGCCAGGGAGGTGTTGAGCGGGTGTTTTGATTTGAACGGGAAGCGGTCCGGTGATGCCGATGCCGGGCAGGAGGAGGGAGGGGCAAAGGGAGAGGTTTCGACGACGGAGGAGATTGACTCGAGGAGGGATGGGGAGGACCCGGGCAGGAAGCCCTTCACGGTAAGCCTACTGTTTACCTGTTCTATCATTTTCGCCTTCGGACACTGACGCTGCGTTCAGTTCGCCATCCGGCCGACCATCCGCAACCACAGCAACTTGAAGCGGGACGTTGTGATCAACACCATTGCTGGCCTAATCAACGACGACCGCCACAAAGTCAACCTCACCGCACCAGACAAGGTGATACTGGTCGACATCTACCAGGTAAGCGATGAGAGAGCCCCAAGAACTCGATGCTCCTGCCTTGGTTTAACACTGCCCAGACGGTATGTGGGATGAGCGTCGTCGACGGCGACTGGGACGAGCTCAAGCGGTTCAATCTCACTGAACTCTACAACCAAGGACGAAATGCCCAAAAGCCTCCAGGATCAAAAGGTCAATGTCAATAGCTCGCCGTTAGAAAAACGATACTCGTCGGCGCTGAAGATCGCCGATCTGACCAGCCATTGGAAAGTCGGCAAATACCCTATGCCTTTCACTGACTGCGCATCCTTTCCGCATGGCGGGCGATGTGACGTGCAATGGGCGGGCCTAAGCCGTATTCGAGATAATTTTGACGAGTGACGGCGTGCGGCTGGCCCTGGTCGACGTCGAATCCCGGCCGGGGCCGTTTCCAGGAACGCGGTGCTGGGCTCCGGCAACGCCGTAATTTTTGGCCGCGACATCAGCCAGCATCATGCGCGGGCAGGATGGATGTGGCCCAAAGATATCAGCACTCTGATATCCGTATCCTCTTGGATGTTGTAGTCGGATCTCACCAGTGACGACGGGACGGCTGGCATCTCCTCGCGAGGGTAACGTTACCTTTGTCGAACTTGTACCCCAGCTCTGGCCTTCTGAGGGGCACTGGAGAATTCAGGTCGAGAGTCGTTTGATGTCAAATCACGGTTGATGCCCCACAGCTTCTTGAGCTCGTTCCGAGATTTCGCTTAGCCCTGGCCAATCATTAGACTCCCAGCTCGCTTGCCCCTGCAACTCGCTTCTCTCTGGCTTCGAGAATGCCATCAAGCAGGAGTGCATATTTGTCAAACTGCTTAGGAACAAACCTCCTAAATCCACACTCCCCTGCTTCCTTATTTCCACACAAACTAGGGCCTCCGCACCACCTACACCAAAAACTGGCAGGCAAATCCATCACCGCCCCGTTGCACCAAGGAACTCGAATTCAATGGAACATCGCGATGCAAATCACCGAACTGACCAATTCGCTGAGAAACGCAAATCGTTGAAAGGCGCGTTGGAAGGCGCTTTGGAGGGCTTGAGAGCCATGGAATGGGTGGCGAAAACACCAGGAATTGAAGACATGACGGACCGCGATGGCTTCAATTGAATTGAGGGACGTGGTAACGATGCAAACGGTGATGCGTAGAGGTGTGGTGTCCCTCGGTGCAAGCAGCGGTGATGGGTTTCTGCCAACTTTTCGTGTGGGTGGGTGCGGAGGCCCTATCCCGAAAGGGGTATGGACCGCCCCAGTCTGTGTGGGAATAGGAAAGCAGGGGAGTGTGGAATAGGAGGCTCGCCCAGGAACCACGTCTCGCTTGACATTGCCTGACCAGGCCTACCACAGTAGTCCGTGACAGCAGTCAAGCAATCAGCCGCTCTGACCGACACCCTCCCTCTTCAGGGCCTTCCCGATTCGACATGATGAAATATCCATCCCGTCGTCAGAGAGGTTGCCAGTTTCCCAGCGGCCGCGGTAACGAGCGGCAGGAATCGACCCTGGACCTTACTCCCGCCCGGAGACTTTTGGTGCAAATACGGCGTAATGTTAACTGCTCCGTACTCCGTATTTCCGATGGCCGTACTCAGTGACGATGTACCACACTACCTCCGTAGACATCAGAACGCGTGTCCACCGCGTCCTTAGGGAAGAAAGACTGGCCGACGCCACAAGAACCGCTCGGTAGGCAAACCGGTAGCCCAGGACGAACATGCAGGACTTGAAATTTCCCGGTGCCGGGATCCATTTACAAATATACCTCGCTCACCCATGCCTCGACAAGCGAAAAGACCCCGACGTGGCCGACCATAGCGCATCCTCGCAGGAAAGTCTGCTTCAACTCGCTACGCAGCGCCCCTTATTCGTCGCCGGCACTCTCTAACGTTAACTCCACGAGACTTGTCTCTTGGCAAAGCCCGCTGGCTCGGCCTCCATACTGTGTTTCTTCGTGCTTCTCGCCCTAACTAACGTCAGGATGCTAGAGAGAAAAAGGCCTCTGCCGTGCGTCCTAGAAAACCCGCCAGCAAAGCTGGGGTTCTCTCGCACGCGCCTACACCCTTGCGTCCTTTCCAGCTAGCCAAACTTGAACCTACCAGCCGGCTTCTCGCCAAAGGCAGCCTATCATCAGCGTCACGGGCTGCTTTGACTCTGGTTACGGGCATACCACGATGCTTCGCCTTCATACGGGCATGCCAGGAGTCCTCAGCGCCTGGTGATTTGGCCGCCGAGTTAGTAGGCTAGCCTGGCTGTCTGCTTCGGCTGTTTATTCCCCCGCTCCTGCCATCGCCGGTGGCATACCGGTGTGTCTATAGGCATCTTATATATATAGATATGGGGCATGTCTGGGGCGAGACTGTGTTGTCTATCGTCTCGAACCGTTCCTCCTTCGCTTTGAGACACCCAACTCGCACGCGGCCAGCCAGCCGGGCCACGTCTTCCCAGACACAAAACTTGCCGCAGTAGCATTTCGATATCATCACCGCCCGATCGACAAAGACAAACTTCCAACTAGGCTCCATCATGTGCCAACCGCCTGCTGAAGAGGTCGTCAGGGACATGCTGGGCCCAGTCGTCTCACCGGAGGATAACATCGAGAGAATTCGAGCCGTCCCCTCCCTCCGCCCGCGGAGAATTTATGAAGTCGTCCTTTCTGATGGCAGGACCCTCCACCTCGTCTTGCCTTCCCTCACCATGTGGCGGCCTCTGAGGTCCGAGCAGGACACGGTATCCTCCGAAGCCGCCGCTGTGCGATGGATCAGAGATACTGTTTCTCCCCAGCAAGAGACTACTACTACACCTACTACTACTTCTACTCCGCAACCGCACCAACCACGGCAACAACATCAAGATGAGCAACCCTCATTCCCCGCCTCCTCCAGTCCCAACCTTCCCCCTTTACCCCTCCTCCTACCAACTCTCCTCCACCACGGCCAGAAATCCCACCTCCCCGAATCCTCCTTCGCAGTCTACGCCCCCGTCCCCGGCACGCCCCTCGCTCTTCTACCCTCCACCCCTTCGCGGTCAGCACAAAGCGCCATCGACTACCAGCTCGGCGCTTTCTTCCGCACCTTGGCGAGCCTGACCTCGCCCACGGGACGTTTCGGCCCGCTCGCAGCAGTCGTCAACAGCAAGTACAGCAGAACCACGCAACCTGGGTCACTACAACCGCAAACAATCCGCCACCCCTTACCAGCATCAGCAGCAGCAACAACAGCAGTACCGGGAATGGTGAACCCTCCTCCAGCCAAGGCGGCTGCTGGGCCAACAGCAACAACAATGACGGCAAAAACAACTATTCCCCAAGCAAGCGTCCCCCCGACAACAACAACAACAACAACAACCACCCTCCTCCCCAAAGTGATAGTCGAAGGCGGACTGTCGGCGACAGGCGGCGCGGGGACGTGGTCGGTGGCGTTCCACTCCATGCTGGAGGGGGTGCTGCGCGACGGCGAGGACATGGCTGTCGTCATGGCCTACTCGGCCATCCGCCGGCAGCTTCGCCGGCTGGGGTACGTGCTGGACGAGGTTACGGTGGGCAGACTGGTGCTGGTGGATTTCATGCTGGATGGGGTGGAAGGGAGGAGGAGGAATGTCCTTGTCGTTGATGATGGAGAGGAGGAGGATGGGGGGGGGAAAGAGGTGGAGAGGAATGGGGATGAGGGAAAGGGGGATGAGGGAAAGGGGGATGAGGGAAAGGGGGATGAGGGAAAGGGGGA